CTGGAGACGTACAAATCCTACCTGCACAATGTCCGCAGTCAGTCGGAGGGCAAGCAAAGAAAACAGCAGAAGCACCAGGAACTGGGCCCCTACAAGTTCACCCATCAGCAACTCGAGAAAGAGGGGGTGATCCGCAGGAGTAACGTTCCAGAGAACCGACGCGCCAACATTTACTTCATGTTCAAGAGTCCTTTGCCGGGCACGTTTGTCATCAGTCTACACTACAAGGGTAAGTTTCCATTGGTTTGCTTCGCAGTCCTCGCCGTTCACCGTATACTAACAGGAAGAATAGGGCGAGCCCGAGGCCTCCTGGAGTTGGATCTCAAGCTTGACGATCTGCTCGAGATGCAAAAGGACAACCTCGAAGATTTGGACCTGGAATATGTCCAGTTCAACGTGTCCAAGGTGCTAATGCTACTGAACAAACGATTCGCACGAAAGAAGGGCTGGTAAGAGACTCTTGCAGGGATCTCTGCTTCCTTCCCGTTACGATATATGAAACAGGGCAACATGCTTAACATGAGTAGATTGCCTGGACATCCAGAGCCGAACTTCCTGCCATCGGGGTACTAAATGACGACACACGATTTGCGCCTCAAGCATAGCCTCGACACGGCAACAGAGGTGCCGACTTGTTTGATTGAACTGTTTTGATCTCATTATATTACGACCTGGAGCTGGAGATGGGTGGACGGTAACTCCCCTTCTCGCTCAAAGGTCCATGGCCTTTTTGATTCTTTGTTCTTTTTGGATTTCGAGGTGGATGGAGGAATGACTGCATTACTCACTATGATTTCTGTTTGATTCCCTCATCGGCACGTGTGACTATAGGAGAGACTTTAATTCTGGTGAAAGAGTGAGCACCTTAATTCTGAGGGTGGACCGGGCTTTTTTGCCTCGCAGGCTCGAGGAGGGTCTGGTCCCCCTGGTCAGGGATTGGGCGGTGTTGCTTGTTGGTATACCCCGTTGAATGATTTTGTGTTGTGTACGATTGACTGCTGCGTGTTTTTCTCTTCTGTGGTTTGGTCGGTGTGTGCTCTTCGCGTGTTATATCCACTGCTGTTTATTGTTTATTCGTTCCTATAAGAATTGGATTTAATGAGGATGCTTCAAATTCGTTGTTGTGCCACTCGCCAGGCATCACTTGAACACTCACCTGAAGGTTCACTCGGTACTCCGTAGAGCAGCCCCGGCCTTTTTAAACAATCCCATTGTCGTCGGGAATCCCTCGTCAGGAGTAGAAACGAGAGCAGCCTTAAGCAAATCAAGTTAGCCGCTCTGTTTTCTCAGTCGGCGATCCAGGAAGATCAATCAATAGTCCAGTCCATGACAGCTGTCAGGCACTGCCGAGGGTATAAATATGACCCGATGGATCCTGTCGCTCAAGTGAGGCTTGTTCCAGGTTGACGGATTCGGGTTTCATTTTTTTGGTTGGTTTAATTAATGACTCCCTCGCCACCATCTAATCATTTCGCCGAGTAGGATCTATTGAATTCTAGATTCGGCCATAATACCGTCGTCAAATCAAATCCCGAACATTTTGTGCATCAGGGATTTCTACCCGGAACGGCGAGCAATAGAGTTGTGCATCTATATCAGCATCGCATCGATATATGGCGTATGTGTGAATCTGTATCCACCATTGACGCTCTCACTCAGGGGTAAGGCGAGAAAAAGAAAAAGAAAAAGAAAAAAGCATAATATTACCTATATTAAACACCTTCCCTCATGGCGCGTCCCCTTGCTTCGACCGACGCTCCACAGTTCTACTTGCAGTCCCAACTTCGCTGCCTACTTACCCTGGCCCCCCCTATTTTCTCTTTTTCTATTTCCTGCCTGCATCGGGCACGAATGAAGGCCTTCGTAATCGTTCCAATTTGCCCTTCTTGGCGCAACGGGTCTCTCTGACCCTCATTTCTGTGGATTTCATAGTCATGTACTCCGTCCTGGAGACTGCGGACGAGCGTCATGGTCCGATCTCCTCGGTGCCTACCGGTGTCGGTCACCCTATAGGGGGGAGGGGGGGTTGATGTGGCTGAGTTAGGGGGCAAGTGGGCTTCGTTCGGGAGATTGGAAGCGTTCTAGGAGTACGGAGTAGAAGGCCTGCGGAATGTTCTATCTGATATTGCGGTGGGCTTGGGGGATCCTGTGTAGATTACTGGCCGTTATTAATGTATCGGGCATTGGCGACGCCGATTGATGGGGGCGTGACGGTCTTTGCCCTAAAGAGGGAAAGAAAACGCAACGCTGGAGGGATGTGACCCCCGGGTAGGTGTTTCAGTTGGGGCGTGGCGAATTGCGAGGCACAGATAGGCTGTTTCGAACTTGCTTTGCGCAGTACGCAGTCTGCTGTACGGAGGATGAGAGCCGGGGAGGATTCTGATCTGTGAGGAATGAGGTGCAGACGTGGCTGCCGGTAAACTTGATGTTGCGGAGACTACGTCACCTCCTGGTCGATCGCCGGTTTACGGGGCGTCTAGGGGTGTGTCTCTCCTGGGATGCGGTGGGATCGGTATAACTCATTAACTATATCGGTGCAAATAATAGAGATCCAGGTCGATGTCCATATTGGGCCAGGTTGATATGTCGATGTCGTTATACTCCGGTATCTGCTACGGCGGATGGCTGATGGGTGGAGCGAAAGCAGTCGACTCGACCAAGACTATTGCCTTGGAGTGAAGCCGCAATTTCCTCCTGATAGATCTAGATTCGCGTTGAGAGAAGGGGCCTCTGAGGTGAGAAACCGAAAGTGAGCAGAACGAAGGCCGCGGGAGCCCCTCCCCGTGACTCCACCCGCACGTTGACCGTCTGTTCTGCTCTTTCGCCTCCTGCATCTTCCCTTCCCCTCTTCGCCTCTTCTTCTAATTTGATTTTTCTCTCCTCTTCGCTTCCTCTTGTGTTTTCTCCGGCCCGATTTCCACCATCCTCTCCACCCGTTATTTGTGTGGCTGCGTTTAAAACCCCCCACTCCTCCCTATCAGTCTCTCATCGTCTCACGCTAAGCCAATCCGACCACCGCTAACTTCTTCTGCCTCTCTTCCGCCTTCCTCTCTCTCTCTTAACAACATCCCTCTCTCCCCTCCCTCCCTCCTTCCCTCCTCTTTCCACCCCATCCAACCCAACTTTCACAATGGCCGCCCCCGTTGAGAACCAGACTCCCCCGGCGTCCAAGTACGACGACTATGACTTCCCGACAACGGCCCCGGAGTCCAAGACCGGCCACCCTGGCCATACCACTCCCGAGCAGGACGCCAAGGTCGAGCAGCTCCGGAGCGAGCTGGAGAATGAGGGCTACACTAAGCGTCTAGATACCCTGACTTTGCTGCGTTTCCTGAGAGCCCGCAAGTTCGATGTGCCCGCTGCCAAGGCCATGTATGTTTGAGTGTTTGAGAGATTTCAGACCGCCCTCCCCCTCCACCGAAGAGAAACATTCGCTGACGAGCGCCTTGTCTGCAGGTTCGTGGAGTCCGAGAAGTGGCGCAAGGAGTTCGGTACCGATGACCTTGCTCGTACTTTCGACTACAAGGAGAAGCCCGAGGTCTTCAAGTACTACCCCCAGTACTACCACAAAACCGACAAGGTGCGTTGCGTCCCTCTGTTCAGACTTCCCGTGAACTTCGAATCCGATGGCTAACGTTCGATACGGCGAAACAGGATGGAAGACCCGTCTACATTGAGAAGATGGGCAAGATTGACCTCAATGCCATGTACAAGATCACCACCTCCGAGCGCATGCTGCAGAACCTCGTCACCGAGTACGAGAAGCTTGCCGACCCCCGGCTGCCGGCCTGCTCGCGGAAGTCCGGCAAGCTCCTCGAGACCTGCTGCACTATCATGGACCTGAAGGGTGTTGGCATCACCAGCATCCCCTCCGTCTACGGATACGTTCGCCAGGCCTCGGGTATCTCGCAGAACTACTACCCCGAGCGACTGGGCAAGTTCTACCTGATCAACGCTCCCTGGGGATTCAGCGGCGCCTTCAACGTTGTCAAGGGCTTTCTGGACCCCGTCACCGTCGACAAGATCCACATCCTCGGCTCCGACTACAAGAAGAAGCTCTTGGAGCAGGTCCCCGCCGAGAACCTTCCCGTCGAGTTCGGCGGTAGCTGCCAGTGCGCTGGTGGCTGCGAGATGAGCGACATGGGCCCCTGGCAAGAATCGGAATGGGCCAAGACCCCCAAGTGGGCCGTGCCTGAGGTCTCTCAGAACGAGGCTCCCGCCGCCGAGCAGAAGACCGAGGCCCCCGCGGAGCCTCAACCCACTGCATAGATCGTCTTTCTGTTTGGTTTTCCGTTTGTCTTCTTTTATTCTAATTTTTTTTTTGGATCAATATGGTAAATAGATTCTAGGCGCTCTTTTCTCCGCCTCCCTCACCCTGTTCTTTTTTCTCTCTCTCTCCGCCAAATGTCCCTTGAGGACATGAATCATATCATTTAGACCCCTCTCTTTCTCGCCTTTGGATCATTACTATTTGGTTCCTTTTTTTTACCCTCCAATGCAATAGTTGAACGTTGCCTTTGACGATGAGTGACTGGCAGATCCTCCTAGTTCCACCCATTTCTTCTACTTCCCCCTTGAGTTTTTACTGTTTGGGCTCGCTTTGACATTAGATATTGAAGTTTCCAAGACAACATGAGCGGCGCGGTGGTGCTTATCTTTTTATATTATAGATGGGGACGGGGAGTCGAGGAGAGAAGAGTAATGGCGAGAGAACGGTTGCATTTGTATTTCTTTCTGAAGAAAAATTAAGGGTTCTGTAAGGTGGGAGTTGCGTTGGTGTCGGGAGTGAGGTTCGATTTGATATTGATATATAACCGATTGAGATTGTCCCCTTCGAGAGAACTATGGGTTTCGCCATCTCGCTTTATGTCTTTGTCACTATGAACCGTAGAACTGGGGCAGATACATCGCCGTGCAAAAGTTATAAATCATCTTACAGAAAGCTTCTGCTCTCGAACTGTATGAGGATTGTCAAGATTCAACAAGTCACGAAGTCAATTGAAATTGGTATCATTCCATCCATGCCTGACGCCAAGTACTTAAAAAAACAACAGATAAACATGATATAGACAAGATCACACTTTCTCCACAACCTCCACGGCCTGTCTCGCCCGTTCGGCTTTCCCAACCGTCGACGCCAACGCATTCCCGTCCGATGTCGACTCCCCTGCCGCAGCATCTTCGTCGCCTTCGCCCTGGAGTCGAAGCAGCGTCCGCAGCGCATCCTCGTAAACCTCGGCCACTTCGCCATTGCGCCATCGCTCAGCCTCGTGGTCCGTTCCCAGGGGCACTTTGAGATCCCACTGGGCCTTGCGGGATTTCGATTTCCGGTGCGGAGGTCCATCGTCGCCGGGCTGGTCCTCGTGGCTTCGTTTCCTCGATGGCGGTTGGGATTGTGCTTGTGTTTGTGCTTGAGCCTGTGGTTGTGACTGTTGATCCGCATCTGGCATCGCGACGTCTGCACCTTCGCCCTCACGCGCGGTAGTCGAGCCATCGGTCTGTGTCTGTGTCTGTGCCTCTGCCTTCTTCTCCCCTTGCTCCTCCTCCGTCTGCGTATTCGTCGTCTCAGCCCCATCTATGCCCCCCTCATCCTCATCATCCTCATCATCCTTAAACTCCCCCTCGTCCTCCTCAATCGCCGCCCGCAACTGCTCCGCATACGCCTTCGCCGCCTTCCGCGGCGCATCGCGTCTCGCCTGCGCCACACTCGTCGTCAACGATTCCAGCTGCGCATAGAGCGAGGTCACGCGCGCCGCGAGATGCGTGTCGTAGGCTTCATACTCGACCGTCTCCGTGGGGGCCGTGAACGACGCCGGGAAAGGGAACTGTTCGGACGAGGAATCCAGTCCGTTGATGCTGATGGAGGAAGAGGCGGTGGTGAAGGTTTTGGTTATGTACTTTTTTTTCCGTGAAGTTCTGTTAGTGACTGTGGAACTGGACTGGAATGGGAGTGAGGAGGAGGGGGATCGAACCTGATCGACCAGTTCGCGGACTCGCTCGCGCATCGGATCCGGTCCATCGCTTGTGTTGGCTGACGGGGGGAGATGGAGATCAAGCTTCTGTCGGGAGAGAGCGACGGTGTTGGCGTAGAGGTAGGTGAAGTCCGCGGGGGATTGGAGTTCGATTTTGCGGTGCATAGACATTGGGGAGGTTGATGGTGGTGGTGATGTTTTGGTCGTGTTTTGGGAGGGTTGGATTTGACCAACGGGAAGGGAAGGGGATGGGCGGTGGTCCCCTTTGCGTTCGACAGCCAGGAATGAGTTCAATCGCGTCCGATGGCAGAGTTCCTGGGGATCGAATGAAGAGAAGTGGAGACGCGTCGGGCGAGATAACAGAGTTGGCCGAATGCGGCAGGTGCAAACGGGGGCCTGAGGGCTCAGGCATGCAGGTATCCAGGCATGAAGGCACCCAGGCAGCCCGTCGATCGTTGCCCCTCGCGAGCGCCAATGATGTCATGGATCGATCGATCCTCTTTTTTTTTTTTTGGTCTTCAGCGCGAAACTCTAACGAAAACCCACTTCGTTTCGGGGTTGCCTTGCCTTGCCCTCGTTCTTCTCCTGATCGCTTTTGGAGTTTATGACCTCATGGCTGATGCACCGGACATTTATTTTAACTAGTGCTCTGCCCGGCAGCGCTGTTACTCTGGCCAGCTGTCTTCCAAGCATTCGCCCTTGTTTCATCTTATATTAAGCTCATCTTCCCTTGCCTTACACCGTACTAGCTTGCTTAGCTACCGGGTCCGGTTGTTGGCCGACGAACGCTACGCCATCTCCGCCCCTCCCTTTCCTTCTCCTGGATTGCTTACGAGGATGGCCTTGGTGTATAGATAGGGGATCAGGGGTATTGCTGTGTGATAGGCTTGGATTGCACACGAAAGGGCGGTGTATGTGTGCCTGCGACCACTGACCGGGGTGGCACATCCAGCTAGCTACGACCATGGAGAACAATCCTGCCAGCATTCTACTGGTAGACAATACCTGCCCTCGCGTGCGGCCCTCCGACGATGAAGCGCTTTCCCAGACCCCGACCGCTGCGGAAGTATCCCGACGTCTATCGCGACGGCTTACCAGACCGTCGGTGCGAGGAGAACTAGCGAGACGGAAGTATGCGAAATGGCAGCCCCATCGACTGGGGATCACGGATGACGGTGATCCAGACCCGGAGAGGAGGCCGAGCGAGGGGCGGGACTTGGCTTTGACGGATACAGCGACCAACACGGTGGGAGGGGCACCGAGTCTCGCGACCACCTCCTCGCTGCCGACGAACGAACCGCTCGATTCCAACCCGATCGATTTCGCCCCCTCTGCGGATCCGGCCGAGCAAGGAAGCGATGGCCGTGATAGATCCGGGTCCAGGTCCGCATCGAGGACTGCGGCTGCGTCGGGCCCCGAGTCTCATGCGGTTGGACTCAAGCCTGGCACCGACCTGGATATTCTCTACGAGAACCAGCGCGGTTGGTTTCTGTGCGGGATTCCGCTGTACTCGCACCGCTCGCTGCTGAACTTCGACCCGGCCACCTGGGTGACCCATGACTTCAGGGACAGTCCCGTCAACATCACCAATGCGCAGCTGCCGGACCCCAGTTGGGAGTGGGCGTGGCGAAGATGGTACGTGGACATGTCGGGGGACGTGGACGACCAGGGCTGGCAATATTCGTTCTCCTTCAGTTCGTCGGCGTGGCATGGGTCGCATCCGTGGTTTCATTCATTCGTGCGAAGGCGCCGGTGGGTGCGGCTGCGGGTGAAGCGGGTTTCGGAGAGAAGCCGTCGGGATCGTACAGGACTGGAAATGGCCCATATGCTCAACGACGACTATTTCACCATCCACACGGGGAAGAAAAAGCGCGCGTCGAGCTCGGAGCGCGCATCACGGGTGACCTCGGGATACCTGAGCCGGGCCACGACCAAGGTCGAGGAAGAGGCTCCTTTGGAGGAGATTGGGAATATTCCCAGCTTGATGCATGCCCTCAAAGTGGCGATCGTGGACCGCGAGAAGATCGATGCGTTGAGACGATTCGTCGAGGAAGGCGGCCCCGAGCTGTATTATTTGGAGGGACAGGTAATGACTTCAAATCCTTCGCCGTTACTAGCAAGCGCTTGATAGGTGCTGACTCACTCTGCTCAGATCCCCGATATCATGCCCATGTTCGTCTTCCAGGCCTCGCGATGGCAGGTTCTCACGCACTTCGTCAGTGTCATCGACGAACTGACCTCGAAAATCCCCGAGGTCGGCGAACGAGAAGCCGAGGAACTACGCCGCAAGAAGGAGTACCTCACGAAGGCCGTAGAGAGCGCGCGACACCATCTCAGGGGACCCGAAGTCGTCAGTGCTCGACGCCGATCATCGGCCCCGGAGATGCTGGATTTGACCCCCGGTCCGAAGAAGAAAGGCCTGCTATCCAAGTACTTGGGGAAATTCTCGTTCAAGCCCATGGACGACGGAGGACCCATCAGGGGAATACCGAAGGGGGCTGAAATTGGCAAGGAAGGTCATATTTATCAATATTCGTCCTGATCCTTTCTTTCCTTTTTTCCCTTTTTTCATTTTTTTATATTTTTCCTCTTTTGTTTGCGTTCTGGCTCGGTTCTCGGGACTTGATACCCATGCTCGTTTTGTGTCCAGTTCAAGGCTTCGGAGTGACTGGTGTAGTCTGTCATTGGCAACGACTGTAATAGATAATTCAATCATTTGGCATTCTTCATACAGCATACAGTGTACATCGCCGGAGGGTGATCAGTATAGCCATCAACAAAGTATAACCAAGCAGGAGAAATTGGCCCGGACGTCTCTGACCGCCTGCCTCTTGGGGCACCGGCAGCAATTTTCTCGAAGATCCGACGGCGAACAAAACACCTGCGCGACTCTCACCACCTCACGTCAATTCCCCTTCTCCCCGCCCTCTCCTTTTCCTTCCTCTTCCTCCTCCATTCCATGCCTTGACGTCTCTCTCGGCCCATCTCTATGTTTTCACATGGCCGAGCGTGTCTGAAAAGGCGTGGTGTGTCTACCGTCTCGGACAACATCGCAGCTGCCCACGACGAACCGCTTCTCTTCCTGTACCCGCACTGGTTTAAATCGGCAGTCCGACATTCCCGGCCTCTCTCTTCTGGTTCTGCTGCGTTTTTGAGGAATCATAGGCCCCGACGGCTCATCCCCAGAGCTTCTCATCCGCCCCAGAAGCTGTATTTCGGGCCCCCCTCAAGACGGTTAATATCGGGGAGCAATTCTGCTGCCCCCATCGAAACAGAGACGACGAAGAAAGCTTTCACGGCGCAAGATGAAGCTCCTACCTCTGACACGATTACGGGTTCGCCAGACAATGGCTCGCCAAACCCCACAAAAAACCTCGACGGCATCCTATTGACCGACTCGGAACCGACCAAGCAACCGAACCTCTCATCCTTCCCAATGTCGAACCTGCTCAAGTCAATTGTGCAATCACCAGATATGGACGAATGGCCTCGGCGTCGGAGGAGAAAGCTAAAGGCCATACCGAGGTTCGGCCCCAAAGATAGCATGAAGCTGGAGCTTCTGGCGAACCGCACACGATTGCTTCCCGCTTCAAAACGGGCCCCGATTCCATTGAAGACCATACAGGGTTGGGTGGTGCAATTGCATCAAAAGTCTCTCGCCTGGGCGACGGCAAGCAACACAAAGCAGAAGGAAGTGTTGGTTACGGAGGAGACCCTCGCGTATCTCGCGGGCTGCACCACACCTTCATCGGAGGAGAACATCTGGTACGCTCCTGTGAGACATGGCTGCAGGGTGCATGTGCAGCATTCGTCGGAGAGCGAGGGAAAGTATCGGAAGATCATACTTTCGGGAACGGACCGAGTCATCGAAGTGGTCTGCGATCATATCAACCATGCGCGGACTCTCCAGGAAAACAAAGACCCCGAGATCGAGATCGCAAAACCTCCAGTGCCTGTATTTCCTTCCTTACAAGTTTTCAAGCACAATGACACCAGCCGCCCACTCATTCGAGGCGTCTGGGGCGATCACGGTACCTCCGAGCTCGAGCCGCTGAAGTCTGCGGCGGAAAATCTGTCGACCGTACGGGGATTCGCCGAGTTTGTCGAGGATTTGACCAGCACCATGCCCAGGACTGATATAGTGCCCAGGCCCAAACCCGCTAATGCCTTTCCTGAATCAATAAGTCGCGTGCATAACAACCAAGTGGCCTTTATCTTGATGAAAATCTTCAGTCGCAGTGCATACGAAAAACTGTTCTCCACGGCTGCAATGAATATCGCGCTCACTTGGCTGTGTCGCCATGAGTATTTTGGTAAAGCTAATAAGATCCTCTCCCGATGTGAGCATGTCGCAACGGTGGACACGTTCAATATTCTCCTAGAGTCGGCGGCCGAACAGCAGAACACGGAGCCGTTTCGCCATTACCTCAAGACCATGTCGCGAATGAAAATTGGCCCGAATGAGGAGACCTGGGTCGCTTTTCTCAACTATGTTGCCGACCCCAGAGAGAGACTACTTTTGATGAAGTGGATGCTACAGCAACGATATCTTACGGAAATCACGCCGAAGGCGCGTGCCCTTGTAACGACGGTCCAGGAATGGTTTCTCGAGCATCTAGAGGATGGCGGCAAAGTGGATTCGTTCTTCACCGAGATGGCTAAGATGCAAGGAACCCATAATGTCTCGCTCTCCCTGTTCAGCCAGATGTTCAACGTCGTAGCCCGACGGGATGATTTTGACTCCCTGAACCGGCTGCTGGAAATCTACCAGCAGCATGGATTTCACGTCGACGACCGTGCAATCGAGTCAGTCATGCTCATGTGCAGAGACTCCTTCACCGGCGTCCGACATCTCCTCCGGTTAAGTTCTCGCCCTGATCTCTCGCTCAAAAGGGTCTCGTATGAAAGACTCTTCAAAAAGTCCCTCAGGGGTCGGCATTATAATCTCTGCCGCGTACTCTGGCGATATGCCTGCATGTACGGTTTCGTGACATACCAGATGAGGCGATATGTCGTCCGCTCGCTGACTTGCAATATCCCGTCCGAGAACGCGAAAAGTGAGGTCGATCAAACCTGGTGGACCACCAGCGGGCAGGTGATTGCCGGCCTGGACCTGCATCATAGAGAACACATCAGGGGCAGCAAGATCATGCAGAGTATCCCTCCCGAGCACCATCACCATCCAGTCACGTACTTCAGCGAGTTCAAGCCCGTCGGCAAAGAGCGTGATCGGCAGCTACGAGCCGCCATGGATTTGGCACAGCATGATATCGATGCCGGCCCCAAGTACACTCCACGCTACCCCCTGGCCCACATGTTGCAGGCTGCCATCGTGCTGGATCGCTACTGGGCACAATATCCGCTACCTAAGGACTCGATTCTGGAGCAGGCCATGCGTATTGAAGTGCTGCGCAAGGGAGAGGATCTGAACAAGTCCAAGAGCGTTTATAGGGAGGTTTCTAAAAGATACCCCGAGAAGGATCCCGAGGATAAATCTCAGGGTATTTCTGAGGAAGATCCTAACAATAACCCCGAGGAAACGCCTCAGGAAGATTCCAGGATCTCATTGGAGGATCCCCAGGATGATTTTGAAGAGGTTTCCAATAGTGATTCCGACGAAAAGCCTCGAGAAGATCTCAAGGAGGAGTTCAAGGAGGTTTCCAAAGAAGAGCCCCAGGAAGATCCCGAGATCTCAAGGAAGGAGCCCGAGGATATTTCTGAAGAGGTTTCCAATTATGATTCCAAAGAAAAGCCTCAAGATCCCAACGAGGAGTTCAAGGAAGAGCCCAAGTACCCTGCAGTATGAGCATCTCTGTGTGGGCGATGGCCTCAAATCCCCTCCAGCCTATCTTATGATACTCGGGCTGTTCTGAGTTCTGACATTCCGGCTTTGGGGTATTATCCGATCCCTTGTACATTTCTGACCCATAATGACTTCTTGGGCCACCTTGCATATAATTTTTTTTTTCTGGTTTTCAGCGCATTGTCGGGTATAATTGGCACACTGTCTTCATGTTAATCCCTTCATGTATTTCAAATCTTGTACATCAGCCTTTGGTTTTCCCTGTTCCTTTATACGCTAGATACCTGTATATTATAACGCCGCTCAAAGCTCCGCCGTGACCCTCCCCGCCATGTCCTGTACATAGAGAGAGAGAGAGAGAGAGAGAGAGAGAGAGAGAGAGAGAGAGAGAGAGAGAGTAGAAACTGCACAGTTGTATCATTTCTGAGGCGAATATGGTCATCAAGTCATCCAATCTATTGTCATAAATGCGTATATCTAAAAGAAGTGGACGCCTATCCACTGCCGTTTCCATGCAACAACGCCGGCGGCGGCGGAGCAGGGACTGCACCGCTCATTTCCGGCACTGAAGGGCCGTACGCATCGAATTCCGTCCTCAGCGACCCCACGCCCTCCTTCAGGTAGAGCACCAATCGATAGGCCGAGTTGCCGTTCAGGTAGTAGCGATGCAGCTGCTTGCTGCGCAGGAAGCCGAGTCGTTCGTAGAGCTTGATGGCGGCCGTGTTGGTGATTTCGGTTTCGAGAGCAATCTGTCGGTGATTTCTCGCACGTCAGTGATCCGTTCCTTTTGACCTCGTGCAACGCCCGTCTGACAGGGAGACAACTCACCTCGTCCGCATCCCGCTCGATCATCGCATCAATCGCCATGCGCACCAACTTGGTCGCAATGCCGCGGCCCCGGAACTCCTCGCGCACCGCCAGCATGGCGATGTACCCCCGCAGGGGCCCGCCGCGGTGCGGCTCCAGCTTGGACACGACGACGCCGACCATGGGGTCGTCGGCCCGCGAGTCGTCCATGGCCATGAAGCAGAGGTCGCCCCACTGGTAGAGGAAATAGCGGTAGACGTAGATGCTGTAGGGCTCGGAGAGGTCCTTGGAGATGAGCTGGCGCATGGCCGCGACGTATTCGTCCTCGCGGGATCCATCGTAGCGGGCGTAGCGGAGGTCGGAGGTCGGAGGGGCTGCTGCTACGCGGTCTGGCGCGGCGGGCGCGGCGGAGGAGTCGTCATGGTGGCTCATTCCGGGGGCATCTGAGGGAGGAGAGGGATGGTCGGCGGTGGTGGAGTTGATGCTAGCGTAGGATAGGGTTCAGGGGTGGATTGAAGAAGTGGGTGGAGGAAAGAAGAGGAGCAGAAACGAGGATTTTCATGACGTCCGCCGACATGTGATTCCCGCCTCGTTTCCCTCGCTTCCGCTTCTTCTCTTTCTTCTTCCTCTCTTCTCTCTTTTTATTTTTCCTGGTAGCGTTTCCATGTCCATTCATTGACCCGCTAATTAATTCACCCCCCGTCCCCCCCTCTTCCCTCATCTTTGCCTCTCATGCTCCGCCGTCGTCTGGCCAAGGATAAGGACGACGTCCCATCGGGGCCCGAGAACAATAACGATAATGCTCAACCAGCCTCCTCCGATCCCTCGCCCACGCCTCCGCCACGCGAGAAATTCGGCTCGTTCGTCACGAAACCGCGCAGCAAGCGTCGCAATGGTCTGATCTTCGCGCTGGGCGGCATCTTCGGTATCTTGGTGGCCGTCCTCTTCGCCAACCAGCAGGATGTGATCAGTTTGGAGTCGCTGATGGATTTGAATCTGGATTCGTTGATGGATGTGATCCCACAGGGCATTGTTCGGGATGCGAGGGAATTCTCGGTATGTTTGACGCCATTGAGGGCTTATCGGGTGTTGTATACTACGGGATAAATCGACTAACGGGTTCGTCCTCTGCCCTCCGCTAGCAACATGAACGCGACACGGTCAGTTATGATTCATTTTCCGTGGGACTTCATCTTCAATCGCAAGGGTTCGAGGCCAAGCATCCCATCGTGATGATCCCCGGGGTCATTTCCACCGGGCTTGAGAGTTGGGGCACGGGCACGCAGTCCCGGCAGTACTTCCGGCGCCGGCTCTGGGGCAGTTGGAGTATGATGCGCGCGCTGGTCCTCGATAAGGCGGAGTGGAAGAACCATGTCATGCTGGACAAGAAAACGGGCATGGATCCGCCGGGTATCAAGCTCCGGGCCGCGCAGGGGTTCGACGCCACCGATTTCTTCATCACCGGTTACTGGATCTGGAACAAGATCCTCGAGAACCTGGCGACGATCGGATATGACCCGACCAACGCCTTCACGGCGGCGTACGACTGGCGACTGGCGTATCAGCATCTGGAGATCCGTGACCAGTATTTCAGTCGGCTGAAGTCCTACGTGGAGACCGCTGTCCAGGTGCGCGGCGAGAAGGTCACCCTGGCTTCGCACAGTATGGGGTCGCAGGTGGTGTTGTACTTCTTCAAGTGGGTTGAGAGTGCGGATCATGGCAACGGTGGCAAGGACTGGGTGAACAACCACATCGCCTCCTGGATCAATATCAGCGGGTGCATGCTGGGCGCCGTCAAGGGGCTCACGGCCGTCCTGTCGGGAGAGATGCGCGACACGGCCCAGCTGAATGCCTTTGCCGTGTATGGATTGGAGAAGTTCCTGTCCAAGGAAGAGCGCGCGGAGATCTTTCGCGCCATGCCGGGCATCTCGAGCATGTTGCCCAAGGGCGGCGAGGCAGTCTGGGGCAATTCCACCTGGGCTCCGGACGACCAACCGGGCCAGCTGATGTCGTTCGGGAGTCTGCTGAACTTCCGTGAGAGCAACTCCTCCCTCACGGCGAAGAACCTGACCACCCCGGAAAGTCTGTCGTATCTGCTGGACCAGAGTGACGACTGGTATCGCGACCAGGTTCTCGCCAGCTACTCGCATGGCGTCGCGCACACCACCAAGGAGGTCGAGGCCAACGAGAAGGACCCTCGCACCTGGTTGAACCCCCTCGAGGCCCGACTGCCGCGGGCCCCGGACATGAAGATCTACTGTCTCTACGGTGTCGGCAAGCCTACCGAACGCAGCTACTTCTACCAGGAGGAACGCGACCCCTTAGTCAATCTGAACGTCAGCATCGACACCACGGTCACCATCAACGAAGGCGTCGACCATGGCGTCGTCATGGGCGAAGGTGACGGGACCGTCAATTTGCTGAGTACGGGCTACATGTGCGCCAAGGGCTGGCACATCAAGCGGTATAATCCCTCGGGGATCAAGATCAAGGTGTATGAGATGCCTCATGAGCCGGATCGTTTCTCTCCCCGGGGTGGTCCCAACACAGGTACTTTTCTCCCTGCTTTTTATTTCCACAGATCTCTTATTTCCATTGATATATCTGACAAATAAATACTAACGTATCAAAGGCGACCACGTCGACATCCTCGGCCGCGCCTCTCTCAACGACCTCATCCTCCGCATCGCCAGCGGCCACGGCGACGAAATCGAAGAGACCTTCGTGTCGAAGATCAAAGAATACGCTGACCGAGTCAAGATTTACGAAGAATAAAGAATACCACTACCTATTGTTATTATTTGTCACGAGCTCTCTTTGATTTATGTTCTCATGTGGATGTTCCATCACCTTAATTATACGCCCTTTTTTGCCTCCTACCTTTCTTCACCACTCACCACCCTCCTCGCTGCTTATTTTCTCTCGATGGTATCTACTGTATGGATGTTTGCATGTACGGTATGGGAGCGGTGTTTATGGTCCAATGGATTGATATAGACAGACGGATATCAATATTTACTATTCTTGACATACTACGCCTTTTTGGTACTGTATTCAAATCATCGAATGAAGGGGGAATAAAAAGATGTACCGCTTGGAAAGAGGTGTAAAAAATAAAAAGCAAAAAAGATAAGGTCGTACCCGGGATCGAACCGGGATTATGAGAATCAGAATCTCATGTGCTAACCATTACACTATACAACCTGATTTGTTGAAAAGCTTGAAACAAGTTGGCTACTTGACCCTAGGGATTAATGTGGTAGATATTTGCTGCGGAGGTTGGTACTTTCTTCCTTATACTTCATGGATGGCCGGGTTGCTGGATGACATATTGATCTATTTAAAGTGACCAGTTCAGCAAGGCTCATGTATTTTACGCAACCGTCTTAAAATAGGCCCAACCGAGCATATAACCTAACACAAGGGATACAATAGTATTATTTTCTTCTAGCTCGCTCGGGTTCAATGTTGCAGCGAGGCCCCGAAGAGTCCCGCTAGGTATACAACACACATTGGGGAAACTTCTTGGTAATAGTATTCTACGCACCACGAATAGTGGCGCACATACTAGTCTATTCCACTTGCACCTCTTGTCTTCCCTTGCCAAGCCGGGCTTGTCAATATCCGGAGCATTTTCAATCCAGCGGATAACCATGACAACTACTACCTCTGAGTAGCTTCATTCTACCACATGAGGGCAAACAATAGAGTTCGACCACAATAATCACCGGGTCAGTATCATCTGCAATGGGTATTGTCAGTCCTAAGCCCATTGGCCCTATCAAACAGCTGGTAAAAATCAAAACCCAGGTGCCTTACCGCCCCGCCTGTCTGTCGAGCAAACTGAACCGGGCCCGTGGATAGGATGGGATATAGACTATCCCCAACAACTTCAACCCCCCAAAAAATAATATAATCTAGAAGAACCAGTCCCAGTGACAAACACGCATTCCTCGGGTGATCAAAAGAAAAAACTAAAAAAGAAAGGTCGTACCCGGGATCGAACCGGGATTACGAGAATCAGAATCTCGTGTGCTAACCATTACACTATACAACCGTGGATTGTTGAAAATGCCGTCAACTATTTGACTCTATAAGCCAAAGGTTGAAAATGCTCTGTCAGTTGTGTCTAGCGCAGTGCTAGTGGGATTGCTACAGTATAGTAGATGTAGGCGAATGGATGCGCTCTCGGACTTGGTTCTTATGCAGATATATCTTCACGGGAAGCTTAGGTTGCTCCTATACAGCCCAGAGGAGGGGACTTAAGAGTTCTATTGGGCTGTACAAGGATATAGGCCTGGGTATTGATCAAAGGACAGCCGAAGGGCTATATCGACTGATGCAGGTCTTCAGGGCTATCGCCAAGCATGCTAACGAAGTTTGGGGCAGTGGATGAAAGATATTCTAGAAAAGCGAGGGACTCTAGGAATAGCGAGATCGTTGGACACGACCGTACTATTTTCTGTTCATCTTATGGGCCTAACGTGGAATCTCCCCGCGCTGGTTTACTTCCTCTTCTTCTCTTGGGGTATCTCATAGCAGATCTAGGCTGTGTTCAAGTAGAACTCGAACTCGGGCCCTAGGGCTTGGAAAATGTGATAATCCATTCCATGTGAAAGCCTCTTCGAACAACAAAGAGCATCGGACACGGTAACCAGATCACGCCAGGGGGTGGTCTGGCTATCTTGAACCAAGCATTCACACTGTCCTCGATATTGAAAGTCGTCCACTTGGTACTTCAAAATTCTCCGATGTTGCAGTAGCTAGGTCTAGGCACATTCCCCTAGGAGCCTAGTAAACGGGCCAGGGATTTGCCAGAATATGGCTTCTGTGTCGAAATTAGACCGTTTCAGCCGAGCCTGTCGCACCAATCATACGAGCAGAGAAGCATTCCAGGTGATAAAAAGTACAGCAACGCTCAGAATCAAGAGCAGCATGTGTCAGCCGTCGTAATTGTCGTACACTAGGAAAGCCATCCGACGGTTGGTTGCAACAGGGACGCAAGGAACATGACCCACTTGGCGCACCCCGAAGGAATACGCACACGATACGACACCTTATTAGCGGCTTAAGGTATACGCTTTCTCCGAAGTAAGATCCAGGAGTCCAGATTGTCTAGATCTATCCAATCCGATGCGGCATGAGATTGTCGTATTCATCGCGTATAGAATGTTCTCTCCTTCTTCCCCTGGTTGGACATACATGGTGGTGTTGATATAAAGATGTCTGGTTTCCTTCCTGTCAGCTTTTTCTGATTATCACTCTCACCTAAATCTGGATTTTTGATACCCTTTTCGTTTTTTCTATTCTTCCTCTCTTTTTAATCATAGGACTTTCATTTTTGTTCCGTTCTCTCCTGCTTTTGTCATACCATCCTCTAGCAAAATGGTTTCTTCTACCGTCGTCTTGAAGGAGGACCCCGATGTCGCCCTGATGAAGGCGATGCATGGGAAATCAGCCGAAGAGAAGAATGCCTTCTTCGCCATGCTCAAAAAGAACAACTCCGCCCATCGTGAGATCACAAATGAGTACGTTCGTCGATGGAAGGACGAGAAGGGAGTCGATGCCACCACCGAAGAGGCTCGAAAGGAGCGAACAACCGAATATATGGGCGTGGTTAACAAGTGAGTCTTCTTGTATTGTATTAAGTCCAGACCTTTGCTGCAGATTGCTAACCTTTTGACGCAAAATAGCTACTATGATCTAGTCACGGATTTCTATGAAGAAGCATGGGCCCAGTCGTTCCATTTCTGTCGATTCAGTCTCGGCGAGCCGTTCCTCCAGGCGCTGGCGCGCCATGAACATTATCTTGCTTATAAACTCGGCATCAAGGGTGGTGCAGAGGTTTTGGACGTGGGCTGTGGTGTGGGAGGACCTGCTCGGGAGATCGCACGGTTCACTGGGTGTCAGGTTGTGGGCGTGAACAACAACGCATATCAGATCGCTCGTGCCACGAAGTATGCAGAGAAGGCCGGCCTGTCCGATCAGGTTTCTTTCTTCAAGGGAGACTTCATGGTAAGTGTCGAAATCCGGTCACGCACGTCGCCATCACCATGACACCTCGCTGACGAAGCATATAGCATCTGGACTTCCCTCCGAACACCTTCGATTTCGTATATGCCATCGAGGCCACCGTCCACGCTCCGAGTCTGCAGAAGGTGTACGAGCAGATCTTCCGGGTCCTCAAGCCGGGCGGCCGTTTCGGTGTATACGAATGGGTCATGACGGACAGATTCGACGAGACAAACCCGGAGCACCGAGCAATTCGGTTGGGGATTGAGCGTGGAAACGGTATCGTGAACATGAAGACTCAAGCCGAGTCCATCGAGGCTATCCAGGCGGCTGGGTTTGTGATAGAGCATGAAGAGGACCTCGCTGAGCGACCGGACCCCATCCCTTGGTACTATCCGATTGCAGGCGAGTTGCGACACACGAGAAGCCTGTGGGACATGCTCACTGTTCTGCGCATGACGAAATTCGGACGAGCTGCCATGGGTCAGCTCCTGTGGACGCTGGAGACTCTGCGACTGGCGCCTGCTGGGACGTCGGAGACTGCGCAGGAGCTGGCTGATGGTGCTGATCACCTCGTGAGGGGAGGCCAATTGGGCTTGTTTACCCCGATGTATTTGATGATCGGAAAGAAGCCTGAGTTGTAGGGTGATTGGGAGATAGTCTTGTATAATATTATGATAATTAATGTAATGATTTTGACTCTATAATAGCCCTCTGGTATCTGATGAATGAATTCGTAAAAGGGTGATTGGTCCTCCCCTTTTGATGCGAAAAGTAGATGGTGGTAGAGATGATGGACCTGGCAGATGAGACGGGAAAGACAAAGACTAGATTGTGTGAACACATGGCCTAGGCTTATCATGTCATTATCCATGTGGTCTTTCAACAAATCAGGTTGTATAGTGTAATGGTTAGCACACGAGATTCTGATTCTCGTAATCCCGGTTCGATCCCGGGTACGACCTTTCTTTTTTGCTTTTTCTTTTTGCTCTCTCGGTCTGGTATGGTCCAAAGTCGTTGCTTCGTTGGTTTTCTCTTTTTTTGACTGCTCATGGATTCTGTTGTGGTGGTTTCCTGCACACACTCATTCCCGGTCCATACTCGAGATGAACACCCTCCTAGTCCATCCCACATGGGTTAGTTGTTCGTTTTTACGGGGGCAAAGATATTCGATGGGAGAGAATGGCCCGGCCGACTGGGATATATATCTGTCCGTGGTGGTATGCTGTATGGGGAGAGCACCCACGAAGACAAATGCCACCACAACACCAAGCAGCCTACAAAATCTATGCTGTAACCATGTACTATAAACACAAGCACGTACAACACAACCCAACCCAACCGATGTGCACCAAGATTAACTATAACACCCGCTTACAGACCAGAGTATATCAATGCTCTTCCAATGGAATAAACCCGGGCTTTAAACCAGCACAGCCCATAAACCCTGACTCTTCTCTCTCTCTTTTTTTCCAAGGCTAAGGGCACACGAAATTCTATCAACCAGATGCAAATTCCATCCACAAGAAAAACGCAGGCAATTCCTTCTGTCCAATAGCCACCAATGCCCTCGGTGTATTAGCAATCACCCAAGAAATCCAAAGGACCTATAACCACCGCTGCCTGAGTACTATTGGTAAACGCAACAAACATGACATAGAGGCAGTTCATGTGCCCCCCTTTCTGTAAAAACAGGCAATTCGACGATCGACCACACCAAGACCCAAGGCATAGGCAATAAACAACCAAGGGTCTTTTCCAGATGAGAAGTATACGTACAGAAGACAAATCCGCCCCCGAACACAGGGCTATCCTAGGGCCAAAGTAAGTACACGGGTGTTACATTCTGATCCTGTGTCTGCAGGAATCCATCTGATGGGTATGAGCTATACTAGGAAAACACTAAAAATCTCAACCCACACACCCCAGAAGCCACCTAGCATCCTAATCACAGACTGGGCTGGATATCACTGTACACACATGACATACATCCCTCGGTTCTATCCAACCACACCCCCCAAAACATACATATGCACAATTGCGACTCTGGTGATCCTCTCAACATTGCCTGATACCCACGAGCAGTCCATGGTCAGAATACAGCGGCCCAATATCAAATGGACTGGATCCCCCTTTCTCCTGGCGACAGGGACCGACAGCTGGATGAGGTCATGGTATTCAAGGCAGTGAAGCTCTATCCTCTAGCAAAATATGCATGTTCTTCACCCGCAGGTGTGCCTGAGAGAGAGAACCTCTAACAGTATAATCATTATAACAGGTCTACAGAAATAAAAAAAGTCCGCAAACACACAAACAAGAAATGTAAGCCACAAATGTACTAATACAGACAAACACTGGCCGCATTTACCTCAACACCGACTCCATTAACCCTAACACTAGACAAACACCCAGCCCTAAGTTCAACACTCAACACTATCAAGCAATAACACTGCCAAACCAACAACAAATGAGGCTATTGATCACCATCTCGCCTAAAATCTCATTGAATTTCAATACAAAGACATATGGAGGTTATGTATTCAAATAGCGATGCCGCTTTTCAACAATCCAAGGTTGTATAGTGTAATGGTTAGCACACGAGATTCTGATTCTCGTAATCCCGGTTCGATCCCGGGTACGACCTTTCTCTTTTTGCTTTTTTCGGGTTGTTTTTGACAGCTGTATCTATCTATGTCCTCGTCTCTGATGACTGTAAACTAGCGGAGCTGTGGTTGTCTTGACTTTCGAACACATTTGGGTGCCAGGGAGGGAGCATACAACCCTATAATCATAGGATAACGAGCACAAGTTTACAGAGAATCCAAATGGTCATGTCAGATAAGTTGATTGAAAACCTTCAGTCCAAGAAATATAGACACAGAATAAAAACAATAATGTACAAAGGTTCCTTGTTCATAAATCATAAACACTACCGGTATGATTATAATTAACAATACCGCTATGGATAAGCACCATCCAACCCCTCGTCATGTCCCTCAACACAGCCCATAGGCAATATATTTAGGATGGATGGAAACACCCGTAGGCAGTGGTGGACTGAAGTCAAGTCACCTGCAGGTCCTGACTCCGCGGAATCCAGGGACGGTGGCAGTCGAGGGTCGGAACGCGTGATGAGCTTTCTTGATAAAGGTGTCCCAAAGAGAGATTCCTCGATTCTCCGTAGTCCCTCCAATCTTTCTTCTCACTGCGATTGTTGTCTGCACATCGCGGTTCGGATCAACCACGCCCTTCCTCCTATTAAAACACACCGAGTATGTTCCCAGGCGGATTCCCAGCATGAATCAGATTGGGTCCGCCATCTCCTTCTTTTTCTATATGCCAATGCAATGGTCATTAAACAAACGTCAACCCCTTTCTAAAGCACCGCTAGCGAGTGAAGTGCATGCGAAAAGGCGCCCCAATACTTCTCCCCATGAACCCTCCAGGCGCCAAAAAAAAGTTGTGAGCGATTGACACGAATGGTGAAAAAAGTGTTAAAATAATATGTACCCGACCGAGCGAAAGAAGAAAAGAAGATAAAAAGGCTCGGTCGGTGGTCGAAAGCGAAAGACATCATTCGGAATTGGACAAAACAGTCCGCTCTGGAAGAAACCAGATAAGTGTACAAGCGAATGTCTCCAACAAGGAACCTGTGCAACTCAAGACATTAATGAAGCCGAGTGTTCGGTGTTAAAATTATTGACGGAGCTTCGAGGGGGGTTGGGCGTAAAAAATCGCTGCAATGCAGCCCAACCGGGTTCACAAAATGTATGCATGTACAATGAAAATAAAATCGAGGGGCGAATAAAAAGGATCCAAAGGCGTATCCAGGCGAGTCCAAAAAACCGGCGAAGTGCCAATCCATTAGACTGGATAGTGCCGCAGGGAAGAAAGAAGAAAGAGGCGCATTAAAAATATATGTGTCGAAATCTGCTCGATGCAATAAGAAACCCAGCATGTCGTTAAATGTGTCAACGCCGTTTCATAGATAGATGCAAATAAACAAGCGGATGCGGTATATGCAGATCACGGGCTGATGACGTGTCTTCCGGATTCGATATCAGAAGCAGGCGAGGCCAGAGTCTCGCCTTCCCAAGTATAATGGTCGTCGATGGGGCTCAGGGAACCGGACGAGATCGACGAGGAAGAACCGACCGTCCACTCATCACTGTCGAGATTATATTCGCCATCATAAGCCAGGTCGTATCCATACTCGCGGGTGGAATCGCCATATTCGACGTAGTCGTAGTCCCAACGGAACATCTTGTCGCTCTGAACGCGGGGAAGGAACCGAGTCTTCGCAAAGTAGAAAGCAATGGTGGCGATGAGACCACCGCAGACAAGGTCAACCGCGTAGTGGTGAGAAAGGTACATCGTAGCCCACCACATCCACAGAGTGTAGGTCACGAAAAGAGGCTTCAGTCGCGGGAACACGTGGCTCATGAACAAGGCAGCCAGGGTCGAGTCGGCAGCATGCAGAGACGGGAACGCGCCAAACACGACTGGCGACTGCTTGAAGCCCGAGGTGTATAGGTCGATGCCGAAGAGCTTGTCAATACGGGCAAGACCCGCCGGGTTACCCTGCATCGAATAATCGGCGGGAGCCAGGCCGTAAAGGTTCTCATACCACGGGGGTGAGCAGGGGAAGGCCAGTTGAATGGTGACAGCAAGCATGCTGATATACCCGAAAGTCCGCGCAAAAAGAGGGGTAGTTCCGGGAGGTCCGAAGACGAACATGATGAGCGAGCAGACGAAGGGAGCGCCATAGTGACAAATCCCATAAGGAAGCCACGCCAACACATCCAGCACGACGTTCTGGTGAGCAGATAGAATATTACTGATGTTGGCACCGTATAGGATGTTTTCCAAGGCCGGAAGCACACGGACCCAGATCGCAGGGCGCCAATCGCTTGGAATGAACCTGTAGGATAATAGTCAGCATCCGTTCTTTCCGCAATCAACCATGACGGGCGTCTCAGGGAGATCGGTCACTTACTGGCAAGCGTAGAAAAACACGAGCCAACCGGCAATCGGAAGAAAAGGCAGGAAGAATTGCCGAGTGATAGGAAGCAGGAGCGAGAAGAGGACCAGAGTAAACACGGCCGTTTTCGCCAACGGTCCCGGCGCTTCGATGACGCTCAACGAGAAGATTCCAACAATCAACAGCAGCAGGTATTGGAAGTCGTAGAGGGTCCAACGATGACTTTGTAGCGACCTGAGCGTGTCGACAGGCGAGAAGGAGGTTTGCAGAGAGGATATCGACGACGTGGGAGATATCCTACTCCTCAACTTGGACCGAATCTTCCGTCGCATGCGATGCGGGACCAGCAGCTGAATGGAGCGCCATGGGACCTGGATCTGAAGCTTGCCGAACTGGTTCTGCGTCCGATCCTTCCAGGAAGGAAGGGTGGTGTTCATCTTTGCGGCAAATCTGACAGGAGTCCTCCTTGTATAACCCTCGAACGTTGATCTTCTCTGGAACCGACACGCGGAGAAGCGCTAGGAATGGAAAGTCCGGAAGTCGAAGGACGTAGAGAAAGGTCCCCCCAGGCGGAGTTGGCGGAAAGGGGGGTGGTCGCTGATTCTAGGCGTCAACGTGACACTGTTGAAAGGAGGGCCTCAAAGAACGTTTCGATCGCTGGCAGGTCTACGCCAACCAAAGCCTCAACCGGCGGAGATATAAAAACAACAAGGGTTGAAGTGATATAGTTGGGAGCGCAAGCCCCGGTCTCCAGCGGCCAAACGAGGATGGTTCTTGAGGGGGGTCACGTTGCAAGGGCCTCTCTGACGCAAGGCGGCGGACAGTAAGGAGACGCGAGAACCAGGAACGAGGTCAATGGCGAAAGGGGGGCGCAAATGGCCACGGAGCCGGAGGACGGGCGGAGAGAAAGGGAAGCTGGAGGGTGAGGAGAGGAAAGTAGGTAGGGACGAGACAGGAAGAGAGGAGAGAGAAGAAGAAGAGGAGAGCGATGATGAGGATTTTTGCAGGCGCCGGGCTGGAAGCGCCAGGTGAAGAGCGACGGGGCGACGGACAGCGACGGGTACGGCTGACGGGTTGGCCGTACTCGTATTACTGGTTTGGTTCGGTCCCGGTCGGTATCGTGTCGTCACGACTAACCCGATCGGGCCTCTCCCGGCGCTGCCGCTAGTGCGTTTGGGGCAATCCTGGATTTGGCCTGGCCCTTCTTTGGGCTTAGTCAATGCCGAGGCTGCGCCGTCAAGCTCGATAGATCCGTGCCTGAAAGGTCCACGGTTGGACGCTGGCCACGGCGAAGAAATTTTCTTTCTTTCTTTCTTTTTTTTCCTGGCAGTGTTACGGATACTACGGTTCGGGGTTTCGCCCGAGGCAACCCTCCGGGCGGAGAAAGAAATGAGAGTAAAAAAAAATCTTAAGGGCCTTTTTATCTTGACGCCCCATAAGGCATAAATCAGGTTATCGTCAAATCCACGGATGCAACGGAAGTGTCGGAGGCCCGGAGGTAATCGGTGCCGAGCAGCATGAAAATGTGAAAATGTGACAAAAAGTGATGATCGGAGCAGTAGCTTCGACCGACAACAGGTTCTTGTTAGGAACTCAACTTGTCGACGGCCTCGGTGTACTCGGATTGGCAGAGAGGAGATTTTACCCCAGCAAGAGGAGAAAGAAAAAAGAAAAAAGAAAAAAGCAAAAATACCAGGGCGATACGCCCAATGATGCCCCCTTAGAAATCCAACGCAAAGTCCTTTCAATTTTCATTGACTGCAGGATCTGGCCCCTGGTGATTGGTGCAGGCCTCCCCGCCGTGCAGAGACGGTAGCCAACGGGAAGCCGAGGATCTCCAGAACCAATTTCGCTTAACCCACAACGGTTGTACAGTCAGCAGGCTCCGACCAAAGAAATCGCCGTGCTGCTGCCAAGCCCCGCTGTCCCTGAATAGTCTGGTTGGTCATAATAACTCGATCGGATCCCTTCCTCTCCTTACGGAGGTCTGTTCCATGGATGCGCATGTCAGGATACCGGCCAAAATTGTAAAAGTACGGAGTACAGCTAGGGAGCTCTGGAGCTAGAAAGGGGCTGTTTGTTTACGCTGGAGTTTCCGTTGAATAATCATTTGAACTCAGACGGCCAGAAGAATGCGCCATGTACTTCTTGTAGCCCCAAAAGACTAACGGGATTATGGAGTAGATACGTCGTCACTCGATTTCCGATCGTAAGACTCGAACTTCCTGCTCCGTCCTCCGTATATTCAAGCTCGGACAATAGCCGCAGCTAGCTACGACATAGTCCCTCATAGTCAGCCAACATCCGCCTTAGTTGGTGTCTAGCTGCCCCAACCCATCGACTATGAAAAGTCTATCCTTACCAGCCATCGCAATTCTTTCTTTGCTGTCAGCAATAACAGCAACCACACCTCTGAAACAACTGTCATCTTGGTTCGACCTCGAAACCATGCACCTGCACGAGATGATGAAACAGCATAGTTATGAAAGACATACATACCCCGGACAAGAATCCACGACACATCCTCATTATCCCTTGTGTCCCTCGGCATTAGGTAAACACTAAACAAGCTGACCTCCCATACTCCGTGCTCCGTACTTCGACACAGGAGAATGATGTGCAGGTCTAGGGGTAATAATTGGGCACGCGAAACTATGCCCGAAGAGGAAAGGGGGCGGTTAGAAATACCGTCTCGTACGGTACTGCAGACCGGCCGTACGAAACCAGCAGGAAAGAAATGGGAAGTTGATCACGGCAAGCCGCACCGGAGAGGATGATCAGTCTGCATCCGAGAGCTGCATAAACAAAAAAGGAGGGAATTGGATTGATTCTACCGGTAATTAAGCTTGGATGCAGTCCTGGCAGCTGACCGGGGCACACGTTCACCTGTTTTCCTTTCCTTTCTTTTTTTTTACTCCATCTCGAGGGCTCCTTACTTCCGTTTACGACACATGGTACTCCGTACTGAAGTTTCCGCTTTGGCCCCAACCGGTCTTCCCTTGCTATGCGACTCGACTGGTCCTGAAATTGATGACGGCTGAGATTAAAGGGATGCGAGAGTTTTGCGACCGGCCTTTTTGGTTGATTCGAACACCACGTATCCCCGGCAGGCAGTGCATACCAGTTACCTCTGTGCTCCGGTTCCCTATAACTCGTATTCGTTCAACGCATGCCATCAGCTAATAATAATCCAGACGACAAATCGACGCAGGATAATGCTGGTTGCCTGGCCTGGGTGGGTTCGCCGGGAATTATGCGAGCTTGGACCAGCGGCGCCAAGCAGGAATAACGAGAGGGTCAGTTGAGGCTTTGGAGATCACCCACCACAATTCCCTACGCGCGGAGCACGGCGTAGTAGTACTACTAAGGTTGGGCAGTGTTCTCTCGTGCCTCTTCCGAGATATTGACCGCGTTCCAATGTCCTTTGCGACCCGTCCAGGGCCCGTGAGAAATCGATTAATTAATCAATATAAATTAATTACCGAAGACGCTGGTATCGTACCGCCCGCGTCCATTGCATCATGGCCGTTGGACCGGGAACCATCAGATCGAATACATCATAGTACATCATCGACATCAGGATATCCGTGGATCCCAAAGTTGAGCGTCTTGTTCGGGAGAGCTACAGGCGTGAAATCGGCTGATACGACTGTCCCCTCCTGCCTTTCTGTCCGTGGCTGACCGACTCCCTGCATCAGGTGATGTTAGCCGCCCGCACCCTCGAATGGCGAGTCAGTCCGAATCCTGCATGAGGTCATCCTGCAGCCCTTCATCACGCCCGTTTGGTCTAGATTGGTCAACTCGGCTTCAATCGCGATGATTCATGCCGGTGTCTCAATCCATGACAACCTGTTCTACCGTGCTCCTGTCCTTGTCCCGGACAGAGTTTGCGAATTCACCCTCATTGAGTTTGCCTTTGGCTCCGCACAATTGGGTTTCCAGACAACACTGTCCACACATTACCAGGACTCCTTCCTGCACATCCTGCAGTCGGCATCCTATGCAAGTGGCAGACCGGATCTCATTGGTCTCGAGTGATCGATCGGCGAGAACCATCAACGGTTAGATAACAACTCCGCAGATAGGACCTGTCCTGCCCTTCCCCAGGTATGCCACCCAAGCTGATCACGATGTAACTTGTGTGTGTATGTCGAGTCTCATGTACCTGTTTCATACCCTTACACAAGGGAAACCTCGGATGTCCGGGACTAAATCACAGTGATTTGTTTCGCTTGCGGGACGTCACACGAGGCAAGGTACCTTGCAAAGTGGCCCATGCGTTGTCAACAACCGTGTCCAGGGTCTTGAGCAAACGAGGACCACGGTTTTCAAAGCGACCGATTGTCTCAGAAGGCATATGCGACCAAAAATGCAACACAGACCTTTCTGGTCAGGTATGCAAGCGGGGATATCTCCAAGACCCAGCTTGCTATATTCCTGCTATACTCCGTATTTTCCTTTATGTAGGAAAACAGGCTGCTGAATCAGCAATCATGGCAACGTGGGTGAGTGGTTAAGCCGTAAGACTCGAATTAATTCGACGATATCTTATCCCTTCGGGGTCGCAAGTTCGAATCTTGTCGTTGTCGATTTCTCGCTAGATTTTTTGCCTTTTCATGTTTATCATGGAGTCTTTTTGGACAGATATCGCATTATTACTGCGGTTCCGTAGGCAGAACACGGAGATGCGTATGATATTCGTGGTGCAGACGCGATCAACACCAGAGTATAGGTAATATAGACTACGTAGTAGTAAACCCATATATACCATGCTATCCATCGACATAACCAACCTGTTTCCGTCAACAAAACCCCGTCCTTAGAATCCTAAACGAACCCGTACCATGCGTACAGTAAACCGCAATACGACCGCCATCCCTGCCGTGCTCAATACGAATACATACCTTCTTACCAGGACACCAAGCCTCCTCTCCTCAAAAATAGGGCGAAGCACATTACCTACGAACCTCTCCACATAACTGGCGCACCTGAAACGACAAGGCATTCATTCCAATTTCCAACCTAGTAGGTGTCCGGCGGCAATAACACACAACACAATGAGGCGCCGCGGCTGCGCTGCCCGTGGCAGTGCCGTGCCCCTTGCCAATCAATGCCAAGTAGCTCCGGCTCCGAGAAATCCTTCCGCCTAACAGTACCAGCCCTGAGCAGCGCCTGTGGTATTATTATCCATTATTATTACGATTACGAAGGAGAGAGACTAAACGGCGCCAAATGAAATGAGATCATCGCTCCCTGGAGAATGGCCAGTCCCACGGTTCTGGGCCCCGGGTGGGTAATTAATCCTATCAAGGGCGGGCGGCTACGTAGGGGTTGATTTAAGAATTGGGGCGCGGCGCGCGTGGAATGTGGCTTGGACATTCCTCGTCCCTGTCTTGGGTGATGGATACGTACTCCGTAAGTTGGGTGTGGATTTTGGGGTGTTCGTGAGGCTTCTCGCGGCTTTCTCTGGAGAACGAGTGGAATAGGAACGGGGATATGTTGATGCCTATAGTTGGCGGTGACGGATGGGCGGTGTTTGTTCTATTTTGGTATGTTGGGAGGTTTTGCGACCTAGGAGTATTGTATGTACGAACTTTACGGCGTAGGTAGCATTTGTGACTGAAGTCAATGAGAACTTATGAACAGATCATTTTTATTCTAGACGAAGGATGGGTAGATGCTAGCGCGCACTGATATGGTTAAGACAGAGAGAGGGTGTGTAGAGTACATGTGAGGGGTCGTAATTTGCTCAAACTGTCCTTGCATTTGATCGGACGGCTTGATTGGATTGAATAAGGACAATAGGCTAAATCCAAGAATGTTAGCATTGAAGATGTGTAGGGGCTTCCCAGGGTCTTGACCATGCTGTGTTCTGTGGTAATCTACGCGGTGTTCGGCCAAGGCTAGAGCTACAACGACACACCAGGACCAAGAATCCCACAAAGCCTCATCGTACCCAGATAATTCCACGGTCTAGAATCGATGAGCGCATGCGAAAAGATACATATGACCAGTGTTCTCCGCGGATGCCTCCGTCCACGGAAAACGGCAGTCTATAGAAAGAATCCCCGCATTGGGAACGGGTGCAACCCTAAAGTTACCATGCGGCATCATGTAACGTACGTCATTGATAGCGAGTCGGACAGTTGGTTTCTCGACCCTGGAATCCCTCCACCGGCGCATTGCCCAAACCGGTGAATACTTGCATCTCGACCATGCCATGTCTCAGTTTATAACACCAGAACCAGCGCGTTTACTCTCGGGAGGGGCTGCAAGTAAACCAGGTCTATGATGGTGTATATTCTTTCCAGCTCTAAACGGAACTCCTATCAGACAGCCGACGCATCGACAGACCCTGACCTGCCAAGATTGATTTCTCTTGGAAAGCTTGATCTACTGTACGCAGTATAGCAAACATGAGCATCCGACATAAGTCCGCCTCAATTGTGTCGATGGACATCATTCTTCCGTCGGGATTATTATCCCAGACAGATGCTGCCGATCTGCTGGCTTCCCCGCTTCAACTGTCCTATATCAAAGGCTGTAGGAACTCACTAGAGAGCTCGGAATATGAATAAGCCAGGACGATGAGCCAGGACGATTAATCACCATGATGATCCGTAATTTTGTACTCATGCTCTCTGCCATGACGGCCTCTGCGGAGCCGAACCATACAGCCTGTATGTGCTCAACCCTCAGACCTGCAAAGCCTCGCTTACCAGAAACAGTGGTCCAGCCCTTATACACCCCTCTCACCCTAGGCTCCATCAAGCCGCAGGGATGGCTCAAGGACCAACTCCAGCTGGGAGCCAACGGGTTGGGAGGCAATATGTTCGAGTTCTACCGCTTCGTCCATAACTCGCGATGGATTGGCGGCGAGGATGAATATTCCGGACTGGCTGAAGCTTCTCCGTATTGGTTCAACGGAGTCGTGCCCCTGGCTTTTGGACTGGATGACGATCGATTGAAGGACCAAGTCAAGTATTATCTGGATTACGTGCTTGACCACCAGCAGTCAGATGGCTGGCTCGGATTCGAGACCACGCCCCAGGAGCGAGGTCTCTGGGGAAGATGCCTACTCTTGCTGGGATTGATTGTCAGTATAAGTCTCCAGGAACAAGGGATAGAACTGACCTCCACAGCAATATGCGGAAGCCGATCCTACCCAGACGGAGAGAATTGTCGACGCCATGCATCGGTACGTTCGGATAGCACACAGTATGCTGCAGAACAATTTCACCGGGTTGATCCAGCACCCTGGTGATACCTTCGATGCATCGGGGTTTGGCGCCGGGCGAACACACGAGCTGCATATTCCCCTGCAGTGGCTGTATGAGAAGTATCCTCGGAACCAGTCCCAGCTGCTCTGGGACACGATGGATCTCATGATTGCCGGCGGCATCAAGGCCGAAGCCGACTGGAGGACGTTCTGGGTGCCGGATGCCTATCCTAAAGTGCTGGAGGGCGATGACTGGGACATGAGCTGGGTGTTTATCCATGGCGTGAACATGGCGCAAGGCAAGAGGATTATATTCCATCCTAGGATCATTTCCAACTGACGAAAGTTAGGTCTGCGATACCCCCTAGCTGTCTACCGCAATACCCACGAGGAGAAGTTGAAAAGCCAGACGCGCACGGCGTTGGATCTCTTGTCAAAATATCACACGTCGCTGGCTGGAGCAATCATCGCCGATGAGTACATCACCGACTTGAGCCCTACCAAAGGCTCGGAGCTCTGCATTGCCGCCGAGATGATGTTTTCGCTGAACTGGATCTACCAGTATCTTGGAGACAACGACGTCGCCGACTGGGCTGAACTGGTGGCATTCAACGCTCTCCCAGCCGCCATCTCGCCGGACTGGTGGGCGCATCAGTATGTCCAGCAGGAGAACCAGCCCTTTTCCCGTCCCCTGGACCCTGATGTATGGACCATCAACGGGCCTCGTGCCAACATCTTTGGTCTCGAGCCTGAATATGTAAGAACACCTCCCAATCCACCATACACGCCATCTAACACCATCAGCCCTGCTGTCTGGTAAACCACCCCCAAGCATATCCCAAATTCCTCGCCAACCAGTTCGTCCGCACCGCCGACGGCCTCGCACAAATCTATCTCACCCCAGGAACGGTATCGACCACCCTCAAGAACAACAACCACGTCTCCATCTCTGTCGACACGCAGTACCCCTTCGCCTTCAACTGGACCTACACCATCACCAGCTCGCACGCCTTTCCATTCTCCATCCGCATCCCCTCCTGGGCCAGCTCAGCCAGCCGCATCCAAATCAACCAGGACGAGGCCACCCGTCTCGCCCCCTCTGCCCAAGGCCTGCACACGGTCTCCATCCCCGCCAGCTCCAACTCCGTCCCGACCACCCTCACCCTCACACTAGACACCACGCCCCGCGTCGTCTCCCTCCCCAACAACACCGCCGCCATCTACTACGGCCCGCTGCTCTTCGCCCTCGCCGTCTCCAACTCCCCCACCAAATCCCCACCCCTCGACTACACCAACATCACCACCGAGCTGCCCGACTCCACCACCTCCCCCGGCCACACCTTTGACATCACCCTGCACCCCACCTCGCCGTGGAACGTCGCCATCGACCCCTCGCAGATCGAGATCGTCGCGAAATCCGTCGATCGTCTGCAGAACCCCATCTGGGATCTCGGCGCCCCGCCCATCGAGCTGCGCGTCGCTGCCGTCGAGATCGATTGGCCCCTGAAGTACGGCACGGCGGACGAGCCGCCTGTCAATGTCAGCACGAAGGGGGACCCGTTCAGCGCGAGGTTTGTGCCGTATGCGAGTGCCAAGTTGCATATGGCGCACTTGCCGGTGGTGGAGTTGGAGAAGGTGGATTTGAAGGGTCGGAGTGGTCGGGTTTGATCGATCCCCTGTCTTATCTTTATGATGATGATGGATCTTGAGGGGAGTAGGTGTTAGGTTAGGTACGGAGTATATAGTAAGGTGCTGTTGTTGCTGTTGCTGTTGGTATATATAGGATCGTATAATGATGTACCGGAATGATAATCGCATGTGCATGTACACCAATGTACACCACTCTGTTCATCTGATTTCGTAACCAATTCCAAGCATTCCAAACCTCGCTCGTCTCGCCATGCTGTTTATCCTTTTTTTTTGTTGTATGTGTATCATGCAAATCCCCCTACGAATTCGTCGCCAACATCTGAAACCCCTTGACCAACCCCATGGCCGACCCGGCCGCAATCCCACCCACCAGGACCATCTGCACGCCGCCGACCATCCCACCGCGCACATTCCTCTTCCCCTTCCACCCGCTCACGAAGCACGTCTTGCCGTACCCGAACACGAACAGCGCCACGACCATAGTAGCGATGGACCACCGCAGCGCGACGAAGGCCTCGGTCGGCCCGACGAAGAAATACGGCACCAGCGGCACGAACCCGCCGATGAAGTAGCCCAGGGCGATGGTGAGGGCGCAGACAAAGGCGCGCGACCCCGACGGCTCGGGCATCGTGTGGTGGAAGTTCATGAGGAAGGACGGTAGCATGGGGGAGGTCGAGAGGTGCGTTGTGAGCTCGGAGACGAGGTGTGGTGGGAGGTCGTAGGGCGCGAAGATGTCGGCGATGGTGTCTGAAGTGGAGGATGGGTTCGTCATGGTTTCGGTTTCGGTTTCTTTGTAGGTCGCGTGGTAGGATTGTCTGTGGGGTGGGGGTGTTAGTATGGTGGTTATCTGGGGGTTGATTCTCTCTCTCCATCTCTTTTTCTCTCTCTGGAATAGGGACAAGGAAGAACTCACTCTTCACTCTTCGCACCTAAATATCCTCCCAATCCCATCGAGATCGCACCCGCGATCAGCTCCGCCAGTCCGCCAAAGACCACCACCTTGGTGTCGCCGAGCGCGGAGAGACCTGCCGTGAGAGCAAACGGCACCGTCATGCCGTCGGACAGCCCGATGATGGCATCGGAGACGGTCCGGCCGTCAAAGAACCGCGACTCTTTCTTCTCCGACAGGCTGGATTTCGACTGGCCGGAGCTGGACTCGACGTCGCTGGAGTCATGTTGTAGGGGGAGCTGGTACTCTTTTTCGAGGTCGGGGGAGTATTCGGAGATGGGCGAGTAGCTGGACAGGAGGCCCTTGAGGGAGGAGATGGACATTTTGAGGGGGAGTAGGGTATAGACTGGGAGAGGGAGATGAGAAGGTCGGTCAGTCGGGAGATGAGGAGGGAGGCTGGTCTTTCAGATTGAACTGGACGGTGAGGGTATGCAATACACATGCAATAAATAGTATGGACAAAGCCGGCGACTCCACCCTGTCAGGTCAAGAACACGGAACCGAGTCTGATCGTGCTGGAAGAACAAAAAGCAGTCTTCTTCAAGAGTCAATCAGATCGTCGAGACGCACCACAGGACCATCGCGTGCGCCTTATCAGGTGGCCTATGGAGGCAAAATGACCAGCAACGTGCCGGAGGGGCTGGCGGTCATCTGCTGCGGAGGAGGGGAAGGTACCGGCACGTGGGCCTGTGATTGGTCACGACTCGGGAATAAAGACCCACTCCGGGTGGAGTCCCTGAAAGCTTGGGCAGCTCGGACCAGGACGCTAGGCCCGTCTGGGACGAGGCGTGGGTGCTGGCATGTCTCCGGACTCCAATCAGACTCACCCAGATTATACCCGGATGATCTGGCTGGCCGAGAGAGGGGTTGGGGGGACCCGCTGCTGCACATTTCCAGTGTGATTGGACTGCGCCCTTGCATTCCTGCAGTACATTTCTGTTTGTGGTCTTGGAGCAGGAGCGGCAAAGGGGAGAGATGGGATCTGCCGGTGGCTTGACCGATTCTTCAGTCTCTGCCGATGATTCTCTCGGTTACAATGATTCTTCTGCTATCTGCTTGATAGGGCTTCGGCTCCATCTATGGCATCCGATATTCGATGCAGCTGAATCGCTCGGAGGTCTCCTATCACCACTCCTACCATGTCCATTGAACCGATCAGTAGGGATTCCTCACACGACCCCGGAGTACTCCGAGTCCGCCCTGCAATGGTGTCTCACGAGGCTGGTATTCAACCCACGCGCGATGAGCATCATTGGTCTTGTCTATCATCCGCAGATTCGACGATATCTCGATCCCTGCCCTTCACATTTCTTGGCGGAGTGGATCTCGCTGGAATGTCATCGGAGACGCGACGAGATACCGATCGATCACGATCACGGAGGGGTGGAATGGAAATAAATATGGCCCTGTCGACGAGGGCAAGTCAAGGAGATCGTAAAAAGCTAAGACGACTGGGACATCATCATGAAATCGAATGCCATTCTATTATCCGCGCTGGTCGCGTCCGCCTCAGCACTCCCTCACAAACAGCAAGATGAAGTCTGGAAAAATCTCCGATCCAATGTCGGTACACTCTCTGGCCAGCACCCCGACGTAAAAACCATTGACCAAATCAGATCAAGCACGTCGTCTACCTCATGATGGAGAACCACTCCTTCGACAACATCGCCGGATACTGGGACTTCCACCCGGATATCGACAACCTGCGCAACGTCACCTACTGCAACGAATACACCAACCCCAACTGGACGGTATGGGACGAGCCCCTTGACATCTGCGCCGGGCCCTTCGAGACCGAGGTGCCGCTCGCCGACCCGGACCACGAATTCGCCGGCGTCACCTACCAGATCTATCGGAAGTGGGATGTCACGAACGACGACGTCCCCAACATGGCAGGGTTCATTGAGCGACAGTCGGAGAAGTATAGCGCCACGCCCGGGGAGGCCTCGTTCGTCATCAAGGCGTACAATGAGAAGAAGTCGGAGACGCTGGCGGAGCTTGCGAAGAATTTCGCCTTCTGGGATTCCTACGTAAGGTTCAGCTGGATGGCATCCGACTGACAATTGGCTGACGGGACCAGTTCGCGGAGCACCCCGGGCCTACGAACCCAAATCGACAGTTTGCGACCTCGGGTTCGACCTGTGGGCACCTGGATAATAATAACCAAGCCGCCGGGTTCTATAACAATGTCACTGGGACGACGTGCGCAACTTCGATCTTTGAGTCATTGAGCAATAGGGGGATTAGCTGGAAGAACGTAAGAAGATTCTTACTCTCGGGCGTACTTGTACCTGGATACTCACATTGCCTCAGTACTATGAAACAGACATCGTCGACGGATGGATGTACAAGGTCAGCAGCTCCTCTTATAAGCTGAATACCGCTAATCGGATACAGTGGGTTCAAGACAACGCCGTGGACCGCCTCGCCCACGCCAGTGACTTCTACCAGGACTTAGAAGAGGGAACCCTGCCCACCTTCTCCTACATCAACCCAGAATGCTGCACCATTGACTCCATGCACCCGAAGAGCAACATGGCGGCAGGGGAGCAGCTAATCAAGCACGTCTACGACGCGGTGCGGAAGTCCAAGTACTGGGATAATGTGTAAGTCAGGCATCACCCTTGTGGAGGAAACAAGCACTGATCAAGTAGCTTGATCATCATCAACTTTGACGAACACGGCGGCTTCGCAGACCATGTTCCGCCGCCGGCGAACGTCCCTCGACCTGACGATCAGATCATGTTCGAAGGGGAGTCGGAGGGCCACTACATCAGTTATGATTTCACTCGTCTTGGTGTCCGGTGAGTCCTTTCCTTTCCTTTCCTATCTGGTCTCTTAAGAACCGAAAGCAAATCAGAGCTAGTCAGCGCAAACTAACAAAACCAGCGTCCCTGCCTTCCTAATCTCCCCCTACATCGAGCCCAACACGCTCATCCACGACCAAGGCACCATGTACGCCGAGGACTCGGCCTACACGCACAGCTCCATCCTGCACTTCCTGCAGGAGCTCTGGGGCCTGGAGGGGCTGAACAATCGCGTGCAGTGGGCCAAGACGTTCGAGCATGTATTCTCGAGCAAGAAACGCAGCGATACACCGAAGAGCCTGACGACGCCGGTGTGGTACGGGGGAAGCTGGGAGCCGAAGCCGGAGCCGTTCTATCTGTTGAATCAGGACGAGAGTTATTACGCGAATCTGTGATTGGATAGTGTTTATGGCTGGTACGGTATAGATTATAGATCTACAGATAGACGCGGGATGGCAGATAGAAGATATACGAAAAAGAAATAAATCATTTGAGGTATCATTAACATCGAATCAAATGACATCGTCAGTCAGAATCACGTCAACTGGATAGCACCGGTATCACCTGGACTCGGTAGTGTAGTCGCAGGGAAGGAATCGGACTCGAGCCCATGACTCTGCGAGGATAACACATCAGCACACGACCAAACACACACCCACAGCCACAGAGAGAGATAGAAGAACTCACCACTTCCGCTTCTCCGCCTCATCCGCCGACCCGGTCATATTCCACAACCGACTCTTGTACGCCGGAAACGACGTGTGATTCCACATATTGACCAGCACGCTGTCCTGCGATTAGCCCGAATCCCGAAAAAAGAAGAGATCGCCACTCCACAAACCTCTGACTCCGATCCTTATACTCCTCGTCCTTCAGCTCCTTCACGCCGACCTTCATGCCGTCGCGCGTCCAGACGACGTTCTTCTTCTCCATCTTCGACCGCGTCGTGCGCGTGACTTCCTGCGCGATGCTCCACGCAATGTAGCCGATCACGGCCAGGACGGAGACCACGACGAGGAGGATGACGAGGGGGATGATGCGGGCGCCCATGGTGGTTTGATGAGGATCGTTTCGGTTCGTGGGTTGGGTGTTGGTAAAATTCGAGGAGGTCCGATCTGGAATGGAGTTCTTCAGACTAAATCAAAAGGATCATTTGTTAGTCGCTAGTGCTATACTCTGGGTTGTTATAACGGTGACTCGCGTGTAGGGCTGACAAGCGGAGCCGATCGCGATCAGACCCGACAAGAACCGGTTCGTGTGTCGTTCGCGTTGGGGAAAGGGATGGCCTACCTCTGAGAGTTGTTCACGTCGAAAAGAGAGGTGTCAGGAACACAGGATTCACTGGGAAAGAAGAGCGCAGGAAGATGGGAAAAGGGGCAATTAAATCGGCGACAGGAGGGGAGGAGAAAAGGGCCCCAAGTGGTCATCCGGTTTTTGGTTCATCGCATCGCCAAGGATTGCGGGCCGAAATGTTGGTGCCTGCGGTTCTTGGGCGTTTTGGTAGGGGGTTTACTGGAGTGCATTGCATTTATTATTAGCATTCTTCTTGTGCATTCTTATGAGATCAGACGGGCTGGTTTCGGGAGGATAAACCTGCAGGACCAAGCCACTTCCCATTGGACTGATGCAGCGTTGAAGGGGCGGTGCCGTCAGCACTAGACGGGGCGATGTGTGACTCCGGATGTAGGAACAAACAATCTTGACTCTGGAGATGATTAATAAACGGATGACAGTGAGTTAGTCTAGACGACTGGTCCTGAATCTCCGAGGTATATGCTCATGTCGACGTCAGAAGATAGATCACGAAGGAAGAATAAGATTCATGAACAATTTTCTGTTCCAACCATAGTTCGACGAAGCCACAACCCTATTCCAACCATGTCTTTGTCTCACCAGATCCACGAATGATTTTCCCTTCTGTCTTCCTCGATGATGACGAGCATATGGCGGTGTGGTTTAGATATCACAGCAGGGACAGGGAAGACAGAACCGTCCAGGATGAACCGTTGCACGAAACCATGCCACGTCTTCGCGTTCATGGATGGCCTGGCATGATATTTAAGAATGGCAGGACCGGGAACCTCGAGGACTGCGCTGGCCAAACGCATGAGAGATGTTCGAAATGGACTCGATGCTGGGAGCGGTCTTCGGGGCTGGTGTTCTTCTGGTGCTGGGTTCAGTCTGGCAGATGAACAAGCCCAAGTCCTCGGTCTGTCTACTGGAAACCCAAAGTCAAGACATGACTAACTCCTTCGTACTTCGTATAGACTGCCAAATACCCTGATCCCCCAATCATCCCCTTTAGTGTATGCAGTCCCCTTCTCCCTCGGTCATCAGGGTTGTCGGACATCGTCTAATCGATTGACGGCAGAGAGACGAGATCTTCCGGAATCCCCATGAATGCTTCGAGTATGGATTCCGACATTATGGACATGTGTTTCGGTATCGTGGTAATGGACGCGTGAGCTGTTCTCCATTGACGATCTAACTGGTGTCTTGCTCATAAGCGCTCAGATCCAGTACATGGTCTCGAAGGAGCTGACCGAACGAGTCTTGACGGAGGATGCTACGTTCAGCTTTGAATTGGGTCTTGCCCAGGTATTGCCGTTCTACTTGTCTCGATCGACCAAACTGACGGAATTGGAGGCCCTCAAACTGAGCATTGTCTACGCCCTCCACGGCGGCACATTCTATTCCGACGTCGATGCCATCGTCACCGAAGTCGCAGTCAAACGTTTGAAAACGATCATTCCGAAAAGTAAGTGAATACAGCCATTATAGGGCTTAAGTGAGTGCAACCCATACTAACCACGACCAGTATCCCCCGTCTTCCAACGCAACGCCGCAGAATTGATCCGGATCCACGGAGATCAGCCCTTCGATCCGCTTCCGTATCTCCAGAAGACAGTCGCCGAGGCTATTGCCATCATCATATTTGGAAATGTACGACCGGACCTATCAGAAATTCACCGACTCGCTAACTGGCTAATAGGAGATCGCCCAGGCTTGCAACCCCGACCTCATCATCGATATTGCCGAGGGCGTGGCCAAGGCGACGGGCATGTTCCAGAATCAGTCGAGCTGGGGGAAGAGGTTTCCGACTCTGTATTCTATCTGTAGTTGGTGAGTGTCTCTAACATGCATTTATAATGCTGGCTTAACAAGTCTCCCGGTTGGATAGGGTCGAGCTCATTCTCTTCCATCTGATCTGGCGGTTCGGCAGACACATAGGTTGGACAGTCTGGACTGCGCTTTCGGAGTTATCCAAGAGTCCTGAAGGCGGCAAAGGTACAGACGAAGCAGACGTGAGCCCAGCCATCTATGACTGATGCAATCCGCCTCATCTGACTCCCTCAGTCCACCGTCCTCGTGATTCTTGCTCGCAAACTAGCCACCAGACCCGGCCACCTCTCCATCTCATCCAAGCTCTGGGCCGTCGTCCTATCCCTGGCGTTCATATTTGCATCGGTGCATCAAACGTCAGTACACACCTTCCCTCCCGCTTCTTCATTCCACAGTCAGCTAACCACTCCTGATATATCTAGAGTAGTCATAATGACCTACGTCGTCTTCGAACTCGCCCGGCACCCCGAATGCCAGGAGCTCATCCTCACCGATCTCTCTCGTTCCACGACACCCAGCCCAGACTCGACATCTACATCCCTGCTACTAACCAGCGAGTCCCTCCGCGACGCCACCCACGCCGAGTCCTTCACCCGCGAGGTCCTTCGCATGAAAGGCGAAGCCATCACCACCGCGCGCAGCCCGCGCTCCGACATGGAACTCGGGGGGTATTTTATCCCGAGGGGTAGGAAGCCTGCTATCCATATTCTATCCCGTCGCGGATCGCTGCATGGTCGACCCGCTAAATACAAGAGTAATCAAATAGGCTGCCTCCTCCACCCCATGGTCTACACCTCCAACCGATCCTCCGAGCACGCCACCAACCCGCATACCTTTGACGGTATGCGCTGGGTCCAAAGCCGCAAGCTGGCGACGACTACCGGGCCAGGCCATTTGTCGTTTGGTCTGGGTCGGTGGGCTTGTCCGGGGCGGTTTTTGGCTGTTTCCGGTGAGTTCCTTTCTTTTTCTTCAACTTGTTGATCTTCGCTTTTGGTTTGAGTTCCATTCCCTTTCTGCCATGGGCAATGGGTCTGATGGTGGGTATAACCTGCTACAGAGCGGTCTCACTAACTGGGCTATACCCAGAAATCAAACTCGTCATCCTGACTCTTCTTGCGCAGGCCGAGCTAGAACTGGTCGATGGGGAGTTTGAGTTGGCGGAGAAATTGAATATCGTGGGGACGCCGCCAAGGGGGAGGATCGTGATGAGGAAGAGACTTGACTGATTGATGGGCTGCATCTGTAGTGGTGAATGAATTATTATATCTGGTTTAGTTTGACCTGGTTCTTTAATTCTAATCTGGTTTCGAGGGTAGCTAGCTGGTAAGGTCGGTCGAGGGGAGACAGTTGTTTGGAAAAAGGATCTATCTAAATTGACAGAATTTCCCATCTCTTATGCATCTCAAACAAATCCATAAGTAAATCTACTCGCATTAAAGTAAGGAAGGTTACATGCATTGCATCCATCGACACCGCAACAACCCGCACCGCACCTGTCGTCATCATGAATCATAGGCAAGCCAGTTCACCTGCAATCCAGTCTCGTTCTCTTTTAAAGCAAAGCAAACCACCCAACCGGACTTCAGCGCCCTCGAAGAGAATCCAATTATAGAACCCGGGAAAATGTGCGACGTCCCCTTTTTACCCATCTTCCCGCTCTGCTTCCAATGCGGCACAGACCAGAACCCGTGTCGGTGTAAAGTCGTCGGTCCGACGCTCGGTAGGGCTCTCTCTTCTTTTCTTTTTTTCCTGTTCTTGATGTTGATAGTAAGGATTTTCGAGGAATTGTGTATGGCTAATGGTTGATCGGATCGGATCGGATCTGTATAGGATTCTGCGTGACGGTCGTGGCTGCGGTATGTCTTTCTTTCTTCCTCCCATTCTATTCGCTCCCGTCGATCGACGGGGAAATATGTGCGATAATTCTCATGAGAATCTATTTACAGGTAATCTGCTATCCTGCGTCGATATTCTGCGGGTGTTGTTTGACGCAGAAAGGGAAGGAGTATGTCCCACCCCTGTTATTGGATCTATGCTGCTTTATCTTCTTGAAAATGACGCTAATATGGACTGATGTATCAGCTGTCTTGGGTATCCGGTCAAATTAAACCAGAAAGTGGCGAATTGTATTCCTATATGAGATTTGGTTCTTTGTATGTATATGGATGGGAAGATGGCGATAGATACCTACGACTACTACTAAATATTATATAACCTGATCAAGAATTATTGGTCGAATGATCACACAGACTAGGATTAACTAGCATATTAAACCATTGCTCTAACCAGGCAAAGGAATATGACAGGAACAGAAAAGGTATAGTGAAAACCCACAACGCGAGAACAGCAGACAGAAACAGAATCAAAACAAAAAGGTATCCAGATCAGCCAGACGCGACAGAAAACAAGCGTTCCACCCCTCGCGAATTATTCAGTCTCGGCCTCAATGTGCACATCACTTCATCGACGGCTCATGAACAATCTATTTCAACTTCTCCTTGAGCTTGTGGAAAAATCCACTCGCGCGATTCCGCTTCTTCTTTTCTTCCTTGCCGGTACCGTTCTTGTCGGCGTCCTTGGAGCCGTTCTCGGTCCCCTTGGAAGCATTCTCGGTGGTCTTGTTGTTGGCGGCGGCTGCGGTGTCTTTGGCGTCGCCCTTGGCTTGGTCGGCTGGGGTGGCGGGCAAATCCTTGTTCTGTTCCTGTGCACCCGGTCCCTGCTCCTTGGGAATGGCCGTTTCCTCGGGCCCCGTGGTCACCGTGGGCTCTTCGGTCGTCGGGGTGGTGGCGCGAGGAGACAGCTGAGTCGTGTCGACTGGCGGCCCCGTAGCCGCGGGGGGTTGCTCTGTAGCCGCCGAAGCTCTGTGCGCCTGGTCCGCCGTGGCTCCGGGAGCCTTGTCCGACGTCGCGGCAGTGACAGTGGGCGCGGGAGCTCCGCTCGACTCCTCGAGGGGAACCTTCTTCTGCAGCTCACTCTCCAAGTCTTTCTTCTCGTCGACGGCCGGCTTGCTGGTGGCAGCCTCGGGAGACTGGTGAGCTTCGGAGAGGGAGCTTTTCACCACGTCGGGCACCTCGCTCACAGGCGATCCCACTCCGCCGTTGGCCTGATTCCTCTGAGACTCGAGAGGCACACCGGCAGCGAGACCGGCAGTAGTAGACGTAGGAGCTGCCGACTGGATCGTGACGGGATCGGAGGCGCCCTGACTGCCTTCGCCCATGGGGAGGCTCGACTCGGGAATAAGGTTTTTCGATGTCGGAGGAGCGGCGGCCGCCGTGGTCTCGCCAGTTCCCCTGGCCTGACCACCCGTCAAGGAATGGCTGGCATCTTGCTCGTACCCCGCCTGATCCGTCCGGGCAGTGGACTGGATCGTGTTGGAGTTGAACGTGCTGGGATCCGGGACCTTCTCGCCGGGTTTCAACGAGATGGGGTTGCCCGTGCCGCTCGAGGCGGGGATAGGGTTGACAGAAACGTTGTCGAGGCCGGGGGTCGCAGGGAAAGTGCCCGGCACGTTGGCTCTTTGTTCGAAGGGAGCGTTCTTGGCCAGGTCGGCAGTGGTCGACCCTGGAGCCGCCGACGAGATGGCGGCATTGCCAACGGCGTTCTTGCCGGAATCTTTGGGCACTCCACCTGCCAGGGCAGCGGTGGTGGAGTCAGGCGTCACTCCGGACATGGCTGCAGCACCGTTCTGGAGGATTGGTTTGGATTCTTCGTGGATCTGATCGGGATAGAGGACGTTGTTGATATTGTTACTACCGTCGTCTTCCTCGGGGGCAGTTGTATCGGTAGTCCAAGTGCCGTCCACAACAAACTGAAAACAAGTAGAGACAGACAAGAGAGTTAGTGAACAGACTTTCCAGACCAACGCTGACGTGACGACTTATAAAGGGAACGCAAGAGTGGGGGGGACGAGGGAAGGGAAGGGAAGGGAAGAGACGGCCGATGGCATGACGTCAGCGGAGGCCCTCTCAGCGATCCGCGTCATTGACGGCTGGTTTCCCGTTTTCTTTCTCAAGAAAAAGAAAGAGGCAGTGCGAGAGCCGTCGATGCTTGTCAGATCGTCCGGCCATGTCGTAAACGTGCTTCGTGCCCTTACCTTGTAGTGCAGCTTCTCCTCCGTCGGCGACAATTGCACCTCCTTCTCGAAAACGTCGCCTTTCTTGTCCAGCCGGATCGTCTTCCCCCAGTCATCGAAGGTCCCCGTCACGTAGACCTCGGTCGCATTGTGAGGCCTAATTGCGACCCATGTCGCATCAGTCAGCGATCAAATTAAGCAGATAGGCGGAGGGTAATGGTCTGGCCTCGTCCGATCTGGGCTCGTTCGCAAGGAACGGAAGACGGCGGATACAATGGCATTGAGGTCCGGATAGGAAGGAGAGCGAATGCTCTGATTGGAGATCCGATGCAGCGAGGGATGGGATTCTGGTAGCCTGAACTTACCAGCGAAACGTGTAACTCCCCATCGCTATGTTGGACAGGAGTGTGAGGAATGGGAAGATGGGGTGATGTGTAGAGAAGAACGCCCTTTTTTCTCCCTTCCTTTCTTTCGGAAATCCAGGCGGAAGTCCGTCCTTGAGAAGAACGAGAGGCTGGGAGGTGAAGCGTCAGGGTTGCGCTGTTAGTGTTGGCAGCAAAGCGGGGGTTGTGGCGGCCTCCTTCGTTTCTCTTTCTTCTCTGCGGTCTTCCGGTCGGCTTCTTTGACAGACACGCCAGAGACGGAGAAAAACGACCACAAGAAAAGAGGAGGGGTAGGTTCGATTTTCTTCTTCCTGCCACCGGAGAATAAATCGATCCCCAGCACATTCCCCATGGCGGCATTCCGACCGAAAGCGTTATCGATGCAAATCCTGGCCGGCAAAGGCGCTGAGCTGAGACCGCCGGCAGGAATCTAGACGCTGCCAGCGAACTATCTTGTACAACTCATCAGGGGCTAGTCCAATGATGGACTGGCTTCGCAGGCGTTTCATCACCGGGACGTGATGCTTTTCTTTGAGAGGTCGCTGGCGGTACCTGCAGTGACGCCAATGCCGACGCAATACGAGGCGAGGGCTGTAGTCCGGGCGAGACTACTGGAGTATAACACTCCCCGGTGTACATCTCCATGTCCGGAGTCTCTTATTTACTCCGAAGTCTCGGGTCTACACTCTACACTAAGGCGCCCTGCGGTCTGAATCAACGGGCGGCTACGGCACGGACCCGGCCAGCAGCCAGCGACCCAAAGAGTCCAGCTTGAGTCCAGAGCTGGTTGAAAACGGCGATCGCACCGTCAACTCTATCCATGAGGCGTCCATGGTTGCTCCTGGGAGGGTGTCGCAGTCGACTACGTCAGTCCGAGCATCATGACCTCAGCCGTATTTGCCACCGCTCCCCGATCGTTGTCTGATGCCCTCACCATTCGGACGATTGCCCCTGGATTACGCGAGAAGAAAGCCTCCATGGACCATCGCCGAAATTAATTAACGGATGGATGGGAATCTAGAAAGTCCTAGTGTCATTTGGGTCTCGTTCAGGGTGGCGCAACGTCCGGGCCCGATGGTCTTACTCTGGTCCCAGCAGCCCCTTTATGATCCTCGCGAGCTTCTAGAAAACACCTGGAAGACCGCTAGACAGATGGAAGCTTCCACACATCATCCGTTCCCGACGCCTCGTCAGAGTCCACCCGGCTCCATTTGTCGGCCCTAGAAACGGTAGCGAACGCTCCTGGACTGAATCTTACGATCTGGAACGGAGGCCACGGATTGAGGGCTTCGACTATTGACACCAGTTGAGTAGCTATTGAAGTAGTGCGTTGGTTAGCGGGGACGCCAGTGACGTCGATCCGTGCATCTGCTGTAGGAAATAGGAAGAAGGGTATGTGAAGGGTGCCAGTCTGTCTGCAAGGGTGGTGGAAAGAACCCAGCAGTCCCAAGGCGTTAGTTGGGTCGGACTAAGACTAAGAGTAAGAAGAAGTCATTCTCTCCAGAAGCTCTGGCCACAAGCTTTCCGTCACTTCCTGCTCCCCGCCTTTTCTGTCCCTCCGGACCAAGCGAGTCGATTTCTTCTCTCTTCATTTCTTCTTCTTTTTCATCTTTTTCTTCTTCTTCTTCTTCGTCGTCGTCGTCGTCTTCGCCTTCTTCGTCCTCCGCCCATAGACTTTCTCTTCTCTCCGTCTCGGTCTTTCGTCTGTCTTCGTCTGTGACAGCCTCACTCTTCCCCTTTCGCCTGACCCTCTCTGTCTCGCTTTGTTGGTCTCGTTTCCTGTCTTAAGTGTGTCGGACATTTCGTCTCATCGCCAGAATCCTGTCAGGCGACTGGTCATTCGTAAGTTGTGCCGCCCTAGTTCTGTGCTGTTACCCCTCCAAAGCTTGGCCCCGGCTGAAGCTATTGCGCGTTCCCACTCGGTCTCTGGCAACCCCCATCAATCCAAGAAGAATTTAATTTAAAAAAGGGGCAGCACGAGAGCAAAGAAAGAAGACCCTTTTATCCACCTTCGCATCCATTCTTCATCCATCATCATCACTCATCAATCACCCTTGACCCTCGTCGTGTTTTCCAGGCCGGTTCTTCTCCACTCGTTAGCGGAGACCGCCGTCCCCCCCAATAAACGCCGCCCGTCGGTTTCCCTACCCGCCCCTCTTCCTGCGTCTCTCCCTTCCTGCTCTTTTCTTGATCTGCAACTCCGTCGCACTCAAATGTCCGCTTCCCTCCTGCCTGCCTCGTGCTCTCGTGTATTTCTTCCCTCCTCCTCTTCCCCTCAGGGATCATCGCTTCTTCTCCCATTGTCTGCCCGTCCCTCGTTCTAACCCGCTCTCCCAGTCCCCTCCCGCTCTGCCCCTCCACCAGCCTCCCCTGCAACGCTCCAACAACCTCGCGTCTTCCCCGCTTCCCCGAGGCCGGAGTGCTGTTCTCTCCGGCCCTACGACAGACAGCATGGCTGAAAGTTCGTTCCCCGCGACCAACACCCGGCTCCGCGTCGGCACCAAAGACGACATGTCCGCCGCCTTTCAGAAGATCTCCGAGGAGGATGAATATGAGGTGACGTCACCAACCGACTCGACCTTTCGATCCGCAAACGCCAACCCCGCTTCTGCCTCTTCCGCCAACGACCTCTTTGGCGGCAGCGTCTTTGGCGAAGCCACTGGAAGCGGGGGCGGTGGTGCCCCGGCTGGCGGGATCCGGTTCACTAGAAGTCCCTTTGGAGGCCCCGCTGGAGACGGGGACGAGGATCAGGATTACAACGATCTCCCCGAGGGAGACCGACCGACCGGAGGCTTGAACCAGGGTTTCCCGAATAACTACGCGCTGGGCCGTCGCACGTCGGTCTCTGCCGAGTCCTTGAACCCGACGTCTGCCGGCTCCGATAGCTGGGTGCCTCCCTACCACCACAAATCCGAGGAGCAGCTGTCTCGCCTGAAGGTCGCGGTCAGCAACAACTTCCTCTTTTCGCATCTGGACGATGATCAGTTCAAGACGGTGCTGGACGCCCTGGTGGAAAAGCCCATCCCCGCCAAGGACATCAAGGTGATCTCGCAGGGCGACGCCGGTGACTATTTCTACATCGTTGAAAACGGCAACTTTGATGTCCACATCCATCCGTCGGGCTCGGTGCAACCGGGTGTGGATGGCATGGGCAGTAAAGTGGGCTCGATTGGTCCCGGAGGCTCGTTTGGAGAGCTGGCCCTCATGTATAACGCCCCTCGCGCGGCGACGATCGTGTCCATTGAGCCCAAGAGTACCTTGTGGGCCCTCGACCGCATTACCTTCCGGCGGATTCTGATGGACTCGGCTTTCCAGCGCCGTCGCATGTACGAGGCCTTCCTTGAGGAGGTTCCGCTGCTATCGAGTCTGAAGCCCTATGAACGGGCGAAGATTGCCGACGCTTTGGATGCGATCAAATTCCCCAGCGGCTCGACCATCATCACGGAGGGCGATCCGGGTGACGCGTTCTATCTTCTCGAGTCTGGCGAAGCGGATGCTTTCAAGGCCGGCATCGAGGGTCCGGTCAAATCGTACCGGCGAGGCGACTACTTCGGAGAGCTGGCTTTGCTTGACGACAAGCCTCGAGCCGCCAGTATCATCGCTACGACAGATGTCAAGGTGGCCAAACTGGGCCGCGACGGATTCAAACGTCTACTTGGTCCGGTGGAACAGATCATGAGAAGAACCGATTACGACTCAAGGCCCACATCCTCGGCCGCGTGAAATTAATGGATTGGGCGAAAAAAGAACAAAGAAAATCAATTTGAAAAAGAAGAGAAAAAAAATATTATGCTACGAGCAGACGGTGTGTATGTTTGTCATTTACCAATATCTATCTATCCCTCGGTGACTTTGCAATTGCCTTTTATGTTTTGTGCTTGTACTTTTTTTTCTATGCTACTTAAGGAGCCCAGAGGAATTGGTGAAGGGAGCATGTGGTTATTTTCTTGTTTTTCTTGTTTCTCTTTAAGATATGAAGAATCGCCGGTTGATCCCTGGCCAGGTTTATCCTACGACTTGCCTCGCGGAAATAATCTTGTCAATTTGAATTTACCCTGTTCAATGATTGATTGCCCACGGCTGTCCACTGACCATCAGTCGCCACAGTCCAAACCTTCGCCTTCATCCCTCACTCTCTCCCCTCCAATTCATCATTGATCTGATTTCCGGGTTCGGTATATAACTAGTCATGAATGGTCGTTTTCTTCTTTGTTTTCTTTTCTTTGCTTGTTTGTATGTACAACGCTGCCAGAACAGTTTTGTGACCAGCTTTTATCCTTCTTGTGCCATAGGATTATGCTTTCATCAATATAACAAGAGGTTCATTACACGCATAGCCCCCTTATGAAGTAGACCGAGGCTTAACGGTCGTCATCACCGTTCCACCACCAAATCGCTGCGCAGCACCCACTTCTCTCCAGCCAGAACCTCCTTCCCTTCGTGCAGCATGCAACTGTCACCGTGTCGGTGAAGCAGCGCCATGCCCGTCTGCGGCGCCACAGACACGGGACTCGGATTGCGATTCTCCTTGGTGGCCTCGGGGTAGAAGACGGTCTCTCCCCCCGTGCAGTTGGTCAAGTAGATCAGGAGCGTCCAGGTCGTGCGGGCCGGTTGGGCCGGACACGACGGCGACGAGAACGTGACATTGTTGAAGTCATCATCTGATGAGAACGTTAATCATATACAACTTAGAGATCGGGGATCGGGTCATCGCATGTACCCATGCACGCCCATGATTAGGGGAGGAGAACTCTTACAATGCGCGCCAAAAAACTGCCCCTTCGAGTACCGATAGATGCGGATATTGGCATTCAACCCCAGCGGCTTCCCACCCCAGATCTCCTGCGGACTTCTCCTGGCCTTCTCGTTCCCATCGTCGTCCTCCTCGTCCTCGTCCTCGTCCTCCTCCCCCGCCCTCTCCACCACCAACTCCCGCAGCGCCGTATCCCGCCACACCATCTCGGCAAAGGTCTCGTCCTGCACCTGGAACCGATCATTCACGCGCACCGCTTCGTCCTTCTTGGGCTTCTTGGGCGTCGTGAGCATCGGCAGCGAGGCCAGGAATGACACGTAGGTTTTGCATAGCGAGGCGGGGAAGAAGTTCGGGATCAGGTAGATTTGATCGCGGAGGAGGGGGGTCAGGGAGAGATCTGAGGGGGGGACTAGAGGGCGCAGAGGCGGCCAGTTGGGTTTTGGGGATTGGGATTGCGATTGGGGGGGAGGTTTGGAGGGGAGGTCTTTTTTGTTGGGGGGTTTGGATTTGGATTTTGGGGGCATTTTTCTTTATGATTCCGGTGGAGGGTCCTGTGGAGGGAGGGAGGGAGGTGTTTAGGTGGGAGGAAGTACAGACTCTCGGACAGAGAAGAGTAGAGGGGAGGATGTCGATGGATGTCTACAGGTTGGCCTGAGGCAGAGATTGGGCGAGGTAAGGCGTAAGGGAGGTACAGAATATCTAGGTACAGCATACAGAATGCAAAGTGCCTGGCAGATGTGTTATCCACCATGCTGACGTCTGAGCTCTTTGTTGCCAGCCAAGAGATCTTATGGACCGTGTTTTGCTCGCAGCCCCTCAGATCGCCCTCTTTCTGCTTCTTTGGCTGGCTTTTTCATGGTCCTCTGCTGTATTTTGTGTAATTTTCCCGTCCCGGTGTTACAAGCACGTGACCTACGGCGATGACTCAGGCGTCAGGCAGTCAGGCGACAACACCGTCAGGTACTTCAGATTCAAAAACCATCCTGATGACTTGCATCGATGCTAGTCAGAGATTCGACCGGATCTACTTCCACCTGAATGTCGAGGGGGTTCAGCATCCATAGTCCGTACAACGTAGTCCACCATTCCGACGACTGAGACATTCCGGACTGCGGCCGAGCAAGATCGACCAGCATTAAAGACGAAAAAAAAAAAAAAAAAAAAAAAAAAAACCGGCTCCTCTTTTCTCCCGTCAAATCGCAGGCGTTCTTTCCCATGGCCTCACTTCACCGCCCAGCCGTACTTCTCTCTCGCTCCTCCTCGTCTCTGCATTCCTTTGTCCCCCCCAGCATCACCAACCGCCGGTCATGTCATCGTCGCAGACCATGACAGCGCCAGCGGTGGGCCATCGGCCTCCTGATGCTGGTCCCAGCATGTCGTCCGTCTACGACTACGGTCCATCGCAGCATCCTGACCATCCGCCTCCCTCCCCGCCCAGCGACTCCGCAATCCGCGCTCTGCACGATTCTGCCTCCCCTGCCAATGTCCATGGCGCCTCCTTCTCCTCCCCCCTGCCCGCCACGATGCCCGTCAAATCGGAGCCTGAGGACTCCAATCTGTCTGCCTCCGACGCCCTGCCCGATGCCAATCCCAATGTTCGTCGTCAGTCCGCCGCCAGTGCCCTGCTAGCCCAACTCCTCGGCAACCAATCCTCTGCGCCGTCCGACGCTGGTGGTCCAGATCAACCCGTGCCGCCGCCGGCGGACCCAGAAACCGCCTACCACCACTCTCCTCCTCACCACCTCCCCGATCTCCCCCAACCACAACATCATCCCCCACCACCACCACCACCCCCCGGGCCGGACGATGGCATGAATGGCCACGATTGGTCCGCAGATCCTCCGGCAGAGTCCCTGGCCGCCGTCGACTCTTCCGAGGCCCAGGATCAGAATCCCGTCTCCCTCGGGGGTCTGCTGCCGCCGTTCCAGCCGGAGGAGAAAATTTCGGACGAGGCCTCTGCCATGGCCTTTTCGAACCCCGACCTCGACGATGCCCTGCCCGCCAAGTCCGCCGATCCCATCGAGGGCCTGACGGATCCTCTGCTGCTGTCCAAGTCCGGTCTCGACCACCCCGACCTGTTTACGCCCTTCGATATCACCGGCGCTCCGAAGACCCCCTACGAGGCATTGCACCAGAATGAGATGCTGACGGCCGCCTACCTGTCCCAGAGTGCCGACCTCTCCGCCCTGGGGTACTCGGGGGCCACTCTGCATCAGGATGGAGCCGGCTCGATGTCCGGGTCGGAACCCCGGATTCAGGCTTTTGCGAAACTGGAATTCGACGACGGCCATTTCTACTGTAACACATACTCGTTCATCCTGGGTCGAGACGTTCGAGCGGCCCGGGCTGCTCATGAACGGGAATTGCAGGCTCGTCAGGCCGTGAGGACGTCTCGCGCGAAAAGTTCGAGCGGTGGCAATACGTCGCATACTCCCGTCCGAGTAAAACACGAAGGCAGCGGAATCCTAGGGAGCGTGGTCAGCGATCGTGGTGGAATCCTCGGCTTCGACCCTGACGTTCCGCCGCATCTGCCGCGGGTGAGTCGCCGGTCGTCCAATTCGTCTCATGCCGAGTCGGGCGCGCCGCTGCATGCGACCCCGGCCCAGCTGCAGTCCACCACCGACTACAATGCTCTGGCCATGCAATCGCTAAACGACGGTAATGGGGACGCGAAACCGGTCGATACCCTCGCTCTACTCCCTTCTCCCGATGCTTGTCCGACTATCCCCATTCACCCCCCAGCGACGGTCGATGGAACGGCCGCCGGACATCGAGGGATCTCGCGGAAACATGTCAAGATCGCGTACAATTTCGAGGGGAATTTCTTCGAGATGGAAGTGATGGGGAGGAACGGTGCCTTTATCGGGGCCGATTGGCTATCGCCGGGTCAACTTCGACCTCTACACAGTGGTGATTATATCCAAATCGGCGGCGTGCGCATCCGCTTCTTGTTGCCAGACGTTCCCATTGGCGAGACGGGCGCAGAGGTTGCCGAAGAGCCGTTCGCCGACGATGAAAACGCGCAGATGTCCGTCGTGGCCGGCGAGAATGACTTCGTCGACGACAAACCTGGCCTGGAAGGCTCGGAGAACAAGGACGGTACGCGACCTACGAAGCTCGTGTTGAAGACCAAGGATTCCGATTCCACACGACCCGTCCCGTCCATTGAAGGCTCAGGGGATGGCCAGCAGCCGATCCGGCGTCGTGGCCCCGGACGACCTCCAAAGGATGGGATCATGTCGAAACGCGAGCGTGCCGAATTGGCTCGAGAGCAAAAGATGGCTGCGAAACGCGAGGCCAACGGCGGCGTGACTCCTCCGCCCAATCGACCGAAAGCTGGCAAGGCTCCCGTCATGGGTGCCCCGTCTACCACCCCCAAGGAGTCCGTTGGGGCCGAGTCGCCCGGGTCGAAGCCGGAGAAGCGCAAGTACACGAAGAGGAAGAAGCCCGACGGCACGTCGATGGACTTCCCCCTGCCATCCACGGAAGGAGGCCAATTCCCCATGGAGCAACGGCCCGAGGACTTCATCAAGGCTCCTCCCGTCAAGAAGCGCAAGCCGTCTCGGTCGCCATCTCCCAACTATCCACCCGAATCGGCCTACACGCCGGAGGATCTCGCAAAGCCGCCATACAATTATGCGGTTCTTATCTTCGATGCTCTCACCGAGGCCGGTACACCCATGACCCTCAAGCAGATCTACCGCGCCCTGAAGCTCAAGTACCCGTATTTCCGCTTCAAGTGCGAGACCGAAGGTTGGACGTCGAGTGTACGGCACAATCTCAACGGCAACAGCCATCTCTTCATGCACGCCGAACGAGATGGCAAAGGATGGTCCTGGCAATTGCGACCGGGCGCCTCGGTCGAGAAAGAGAAGAAGAGGCGTCCGTCTCCTCCGCCGGTGTCGCAGCCTCCATCGATGCCGGCTACCACTCCGCAGTATATGCCTCCGATGACTTCGCCGTATGCCAGTCAGCCCAACGGACAAACGGGCATGGCCAGCGCGCACTTCCAATTCCCGACCATGCCGCCATCCAATCCGTACACTGCGCCATCGCCGGCACCACCACCTGCTCCAGCGGCCGCACCACCACCACCGCCGCCGCCTCCTGCTCCTGTCTCTGCTCCTGCTCCTGCTCCTCCTTCGCAGCAACCGAGTCCTTTTCCCCTTCCACCGCAGGCTTCCGCCTCCACTCCGTTCCCTATCCCCACCCCGCTCCGAAACAACCTTCCGCCTGCTTTTGCTCAAACCACTCCGTCCACCTACACCTCCCCTTATGCTTCCGACCCTCCGCCACAACTCGTCCAATTCCAGCAATCGCAGCAAACACAGCCGCCATCTCAATCGCAGGCCATTCCACCGCAGCCACAGTCGCAGCCGCAACCGCAGCAGCATCAGCCGGTGCCGCCTCCACCACCGGCTCAACAGCCTACACACCAGCAACAACCACCGCAACCGCAACCGCAGCAGCCACAACATCAGTACTCTCATCATCATCAACCGCCGCCGCCGCTACCACAGCAACAGCACCATCAGCAGCACCAACCGCACCAGCAGCAACATCACCAGCCACCCCCGCCTCCTCATCAGTCCCCTTATCCACCGCAACATCCTCCGCCGATGTCAAGCTTCCCTCCTCAACCACAGCAGAACCTCGCCCCTGCTTCTGGGCCGCCTCCCCAGCATCCACCCAACCCCAACGTTGCACCCAGCGACGCCGGGCCGGGAGGACCCATGGATCACTCCGAAGCGTTATCGTTCAATGAGCGGGCCAACAAGGCCATTGACGATTTCGAGGCGGTTCTGATGGAGGACTACGAGGACAAGAACTATATCCGGGAGGTACTGAAGAGTTCGCGGGCTCGCGTGCTGGGCGAGGCAACGGAGAGTTCATTCCCCGGGGGTGAACCGAAAGATGAAGCAGTCATCCTTGACGCGTTGCGCAATCTGATCGGCAGCTTGAAGGATCAATAGATCAGATTCCGGTGATGGACCGACGGATGTATAGAAAACTGGCTTCCACGAATTACGAGATTTCCTTTTTTGTTTTATGCTTATGAACGTCTACAATTGGTGACTGGACCGGTGTTTGATGGACGTATATCGGAGCCGGGAAAGGGAAACAACATAAGTCCTTTGGACAAGAAAAGAAACGAAAAAAGCGATCCAAGGGGGATTGACATTGGATTGTTGGACTTTTTTCTTTCTTTTTTTACTTCCCTTCCCCTTGATTTTGAACTGTTTGGCTTGTTCTTTTTCGTTTTCGTTCTCTTTTATTTCGATGATATCCACTACGTTCTGAGCTTTCATGCTCTGTCTCCCTTTCATCGTTTCGCACACATACACCTGCATGCATGCATCCTATCCGGCAGGGCACTATTTGGGGAGCTGCCAGATAGAACATTGTCCCGTGGTTTTTGCTATTCTTGATCTATCTGCTTTTCTTTTTTTATTTCTTTCGTTATACTTGCGTTATTTTGTGGCCGGTATAGGTAAAACAAAACAAAAGCTAGGCGTTTACAGTTGCATAGAGACAATGGAAAAAAAGTTGAATCTAGAAAAGGAAGATGCATGGGCGGTGCCGCTCTCCCCCACTGCAGCGCCGGGTTCTTTCCTAGTCCGCGGGGTTGTCGAGCATCAGGTCATTTCACGAAGACCGGGAGAATTCTCCTCGTCAATAATCGATGGCATTAAAGAATTCAGAAATTAAAGAATTCAAGAAATAAACTCCATGCCGTGCCACCCCTCCCTCACCGCAGGTAACCGAGTGACCATCTACGTCCTTCCTGTCCCTCTCCAGATCAGGATAGGCCGGGTCAGGTCCTATGATGCCATCCTCTATCCTGAATATCACTCATTCTGTAGTCTGTTCTTCCTCCGTCCGTCCGGCTGCAGCAGTGAGGTACGCAGTACGCCGTACAGAGCACGGAGTCCTACCCCTCATGGTTTAGGTCATGTTTAATTAGGATGGGATGGGCTAGGTTCGGTTCGGTTCGATTCCATTTCCCACGCGCTGGTTGCGTTTCCGTTCCTGAATGACCCGATTGAGGGGAGGGAATCAAGGGGTCTGGTCTTGGTCTTACTTCTGCAGTGCAGTTCTTGTTCAGGTCAGGCCAGGTCAGGTCAGGGTGTTCTACCGAAGCGGGGAGAGAGAGGAGAGAGCGGACATCCTCCGTCTATCTTCTGTCTGGCTGTCTGGTAGGGAGGGAGGGAGGGGGTTTTTTTTATTGGAGTTGGGGTTGGGTTTAGGAGTGGTTTCTGGTTTCTGGTTTCTACGGAGGCGGAGGGTCATTTGTTTTGTTTTTCTTTTTGTGCTTTGTGATAGGTGCTGCTGGTGATCGGGCAGCCATCCATTTCGTACTAGACGAACCCCCCACTTTCCTGGATCGGGGTGGTGTGCAGATTCAAGAGGGAGGTTGATTATCACGGAAGTACGCATACGGAGGAGTCTGTTCCTCTGGAAGGGTGCGGGAATTTTCCTGACTGTCTGTCCGGCAAAGTAAGGGTTTTGGTTTTTTTTTTTATCTCCATCAGACCTCACTGGCTGGCAGCTGTATTGCTGTTTTGGGGTGCGCGCAGGACCGATAGGAGATACGTCGGGCGGTCCTTTGTGTTTTCCAGTTGAGTTGACAGGTGACGGGATTGTTGCGTTTGACTGGTTACTGGTTACTGGTTAGATGGGAGGAGAGTGGTGGTGTGGTGGATGTATGTGCTGGGTTTTGCATTTACATATACTCTACAGATTGACAGATGACAGTGACATGACATCGGGTTCGACGAAGGACTCTGTTGATATCGATGATCTGGGAGAGCGCAGGAGCGGAGAACAGGCTCCGTAGTTCTTACTCTGATATATAATATCCCTTATTATCATACCACCCGATGCTAATCGACATCAACGGAGCAACCAGAAACAGGGCAGAGCAGATGATACGCCGGCGATGATATGCATGGACCTGGACACGGCCACGCCCACCACCACGGCCACGGCCACGGCCAGGTGGACCGGATGGCCAGAGGTTGTACTCCGTCCAGCGTATAGTTAATAATAATAAAATGATATCGCAGACGTGGTGACCTCCTCCCAAGGCACGCGGCCCTCTCGCCACGACGGATGGCCCGCCCGTGTGTAGGACGGAATTCTAGAAGAATGAAGATCGCCTGCTATGTCCGACCTCGTTCTGATTGGGTGCTTTATGACGCAGGCCGTGAGTCAGATGCTCTGGAAAAAGAAGAGAGGGGCTTTTCGCCCTTGTCCTTCCTCCTGGTTCTACGCTGGACTCGGGACATTCCCAGCTCTGACGTCGGCGCAGCAACGGCCTGGGGATTTATTGTGTTATTTATTGTGGTTGACTCAGCCGCACTGCACCGTCTCCCTTGCCGCGTCGAGTCGAGGACGACCTGAGAGTCAAGTCCGAGTCGGAGTAAGATGACATAGCCAATCCCTTTTCTAAGACTTCAGTTCCTGGCCAAGAGATGAGTAATCCAGGCAGAACTGCAAAACCTTGCCGGGTTGGAGTTCAAAATGAGGCTGCGACTTGCCACCACTGACACACTTGCCTGCTGCTTCTGGGGGCAAGATGCGGTCATGACTACCGGGCCGACGTATGATGTTTCTTCTGCCCGCCACCGGATCATCCTCCTAGGCGGAAGGGTTGGAAGGGGAAGGAATCCCAAGCATCCTTTCATTAACCAGTGGTTGCGTCCTGCAGATGGACGACCAGATCGATGCGAATTCATCGACTGCATCTGCCTACCGCCTTTGCCCGAAAGAGACGGCCACTAGCTTCGTACCACCCAGACACGTTTTGATTACAGGAGAGATGGAAGTTGGAACGGACGAATGCACGTCCCCGTCCCACCCCATTATTCGTACGGAGTTATGCTTCTCGGGTGAAGTCTCTTCTGGCCAACTGACCACCGCTCCGTATGGGACGGACTGGTCCGTGTGACGGCGTCTGATTTGAACGGCGAAAGGGGAATCCATCCCCTGAACAATAAGGACTTCGTGGTGATCTCCAGAATCCTCTCTTCCTCTGTCCGCAGGTTATTCTTAGAATTGAATTGCATGGACGGCTGCTGCGGCAAGTCTCGCACCGGCACTAGGCCCGATTGCTGCTAGACCCTCCTTTTTTCCCTCGTCGCGCTGGCCGTTGGACTGGAGAACGAACCCCTGGCAAGTCTGAGGGACGGACCATCGTTTAGTTAATTCGGATGTTCTGACTAACAGAATCCGTCTGTCCTCTCTGTAAGTCTCGGGCGGCGCCGGTGAAGGGATCCTTACAGAGTGCGCCCAGCCCATGCCAGGTGATGCCGCTTCATGCAATGGACGCTCCATCTATCAGAAAGCATCCGTAGCCATTGGTCTGCCCGTCCGGCCCGGTCTATTTATTCCTGAATTAGTCCACTATTCACGGAGGATTAATCATGAAGGGGAAACGGATGCAATCTACCCTCCAGCGCCTAATCCCTAATCATTACATCAATCCATTCTCTCTGACAGCTGAATAATCCGTTCAATGCATCCAACGGGGCTCCACCGTCGCTGTTCTGGGCTTGAGGTTGGTTTTCTTGGGTCTCTTTGGCTCGGGTTTCTTTGGTTCGGGTCTCCGACCGTCGTCACTGGGAGTTTTTAGAGTACCACCCAACGGGTCTTTTTTTTTTTTTTTTTTTTTTTTTTTGTCTTTGGCCGTTCTGGTGATGTATCTGGCAAGCTTCACTCTTTTGGGTTACGACGGACCACCAACTACTCCGTAATCACTGTAGACTGGACACTAACCGGACGATGGGGTTCAAAAGAAATAATAGTCGAACTACGGAGTACTTCGTAATAAATCACAATCATCCTAGGGGAAAGGATATTTCTACTACCGGAGTAGAAGTGAAAAGAAAAAAAAAATGCAAACTCTAAAACACATCGCTTCATTCAAGTGTCTCCGTACGGGGCCTTTTACAGGCTGGCTGGCCCCCTTTCCCACTTCCCACGGTTTCTCTTTGGCCTTTTCCCGCCTGCTGGATTTTTCTGGTTGGTGAGGCCTGGCGGGCGGTAGGCAGGCGGCCATTTGGATGTGACAATACTGGAACATCGTCATGCTCATGTGGGCAATTCTTTTTTTTTTTTTTTCTTTTCCACCCCAAGGATGGGAAAGGTCAACCCTTTTTCATTCCGGGTCCTCCTGACCAAACCCATTTAGAAATCCAATTAAATAAAATTAAAAAATGACTCCGTAGAAATAAAAATAAAAATCAAATCAAATCCAAACAGGAATCCACCGCCCACCCGACCAGACAGAATGGGCCGTGGGAATTATTAAACCAATCCTTAAAAGTCGCGCCCAATTCGATTTCTTAGGGGTTGGTGACTCTTACGGAGGTGTCGGTGGCAGTGAAGAGGCAGTCGACCGGTAGGACGATGCTTCCATCCTCTTCTGCCTGTGATTTCTGTCGGAGCATGAAATTACTATAATAATAATAACAATAATAATAATAATAATAATAATAATAATAATAATAATAACAACCATAGGGGTGTGACTTCCGTCTCTGATGTGCAAGACGGAATTCTATTAGATGCCCCGTCGAGCGCAATCAAAGACTCGAGCAGAATCCCATCCAATCCGACCCGGAGGCAGACCCGGCTGGCCAGGCTGACTAACGCCCACAGCGCCCGGAGATCTTCACCACCGCCTGCAAACCCGCCCTCACGAAGGGCCGACCGACTCTGACACCTCCTACCACTAGTCCCTCTCGCCTTTTCTCTCCTTCGCCTGCTCTTACTTCCTTCCCTTCCTCCCCCCTCCTCTCGACTTCCCTTCCCCATCCTCTCTCCTCCACGTTCAATCGCCATTCCCCCTTGGTTCTTGAACTCTCACCACTCTTCGCCTTGTTCCTCCCCCTTCTTCCTCTTCTTCCTCTCGATTCTTTTTTTCCGCCTCCCTTTCTTTCAACGAGCTTTTCACTAAGTGTCGTTGTTATCGTGGTCCGGAGTATTTCCACTTGACGCGAGAGAAATTGTTTCAATCGATTTGATTTTTTTTATTATTCTTCTTCCTAAGTGTTTCTTTGCTTCTTCAAAAGAAGACACGAACATTGAATTTAAGAAAAAAAAATATCTCGATCCTCTCCGTCTCGCCTCCCACGAATTTTCCTCTCGGACAATTGTCCCGGTGTGTGTAATATCAGATTCACATCTCAGGTGACATCCTACCGTCGCCCTTTCTTCCGCTTCTTCCGCTTCATATCTTCATCGCCTTGAGTCGTCTCGTGTTCTCATAGAGAGTTGAATACGGAAGTCAAATCGCCCCGAAGAAAGTTGACAGGTTCTCGCCTCCCGCAAGACCGGACCAGAGAAGGAAGAACAATCAAAACACGCCAGCTGCGACCGCTCTTTACGCTCATTTCGCTCAACGTTTTCTTTTCCTCCTTCTCCAGTTCTCCAATTTCTTTACACCTGCTTGTTTTACTGAATTGTACATCCATGTTATTCATCTAAGAGACTTGAACTGCGTCATACAGAGAGCCACGGCTCGTTGAGCAACGCTCTTCACCCAGGATCAGGGCGTGGTGGACGTTTAGACGGTTCGTATCTGTCTTTTTTTCTTTTTTGGTGTTGAACTTGGTTGCTCTCGAACCCCCCTTGTCGGTTGGGACATATCCCTCCTGTGGGATCTTTTCTTTTGCTGACTGAGACGATCTTGTTCTGTACAGTACTCCCGCTGTCTTCCGTCCCCGTCCTGAACTGGTCTTTTTCTTTTCTTTTTATTTCTCTCTTCTCTTTTTGATCTTGTTATGCCGTCGTTCTACGCGCCTGCCCTGCAGACGGGCTTCCCTCCTACCCCTCCCCATATCACGAGCGGTGGCCGATTGGAAACTGAGCAGCCTTACTACGTTATGGGTCCCTCGGCTTTCCCTCCTCGCTACTCTCAGAGCGGCTGTGAATTCATCGAGCAGTACTCCCAGTCAGCCTGCTACGCCAAACCCGCTCCGATGAACTTGCACCCTCAATCTGCCCACTCAATGCGCACTGGCAGAGATATGGCCGCGGCGATGAACCAGTCCATCTACGGTCCCATGGCCGCTGCGAACGTTCTGCCCCCCATTCGTGGTGGCAACGTCCAATTCCCCCCAATGGACAACGGTATTGCGTCGCAGTACCGCCGACAAGATATGATGGTTCAGCCCGAACAGCAGCAACCGCACAAGGAGGAAAAGGCCACTGGAGGTGTTGCCGCCCACCTGGATTATGAGATGGATCAGATGTCCGACTTCGTGGCCGAGATGGCTCAGGGAATGTATGCTTTGTACATCACCAAGATCAACCTAGCAGATATTGACTTCGCGCGAAGCGTCTACCCAGGAACGTCGGTCCCGCCTCAATTCCGGAAATACGTCTTTCAGGTCTTGTCGTCGACTCGCCTCCCGAGCTCGACCATCCTCTTGGGTCTTTACTATCTGGCCTGCCGGATGCGCATGCTTTCTTCCGCCAAGGTGTTCGCGTCGGGCAGTGGGCAGGTCTACCGCATGCTCACCGTTGCTCTGCTTCTGGGCAGCAAGTTCTTGGACGACAACACCTTCCAGAACAAGTCGTGGGCCGAGGTCAGCAACATCCCCGTGGGCGAGTTGAATTCCATGGAGCTCGACTGGCTCTTCGCCTTTGAGTGGAAGATCCACGACCGCATCTACGACAAGCAGGACGGATTTGCATCGTGGCGCTCTCACTGGGAAACCTGGCGCGCGAAGACCGTTGCTCGCGCTCAAGAGACTCGCCATAACTTGGCTCCGATTGACACCAATGTTTCTCGCGGCCCGAGAGTCTCCAAGCCCATGCTTTCCCCCGAAGGTCCCATTCCTCCGCAGTATCAGCGAAGCTCCCACTTTGAGAATTCTTGGCTAAACCCCGCGGCTTCAGAGTACTCGCCCCCTTCTGCACCTCACAGTGGCCCCAACACGCCGGATTATTACGCGGTTGGCCCCTGGGCGTACAGCAACCCCCCTCCGCCTTATTCTCGGACCTGGGTTCCTCCCCAGCAATACATCCCGCAGGCCCCCCGCTCGCAACCACCGTCGTACCATCACACGCCGTCCTACGCTTTGCCTTTCGCACAGAGTGTCTGGACTGGTCACGGTTCCTCCTGCGGATGTTTGTATTGTGCCAAGCACATTGAAAACTACATGTGCGCCGGCCCCTTCGGTGCTATGCAACCGATCCTTGCCGGTTAAAAAAAAAAAGAAAAAGTCGACTGATGTACCTTGCTTCCGACTGTATTTCGATGGCGGTCATCTGTTGGTTTTTCGTTGGCTCTCTCTTTTTCTTTCTAATTGCCTGCCTCCCCTTTTTAGACCACTTTTTCTTCTTTTGATGATACCGTGTCTTTCTATTTTCGTTTTTTGATGATAATTCTGCCTCTCACCGTCAGTTTCGGTTTATCTTCGTTGAAAAGTACCTGCGGTCGTCATTTTTTGTGTTATGCCCCAAAAGCACAAAAAAACAGAAAAAAAAGTTTCAAACAGCGATATTGGGTCGACTTTGCCAAATCTACAACAGCTCTCAACGCATTTACGATACGGCATAGCTTCGTCTATTTCCCCGACTTGGTACGATTTCGTTGTTTATGGAAAGCTTTTGTTCATCGTGTGCAGAGTGTTTATCCTCAGGGGAAAAGCCCTCTCTCGGAGCCTCTCGCTCTCTGCAGTGAAAAGTCACGACATTTATGATCTTCGTTTTGTTACCTTGCTGCGCTCATTTTTCCTTTGCCTTCTCCACTACTTTTGATTCTTTTATCTGGGTTGGGCATTTCACCTGGCGAATGTTATTCCATAGATTCCTTCCCTTGACTTTCTTGTTGGCACATTGGTTTCTTTTTTTTCTCCCTTTATCTTTGCCTTGAGTACCATGGCGTTAATCTCTCCAATTCTCTCTTCGATTCCCCGCTGTCTTGCATTGTTTGTTTACGGTTGACAGATTCGTCTTTTCGTTGTCTTTGCCTACAATTTTCTTTCTTATCCAACAAGCTTTGTTCGGTTTTTTCTATCTCCAAGAACTCTGCCGAGTTGTTGCCTACCTTTATTTCTCTTTCTCTTTCTACGATTGTCTTCGATGAATTGTTCCATTCAAATTTGTTTTCATGTCCCCAAAAAAATGATACACCCCCATTCGTCCCATATCTTTTCTATTGTCTATTCTTGGTTTCTTTACTCTTTCTTTTCTCGATAGTGATCGAACAACCTGTGTCATTGTGTTTTTGTTCACTTACCTTTCTGTTCAACTTTTTTTTTCTTTTTTTTTTCTTGATTGTAAGTTAGACTTTTGATTTGATTAACTTCCAGAAGCAAACCGATGACTTGCGGGAAAAAGATCAAAAAAAAATTCAATCTACCCTTTTTTTTCTTTCTGGAAAATTTGCAATACTTTCTTGGTCTTGATACTTTGTAGATTTGATTTCTTGAGCCAGGACATGACGCGCATGGTTTTAGACCATCGGTCGGTTAAGATACTTCGATGATGGATGGATGGCCATTGGGACTAGGTAGGTAAGCGGCTAGGTATTCACGGCGTTGGAGGTCAGAACAGTCAAATGATTCTTATCCTTTTGACATGGTGTTTTGCTTGTTGTCAATACGGGTTGTTCACATGTGGTATATGTGGTACTGATAATCACTATCGTTGCACCTAATGAATGAGTTTTTCCTTTTCAATGCCCTCTCTGCCTACCATGTATCTGTGAGAGTAAAATGCAAGGAATGTGTGTCTAATTTATGTATAGGGCGAAGGTCGGTCATCTATAGTTTGATGTAGAATGAATGAATGTACCAATGGAGAACGAAACCCAAGAGGGTAGAAAGATAGAGCAAATATTGGGGTGGGGAAGAATCGTTTGATGAACGAGGAAATAGAAGAAGTTATCAATGTATGCTTGTAGTATAGTATAGTAGTCCAATGTAGTAAGGTAAGGTAGAGTATAATACGGAAGTAAAGTGGTTGGGTATCAGTACCAAAAACAACTCAAGGAAGGAGTCTTCCAAAAAAGAAAACTGCAGAGCCGAAAGATGAAGAGTTGAAGGCGATAAGATAAATAAAGGAAGAAGAGAGAACGCATGGAATACCGAAAGGGGTCGAGTGCTTGGAAGGAAAGTATTGGCCGTTGTCGTAAAGAGAATTGGGTCATTAAAATATGAGGGTGGAGGTGTTGGCTTGAGAAGGGTATGTCTGTGGAGGGAACGATGCCGGACTAGTATACGCTTCCTCGGATACTTTGGTCCTCTCTTCGTTGAGCCTCAATGCTAGAGTCGTCGGTCCTGTCGCCGTTGTGTTCGTCATGAAGGTCGTGGTCGTCATCGTGATCGTCGTGTTCATCATGGTATCCATGCAGGGGCTGGGACTCGTTCTGGCTCTGGATCGAAGAGTCGTCGTTGCCGTCGTAGTCGTGGTCATTTTGACCTCGCTCGGTCAGCTTGATACCCACCTGCTGCGCGAGATGTCGCCTGCCGGGGGCTAGGGTGTTATTGTGATTATAGCGGTGACTATGGTGGTGATGGTGGTGATTGTGGGACCGCGTTCGACGCAATCTTTGATGCTGTCCACTGCCCTCGTCGTCGCCGTCGTTGCCAAAGTCCTGAGAGGACTTGGGTTGATGCTGGAGAGGCCGACGGGCGGCGCGTTTCTTGATCTCGTGCTCGTCCTCGGAGGGAACGAGGCTGTTCGCTCCGCTCAGAGAACCGCCCCCGTCCCGACCACCAAGATGATAGAGGCCGTAGTTTGACCGTGGGGGATGGAGAAGATGATCCTCACTGTCGCGGTGCAAGTGCATCAGTCCCGGACGTTTGGGAATCGGGCTTGGACTTGGGCCGACCGATCGGGGAATTTGAGGACTCGTATCATTGTCATTGCTTTTGTTACTGGAGTTGTCGTTCTCATTGGCGTCGGCCCCATCATTTGATAACAGTCTGGAATGAGAGACATGAGTAGTCACGGAAGTATCCTGCCTATGGAAATCGTGTCTCCGAGGCGGGGAGGGGATAGTTTTATCCACAGGTTTCGCCTCTGTTGAGCGGTCTCCCAGCCCTGGCTCGGGAGCTGTCAGCGTCCGCTGTTCCACCTGAGCTGTCGAATTCGTGGAAACTGTGCCCGACGGCTCCTGGTGATGGTGATGATCAATCTTGGTCTCTTGAATGGCAGCACTTCGACTGGCTTCGTTCTGTCTCTTATGTGCGTCCGCCGCATTGGGTCGGGACGAACGCACTGAGCCTTTTCTCCGCACGCCATGGTTACATCCGTCAGGACAACCGCCCCATGTGCGCCTGATAGGCACCGAATGGTCGGACGGCATTAAAGGCGCCGCCGGCCCAAGCCCTTTAGAAGCCCTTTCCCGCTGTCTTTCCGCTTCTTTCTCCTTTCGCAGCTCGGACCAGGTGCGTAGCTGGTTCTGCAGCACGTACTTTCCGTTATCCGGGTTGAGTTTCATGACAACAAACTCGCAGTGGTTGATGTTTCGCAGATCTTCGAAGTATTCTACGCTCCAGTGGTACCACTTCATGAGAAAGATCCGCGTCATCAAACCATGGGTGACCAGGACACAGACGCTGGCGAAATCGTTCTCTCCAAAGAGACGCCATAGCGACTCGTTGAACCCACTGACCCTGTCATAGGCATCGGCCGCCGATTCACCGTTGGGGATCCGATAGAAAAAATGGCCATAATCCGCGCGCTCCAGCCACATCCGCTCCATCTCTGCCGAGCATGGCTGAAAGTTTCCGAAATCCTGCTCGCGGAGTCGAGGCTCCTCATACACCTTGATCGTGTGTCTGGGGAAGGGAGTCGGAGAGGGAGAATCAGAGGACAGAGACTGCAAAATGCCTTCCGTGGTCTCCCGAGTGCGCCGGTACGGAGAGGTAAAGAAGTGGATGGTATCGTCGGGTCGCAATAGGCTCCGCAGATGAGTCCCTGCCTCCTGGGCCTGCCGATGTCCCTCGGCGGTGAGCTTCACGCGGTGGTCGGGGATGCTCTGGTGGATTTCACGATTCTTGTTTCCTTCTGACTGAGCGTGACGCACCAGAATAATCATCTGTCATGTATGAGAAGACCAGGATTCCAGAGGAGAGGGACGAAAGCGAGAAGACAGCTCACCCGTGGTTTGCCCATGATTGGCGCTTTGCGGTAGTATGTAGAGGGACGGGGTTCCAATGTAGACCAGGTTTGAAGGAACAGAAGGAAGCAGAAGAAAGACGCTAGCCGTGTGCGCCCACCGGGACCTTCCTAGCCAGCTCCTGAGGCCGAGATGGATCTGCAGGAGGGATATGGAGAGAGAAAAAGACCAAGTGCGGGCCCGTGGAAGGGAAGTACCTGAGAATGACTGGATCCGGTTAGCGGCACCGGTGATGTCAGCCCGTTTGGCGCGGGTGCTTTACTAATTCCTTCTACGCCGGTCGTTCTCGAGAGTCAACCTGCCGGGGGTGGTGTTTAGGAAAAGAGATCATCTATAGTGCACGTCTGAATAACGAAACAGGCTGAGATCCCAAGTCTGACCCTGCGAGCCCTGGACTTTCCCCCCGTACCCCTCCCGGTGCTGCTGCCTCAGGCCGCCGTCGGAGATGCTGCGCAAGTTGCCGCGTGGTGCGCCGTAGCGGCTATCGCGGGCATCTGGCCTGTTCCCATTCCTCCGCGTCAGTCTACAAGTTCCACTCTTCATCTCTTCGCAGTCGTCCCGGTTGACACCATGGCCGATTATCTGTATGAGCTGCTGACTCCCCATCTGGCCTCTCCGGATGGCTCCTCTCTGGCGCCCGAGCACAACGTCACCACGGCTCAATACCTCAATCGATTGCCCACCCTCTCTCTGCAGGCGTTGCAAGAAACCGAATCTCAGTCGCTAGCGCAATCCTCCCATTCCACCCTGCTCTCGCTCCAAGCCCTGTCCAATCGTTCCCACAAGACCTTCATCACCTCCTCCGACGGCCTATCAAACCTGCGCACCTCAATCCCCCAGTTGACGCGAGACGCTCAGCAGCTTCGAGATGCAATCCCCAGACTCGACGAAGAGGCCGTCCAATTCGCGTCCAAGTACAGCCGCGCCGCGGAAAATGTGGCTCTGGAGCAGCGCAAAAAGGCCATGCAGCTGGCGCGCAACGTTGACCGACTCTCCGATATTTTAGAGTTGCCCACTCTGTTGTCGACGACGGTCTCTTCCGCCGCGGCCAGCTCGGGTGCGACGACGGGCTCGTTTTCTACAACCTACTCGGCGGCTTTGGACCTATACGCTCATATCAAGAGACTGCAAACCCTGTATCCCGATTCGCCGCTGGTCAAGGATGTCGTGCTGCAAGCCGAGGATGCCATGAAGGATATGACTACGAACCTTATTGCCGGTCTCCGGGCTCAGAACCTTCGACTCGCCGCGGCTATGAGGACAGTCGGATGGATGCGCCGAGTGGCTCCCGAATTGGAGAGCCTCCGGAGCGATGGTGGGACTGGCTCCGGAGAAGGTGCTCTGGGAGCCTTGTTTCTGGTCTGTCGACTGGCGAACCTGGTGTCTACGCTGGAGGCATTGGACCCCTTGCGGGAACTCGCAGATCAGGAGACGCAGCGGAGAACGCAGAGCATTGAGCGAAAGGACGGCACCGCCACTTCGTGGTCTGCGGGGCACCAAACCGAGAAGTTTTTGAAACGGTACATTGAGATCTTCCGTGAGCAGAGCTTCGCCATTGTTTCTCTGTACAAAAACATCTTTACCCCGGACCAGTCCGAGTCGGATCTCGCCGTGGCGGGATTACGGGGAATTGATGCGCGCATCAAAGCAGCCCCGGCGCCCCGGCAGGATGACCCGCTGCAGTCCCTCCCTTCGGCCCTGGCGACGTTTCCCATGCATCTGGTGCAGTTGCTGACGGGAACCTTGCGGGCCTATCTGCCCAACGTGCAGGACAAAAGCTCGCGGGAGAGTCTACTCACGCAGGTCCTCTACTGTGCCGCTAGTCTCGGGCGGCTGGGTGGAGACTTCGGGATGATTCTGACCGAGCTGAGTGACGGAGACGACGCAGACGAGGTGGCCTACGAGTGGGAAGAGGTGACGCAGAAACACCGAGCGTTGGCCGGACGCCTGGAGCAGCTCACGAATCCCAAGGACAAAGAGTCTCGACGGGCGTAGAGAAAACAAAGCGGATGTTTCTAAAAAGGGGAGGTCAGCACACCCGCGCTAAACCCAACGGGGCACTAGCGTCGGGCGCCGGGTGACCTCCGCCTTTCAACGTTGTCTGGACCTTCTTCCCTTTCCCTTCTCTCTCCCTCATGGATTCCCCCGGGCTTCGTTGTCTCGTCTTTGATTTCCTCTGAAACCCTTCCGTCCGTGGCTGGTGCGGGCTCTGCGACCTGCTTTGTTCCGCTTCCTTTGACGCCGTGTTTTGTGTGACGTTTCTCCCTTGCGGTGATCTCCGGTCCGCTACTGTCTTCCTTTCCCCTCCCTCCTCCCGGAACCTGCCACAAGAATGAGGACCTTCTTATAGTTCGTGTGAGAAACAGAAGGAACATAGATCTTGACCGAAACTTCTGGCTATATACCCGGCTTTTCCTCAGCACCTATTCCCTATGGCTGCCTCCGCTATTCCCTCCGGCGGGTTGATCGACCCAAACAAGCAGGCCGAATACCCCATAATCCTGGGCGATAAACTGGCAGGGAAAAAAGATGCCTCGCGTTCCAAATTCGTCCATATACAGTACAATCACAAGTCGAAATCTACGAACCCGCTCCAGCGATCCGTCATCAAGCCCTCTCGAGTCAAAGACCAATATAACCTGACGATCACCGACAGAGTACAGAACTCCGAGAATGTGTTGAATTCTTCATATAAAGGCAGTGTGGACCCTGAACATGCCGTTTCCGGACCGGAGGAGCACAACTTGATCTTGGTGTTCGATGCTGAACGGAAAGCATTCGTCTTGGAGCCGGTCGCAACGCAGCTTAACTTCAACCTGCGCTCGGGTCCTGCCAAGACAAGTAAACAGGCGCTTGAGCTGCGTCAGTTGCGGACACTGCAGGAAGACGACCATGGCTCGGGGGACGACACGAGCGGGGTTGATGATGGGCCGGCGGACGAAAGCAACCCATATGATTTTCGCCACTTTCTCCCCAAAGACAATGCGGATGAGGATAACAAGTCGGTCTCAGACAATGCGACCCCCGAACCCTATTCCGCACCGAGCAAAGGCAATACTCCTTTGCTGATGCCGACAGCCAAGAAGCCTACTGCGAGCCCCAACCTTAAGCCCTCGCCAAATCCGAAGCCTCTCCCCAAGCCGCAAACGAATCCTCTACGGCAGACCAAGCGCCCGACCGCGGCGGCGAAACCAGATACCGCGGCAAAACCCAATCCAAAGCCCAAGCCTCGTGTACCGGAGAAGGCGAAGCAGCAGGACGGGCCTGAGGTGGAAGCGCCAAAGTCATCCACACCTCCAGATTTTGGAACGGGTGCGATATCGGCACATAAAGCAGTCCCGTCACCGGGATCTAATATCATCGTCGATGGAAACCTGATCATCGACATGGGGTCGCCGCCCCCTTCGCGTCCCCGCTTCAACATCAACCCCGCGCACTTCTCGTCCAACAATACTCCGGGAATGAATGTCGCGGATGATGACGAAGATGACGACGAAGAGATCGAGGATCTGAGGCTCCCATCTCCCGCCGGACATGAGGGGCGACCCGCAGCGCCTGAAAGGCTGCAGCCCGTGTCGCATGCTCCGGTGACCGAGGAAGAAGTTGAAGACGATGACGCCTTGGCCGCAGAGATGGAGGCAGCCTTTGAGGAAAGTGCGCGAGAAGAAGAAGAGGCTCGCAGTCAAGCTTCTCAGCAAGGGACATTGTCGCATCAGTACCACGTTCCTAGCGACGACGAGAGTGAAGTGAGCGAGGAAGAATAGACCCCCGGGTTCATTCTTTTTGTCGCCCGATATTTCTAACCTGTTTTTGGTTTTCGCTTTGATCTTTTATTTTTGATCTACTGTATCAAGCCTATATATAAGCCCGGAGTTTGGAGCAAAGCGATGGACGCAATAGAGCTGGTCCTATGATATTTTGGAAACCAATGATACCACCTGTGCATCCATGCCTTACCTGTACACAGAATTGACATTACCATTTTACCTGAATAGCTGCACTGAATGAATGACTTGAAGTATGCGAACTGCCCATCCTGCCATGAATCGTCAAGTGAAGGCTGTTCTTTGTCTGAATTGTTGGCAGGACGGCCGGAAGAACTGATTGATCCGGGGCTCGCATTCCGCCTGCGGATCATTCACTCTCTGGTGACCGGTCAACTTCTCCGTCCATCTCGGTCACTCCGCCGTCAGAAAAAAAAAAGAGAGAGACTGCGTGAATAATCTCTCTATTGTCTCTTTCCTGCCCCCTTCTGACCTCCCTGTCACATTGCCTCTCCTTCACTCCGACAGCGCTGGCTGGCCTACGTTCCTTAATCCAGAAGCACACAGCCGTGCTATTGATTGGTCTTCATGATGCGATGAGGTGCCAGTCGCGTCATGCTTGACAGGATCTCTTTACGTCTTATATATTAGCTCTCGCAATTGTCAACAGAAGATCAATTCTCTGTCCTCCGTTAGTCTTCATTGACTCGAATCACCCGGGAGAAGTGGTCGATCAGCCTACCCGACTTGCTTGACACTTTTTTGTGTGTGCACGCTTGGCCCCAGATTGTGCCCTCGCATTCAGTTCTGTCGTCAGCGTTGGCAGCTTTAAAAAGTCCCCGCCTATCCTTCGAGAACATCTACCATTCTCCATGGCATCCTTCTCGTCGCATACCTCGGAGAAGCGCCGACCTGTTCCCGCGCCCTCAAATCCCGTCCTCCTTGCGATTCAATCACAATGGCTCTTCACCGACGAGGAGCTTACACGGACGCCCTCGCAGCTCGACGGCATGAAGCTGGAGGCCGAGAACACAAGTCGCAGTAAAGGGGTCAACTTCATCACCCAGGTCGGCATCATGCTGAAACTCCCCCAGCTTACCCTCGCGACCGCCGCCGTCTATCTCCACCGGTTCTTCATGCGCTTCAGCATGGTCGACCTGCCACAGCGACCCGGCATGCACCCCTACCCGATTGCCGCTACGTCACTGTTTCTCGCGACCAAAGTGGAGGAGAATGTCCGGCGGATGAGAGAAATCGTGGTTGCTTGCTGTCGGGTGGCGCAGAAACAGCCGAACTTGGTGGTCGATGAGCAATCCAAGGACTTCTGGAGGTGGCGCGATACTATCCTACATCACGAGGACATGGTTCTGGAAGCGATCTGCTTCGACCTGCAGCTGGAGCAGCCGTATCGCATTCTGTACGACTTCATCTGCTTTTTCGGCGTCAGCGAGAACAAGCCGCTGCGCAATGCGGCATGGGCTTTTGTCAACGACTCCATGTTCACCGTCCTCTGCCTGCAGTTCACAGCCCGTACCATCGCCGCCGCCGCTCTCTACGCCGCCGCCCGCCATTGCGATGTGGGATTCCAGGACGACGATTCGGACCAACCGTGGTGGGAGCAAATTGACGTGGATCTGACCCAGGTGCGTCGCGCGTGTACGAGAATGGCACAGCTTTATGAGAACAATGCCATGCAAAAACATAGCCAGTACTACCCGACCACCCCTATCATCTCAGACGAGGGTACTGAGAAGACCAGGATTCCGCGCGCTGGCAGCCCGGCAAACACTCCGCGCGAAGCACATCCCGTCAACGGACAGAAGCGGTCCAGAGAGCCCGAGGACGAAGCTAGAGGGCGTTCGGAATCCCAGAATCCTCTCGACTCGCAAGATCCCCACAGCGATCGATCTCCCAAACGACAACGCCGGGGGTCCGATGCCCCGGCGCCGCCAGACAGGCCGCCGTCCGAGAAGACCTCCATCTCCCCGTCGCAGAGCTCGTCCGCCCGACGACGCTCTTCACAATCCCATACCAACGGCCATCTTCCCCCTCCGCCCGCACAGCATCGCCATCCACACCCCTTGCCCCCGGCTCCTCGGCCCTATTCCCGACGAGACAGCGACAGTCGACCCGGAAGCAATCCGGCGCCGGGTGCCTCCGTCGACCCCATCCAGCAACGGATCGACGAGATTGTGCAACAGAACATGTCCCACGGGGCTGCTCCTGCACCACCGACATCATCTCGTGACCCTCCACGGTCCGAACGACGATCCTCCGATCGATACCGCGGCGATTGGGAACACGAAGACCACCACCCTGACCGACGCCGTCGGCCCTCAGACTCAGGGAGCAGCAGCAGGAAGCCACCACCACCACCTTCTTCTGATCATCACCACCCTCATCAACATCAGCAGCCTCCTCCTCCACCCCCCGATCACCTTAATGACAGCCAACCCCCACCACCGCCTCCGCCACCACCTTCACAAAGCAATCCTCACAATCCGGAAGATAAGGATGACGAGGGTGGAGGGAGCGAAGAAGGAGAGTTATAATAGATTCCATCCCCCTTTTCCCCAGTTTATTTCACTTGTCTGTATCATTTGGAAGCTCTTTCCTTTCGTTTATTCTCACTCATGATTCGCATTCCTCCACTTGAGACTTCCCTTGTTTTCTACATTTTCCCCCTTTCCCATCGCATATATCATTATCATTATCATTATCGGTATTGACCCGGATGATTCATATTCGGCTTCAGTCTTCTTTTTCTTCGTCTTCAAAAATCGATCGAACTTTTTTGTCTTTCTCCTTTTTACTAAGTCGACCGAGATTTTTTCTTAATACATGGATTAAAGCGGCAAATACATAAATAAACGGATTGAATAGAAAAAGAAAAAAGGAAAAAAAAAGTTCAAAAATAATTAAAACGAAAGTCAACTGAAAATTAAGACTGTTTCTTCTAATTTGTACTTTACAACCTTTGAACTAGGTGATTAATTACTTTGCTGAGTTACCTGTCTGTACTTGATTCTTTTGTTACCTGGATGAGAGGCTATGTGTTTCTATGCAGGCCGAGATGCTTCTCGTCTATGTTTTAAAAGATTCTTGATGATCGAACCGAACGAGGGTAAGTATAATGAATGCTATGTTTCAATAACGAGAGTGTAGCGTATGTAATGGTAGTGCAATGTGCTTAATTGCACCCCGGAAAAGAAATAAGGTAATGAGAATGGAAAAAACTGACAGGGAGTGAAAAAAAGTATGATTTTAAAAGAAGGTTAGAAAAGAAAAAGAAAAAAGACTGGACTGGACTCCATAATCAATTCCCTATCTGCTCAGTATCCCGCGGCCATCATTCCCGGGCCGTGGTCAAGCAAGCTGCTTGAAGCGACAAAGCTGAATCCACCGAAAGGGTCGGTCTCTCCGCCCAAGCCGTCATGTCCGGTGGACATACCTGGCTGGCTCGGTCGGCGAGCGCCCGTGATGGAATCGTCGAAGCCGCCGACCATGGGGCTGAGAGGCAGCTGAGTAAAGTCGATCGAGAAGTTCTCGGCCAGCGCGGGATCCGTCACGACGGGGTTGATAGGCGGGTCGAGTTCACGACGCTCGAGGGCCTTCCAGTCGATTTTGCGGAAGAACCGGTGGTTCTTGATGGTTTGGAGGTCCTTGGGCATGTGGTATCCGAGGCGCTTGGAAGGCTCCTTGCGAAGCAGGCGCGTGAGCAGGTCTTTGGCGTCCGGACCGAGGAAGTACGGCATGGTCAGTTTCTGCTTGACGATCTTCTCCTGGAGTTTCGCATTGTTATTGGCTCGGAAAGGGGGAGATCCCGTGAGCAGATCAAACCCCAGCGCCCCCAGAGACCACCAGTCGCAGGCCTTGCCATATGATTTGCCTTGGACGACCTCTGGGGCCATGTACTCGATGGTACCCAGGGACGAGTTGCAGCGGTCGTCGTCGTCAACGGCAATTTTGCTGAGGCCAAAGTCCGTCAACACGAGGTGTCCGCGTCGGTCTAGGAGACAATTCTCCGGCTTGAGGTCACGGTAGATCACCCCGACGTTCTGGTGAAGGTGCTCAAGAGCAAGGACCATTTGCGCCATATAGAAGGCGGCCGCATCTTCGTCAAACATACGCTCCATCGCCAAGTGCGTGAACAGCTCCCCGCCCTCCGCATACTCCAGAATGAGATACAACATTTCGTGATCCTGGAATGCATAGAAGAGCTTGACAACAAAAGGGTGGCGGTTCACGCTCTCTAGGATCGTGCGCTCCGTCTTGGTTTGCTCCACGAGTTTCTTGTGGACGGTGATGGAGGCCTTTCGAAACTGTTTCTGCGCATAAAGCTTGCCCGTGAGCACATGACGCACCAGCAACACAGTTCCAAAGGAGCCCTTGCCCAGACAGAGCAGCGGTTCAAAGTCATCGGTGGTCATCTTACGGCATAGCTGAGAGCGAACATCCTGAACACTCGAGGTATTCTGGCAATTCTCTTCCGCTGCAGCATCGGCGCTCACATAGTCGTGATCCAAAGGAACTTCGTAACTGGTGAGGACCTCGGTCTGATCGCTGTCGGAGCAAACACTGGCGTTGCTTGGGGTCTCGGAACAGATGTCACTGGGAGCCCTGTCTTGGGGACGATCGCCGGAGATATCGAGGGAATCAAGCTGAAGCTTCAAGGCACTTACCCCGCCATTATTGCCATTGCTCGTAGGGACGGGGTGCCGCTTCGAGCTAGGAGCTCTGGAGCTCGAAGTCGAGAAGTCTGAGTCTTCATCGCCTGATCCCCTAGGAGTAAAGCCACGCACGGTGGAGATGGCGGAAGCTGCTTCGTTGCCCTGCTGTCTCTTCTTCTTCTTGCGTCGGTCCGATTTTCCGGCCAACGGAATCGCATTCAATTTCGGCGCGGGAAAAGGATTGATCGCGCCAAGTTCCTTCGTCACCTTGCGCTCAGGACTGCATTCACTCATGCGAAAGTTGGTGTCTTGGGCGGCGTTCATACCGGTCTCTTCGAGAGACTGGGACATGTCCGCCTGCGGACTAAATACGTCGCCCACCGAGAGATCGTCCTGCATTCTAGTCGATGAATCCATTGCTGTCTTTCTCTCTGCCTTCTTTTTTCTAGAAGTTCTTGTTGATCTATTGTTGATCCCTTTACCCTGTCTCTTCTTGCGTTGCGATCCGAAGGACTATGCGGAAAATGTCGGAGCGAAAACAGCGACAGCAAGAGTACGATTCATAAAGGCACGGATGATTACATCCACTCAGCCATAAATAATGGAGAGAAGCCCGGAAGGCTGAGCCAGCGATACCTGAATCCAGCAGAAGTGTAAGAACGCGACTCGGCCATTTTACGCACACAAGTGGGGTACTTTTGAACCCGAGGAAGAAAACCAACAAGTAAGGGGGCAGAGGAACTATTAAACCCACGTACCGGTGCGAGGCAAATACAGGGGGAATCGGAAAAAGCCCAGGAAGTCAAGACTCCCAATCACACTTGCCCGAAGGCGAATCTAGTTGTCGGACACTGAAACTCTCAGGTCAAAAGCAATTTACCGTCCGCCCTTTTTCAGGACGGACCATGAACCCCTAGCCAGATCACCCCGTTGACGGAGGGTCCCAACGGCTGAGTATATGACACAACCGAGGAGCCAGCCAGTGCGGAAGGACCGCGAGAGACAGCGAGGGCCGAGTCGGTATTCACGATCGGGGAAACCGCGGAGGAGTCGGCAAGGCAGCCAGCGGGGGGAACGTAAGCGGACGATGAGGGCGTGGGCGCAGACAGGCACATGAAGAAACGGCCGGAGATGAGATCGAGTGGAAATCAAACAGACTGGGGATCCCAGGGCAAGGGTGTTGAAGGGTGATTCGGAGTGATATTCCCGATCAAACGGTGGGGGAGAAGAAGAAGTAAGAAAGAAAGAAACAAAAAGTTGGAGGATCCGCCGGAGGTCCCGTTGCTGCCCAAGGCAGCCAATCAGGGGGCGCCGATGCTAAGCGTGCCCGCTAAGCCTGATCGGGCACGGCCGTCACGCGCTGAGGTCATCGTCTATACAAACTACCGAGTATTCGGATACAGAGCATACAGAGCATCAAGCCTACGTCTGCTTGGTGGTTTTACATTCGTTTTACCGCCCCATGGCCAGATCAAAGTCAAGAAAACAATCAACCCAGTCACGACTCCAAATCATGCTCGTCCGCCGTCGAGTTCCAGCCTCTCGAAGAAAGCTTGAGACCGCGTGATCTCCACGCCAGACCTCTCGACGAAGGCGAGCGCGCTAGGTTTCTCGACCTTGACTGTCACGCGCTCGTTGGAGAACTCCACCGTCACAATGCGCGCCACATAGGTTGCCAGCGCCTCGACCGTCTGGAACGACGTGCCTTCGACTCGCTATGGGGGAAGGTAGCATTAGCCATGGTGTGCATTACCGCTCTCATGGAAGATCACCTACCTCTGCAACAGCCCTCGTCATCGCCTGATAAGTGTCCACCACCGTCGAGCCCCAGGGTAGTTGGCCAGGACCCTTGAACTCCAAGGAGATGATCACCGCCTGCTTCTCCACCCTCTCGTGGGAGTTGACCCCCAGGATACAGTAGCATCGAATGCCGTCGATTCGGAACTCTTCTTCGAGGACCACCGGGCGTCTTTCAGACTCGTCGGCCTCGCCAGAGACACCATCGTCTCCCTGCTTATATCCCCACACTGTGACGCTACGGTATTTCAGACCCTCGTCCGCCCGGAGCAATGCCTTGGGCAGATGCAACCAGACCTCACACTCGCCATACACACTCTCGATGGGAGAGCTCGATGTACGCGGGGGGCTGAAGTTGAAGTTCGCGGGCCCGGATTGGCCACCCGAGCCACTGCTTCTGCGGATCCCTTGGTGCACATGGGACATCCGTCGCACCCCGGCGGCCGTTTCGTCCAGCAGTCCCAGACCACAGCTGGCGACGATGCCCGCCGTCAAACGCACGTCCTGCCCGAGTTCTTTCCGCAGCATCTCCTCGCGTCGGCTGCCCTCCACGCTGATCATGCGTTGTCCCGGAGCTTCTCCCCGTTGCCCCATGTGGCGGATGTCCTCCTCGAGGCGACGGTATAGCTTGCCGTAATCGAGAGAGAGCGAGACATCGTCAGCGATGGCGGCTGCGACGGCGGATGAGTACGATAACTTTAGCGACGCAGTGCAGGGTTGGGCTTTTTCGGGGCGGTGCCACGGGTCTGGGGCTGACGGCAGGGGAAGTTGGATGTCGCGGAGCTTTACACTATCGAGAACGGGCGGATGGGAGGGAATGTGTACGTTCACTCGTTGTTGCGCCATGATGAGATGGCGGTGATCGAAACCTAGAGTCCGCAGTCGCCCACGCAGTCTGACGTCAATACCTGTGGCTAGATGGGAGAATCAATGGCGACGGAATCGGTAGAAGCAGCTTGGATGGCCTAGTGTCGATCTCACCGGGTTTGAAATAAATCGCGAGGCAAGGAGCGAGAGGAAAAACCCTGCACACAAGGGCCAGCCAGCTGAGATACGAGTCGGTCGATTTGTGCGGGGCAGCTGGGAAGGTCGATTGACGGTGGGGGTTTTTAGCGCCGGTGACAAACCGTAGATTCATCGCGCCTTGTATGACGTCCGTCCCAAACGTTGATGCTTTACTTCGTCACTCCCTACAAAAATGGACCGTCGTGCCGGGATCCTTTTACTACAATTGTCCAGTCTCCTTTGAGGTCGGCGAGGCGATACGAGTGTCAATTCCAGTGGGGTTTTCCAAGCAGGCCAAGGTGGGCGAACGCAAAAATGTCATTTCGTGGTTAAATGTACATTATATCCTCGTCAAAGGGCAAATATCATCAGGAAATAAGGTGGTTTGTTGGGAGATCCGGGGGAGATGCGTTTCACACACCAAGGCCAGCTGCTGCGTTCTTGGATGTCCAAACTAACCGGGCGAATAAAAGCAGCTGGAAGTTTTAATCGGCCATTTCCTACAGCCATCCTGTTTTGTCGCGAGATTCATTCCCGGAACAGGCCCCAGGCACATAGGAAGTCGCATCGTTATCATGTCGAGGAAAACAGAAGCTTTTTCTTTTTTCTTTTCGCAGCGGGCGCATGGCAAGACTCGCATCTCCACTCCAGACAATGAAGTCGAATTTACGCTCCATGGTCCGGTGAATGAGCAAAGGCCCATCATCAACAGCAAAAAGTGCAAATGATCAGCAGGAAAAAACAAAACGAGAAGCATAGAGGGGGGGGGGTATCCGCCATGCAAGCAGCATAAATCACACGGAACGAAATAAATTACCAGTAGCCACGGCGGTCATACGGAACGTATTCACCCCGTGGAGGACTCCGAGGACGTCCATAAGGCCTGGGAGGAATGTATGGGTCCTCATAGCGAGGCGGAGGTGGCGGTCGCACATCATAGGGATCGTCATAAGGACGACGAGGAGCAGGATAGTCTTCAATCCGAGGGCGGGGGGGAGTGCGACGACCGTAGCCATCCCGATCATAGTAGTCCCGACGCATCGGAATGGGAGAACGTTCACGGTAATGAGCACGGGGGCTGTAACCACGAGGGGCCGGGAACCTTCGGTCGTATTCATCCACAGGGGGGTAGCTCCGACGAGGAGATCGTGACCGGTAGGGATCGCGGAAAGTACGATCATCAAAGGACTGGATCTGTAGCTGGATGAGGATTGGTCCGGGTTGAGGCGTGGGTAAGGTCCCTTACATCTGCGACACAGCTCACTCGCGAGCCTTTGAAGTCACGTCCATCGAGCTTATCGATGGCAGTCTTGAGATCGTTCGCAGTTTCAAACTCAACAAACCTTGAATTTGGTGTTAATAGGTTCCGAATGTCGTCCAAGGATAATGGTATGTGAACGGAACCCACCCTCTACCCAGTTCACGGCCGGTTTCCGAGTACACGACGTCAAGGCCAGATTGACGCGCGAAATCTTTGAGGTCCTAGATAATCCCGGAGTGTGAGTCCATTTCCAGGTGAAATTTTGGAATCCGGTGGTATCAAGTGGATGTGCAGCGACTAAACAAAAACGACTAGGGATCGTAGTCGGGAAAGGGAAGACCAGAGTATTAACCGAAAAGCAAAGAAAAGGCCTAAGAGGGTCCGTGTCCATATCGGCCTGAGGTCTCTCTTTTTGTCCAAAGGCGGGTCGTCCAGCGTCCGGTAACTGCCCTGCGGTTTGCAGGGGGTCCATGTACATCGAGGCTGAGAAATATCGCCTTTCCGCCAGATAAATCCTGGGAAGCTGAGCAAACCGACCCACCATGGATAAAGTGGTCGTGCTGTGTCTTCTTTTCAAGAACCTGGACGGGGGACAAGGAACAAAGGAAACAAAAGGGATGTGCACAGATGAAAAGGGGGCATCGGTCAAACACTGATCGGCCACCCCGGATGGGGTCCGGGAAATCCTAAGGAAAATGGACGTGGGCTGCTAACCTGCCAACTTGTTTCCGGGAGTCCGGAAACCATCATGCGAAAGATCGTGCGCCGAGGGCGAGGCATGGCCGGGCGATCCATTGGACCAGGGAAGTTCTCCTTACGGCGCGGTCCACGAGCAAATTGCACCGTGAGCCGTTCACCTTTAAAGTCACTGCCATCTAGATGAAAACCGTTAGAATGGAGACACGTCCTCATGGGCGGCTGAATGGACTACATACGGAACGCTAGATGGGAAAACGGTTAGCAGGCGGTTCGCAACCATACGACGGGCCAAAAGAACATACCTGGAACAACATCTCGCGCATCCATCGCATCTTCGTATTCGATGAAACCGAAGCCATTCATCAGCTTGATCTCTGTGATCTTTCCAGAGCCATGAGTACTGAAATGTTCCTCGATATCTGATTTGGTCACTGGAATACCCCAGGGCGCCGGTCACCGGCGCCGCGAGAAATGTTAGCTCATTGCAATCAAATAGGTCTAAGTAAGTCCAGGAAGTTGGTTCTAGTCAGGTTGTCAACAGGTCACCGGCGGTTAGAACAGGCTTCCAAGGCAGAAGCCGCCGAACCAGAACAAGGAAAATCCTTTCTCAGACGGAGATACCCCGGGCAGCACGACCAGGAAGAACAACAGGTGCAGCAGAGCCTTGACGTTGCAGATGACGGGCAACCGAGGAGCATGGGAATCCGATCGGAGCATCCTGTCTCCGGGGCGCAAATTGACCGGACGGGGAGAGAGAACCCGGTCGGAGGAGAGAGATGGATAAATGCCTGCATACCATTGCGGGGAAGATTCCCGAGATAGAGTCGCGTGGATGAAACTTCAGTCATGGTGGACAAAAACAAAAACACCGGATGAGAATGGAGGGTCCAATAGCCGACGGAATCGCTAGATAGCTAGATGTTTCTGGGCCCTGGGACTTGCGGTGGCCAAGTCAAGAAAAAGAAAGGAAACACAGATCCGGTCAAGAGAGCAGGGCCTGGGATCAAGGATTCAAATGGCGAACGGTCCTCTCTGGGATAGATGGAATGGTCTTTGTTTTTCCTGGTTTCCCCGAGCCGGAGATGGTCCAGAAGTTTTGCTGGTGGGCCTGACTAGGAGAGAGGGGGGGCGTTTGGTACGCCTAGTTGGGGGGCAGTAGCAGTTCCGTGGTAGCTCCGTTTGCAGAGGCCACGACGCGATGATTTGAATACAGACCGAAAAGAAGGCGATGGAAGATTGAAGGAATAGGGGATGAGATCGAGACAGAAGAGGAGGAGAGAAGAGGGAATGAGAGGAGCGACGAGAGAGTGGTGAATGGAGGGTGTTGACCGCCAGGCAAAACAAAAAGGGAAGAAAAAGAAAAAAAAAAAAAGAAAAAAAAAAAAAAAAAAAAAAAAAGGCCCGTGACCAGTCTTGTTGGAGGGTGCAAACGGAGGAGTGCTAACAGTCGAACAGTCGAAGTCTGACCAGCTGCTCTAAAGATACTCCGCGCAACCAAACAGCTTTGCGTTACGGTCCGCCTCACTTTTTCTCTGGGCGGATCCACGTGGCCCCGCCTGCTACCACAAGAAACACTGCGCTCCCCAGCCTTGTCTGGATGCTCTGGAGTCAATCCTAACATGTACTTCAGTCTTCTCAGATGTCATCCGGAGGCACATTCTCATTCTCATTCTTCGTGGCGAATTCTGACAGGCCCTGTCACGTGGAGTCACCTGCCCCTTGCCGGAGGTTCTTTCGTCATTCCCCCTTCTTGCGATAAAGTACCTTTCTCTCTCTTGATGCTCCATCAAGGCTCTACAGAAGCTTCATCAAGAATCCCTCGGAGCGAATCTTATCTGCACTGTCCTTGGATTTTATCTCCTTGAATAGATCATATCTCTTTCAATTCACTTGATCAATTTGATAAGCGTTTGATACTAACGTCGTCGACTTATGGCCCCTAGTTCATCGCAAGGCACAATCAGTATCCATTATGTCTTCGTTGATAATATCAGAGAAAGCATAATTCTTGCTGGTTTTACTTTACCAGGAAACTCAATCAAGAATTATTGCCGTTAACTCTCGGTTTCAGATCCCACACGCCAATTGCGTCTTCGCAGTTCACCGCACAAATCATCCCTACGTCCTTGTTTCTTCCGGTTTCAAACTGCTCGAGGACGGAATATGCAAGAATCCATTCTATCCAAGTTGCATCAACCAAATATACCGATGTGCTATTGGTTCTGAATCATGCCTGAACCAAAGATCACATCAGTTTCACGTCGGGCCGATATACTCGGGACGGCTTCCGCCGTGGCCATGGAGTCATACTTACGGAGTATATCGCCGAACCGCTTTTTGACGTAGAAATTACATCCTTTAATAAATTTAGCCCTTTCCCCTCTCTCTGTGGCTTTTTGAACTACCTACTATCTGCTATCTGTCGCTACCATGTCTTCTACATTGGTGGAACACGCTCTCCTGCCTGGCCATGAGCGCATGGTCAAAGTCACCCTTGGCCCCTGTCTTTTCGTTTTTAGAGGTGACATGCATTGTCCCTGCTCTTCCGGCTCTCTAGTGACCCAAGAGCATTCTTTTGCCGCCGGAGGAATATGTGACGACTGCGGTCATCTTCTCTCCCGGCATCGACATTATGGTTTTAGCCCCCAAGGCCATTGATGAAAGGTGATTGAACTAATTATCAGCAGCCGAATCTCCGCCGGAACTTCCTCAGTCTTTACCCCAGGATATTTCGCCTCGATCCGACACAGTCAGGAAGCTTGCCGCGTTGCTGGACAGAAAGCGAGTGGTACACATTAGAGGAACCCCATCTTCCGGAAAGACAACGCTTGCGCGTCTTCTTGAGTTCTATTACGCTGAACAGGGGCAGTCGGTGAAGCTCATTACGGGCTGGAGGCACAACCCTGACCTTCCCACCCAACAGAATCAACGCCAACCGGAGGAAAGCCGTCTTTTTGAGATCGAGAACCTTCTGCACACTAATACCGTCTTCATTATCGACGAGGCCCAAGAATCATTTGCAGATCATGCGCTATGGCTAGGTCCCATAAAATCCCAAAGTGGTGCTTCTGGGGGTGCAAAAATATGCCTGCTCTCGTCCTATGGGAGTCCTACCAGCGGATCGCCTGTTTTTCCTGATGCGCAAGCCCCCCTGTATCTGGAACCTTCGCAGCGTGTATCCATTGCTGAGCAATCAGACCCGGAGTCCTCGGGGATCTGCCTTTTTTACAATGAAGAAGAATTCGAAGACGCAGTGAATAGACTCTGCTCCCGTCCAGACACATCTTTGGACATGGATTCATCGGCGCGCGCTTACCTGTACACCATGACAAAAGGGCATCCCGGCGCCGTTGAGGCACTGGTTTCATACGTCTTCAGGGTATGTATTGACCAAGATACAGGTTAGGGCATGCATTAAACACGTTGGTTTGCAGAACTATGAGCAAGCATTAAAGAATGGTGCGATGCGAACCGTGACAAAGGAACTCATTAGTCAATCATTATACGACGAATCTCGAGTCTTCAGAGGCCTCCGGAAAAATGCTGTCTTCGCATCGTTTCCCTTGTCAAAGTTTCTCACAGCGCAGGCGGTCAAGGTACTCCGCAAGGTGTTAGAAGATGGTAGTGTGCCATTCAATCTTCAAGACGACGGCCTCCGGCTCTGTTACGAGAAAGGATGGTTGCACTTGGACCTCGCCAGGACCTCGGCCTCGGAGGATCTCAAGATGATATGTTTCCTCCCTACCAGACTACACATGAAGTAATGCTGCACCCAAGTGCCAGGATCCGACAACGAACACACCTTGTTAACGTGATCGACCAACAGATTCGTGGAATACACCCTGCACGTATCCCAACTGGAGCCCTTCCCATTTGGCCGGTTCCCCTGCCTCGCCGACCTCTGCGAAGCCATCCTCAAATGCTTCTCGCGCTCCCGTCTCCTCTCAACCCCCGATACCTCCCATCTCCCCAGCAAGTTCATCCGCCCTCCCGAGACCCCCTTCCAGGACGAATGGTACCGCTGCTTCTCTTCCCTCGTCGGCCACGCAGTGGGCATCTCAAGCAAGTGGTCCCGCGTCGGCAACGAACGCGTCGACTTCCGCATTATCGCGCCGGCATGGGGCGTCGAGCTGCTCCGCGACGGTGATCAGATCCACAGCGTGTGCGCTCGCTTCCAGCAACACGGTCTCTATCGCCCCTTGATCGAGGAGGGGAAGATGACCGACTGGCTTATCCTGGACTGCAGGCAGTCTGTTCCGCAGAAGTATCGTACGTTGGATCTACTGACTCATTCCAATATTCGTCCGCGTGGGAAAGTTTTAAAGTCTCATAGAACCCAAAGCTGATGTTTCTCGCTAGATATACCCGGCACGAAGCTCTGGCGAGTCATCTTCAAGGAAGACTATACTTCAGCGTATGTCCTGGATAGCGAAAATGCGTTGGTCGTGCCAGAATTTGCGCTGTTGGATTGAGCGTTGAGCGTTCCCTGTCCCTGTTTCTTTAGAAACAGACGGTAAGTACAAGATTGGAATCATTATGTTGCCCATTTACCTGAACCAAAAATGGATTATGATCCTTAAGCGACTTGCTAATAAATAATCAAATTAAACTTCTCTTCGTTGAGGTCGAGAAATACTCAATACAATTAACTCAAATAAATATCTATATACAGACGAAAAGGGACCTGTCCCAAAACCGAATCGACTTGCTTTTCTGGTCTCCTTTTGTACAGGACATAAGAGTAGGACACGGGGTTAAGGTCAAGGAAGTAAAGCTGAGGATGTAGAGCTGAGCGGTGGAATCGGAACCAGAAGCAACTCTATTCAACAGAGAGAGTAGGATATAGTTGAAAAACGATTGGCGAAAGAAAGACTAAGCAGACGGAATTCCACTTATGTCATGAAGTACTTGGGACCTTCGCCACCCTGGGGTGTTTGCCAGTTGATATCCTGCGTGGGCACCTTGATGTCGCAGGTCTTGCAGTGGATGCAGCTATTATGTGTTAGTATCGATCAGAACAAGGGGTAGAGAAGGGGGGAAGAGGGAAGTGGAACTTACTTCTGGGCATTGATTTGGAAACGAACGCCGTGTTCCTTGCTGGGATCCTCGACGTATTCGTACACTCCGGCAGGGCAGAACCGGTTCTCGATACCCTTGTACTGCGGCCACGCGACATCCTTGTGCTTGTCCCAGTCTTCGACCTGCAGGTGCACGGGCTGGTCTTCCTCGTGGTTGGTGCCGGTGCGGCTGACGCTGGTGAGGATGTCAAAGCTGAGGACGCCGTCCGGCTTGGGGTATTCGATCTTCTCGCATGCCGAGGCCTGCTTCGTGGCCGCGGCGTCGGTGCTGTGGTGCTTCAGGGTCCAGGGCGTTCGGCCCTTGAAAAGGTAGGCCTCCAGACCGGAGTAGATGACGCCGCCGTAGAGGCCGAGAGGGGTGCCGAAGGAAGGTCGCATGTTGCGGACTTCGCGCAGCTCTTTCCAGATCGACGACTCCCGGAGAGCCTTCTCGTAGTCGAATAGGAAGACCGTTCCCTCGCTAGAGCTCTGCAGCGCCGAGAATGTCGATTCGGCGGCCAGCATACCGGATTTCATGGCCGTGTGCGTGCCCTTGATCTTGGGGACGTTGAGGAATCCCGCCGTGTCGCCGATGAGCGCGCCTCCAGGGAAGGCGCATTTCGGGATGGACTGGAAGCCACCCTCGTTCAGAGCACGGGCTCCGTAAGAGATACACTTGCCGCCCTCCAGGACATCCTTGAAAAGAGGGTGGTGCTTGAGCTTCTGGAACTCACCATACGGGGAAAGCCAAGGGTTGGGATAATCCAGGCCAACCACCAGACCAAGAGTGACCATGTTGTCACCAAAGTGGTACATGAAAGCACCGCCGTAGGTATCCGTGGGAAGTGGGTAACCCAAGGAATGCACGATCTCTCCGGAGTTGAACTTCTCGGGCTGGATTTCCCAGACTTCCTTCAACCCGATGCCGTACGTTTGTGGCTGGCTGTCCCGGCGCAGGTCATATTTCTTGGTGACCTGCTTGGTCAAGCTGCCATGACAGCCCTCGGCAAGAAGGGTGACGCGAGCATGAAACGCCATGCCTCGCTCGAAGGTGTCCTTCGCCTGACCATCTCGGCCAATACCTAGGTCGTTGGTCGCCACTCCAAGCACGGCGCCATCGGTTCCGTAGACGATTTCGCTAGCGGCAAATCCGGGGTAGATTTCCACGCCCAACTCCTCCGCTCGCTCCCCCAGCCATTTGGTCAACTCGTTCAAGCTAACGATATAGTTGCCGTGGTTGTTCATCTGCGGCGGCATCGGGATGGGAATCGAGGAGTTCTGGGTCAAGAAGCGCATCTTCTCTTCCTTGGCCGGCGTCACGCCCTCGAACCGTGACGGGTTGTCCTCCGATAGCCAGTCGGGTAGCAGCTCGTTGAGCGCAGTCGGTTCAAAGACATTGCCCGATAAGATGTGCGCGCCAATTTCGCCAGCCTTCTCCAGCAAGATCACACGAAATTCCTCATTGCCCGCTTCGTTGGCAAGCTGTTTTAGTCGAATGGCAGCGGCAAGACCGGCGGGGCCTAAATTCCATGAAAAGCAGATGGTCAGCGATGACAAGAACCGGGACCCCGTGAGATGCAATGAGAAGATGAAGCCTTACCACCACCGACAATGCAAACGTCCACTTCGTCCGACTCTCTCTCCACCGACCGGGGATCAAATTGGCCATTTTCGTTGGCGAGCTTCAGCGACTGCGAAAAGGCACGAATGGGTGTGCGACCCGGGGCGAAAAGCGCGGCGCGACGGGAGGCTCTGCGTCCAGAGATGGAAAGCGAAGGATTCGAGCTCCTCGCCGAGTTCGGAGCAGTGGAAAAGGAGGAGTAGGCCCGCGAGAGGCGCGAGGGCGCAGGTCGCAGTTCACGCCTCAAAAGAGGCAGCATGGCTCCCTTAGAGGCCATGGGGCAAAACGGGGGGGGAACAAAGACGGAGAGAGGAGAGTGGGGTATAGAGTCGAGCTCCTATTATACAGGCATCGGCATGACAGACGATCACGAACCCGGCAGAGCGCAGCGTGGAGAGGAAGCAAGCGAAGTAATAAATGCGGGATCAACTTCGATGCAAAAAGGTGACTAAGCCGGCGGGCGGTGGCCCGAGGTAACGACAGCCAATGGGAAGGGGGGCAATTGGGAATCACTCATCCCTCCGCCGCCCGTGATCCGTTGGAAACCGAATCCTAAGGTATCCTCCGCAGGTAACCCATCGAGCCCTGGAGGCATACAGCCTATTCCCCCGTCGTAGCCTTTCGCCCGTCCTACGTCACTCCTACGAGGGTTCTCGACGTTCATCCCGGTCGCTGATCGACCAGCTGGTTTCGGCAGGCCTTCCAGAACCCCCAACGTAGCAAATGTCCCATCGACGCAAAGTAAAACCCCGAATCATGAGCAAACCACATGCGCGGGATGATATCATCACCTCCGGCTATCTTAGCACCGGACTCTGGCATAATAGATAGCGTTCGGATAGAAAGGGAACGGCCTCGTTTGGCCCGCGGGAACAGAGCGGATGGCAAAAAGGCCAAACGTCCCGACGGATACCGAGACGCCCGGGGCGGTCAGGTATGCTGGATACCGCCGAGGGCAGGTAAAATACCAGGCCCGTGATGCAAGTCGATTACGTACGCCCTCAAACACAGCGCTCGGCGCATTTACGGGGTTCGATGCCTCTTCTTGTCGGCGGAGTGTACGAGTCAACTTGTCATATTTACTATTTTTACCCCCGTCTCCATTCCCGTCAAACATCACATCGCAAAGTCGGTGGATCACAGGCTGCCTGCGATCTGGGGGAAACGCCGCGGGCGCCACCATGGCCGACAGCGCCTACGGGGATCCAATCATGGACGCGACTCCTTTTCTGATCCATCGGTCGGCGACAAGCTTTTCGCGTTTGGGGGTGGAGGGTGAAATCGACGTGTAGCGCGGACTAACGGAGAACAGGGAGTACAGGTCGCGGGTGGGATTTTCGCACTGGACTGGTAGATTTCCTCGTCGACTATTTATATCCTAGGATCATTGCGTTCATTGCGTTCATCCGGCGACTGGTCGGAGAGAAACAGGATTAAGCTATCGCGTGGAGCTGACATCGCGATGATGAAATCTATATGGGCGTCGCGTCGATGAGTGGCTGAAAGAGGAAAGGAAATAGGCACAACAAAAGAGCGAAAGAGAACAAAGGACCGGGAGCGCGAAAGGCCAGCTTGTTTTGTTCGGGGACGGGCGCTAAAGCAGCGAGGACGGCGCCCGGGAACAGCGTGATTGGAGCAGACGGAATGCATAGACTCGGCGGTGGGTCCGCCTATCAGTAGCAGGAGCGACGCGGACTGGACGCCAGACGAGTGGCTGCAACCATGGCGCTGACCGGAAAAAAAGGCAAGGGGGCAACAGCCAACCAGCGCGCGTGGACGGCGGTGGGGCTCCCAGAACAATGTGCGCGCAGTGGGGCGTGCGATCAGCGAACCAGGAGGGAGTCAAGGGCGCTTGCTGGGGGGGCGGGCAGGAAGGGTTGGCCACCCAAGAGCCGCTAGTGGACGACTAGCTCAGACCCAACCAGCCAAACCCATGGATGGAGGCGACCGCCCATCGCTGCTTTTGCCGCCGCCGCCAGGCCCAGCCCCCCCTGACGCCAGCACTCCCGGGCGCCGTGACTCAGCCTATATAAAGGCCCAACCTCCCACTTTCCTGACCTTGTTGGAATTTTTGATCTGGTCTTGGCACCGCCCGGAAACGCCATACAGTTGTCTTCTTCCCGCCCATACCTCCCTCCCCTCTCTCTCTCTCGCGCGCGATCACATCGCAGAGCTTGGCTTCCTTTTTTTGTTAATATTCTATTTTCAAAAAAAGGCCCTCTCTGCTTTTGTTCGTCTGACAACAAGGATTTTTTTCCTTTCCGGGAAGCACTCTTAGGCACACTCGTCTCCCAAGAAGACCATCGCCGGGGCGGAACAACATTTCCCCCGCTCCAACAACGTTTCATCCGTTGAAACCAGGAAGTTTGCAACTGCATCTTCGCCGCTCTCTCTCGAGTCCTTTGACTCTCAAGTCCCCAAAGCAGATAGACCCTTTTCCCAAAAAGGAAAAGCCCCAAAAAAAGTTTGATTGTTTTGTCCAAAAAAAATTCCAGCGCATCCATTTGTCTTCACTCTCTCTTCAACTTGCGCCTGTCCTTTTGCCATCTGTCCATAGCTGTCGTCTCCTGTTGCCTTTCGAGTTAAATCTCCCGGGAAAACACTTCACTGTGCTTTTTCTGGTCTCTGGTCCTGTTCACCCTCACTGTCTTGTTCAGAACCTTGCCCAACCTGACCTTGAGTTCGGTTCTGCTTCATCGCTCTTCGGGACCCTCCCGTTGTTGAACAGAAAGGCAGCTTTGCTGTAGGGGAGACATTGACTTGTCCATCTCCCACAAAGGGTATGTTGTCATCTCTCTTTCTTGAAATCCCCAAGAAAAAAAATCTTGCACCAGGCGGTCTGAACTTTTCTTTTCTGCCTCTCCACACCGCCGTGGCGACTTCTTTGTCGCAGTTGCTGCAGGCAACTTGGACCTCGTCGGGAAAACTCTGCCCATCACCTGAATCTCTGTCATCACTACGCTGCTCCACTACTACATCACTCCACATCGCTTGATGTTTGCCTCGTCGCTGTCTGGTGTGTCTACTGGCTTTGACTAATCTCTCTGTCCTTGGTACACAGACTGCCCTCTCTAAGAGCTCGCTCTATCTATTCAGTCTTGGCTGGTCTACAGCTCGAGTATTTCTGACTCACGTCACGATGGATTCTCTCACAACCCATCCCTCCAACGCGCAGCAGGCCCGGGCCTTCACTTCTCCTGCCTCGCTCTCCTTCCCCGGTGGCGCCGGCGATCTGACTCCGCCCTCCGATAAAGATGGGAACATGGCCGTGGGTGCTCAGGGTGCGAACGGGAACGTGAACGGTCAGCAGCCCGGAGCGAATGCCGTTAATGGCAACGGGGTGACGCCCGCGACTCCGGCTGCTACTCCGGCTGCGAATGCGCCGGGGAGTGGCATTGTGCCAACGCTGCAGTGAGTATACTCTTGCTGTCTCTTCTGGTTCACCAGAATACTGAACATGTCTCTTTAAGAAACATTGTCGCTACCGTCAACCTTGACTGTCGTTTGGATCTGAAAACCATTGCGCTCCACGCAAGAAATGCGGAGTACAACCCAAAGGTATTATCTTCCACACCTCCCTGAGCCTCTTCTATCAGGGTACAGTGTGGCTGAACTGGTTTCTTTTCTTTCTCTTAGCGTTTCGCAGCCGTGATCATGCGTATTCGGGAACCGAAAACTACCGCTCTTATCTTCGCCTCGGGCAAGATGGTTGTGACTGGTGCCAAGTCGGAAGATGACTCCAAGCTGGCCTCCAGAAAATACGCGCGTATCATTCAGAAGCTTGGTTTCAACGCCAAGTTCACGGATTTCAAAATCCAGAACATTGTCGGCTCTTGCGACATCAAGTTCCCCATCCGTCTGGAAGGTTTGGCTAGTCGCCATCACAACTTCAGTTCTTACGAACCTGAGTTGTTCCCTGGTCTGATCTACCGTATGATGAAGCCCAAGATCGTGCTCCTGATCTTCGTCAGCGGGAAGATTGTCTTGACTGGTGCCAAGGTCCGTGAAGAGATCTACCAGGCGTTTGAACTGATCTACCCCGTGCTTTCAGGTACAGTACTCCGTCTTACCCTAGTTTCCCCCCGAAATAGTTGCTAACTGGCCGTCTTAGATTTCCGCAAGGTCTAAACCTACTGAGCGGTCTGAAAATGGGGAGGTCATTCTACCAATACTTCACCTCTTCTCACTTGTATTAACATCTTCTTTTCGTCTTTTTGTTTCTTTTTGCCCTTTTAATCACTTTGCGCGGCATGTATTACGAGCAAGGCACGACGCTTCAACCGTTGTCGACTGCCTGAATTCTCGAACTCTCGCCCCCCTTACACATGACGATTTTTGATGCTAGCATTTGTACGGCGTTATAGCGATTCGGATTGCTTACTCTTTTTCTTGTTTCAACAAACTTCTAAAGTGTCTACAATTAGATAGTCGCACACCCGCAGTTTCAAAGGGGGCGGTACTGTGCGCTGGTCGATGGTTGCCTCCTTCTAATTACTTTTTTGATTCTGCTTTTTCTTGATTATTTACTCACCTGCTCGTCAGGTTCCGGGGACGATTGATGGGTCAGAAGGGAAAAAATTACTCGAGTTGTCTTTTTTTTTTTTTTTTTTTTTAGAGATCGGACATGCAAACGAGATTGATGGGATCATGGTTCCGAGACCTTTTTTCATTTGCTGATTCCCCAAGGGCCGTCTGCTCTTCTTGCTCCGTTGCTATTCCGAGTTGCTGGTTGTCTAGCAGATAATAATGGAACGAAATATGCAGACATTTTCTGATCCTGTAGACCCATAACTCGTAGCTAATACATGTTTCCTTTCGGTAGGTAAGCTGTAGATTGAGCTTCAGCTGCCTGGTTATGCAGGCACGCAACGGGACGTTCCTAGCGTTTTGCTTGCTCCGTCCGAGCCTTCCTTGCTTTGCTTGTATGTAATCCAAAGTCGCCTGCAGAGAGCGAGCGGATGATTTTCATAAGGTATACAGGTGGATATTACACTGTCGCTATATCCCTTACTGATTAATGATTTTATAGTATCCGTAAGATTGGATCTATGTATATACAGACTTCGGTCTATCTACAATTCTACCTACCACTGCGATCTATACGCGCTCTATGCACACTTTTAAGGTATAAAATCCAGTTCAACAGGCGCGGTCTATAATGCACTCGTTCGCTGCTCCTTCTGCGTCTTTGCCAGCTCCTCCCGCAGCAGCAGTCCCTTCGGTCCTGAACGACTTCCGTCCTCGGCGCCTTGCAGCATCTGCGGATCGATGGCTTCCGGCCAGGCCCAGAGATTTTGCAGCTCGGGCTCCAGGCGGCCTTCGAGGGCGTCAACGATCTTGTCGCCGATCACGGGGAAGAATTTGTAGCCGTGGCCGCTGCCACCGGTGGCGAGGAAGAGTCCGGACTGGTCGGGGTGGTAGGTCACGATGAAGTCGCCGTTGGGGCTGTGTTGGTTTCGATTAGTGGGTTGGAGGGGTTGGAAGAGGTTTGATGTTGGATTTTTCGAGGAGAGAATGACTTACGTATCAGTGTACCAGCATACTCGGGTGGTGGTGAAGGGTCGCTCTCCGAACGTGGGAAGGAGCTGCTTCAGAGCAAAGCGGAAGGCGTCCTGGCCCTCGCGCGGAACTGGGACACCGCTCTCTGGCAGACTCACGTCCATGGTGGCTGTTCCCTGGCTTCCTGGAACGGGCACTGTTGTTGGGTTCTGGTAGCCATAGGCATGGCGAGCGATCTTGAGCAGGTTATTCCGCGGCGGAATGATGAACATGCCCGTGCTGAAGTTGAGGATGGTGGGCATGTTCTCCAGGAGCTTCTGTTCCTCGTCGGAGATGCGCATGTATGCGATTGCCTGTCCGGTTGCCACGGCTCGGCCGCGGAGATCAACCAGCTTCGACGTCCATGCACCGGTGGCCAGGATCACCAGATCCGCCGTTATCGAGGTCCCATCCGCCAAGGTCACGCCAGTCACTTTATTCGGTGTGGCCGAGTCGGCATACTGCAGGCTCTGAACGTTTCCCGTCTGGAAGTTGACCTTGCCTGCCTCGTCTAGTTTCTTCTTTGCGTAACGCACGGTGGCTTCGGCGTCAGACCAGCCCGAGCCCCAATTGACGTAGCCTCCGGCGACGTTGAGCGACTCGCCGTAGGCTGGCGCGGCCCGCAGAACGTCCTTTTTTGCGGGCAGGAACTCGACCAAATTCCCTTCCAGCTCCTTAACATTGTGGTAGCTTTTGATCGTATATTCCTTGCCTTGCGCATTGCCGTCTGGGTAGACCAGCAGCAGGCCATTCTGGGTGTAGCGGTCCTCGCGGCCCCATTCCGTGTTGCGCCAGCTTTCGATGGCGGTGGCAGCCAGTTTCACGTATGCAGGGTTCGAGTAGTCGGCGCGCACGATGCGCGAGCTGTCGACCGAAGATCCTTCCGGGTTGGGGATTGTAGGAGACGCCTCGAGCAGGGTGACTTGGCTAGCGGGGTGTCGGCGAGACAAGGCGAGGGCCGTGGACACTGAAGGGGTGCGAACGATTGTCAATCAGGGTCTGATGTAGGTATGTTTTATGGCGAAGTATCTCGAGGTTAAGCGCCGGGCGAGAAGATCCACGGGGTGCCATGTTTGGCCATCGCTTGTCTTGTCTTCAAGAGGATCGATCACTCACATCCGAAGACCCCTCCACCGACAATCAATATCTTGGGTGGGAGAGCCATTGTGCGGGATACCGAGGGCTGTCGGGCCTAGAAAATCGATGAAAGTCGACCAATTAGGCCAGGAACAAGATACCAAGAGGGGCGGAGGGTGAAGCAAGAGGAAAGGTTAGAAGAGAGAAAGAAGGAGAGGGGAACTTCCCCAGGATGGCCTGATAAGACTCGTGACTTTTCCCCGGAACCCGATGCGCCTTGCCCTTCTTGGCTTTCCGATCTTCGGCCCCGACGGTCGTTTTGATATCGCTCCATCCGATGACTTACGCGAGTTTATGACATTGCGCTCCTATCACTCGTCTCCCCAGCCATGAGCGCATCCCGAGCTGGACGCGCCGCCTTGAAAAGGGCCAAGGCGCCTATCACCGGTGCTCCAAGGACAGGCGGAAAGATCCCCGTCGAAAGGCCAGGGTCAGTATCCAGTATCTTCTCAGGGACGCCGCATGGGCAGCAGTCTTCCTGTTCGATACTGCAATTCAACTCCTGCATAGTCAAGCTTTTTGTCTACTCTTATCTAACATGTTAGCAGTCCAAAGACCCCGGGGGCGTCCTCGCTGCCGAATCGGGCCAACCCCCATCTGTTAAATCTCAAACCAGATGATGAAACCCGAATGTCGCCCCGAGTTATGACTGCTTTAGGCGTCGGCGTCCTAGGAATAAGTGCCTACTGTGGTTACCTGTTTGCATCCTACAAACGAGAGGTGGCCCAGTCACAGTCTCTGGACATCCCCAGGGACGTGTCGGACCGATACAACCACACTGCCGGCACATTCGACGCCGACGTTGAAATGTCTGAAAAGCTCATGCGCATGGGAAGCAAGCGAAAGAGCCTGGTGCAGCGAGCACGTGGAGACGTCTTGGAGGTCAGCTGTGGTACCGGTCGGAATCTCGAATACTACAAGCTCGGCGAGAAAAGAGGTCTCGATGAGAAGGATCGCGTCGGAATGCGAGGCTGTCGCTCGGTGACGTTCGTCGATCTCAGTCCCCAGATGGTGGACATTACACGACAGAAATTCGCCAAACTTCACCCGGCCTTCCAAGATGTGGTTTTCCGCGCGCAAGACGCAGCGGATGTCCCGCCCCCTCCGACCCAGGGGAAGCCCGCATATTACGATACCGTCGTACAGACGATGGGATTATGTTCGATGCCGGACCCTGTCGGCACCCTGCGGCATTTGGGGACCATCGTCGAGCCGCGGAAGGGGGAGATCTTGCTATTGGAACACGGTCGGTCGCATTATGACTGGCTCAATCGGGTCCTGGACAACCTGGCTCCTGCCCACGCGGACCGACATGGATGTTGGTGGAACCGGGATATTGGCCAGATTGTCCGCGAGAGCGGACTGGAGGTGGTCGAGGAGCAGCGGTGGCATTTTGGGACTACGTGGAAATACGTGCTGAGGCCGGCAACGAACTCGTAGAGACGCGAGGGGTGTATACTAGATTTGTATTATTTTTTATTTATGAGGGATGTCGTTGGTGTACCTGTATATCCCCCGTCAACGGTTTGATCATTGTACCATAGCCAGAATAGACTCATGCATGCTTGCGAACATCTAACGTACATTTAATCGTTTATCCACATTGGCTTCCCTCTATTGTGGTATGACGTCGCGTGTTTCTCGGGCTCCGCCAAGTCGTTCTCGAAGCAGGCAACATCGCCGGCGAGACCCATCTGGTCGGTGTAGATCGAGGCGATTCCGGTCGAGGAGGATGAGGTCAGGATGGCGTTGTGTGCATGCGGGGTTTCTCCATCGGTGCACCTCGCGATATACTGCAATAACGGACGGTACATGTATGCAGGGTATAATATATCATCGATGTATATATGTATGTGCGCATATGTACGTGCCTGGGCCTGGCCCCCGAACTCACGCAAGAAATTCAAATATTTACTTTCTACAGGTACATACACATATACATATACATATATCGAGGTCGGAGATAAAATACCATCCAATGCGATGCGGCGAAGATGCAGGATGGGGTCCGTTGATCTTGATGTGTGGGCTGGTTCCAGCGTTTACTGCGGGAGTGTAAACCGATATTGTTGAAGTATTGAAGTATAATGGATTCTTTTCTTTGCATCATCGCTGGTCATCCATGGTTGAGTCTTCTTATTGTCACACAGAGCTTTGCTCTATTGTCATCGCAACTCAATTCTATTTTGGGGAAATCCTCCGCGGGTTGCGAGCGCTGAGATTCTACTAAGAACTAGTCGATAACACTGCCGGGGTGGACTGGGCTGCTATTCGCGGATCGCAGGAAGGTTATATATCCATGACATCTCCATCAGTCAATCAACACATTCGATCATCATTATGACCAGTCGCTTTCTACCGTGTCCAGGGACGGCGGCAAAATCTGCGCGAATCGACACATTGGGAAGCATGCAAGTACGTGTCCTCCATGCATGTGCTATATCCCCCGGTGGTGGGGAGGTTTACACGTACAGCGTCTCCAGCCGTACATCCTCCTACAGTATACCTACTCTGTGCTCTGTACGCTGTCCGCCGTCCGCTGTAGGACTCCGCGAGACCTGCCGAACCCGAGCAGGATTGGTCCATCCCTGTTCATCACGTCCATCAATCATCGATCGATCTATCCATCCCATTTCGTTTGTAGATACTCCCGTGGCCGGGCAACGAAAGACAGGGATGGATGAATGAATGGAATGATTCCTCGCCCTGGCCATCCATTCCCATCGTGTCTGAGCCCGTGAGAGGTTGACGATGATCCCTTGCGGTATGGGTGATACATCACATCGCGCCTGCAGGAAAGATGACGGGGAGGCAGTTCTCGTACTTGCGACGCAGGACGACGACCCAACAAACACACGCAGTACGTCGCCAGGACGTGTCCCACTGAGCCGAAGCTCCGGGCGGCCAGTCGACAATCGCAACTCGCAAGCCGCGCGAGAGTGGCGAGTTCCCTTTCTCTTTGTCCATTTTTCGTTTGGATTTTCTGTTTTTTTTATTTTTCTGCTCCATTAGTGGAGGGGGCTAAGGCTAGCGTCTCCTCTGGTCCATCCGATTGGATTCTCTTCCAATCTTCTAGACGACTCGGCATTTACCCCACTAACATGCCCACCATTGGCTGGCATGGCTCAAACGGCGACGCTAGGAAGGATTTTCCCTGGAACCGCTTTTTCGCCAGTGGGGTGCGGCCTCCCTCCCTCATTGGCCCGGTTTTGTGTTTGGTTCCATTTCTCCTCTGGGATGGTGCATGAGGGTTGCATAGTGCAGCACTAGCGTGGGTCTTTGATTGGGAATCTTTCCTTTTTTTTTTTTTTTCTTCCTGCCCTTTTTCGCGTTTGATTTGTTTGGGCGGGTTGCCCGTTGCTGTTGGCTCCTGGATTCTTCGATAGATACGAGTCCCTGTACGGAGTACGCAGGAGCAAGTACTCCGGAGTAGAGAGGTCAACATGTCACCCCCGTTGGCTCGCAGGTCCCATGGATGGGATGTCAGCCCAGCCCGGTTTCGATGGACTTGCCCGACTGGGATGCAGCCTTCCTGGGATCAAGTCGCCCGAGTGGGAGCTTATTTTTGATTTTGGCGGTTTGAATTTTTCATGTTTTTGTCCTGGTCTAGGACTGAAGCATGCACCCCTCCGTGGTAGTACTCAATCAATACTCCGTCGGGATGCGCAGTAAACATCCCGTCCTCCGGTAGTAGGGTTTCGAACCAACAGCGACAACATGTCGGTGAGCAAGACTGCGTCGAATCCAATCTAATTAGGGTGAAGGTCAGAGCACCGACTGAGCAGCGTAGCGCCGTGCTAAATGAAATCGGATTGTATACCTAACTGCTCCGGGTTTGTTTGTTGCGATCCGTCGAAAACAACAACAACAGTTTCGACGCAGCAACCATCACCGCTGCAGGAAGCAGTTACCCGTCGGGCCTGGTCGGCCCTTAGCTGAGGCCGGTCCCACGGCGCGTACTCCATGTCTCCATACATTCATCGGAGCCCATGCAGAACCTCAGGATCTTGCGCCGTGTCGCCCTCTCCCTGCTACCAATCAGATCCCGGACTATTCCCGACTGGTCGTCATAGACACATGGCTCCGCTCCACCGTACTTTTTGCCCCTTTGGCTGCATTTTGCAGACGGGCAGCTGAAGTTAACGGAGCCCCCGTCCACCTACAAGACCTGGAGCAGTCTCGATGTGCATACAGACCACCGAGCGCAGGAGTCGATAGAGTCGCGATCGAATGCGCCCGGGGAGGATTTTCAAAGCGGTGTAGAAGAAGGAGGGGTAAGAATCACTGACTAACTGCACGTCCTTCGTAGATCAGGAAATTCAAAGGCGGGAGAATAAAATAATAATAATAATAATAATATTTTCTTCCCTCCCTCCCTCTGGAATGCCGGAAAAAGAAGGGCAGAAAAAAAAAGTGAAAAAAAAAGAGGAAACGCCCCAGTCATCGGCAAAGACCAATCATTGCCACCGTAAAGCACCCGCCCTCCAGACCCAGAAAAAAAAAAGATTCATTTCATTTCAGAAAAAAAAAAAAAAAAAAAGGAAGTCAATCCACAGCAACGACGATTCCTCAGGCTACTTTTCCTACAGCCCCATTCTTGCCCTCTTGTTGTTATTCATTACGCTTCTCATAATTATCATTACTATTCTTTTCTGATCACCGTTTCCTCCTTCCTATGGTTCTGACGATTGTGCTCCATTCGGACTGGCCAACGAACTCCGCCGTGATTACCCCCGTTCCTCGTCCTTCCGGCATTCTGAGCATCATTGCCCTCTCCTAAACCCTCCTTCTCTTGCTTCCTCCCTCGCCTCCCCCGTCATCACTCTCTTTACTCCCCCCGTTCTCGTCTCATCCCCTCCTGTCTTATTATTGTTCCTATTATCTTCTTGATCCTTTGTTGTTGTCATTTATTGTTCCTGTCATATTACTTCCCTGTTGGTGCTGTGTGATTTCATTGCTTTCTGCCTGGTTGTCTGGTTAGGTTGCCTGCTATTGATCCCTACTACTATTATTACCGTACTACCTAGAACGTTACTCCTATTATTCCCGCCTGTATTCTACCTGCTTTATCGGCCATTCCACCTCTTGATTTCAACCCCCTTCTGTTCTACCACGTCTCCTCTTATCCCCTTCTTTCGCTATGCCTTATAATACCCGTCGCAAGTCGTTGTCACTACCGTCGCTGGGTATTCACCTGCCTAATTCCTCCCGCCGTTCTCCGTCCGCCTCAAAACCGCCACACGCGACCGACGACCAGCCGCATCCCACCAAAAAGGTAAAGAGGTCGCACGACTCGACTTCGCAGTCGCCAGAGCCCTCTTTGGCCTCGAGCGCGACCTCGTCCAGTCTCAAGCATCAGTTGTCGGGCGGCCGCTCGTCCGGCCGACGCGGCACCCTCGAGCAGACGCCACCCCCGTCGCCTCTCGACGGCAGCGTCGCGCCCAAGATCGATACGGAGGGGATCAATGATGATATCGTCGTCGCCGTCATCGAGCAGCTGGAGAAAACGGGCAACCGTCCGCACCTGGTCAAGGAGCTTGCTGCCGTTCTCGTCACTCTGAATGACAACGTCGCGAAGTACGTTTCTCTCCCCGACCCCCCGGCCTCCGATAGCCAATTGCTAACATTTGCTGGCCACAGCTCCGCGAACCCTGCTGCTCTGTTGTCGTCGCGGTTGAGTACGTATATGAAGCGTCCTTGGACGGCCCTGGCGCCCTGTCCGATCGCCAAAGAACTCATTCCGATCCACCCTCGGAAAGTGTACTATTACCTGACGACGTTACCTCGCCAGCCGCTTCCCGAGAACTCGGATGATATCGTTGTGCCCGGCCTCGAAGGGAAACAGAGCACGCCCAGTGTTACCAGCGCGGATCTTGATGAGGAGGACGCGTTGGCCCGGGAGCGATCGCGCATGAGCCCCAGCCCTGAGGTGGACCTGTCTCCCCCAGACTTTGAAACAGAGCACATCGATCTGGATGGTCGCGCCGACTCTACAAGTTCCTCAAGACATAGCCCGGACTTTCCCGATCATCCTCACCAAGCGCGCTTGTTGCATTCGAATCGTGCTGCTTCCCCGCCACTAGAGGGTGACGAGAAGGAGTTCACCTTGACTGCCAGCGCTGTTCGCGAGCGGGCCTCGGAGCAGAGAGCCGGTCGGAACGAGTCTTCCAAGGGCGGGTTCTCTGCGTTGACCGAAGGCTTGAACGGGTTGGACGATGGAAGCATGAGCATCGTGGGGACACCCATGGACGACGGTCCGCTTTCTTCCATCAGCGGAGACCAAATGTCGGACAGTCCTGATGCCGACTACTTCTCCCACGGAGGCATCCAGGGACAACATTCGCTCCGGGAACAATTACAACAGCAAGATTCCGACGAGGCGGCCGTGGTTGCGCTCTTCGGAACGTCACCCTCCCCGTCGCTTACGTCCGTCGCCTCGTCCCTCTCGTCTGGCACGAGTGTGGTCTCCGACGACGGGCTGGATTCCGAGGTGCGCACAGATGTCGTCGGCACTGCACCTCAGATTAGCCTCCCCGAGGATCCCGAGGTGGCGCCCGTCTCGACCCTCAAACGATCCATCGACATGCTGAACAGCGAACTGCCCGACCTCGACATGAAAATGTCGGATCTAGCCGAGCAGGACAGCAAGTTGTCGTTGGGAGCCCGCGACATGATGAAAGCAGACATCGAGATGACCTTCGACGATTCGTGGAAGGAACTGCAAAATCCCGAGACGGTCGGAGTTCATGAGCTGGACGAAATGTTCGGCGAAATTTGAGCACTGCTTGACTCGTCCGGAGAACTTCCGTGGTCTCGACATGCCGGTGGCAGTTCGCGGCCGCTTGAAGTTTGAATTTCTCTCCACTCATCCTTTCATCGACTTTTCTCCATTTACCGCCGCGTGCTACAAGCGTGGCTTGTACTCTTGTGTCTCTCTACCATCATATCACCACCTTATCTTTTAATCTTGTACAGTGCGATCTATCTAATGCCCGCCTTTGGTTTCTTTTTATCGCATGGCTCCATTCTGTTGTGGGACCAAGCTGGATTCAACCATGTATATATACTTTTTTCCGTCTTTTTTTTTTTTCACTTTTGCCACGTTGTTCATCTCTCGTTCACGTTAAAAATATCCCCTGGATGGCTTGGATATGGATTGTGTTTTGCTTTTTTCTTTTGACTATTTTTACGTTTCAAAATATCCTCTCAATGTCTTTTCCAGGCAGAGTCTGGCGGGCGCGACAAAAAAAAAGGAAATTGGAAGCCGATGCCACAGTGATGACGCAGACGGTTGAAGCAATGGCTTCGAGGACGGAAGCGAGAAAGAAGATTGACTTGATGTTTTGATGCCTGTGTATGTATGTTTAGCGCATGAGGCTCTGATTATTATTTGATCGAAATCTTTGTTATTACATCATAAGCGCAGTACACCGTAGGGGCCAGAACCACGGCCGTGACCAGTGCCAAATGAGGACGCGTGGCAACGGGCGGTCGGCAGGAAGGATTATTCAATAATAAGAATGGCAAGAATGGCATTAAGGCTGAACCAGGGACCGGCGCAACTCCAAGGACGAGCCAGAAAGATCTCCAACGGGCTCCGTTCGCTGCCTGCAAGTGCCGGCTGGACCCCGTGATTGGCTCTCCCGTGGCTTCCGCCCGCTTTTCTGCGCTCTCGGCTTCTCCCTCCTTCTTCTGGCTTTCTCTCCCATCGTTCCATCTTCTTCCGCCGCCTCTTCGCCGCCTGTCTTTCCAGCACCCCAGAATCCCTTTCTATCGAGTCCGATTGAGTCTTATCGACCATCAGTAGCTGCGAGTCCGATTTGCAGCTCTTTCCGCACATGATGATCATCTCCCGGATGACACTCTCGTCAAGTATCGCACCCAACAACCTCTGAATCCGATCCCCGTCAACGGAGGCCTTCCAAGGAAGGTCTCGGACTTCGCAGAGGAACGAAAATACCGGAGCACTTCAGCATCCCCGGCGACAGAAATCGGACCTGAATTCAACATCGTTTGCGCATTGATCACTCCCGCCCTTTCCGACCGATATCAAAATCTCCGCGATACCCCACTACGTTTTGCCCCCCCTCTGTGGCGACCCTGCCGGATCACCCCTAAACAAACATGGAGGTGCCCTCGAATCTCCCCCACCCCGAGGACGGCCACGTCCAAGGCGAGATGGCCATCCGGCCTCGTGCAGAAGACGGCGATGGAGTCGTATCGACGTCGAACCCCCCAGCACTCCCGGGGACCTCATCGCAGGCCCCGCAGAAGCTGCAACTGGCTTCCCGTAGCAACCAATTGGGTAGAAAACAACTCATCTCCAACGCCAAAGTCGCCATCCCGCGACAGCGGACTACGTCGACGAACCCGCGATATCCTCGTCGTGTGCCTCTGGCGTGTGAGACTTGTAGGCAACGGAAGACAAAGTGCAGTGGCGACACCCCCGTTTGTCGCCAGTGCAGGGAATTGAGGGTCGAGTGTAAATATCCGGTGTCCTGGAGGGAACGTACGAAGGGGTATGTGCCATCATTCTGCTCAACGCCTTACTAATGAGTGTGCTGACCGACGGAATGTGCGCAGGCAATTGGATAAACTTGAGATCAAAACCCAGGAGTATGAAAACCTGTTGAAGGAAATCGGGAACATTGTCGATGGCCGGACCGCCGAGCGTATTAGGAACACACTGGATAAGGTGGGTATTACCGCTTGTTTTTACGACTGCTTTCGTGTCTGGGTTATCGCCCCCTTACTGGGCAGCTGGCTGACGTGTATAGTGGTCGGCGAGGGGCGATAGTACATCCAGCTCCCAGAGCAATTCGGTTACCCCCCAGGATGAAGACCAAGACCTGGATGATGTGAGCAGCGTGTCATCCATTGGGTCGTTGGAAGCGATCGACCGCGTGGAGGAAGACCTGAATCGAACGGCTAGTTCTAGGGCGACCGGCTATATGGGGAAAAACTCTGAGATCACTTGGATGCAGCGACTACGGAAGGAGGCAGAGCAACGATCTCGTCGGCAACCAGGGACGTTTGAAGCCGAGCACGACGGTGAATTTGCCTTGCACTCACTGAACTACCACCTGGATGATATGGATATCTCCATCCCGGGCCCCGTCCAGGCTTACTGGATGCCACCGCGACCGTTGGCAGACAAGCTGTTTGAAGATTACTTGGATACTATCCATCCGTTCTTCCCGATCATCAGTCGCTCGCTCTTCCGTACTCAATACAACATCTTTTATGATAGTGCTGCCCGACCCGGCGACAAATGGCTCGCCATTCTCAACATGATTTTTGCCATTGCCTCGAAGCACGCACATCTCACGCAGGCCCCGTGGCGTGGTCAAGAAAAAGATCATCTGGTGTATTTGACCCGTGCTCGCATTCTTAGCATGGATGGCAATACCCTCTTTAGTCACCCCGATCTCCAACAAGTTCAGGTCGAAGGCCTAGTCGCTTTCTACCTGCTGTCGACAGATCAGATAAACCGGTAAATGATCCCTTTCTCAACCCCCCGATCTGAAAGTGCTAGGTCTCCCTATCTTGGATCTTCACACTGACACCTCATGCAGAGCTTGGAGAATTGCGGCGTTGGCCGTTCGTTCATCCATTTCCCTCGGCCTCAATATGAAGAACACTAGCCCAGACACGGCGGGTATATCCAAAGAGGCACGCTACAAGGTTTGGTGGTGTCTTTACACCTTTGAACACATGCTTGGAATAATGACTGGCCGGGCCTCGTGCATCTCCGACGGGATTTGTACAACACCTCTACCCCTCCCCTTCGAAGAAAATGATTTACGGGATCCCATGGCGACAAAATTACTCGGGGATCTCACAATGAGACAGGAACATGTTGATGCAGCCCTGGCGAGCTCCTGTGTTCGACAAGTACCGCTTAATCCGCTTGGAGGAAGGGATGCTCGGCACACCGACAAGATCCGTGATTCCACTTGGCTAAGGAACCAGCCGCCTAGCAGGGCCCTGATTTTCCTCTACTACGTTGATCTTGCGGTCATTGTCCAGGAAATTGTTAACAGGGTTTATTCCCTCGATTCCACCATGGTTCCCTGGAGCCACATTGAGAACCGCATGGGGGAACTTCGATCCCGGGTCGACCTTTGGCACTCGAATCTGCCTGAAGCGTTCAATTTCGCGCGCTTTGCCCAGAAGGGCGATGAGGATATTGATGTGCTCCGTGGGAAACTTTTCCTAGCCTTCCACTTCTACAGCGCTCGAATCACTCTAGGCCGTCCATGCCTGTGTCGCCGCGACGCCCGGCAGAATGCACCCCATGAAAAGTCGACTTTCAGCCATGATATGGCGATTCTCACCCTCGAGTCAGCTCATCTGATGCTTGGGTTGATCCCCGACAGCCCCGATGCCCTTCGACTCTATCGGATCTGCCCCTGGTGGTGTATTTTGCACTACCTGATGCAGGCGGTGACGGTACTTCTTCTCGAGCTTTCCTTTGGCTGCATCCATATGCCGGATGACGAGGAGAGGATCCTCCTCGCCTCGAAAAAGGGGGTTAGGTGGCTTTTTTCTATGGCTCAATTTAGCTTGCCTTCGCGACGTGCGTGGGAACTTTGCAACGGCAACCTCCGGCGCATCGCCATGGGCATGAACTACGACTTGAGTGATATGCCTTCGTCTGACGACGAAACCGAACCCAGCCGGGAGTCCTTGAATACCGAAAAAGCTGAAGTCGGCCAGCATCCGGCTAACATGCCTTCTGTGCCACCGCTGAATGCAAATGCTCCTGCCCCTGTCTCGGGCGTGCCGGAACCAGCAGTCTCTGCCCCGCTCCAAGCCCCAGTGGGATACCCTCAGAATCAAGCCGATTCGATCGTGGACCCAAGAGTCCCTATGCTACCTTCGAACATGTCTTCCGGGGCGGACATCTACTTCCCGTACGATCCGATCAGCGGTGAATTTATCCGGTCTTTCTTTCCCGCCTCGAATGACGAAGAGTCGTGGCAAGAATAAGCGAGCTTCTTCTTCTTCATATCTTCAGATTCTCTTCTCTCTTTGATTCTCTTCTGGTCCATCTTTATTTATCCCGTTCTCCCGTGTTTGTATCGTGGTTGCCTCCCGTTTCTCGTTCCGCGATGTTTTATACCTTTGGGCAAATCTCGACACATTCCTTATTGCTTTGTTTTATTTATTTACTTCTATCATTATTTTTATTAGTATTATTTGCCATCATTCAAGGCGTTCTTGAATTATTTACCCCGGTGGATGGGCTTTTGGGCTGGGCTGGATTGGGTTTGGACATGATTTACAGACCTTTTTTCACTTACAGTGGATACAATGGCACAGGAGTTTTGATAAAAGTTCGGTTGGAACTTTTGTGTGTGATTTTTCTATGGTCCATTTTCCAGTTCACTATTTGATTTCATATTTGACATATCATCAATGTCTTATGTCTTAGATATGTGTTGGGATAAAGGTGTCTAATGACTACTGCGGAATTGGAAAGAGATATTGTTCGTTCAAGTTAATGGTGCTGCGAGAATGCGAATGCAAATGTAAATGCAAATATAAATGTAAATGCCAATGAGTAGATTATCTATATTACAGTAGGTAGAACCAGCGTTACACGCTCTGATAACATGTCTGAGTTATATACAACACTCGGGTATGTCGTGGGACATCATGCCAGGCGATCATGATCCAATTTCACGATGGAAAAACAGAGTAGGGATAAAGAAAAAGATGTCTATCTGTCTATCCGTCTGTTTTTTTGGCAGTATCCAATGAACTCCGTTAATGCAAATGAGATAAAAAGGTAGGTGGATGGGCAACTGAGCAACCGAGATGCTGAAGGGTCAGGGAGCCGAACCAAATCAAACCAAGTCCGAGAAATAGGGAAATAGAAAAGAGGAGGTAATGTACACGTGTTATATATGCAAGGATTACAGATCCTATGGAGTGGCAGCATCAGTATCGGTAGTAGTAGATGCCGATTGAGCAGCCGATCTCTTCTCCATCCGCTCTTTGCGCTGTTTGCGCAATTCCTTTTTCCGCCGGTACACGAGGCCGCCGACTTCGCGGTTCACTTCCCGGCGGCGAAGACCCAAGGATTCAAATCGCTGGGCGCAGAATTCGAGGATGGCGATCGCGGGGTTCGTGGCCGGGGGTGTCTTCTTCTTCGATGATGGGGAGGAGTCGGTGTCCTGCTCCGGCTCGACGGCATCGGTGGATTGAAGGAAGTCGTCGTGTTCCTTGACGGCGGCCTGGGCGATGATGCGCACCGTGTTCGGGTTCGGGATTACTGCGTTCTGCTGGAGCTCGTGGAAGTAGACCGAGTCGAAGTGCGGATCGCCCATGGCTGGGTTGCGCTCGCTGTGCTGGTAGAGGCGGGTCATCCCGCCTTTATGGCGACGACGACCAGCAGGCGATAGAATGTCGAGGCACCATTGCTGCCACAGGCGTTTTCCGGCTGCACTGCCTCGTGTGTCAACGACAGCAGAGAGGAGGGGGTGGAAGGCTGCGGAGGGAATATAGGGGATTCTGGAGTGCGCGGTCGGTGTGTATTGAAGGGTGGCAGCTGCAGCGACGTCGTGGAGAGCACCGGGGATGGAGAGGAAGACTTGATGGATACTGTAGAGGGATCGGTTCTGGAACGTATTTTCGAGGTGGGGCTGCGATTCGTTGAATTCTCCGTGGAGAACCCTGAGAAGGATGGATCTCGCTTGAGTGAGGCTCTCTTCCAGACGTTCTCTTTCCGAAGGATCGGGTGATTGTTGCTGTTGAATGGCATGGTCTATCCGGACGATTTCCGCGGCGAGGGCGATCACATTGCTGTGGCCCCAGGATTTCAGTCGAAAGTCGCGGAGATATTCTAGCGTGAAGGCCACCGAGTCCCACTGGCGCATGGCAATCTGGAAGTTCAACAGGGCGCGCAGAGTGTTTGTTGACAGGGGCTGCGAGAGAGACTGTACCGCGGAGTCGCACACTTGGCTATTGTTGGTGGCAGTGGCGAACCGAATGATGGACGGCGTCAGAGCCTGGTTGCCATATAACTTCAGAGGAATAGGAGGGCCGTCGATGTCATCGGACAAGAGTAGCCACTCCCCAAAGGTGAATGCACGCGACGCCGTAGCCAGATCCAGAAGCTCCGCGAGAGTGAGGACCGACAGCTGTGGCATTGACGTGTCAAGTGGGAGGAGGGAAACGAGCTTGCTGAAGTTAAGGACAGGGAGATTTTCGGAATCGGGGGAGTTTTCCTGCGCGAAAAACTCGTCGATGCGGTACATCTTGCTAGCATCAATCACTCTCTGGAGCCATTCAATCGCATTGATGGCGTCTCCACATAGCTTCTGCGAAGAGAAAGATCGGACGTTGTACTCAATGAGCCCAGCCATGGCCCAGCTCTCATGGCAGATTTGTGATGGCCGCAGTCGCTCCAAATCGTCCTCATCAACGGGATCTAGGTCGAGATTCCATGGTGGTACCACATGGGGAGTGAAACGGAGAATTTTTTCGAAAGCTTCAGGGTCGACCTCCTGGTTGAAGCCTCTGGATTCAACGACACGAACAACAAACCGGTTGGTCGCCATGTTGGTGGGTAGGAGAGCCTCGCCAGTCGTTTCTGAGGCCATTGCAAACTTGAGGACAGAGGCCTGGTCTATAAGCATCGTTGGCGAAATGCCTCGGAAGCCCAGACCGAGATAGACTTGATTGGGCACGTTGTCTAGCAATGCTGCGGCAACCTCAAGACTGACCGTCCGTTTCCCCAGACCGTTGAAAGGTGGAGGAGTAGTACGCTTTCGTAATGACGGTGTACGCTCCTCGGCAGGAGTATGGCGCCAGGATTCTTCCTGGTCGATGTTCGTCTTCCATACTAGTTCTGGACGCTGGAGAAGAGGCCTCCAGCTTTCAAACTTCCACGCCAGATCCCCTGCGCGTCGTTTCATTTGGTTGACAAGCCACACGCCTTCCTTGACATGTCCATGCTCGACGCAGCACCACAGGATAAACTCTAGCCAGATCTCGGGTCCAAGTTCGCGAATGCCCATCTTGAAGGGAAGATACGGAGAATCCTCGCCAGCGGCAGCAGCCTGAGCTGCCACCTCGGCCTCGTGCATCAGCCAAGCGGCATCCGACAGAACGTTCATGATATGTGTTGAAAGGAGGTGCATTCCGGGCGGTCGAAAGACAGTCTGGTGGGCCGTCGGAGGAACGTACTTGTACAATCGATCAGCAACGGCCCCCGAATGGTGCAAACGTGCCAGGATTCGGAACACGCAAGACATCGCTAGTTTCGACTCATTTGGCGAGGCGTCGGCCGCATCTAGCACGATGGAACCCAAGCCTTGCCATACTTCTGCCATTATCCGTTTCGAATGATCGTGAGCGAAGGGTCTTTCGGTAAACGCATCTAAGCTTGTCAATCCAGAGACCGGCGGGGACCCAGATAATGATTCGGGTCGCGGAGCCGAGTCTGCACTCTGATCAGTAAGCTGGTCCAGCGATAAGCCAGTACCACGACCCCAGCTGTAATCAGAGAGGTGTCGAACGGGCACCGCAACCTCATTGAGTGCATCCGCAGCATCGAGCAATTGGTTCGTCAAGTGATACACCGCAGGCCAGTTATTGAACCGGAATCCCAGATGAGCCAAAAGGTCTAGGCCTCCGAACGATCTTGCGTTCATCAACAAATTATTCAACTCAAGGGTGCGCGCGAACGACTCCTGGGTCGGAGTTGTTGCTGCGGTAGCTGATGTAGTATCCTCGTCGGCGTCTTGCGAGCATCTCCGTAACGATGGCGGTAGGTATTGTTCCAACAAAACCATCCATGCCTCCAGATCGGACTGTTGCTGCCAAGGAACGGGGCATTTCTTCGTCTCCGCCGAAGCATAGTTTTCAAGTAACCGGCGATCGAACGGAGGAGGCCTGGAGCTGACCGAGTACTGGCGACTCCATTGTCGCCTTCCCGGAGAGGATCTCCAGCTCCGGAGCCCCGAATGCAGCGAAGCACCGAGTACGCGACGGTTGAGAGACGAGACCGAGGGGCGCAAGAGACGAGCTGGACACAGGCACCTTTTCATGACACGACGGAGGATCTAGCGGATGCAGCCTGTAGGCGGAGGAAATCCAAATCTCGATATGACCGACGGAGGGATGATCTGTGGCGCATGTCTAAGTCCTGGATCGATAGCGCATTTCTCGGGAACCGGTAGAAGGGGAGTCGAGAGCCGCACAAGGCCAGCGCGAGTGGTGAGTGTTGCAGAGCGACTTTTTCTTTTGTTCTCCTCGCTGCTTCTTCGGCGTCGCTCGACTTATTTTTCGGGATGACTCAGCCGGCCCGGTGCCAGCCAATCAGCGGCCGAGGATTTGCACATCCGACACGTGACCACATCACCTACTAGACCATATTACTATTTACTACCTAGAATGCTACCTATATTACTAGAATACGAGATTGATACGCAATAGGCTACTAGGCTACTATATTGGCCCGACTACTTGATATGCTGGACACCCCGGTTGATTCATCCCGTCAAATCCGTATCATTCCGCTGCTAACATACATACATGGCGACTCGGTCACCTCAAATGAACGACTGATCCAGCAGCAATCTAGTGCCCATGTCTAACCACCAGGGCCCTCCGAACCAATGGCGAGTATTGCAACTCCAGCCTAAGCATTCAGACCACGGAGCTGACGAGCATGAATGCGCCTGACCGGGAAGTTGGGGCTTCCGTGCGGAGGAGCATCGCCAGGAGGGAAAGGAAAGCCGGGCGTCGGAGTTGGCCAGGGGGGAATGGAGCTCGAGCTGGGAGGGTAGCTGCCCGTGGGACGGGGCACACCCGGGGGCCACGGAGTCGACGAAGGAGGGCCCGTGGGAGATGGAGTCGGGGTGCTCGACGGCTGGAGGAGATGATGAGCGAGGCCACATGGGATTGTGATTCATGGATCAGCCACTAGTACTCACTACAGGCAGGATGGAGTATACACCATTGTCCTGAGCCACAACCGGGGCGATGAAGAGAGCTGCCGCCGCCCCAAGAATAGTGAAGACCTTCATGATGATGGTTGTTGGGAGAGGGGGTCTGGAAAATGAATGGACTTGACGTCGAGGATAAAAGAAAGGATCGTGCACAGCACCCTTGAGGAAAAGATTAAGATAGTTGCGAGGTAGAGTTAGAATCAGAATGCGCCATGGCGAAGGGTGTTTATATACCCAAGTGAGTCAAACTGTGACATTTAGTTACCGCACGTCCTTTGCCCCTCCTCTTGCGCGAGTCCGACGTGCATTGGTTCCAGAGGATGATCCAGATCAACCAGACGGCGCCTTCATTAGGCAACGGGCTGCAAAAGTCCTATGTGTCTACTGGAGGGATCAGGTTTTCACGGGTCCCAATCGGGACGCACCTGAAGCGCTCCGGGCCCGAATGGGCGAAGGTTGGGAGAAAATATCCGCAATAATGATAATAATAATACAGTCAGACATTCCGACTCTGACGAGGAGTCGGACTTGACCGGTCCCTGGCGTTTGATAGTGTAGCATCGGCACTCAATAGGAAGATGGAATGTGCATGCAAACCCCAGCCGCCGGGCCTAAACAAGCCATGATAGACGGACGATCGGGACGACCAGTCCATGTAGAACTGTCAACAACGAGAGGTCCGACGAGCCAAGGGCGGCAGAGGCATGAAGATCCCCGTCGGACGGCATCAGTGGACGTGGTTCGCAGGAGCATGTGAGAGGGCATTGGGTGCGGCTGGCGTGATGGCGCCGCCAAGTAAACCCATCCTTGCAGCGTCTGGCATCATCAGCCTCGAGCAGACATCCCGTGTGTGCTGCCGATCAGGGTGGCCGACGTCAGCTCATGAGAGATGGAAAAAGGTCGACAGGAACTGGCCCCGTCGGACAAAAGCAGGGACACCCGAGATAACGGCGACGATCAGCCTCCCGATCATTCTTGCTCCAATCAACGGTCGCTCACCCTGTCACATCCTGATCACGGCGCGCGATGGTGGGCCAATCTGGACTGAAGGCTTGGATCTAGTGCCAATAGCTGAAACAGCGCCTGGTTAGCCAGAACAGGCCGTGCTCTTGACTGTCACAACTCACCGATTGATTATTTTGTTTTTTCGGGACACGATGGCGGAGGGAGTATCCAAAAGGAGAGGATGAAAGGCAACACAATCACTAATTATTGAGCCCGGGGGATCTATGTACAAGACAGTCGGACTCAGGCTACCAATCAACAATCAAGGTCATAAACAAAGAAGCCCAAAAGGTATCGAGAATATGCATAATAATCACGGCAATCCCTGACCAAGACAAGGGAAAAAAAAGAAAAAGAAAAGTGTGTATCGCGACACGTATTCCCAGCCAAACCCAGACAAAAAAAAAATCGACAGAAATCAAAAATTGACCCAAACTCCCCGCGGTGATCGTCAATCATGATACGGAGGATGTCGAGCACACCAATGTAACCTCACTATTCCTCGACGAACTGATCATCGTCGCCCATCGGCATGTCACCGCCAAGCTCCTGTTCGACTTCATCCACCACGAAGCTTTCGTAATCCTCGAGACCTTTCTGGACGTGAACCTTGAACCGGATCACGTCGTTCAGCATACTTTCCACGTTCGTATGCAGCTCCTCCCGGAGTGCGTTGGCCCGCAGAGTGAGCTGTTCGTATTCGATGTTGGTGTTCATCTCGCGCTGCTCCATCAATTGGACGCTCTCGCTTAGGGTCGCCCGCATTTTGGCCAGTTCCTTCTCCATTTTCTCGATCTGGGCATCCGACGCCAGCTTCTGCGTGGTTGTGATTTCCTTGGTGCGCTCGAATTCCTCCTCTGCTGCGCGTCGCTTATGCTCCAAAGCCTCGACCTCACTCCGCTTTTCATCCATCGCCTCCTTGATGTTGTCCAGGAGATTGCGCCGGTCCAGATCGGCATCGATGGCGTTCTTGCGTCGCTCGTTGATCTCCTTTCTGAGCGCCTGGAGACTGCTGCGAACCGAGCCTCGTAGGTCCAGATTGAGTAGATGGGCCGGGTGGTAGCCGGTGAATGGCTCCGCAAGGAGTCTGTCTCCCTCGGGTGAAATCCGGTTGGGCGCCCCGCCGATCTGTGAAGTGGAAAAGTTACTTTCGTTGACATTGAGGCTGAGCTCGTAGTCCTGTCCTTTGGCATTGACAGCGGACACGGGGATCAGACTGGTCTGGTAGCCCAGCGTGTTGTAAGTCTTGACGATCTCCTCCAGGTCCTCAAGCTTTTTGCTCGCATCTCCCTCCTTCGCCATAACGCGCGAGTGGGTTTCCTCTAGACGGTTGACCGTGTCGTCAAGGCTCTTTTGCAATCGCTCGCGTTCGGTGTTCATGCGATCGATGTCCTGGATCGTAATTCCCTGCCTGTCGACACTCGCTTGGAGACCCGAACGTTCCTCCTCCGCGGCAAGTAACTCCGCCTCGGTCTTCTTGAGCTCGTCATCTAGGAACTTGAGGCGAGTCTCGTACTTCTCAATCTTGCCCTGAACGTTCTGGTTGTAGTCCTCAAACTTTCTTTTGTCGTCCTCCAAGATCCGGAAATGCTTGTCGAGCTTTGCGATATCGGGCGCATTCTTCTCCATCTCCTCGATCTGGTCACGCAGAGCCCGATTTTCGGTCTCGAGAACCTCCATCTCCTGCACGTACTTCTCATTGCCCCTTTCAAACTCCTGGGCCATGACCTCCACGTGAGGCACCAGGCGTTTCTCGGCCGTCTCGTCATCTTCATCCTCGCCGCCTTGTAGCCAATCACGGTAAGCGCCCGTGAGGAAACGGAAGATGATGCGGTCTCCGGAGACATCCACACCCATCTCTGCACATGCCTCATCGTACTCTCCCGAGTCAAACCTCTGCATCATCTGCGCCAATTGCATCAACCAATGCAGCATACCGAGGAACGTGGGCCAGTTCTGACCACCCACGGCCGCAATCTGCGACTTGGTGATGCCTTTTTCGTAGGGATAGCGCAGTTGTTTCAGGATGGGCGGGACCTCGGAATCCATGCTCTTTTGGAACCGGTACCCGGGATCAATGCGATGATACAGCCATTGGAAGATGTAGTTGAAGTCCTTTTGGGTGGGAGACCGGAGCGTGTTCTGACCCAGAGAGTGCTTCATTTCCAATTCAAAGTTATTGTGGGTCAAATATTCCAGCAGCTCCTGTCCAATCCGAGCCTGGAATGATCGGTCCCTGAGAGGTCGCGGATCTCTGGGGACACCGGCCGCCGAGGGGACTTGGGTGAAAAAGGACTGGTGGCCCATGGCACCACCAACAGACGGTCGCGAAAAGACGCTGCTCCTTCGCTGCATGCTTTGCGATGACGGATTGGAAGACATGGGCGCTGGAGCGTAGCTCGGACGGCCGGCGCTAGCTCCTTGGAAGATATTGCTCGAGACGGAGCGCCTGACGGACGAGAGACCGGCATCAGCACCAAACCCCCCCGACGAAGACCGTTTGAAGTTAGGCTGCTGCGGGCGACTGGCAGAGTTCATCAGCGACATGCGCGTGTGCTGGGAAGTGTACGGAGGGTTTAAGGCGCCAATGGAACTGGTGCGTTTCATGGCCGACGACGGCTGAGGGAGAGAAGAGAAATTTTGGACGCTTCCCAGAGTCTGTGCCATTGACTATGTCAGTTTGAACTAACCCTGTGTCCATTCCTGACTGCGCAATGAAAAACGCCAAGAGGTACATTGGCTGTCGCTCGAATAAGATTGAGGGGGTTGCATACTTCTCGGGGGCGCCTGATACTGAATAGCCCAGTGTCCTGCGACATGATGGAAGGATAGCCGCCACTGCGGCTGAGAAGCAGAGCAGTTGACTCAAGAGCGCTATGGAGGAGTTGACCGAGTGCTGGGCAAGAATGCGCGAAGGGCAAGACTCCAACGAGCAGCGAGCAGAGGAGGGCAGACGAAAAAACGGGCGGCACAACAAGCGACGGCGGATGTAAACAAGACATGCCACTTTGGCCGCATGCAGCAGGCGGTGTGGCGCGGCGGAACAATGCGGCGCCGATGGCACGTGACTCTGGGGAATCTCCGCCGTTCGATACGGTACGGTACGGTACGGTGGTAATCACGGGCGACTTCCCGAGGTCCAGCGATCGCAGCCGACGAGCCTCTCTTCTCCCGCGCTCTCCATCTCCTGCGTCTCTCCTCCTCCTTCTCCTCTGTCTCCTCGACTCTGACGATTTCTCCCCATCAGAGGACCCCCGAGTGTGAACCTTCCCATACCAGAGAGCCTTGGTCATCTCACCACCATGGCTCGTGAGGAGCTGATCTCCTCTGCTGTAAGTTGAGCACTTATCTGGAGTTATGCTGTTTCCGGAATCGGAGCTGACCGTATCTCGCGATCATCAGGTTTCTTGTGTGTGCCAATAAATCCATTGCTCCCACCGATGTGTGTCATAATCCGGCCGATTCTAACTTCTTCGCAGTCCTGCAGGATCCGGCGGTAGCCTCGTCGCCGGTCGAGAAGAAAGTCGCATTCCTTCAGTCGAAGAACCTAACGAAAGAAGAGGTCGATATTGCCTTATCTCGCGCCGGTGAAGATCCTTCGGCAGCTGCAGCTGTAACTGCGTCCTCTTCATCTACCGGATATCAATCTCCTCCCCCGCAATCTGTCTACCGACCTCCCCCTCCCCCTTCCCAAGGATATGGATATCCCCCGTACGGTCAATGGCAACCCCCTCCAGAGTGAGTCGAACGTTCGCCGATATGTGATAGAGATAATCAACCGTGAGCTAACGTCGGTGAACTGCAGGCCTCCCAAGAGGGACTGGCGAGACTGGTTTATCATGGCGACGGTGATGGGTGGCGTAGGTTATGGAATGTACTTTGTTGCGAAGGTTAGCATTCTCCATGTTTTATTCGCTCGTGAAGGCTAACCTGGACACAGCGATACATTACGCCGTTGATCGCGCCGCCAACCCCGCCACAATTGGAGCAGGACAAGGAAAACATTGACGAGCAGTTTTCTCGTGCATTCACCTTGATCGAACAACTCTCCACCGATACCGCAGCCCTAAAATCGGCGGAGGAAGCCCGCACCGAGCGCCTGGATACTGCATTGCGGGAGGTGGAGAACCTTGTCGCGGACCTGAAGACCTCCTCTCGCCGGAGGGACGATGAAACTCGTCGCATCAGTGATGAAGTCAAGTCGTTGAAGGATGCCATTCCCAAGGCATTGGAAGGGGCCCGTGAAGGCAATGAGAATCGCCTGAAGGAGCTGGGCACCGAGTTGAAGAGCTTGAAGGTCCTTTTGGGCAACCGAATTGGTGGCGCCGGATCTAACTCTCCTGCCGTCGGAAAGTCTGTCGGCACATCTTTGCCTACTGCTTCTCGACCTTCGGAGGAGTCGACCCCCACCACGACCCCTGCCGCTGCTACTACCAACGGTGCCTCCGCCACTCCAGCTGCACAGGAATCTCAGCCCTCGACAGGGGCAGCACCCACAGCATCCACCCCGACCACTCCTTCCGCAGGTGGCAACCCTCTGTCGCAATTCAGCCGGTCCGCTTCTATCCCTGCCTGGCAGATGGCTGCTGCCAATCGCTCTAAAACTGCCTCCCCCGCCACTCCTGCCACTCCTACAGCCAATGCAGGAGATTCTTCCAGCAACACAACCGGTGAGCAGCAGAGTGCTTCGGCCAGCTAAGGAGATCACCAATCTCCACATTATCCTTTTGACGCCCATTGCATGTAGAAACCTTCTTGTTGTCTTCTTTTGTTGCCTATTCACTACCCTGTATTTATCATGAATTCAACGGAGCCAGAGACGACGGCCTGATTAAGAGAAGGATTATGAAAAAGAGCTCTTTGGCTTTACCAGAATGTGTTTGTCTTAATTTAACCAAAGATATACTTACTCCGTAGTCGGGGATCACATGAATCCGCCGGGGCCGAAAAAGCTTGGCATCGGCCGACTCCCGCGACGTCATTTTTCTCTTTTGTCCTCCCGTGTTTTTCCCCAGTATCATCTTCCTCCCCGACCATTCCCATACCTTCCCAGCATGCCATCCCCGGATCGCGCTGCCTCCTCGTCTCATCGACACCACCGTCGCCCAAGATCCAACTCTCGGTCTCGGTCTCGCACCCGCTCGCGCTCCCCCGATCGATCAGACAAACATCACCGCTCCGATAGACATCGAAGACACCACCACCACCATCACAGAGACAGCCACGGGCATTCCCACCGCGATCGCGACCATAAGAGCCACCGACACAGTCGACACCATGGCCATGATCACGGCCATCGCTCGCGACGCTCCGAACGGCCGTCTTCGTCATCACAACAACAGCATGCGCCGGTGCCTCCTCCCGCGCCCGTGATCCTGCCCATGCAGGCGCGCGAGCTCTCGAAGCGCGATCTCCCCACGTACGAGCCGATGTTTGCCATGTATCTGGATATTCAGAAGGGGATTATCTTGGAGGATTTGAGCGAGGAGGAGGTGAAGGGGCGGTGGAAGAGTTTCGTGGGAAAATGGTATGGATAAAATGAGAATCATGTATTGTGGGTGAAAGCTAACTTGATGGCACAGGAACCGCGGTCTCCTCGCTGAAGGCTGGTACGATCCGTCCACGTTAGAGAAAGCTCGTCGCGAAGCCGAATCCCATCCACCTGTGCCGTCTAGTCGCGGTCAGTTTCGCGGGTCACCGGATTACGAAGACCCGCGCGATGAAACTGCGGGAGCAAGCTCGAACGCCAACCTCCGTGATCCAGAAGTACAGGGCGACGCAGCGGAGGACGACGACAACGACGACGACGATGATTACGGACCCGGGCTTCCAACTAGGTACGGATTGTCGTTGACGGGACATCAGAATTCGGGGCCGTCAATTCCAACAATGCAGGACTTAGATTTGCGGAATGGTATGTATTCTCTACTCCTGATAGGGTTTTGAAGCTAGCTTGTTAATATGCTGGGATGTGATAGAATCGGCGGTCGAGGACGCCATTGCAGCGCGACAAGATGCACAAAAGTATCGCCGTGCAGAACTGCAGTCGCATAAGTCCGAAATGCGACAAATGGAAGACGAGGTGGCTCCACGCGCAGAGCCGGGAACACATGAGCGGCGCATGGAGAAACGCATGGAGACGGCAGCTGCTAACCGGGCTTTTGCACAAAATCGCCGAGGGGGGTCGCCTACAGATGCTGCTCCGGAGGAAGAGCTGATGGGATCTGGCGCGGATGATCTGGAGGCAATGAAGAAGGCGCAGGAGAAAGATCAACGTAAAAAGAATGAGCGAGAAATTAGGAGGGAGGAAATATTGCGAGCAAGGGCCGCCGAACGAGAGGAAAGGTTGCAACAATATCGACGCAAGGAAGACGAAACCATCGGATGGCTCAAAACGTTGGCTAAGCAAAGGTTTGGATAAACGACTCCTACCACCCCTATAGTAATTATTTGGATTGAAATCTCAATATCTTCCCCCTTCGTCTTTTTTCCCTTCTTCCCGTACACCTTATCCCTCCCGCAAACGTGGGCTTGTGTGCATGGTCACATTCTTTTGATTGGCCTTGTTGTAGTACCGAGATCCCCCCAGAATCGATCGTCTTTGCGAGACTAGACTGGGAATTGGTACTGGCCAGGGTCGAAATTCATATCGACAGGTTCACTCTCAGTGAGTTTTCTGCGCACAATCGGTTTGTACTTTGATCTTCTGGCCCTCTTTCGAGGTCTCTTCGGGTACGCCAATACAACACCATTGTCCATCTGCTGCAGGACAGGGGCATTTGCGCTGTCGCCTGTTTCCCCGTCGGTTGTTTCGCAATAGACAACTTTGCCATCCATGGGAGAAACCAAAGTGTCCATTGCTGTCGGTGGGAGGGTAGGCTGATGCAGGTTCTCCTTGCTCGTTTCATTGTGCTCCCGAAACTGCTCAGATGCTACGAGATATTGATTCTCCAGAACAGGGTATTGTGTATCTCCGCTAGTTTCTGCGGAAGGTCGTTGTGAACTTGGTATAAACTCCGGTGCATCGGGCTTCCACATTGTCCTCCGTAGCGATGAGGTGTCTGTAAAGAGCCTTTCATGAGGCCCCATAGAAAGACATGCGCTCTTCTGGTCTTGCAGATGCATGTTTCCAATTTTGCCAGACTCATCTTGGAACCATTCATCCATAGTCAGCATAGATGGATCGGTGGGATTGTTTGGATATCCACTGCGATAACGAGGGAAACTTTGGGTTGCTTTGGAGGATGGCAGGTCTCCTACTTGGACTTCGATACCTTGTTCCGTGGCTATCGGGGTAGGAGGCGTAGCCTTGACTTGCGACGACCAAAGACGGGAATAATAACCGTTTGCTGACATCAACGAGGCGTGATCTCCTTGCTCGATTAGTCTACCATGGTGTAAAACCAAGATTTTGTCCGCTCCGCTTACTGCAGAGAGACGACTTCTATGGGGGCGATTAGGTGTTGAAAAGAAGCGACGGAAGATTTGGACGGTACTCACGAGACTATGAAGGTGATCCTTCCTGTGCAGAGCTTTTTAAAGCTTCGTAGAACAGCTGATTCAGTATGACGGTCTAGATTGCTCGTTGCTTCATCAAGAAACACGACCTTTGGGTTTTTGATTATCATTCGTGCAACTGCAATACATTGCTGCTCGCCGGAGGATAATTTGACGCCGTGCCCTCCGAGAAATGTTTGGTATCCCTCTGGAAGTGAGTTGAAGAGGTCATGAAGTCCCACATCTTTGCATGCTTCGTACACTTTCGCTTCGCTGGCGAGAACGTCGGCATACCTTATGTTGTTCATGACCGTGTCGTGGAGTATAATCGGTTCCTGAGATACGATACCGATGCTGTTGCGTAGGCTCTCCAGCGTCACGTCTTGGATGTTTTGTCCATCGATGGTGATGATTCCCGGGTGTGGATCGTACATGCGTACAAGCAATTTCGACAGGGTTGATTTCCCGCTTCCTGACGCTCCAACAAGACCTATGGTTTGACCGGCTTGTGCCTCAAAGCTGATGTGGTTCAACACACGTTTTTCTGCATAATAGCAGAAGCTGACATCTTGAAACTTGAGGTTTCCTCGATTCACTACTAGCGGTTTTGCATCCTTCTGATTGCGTATGCTCGGTTCAACTCTCAATCGTGCCACTAGGTCACACGTGTTGACAATACCCAGGGCTGAATCCCGGAAAATGCTGGGAAGAAGTTGAAGATGACTAGAGAGTCGCGTCCAGTAGAATACCAAGGTCACGAGTCCCCCAATCGGCTTGTTCTCCCAAGCGATCTGGTACGCTGCAAGAATAAATAGTCCAGTAGAGCCGGCGTATAACAAGCACGACCACGCAAAGAACTCTAGAAAAACGTCAAAGGAGAACGCAATCGAAGAGTACATGCGATCTGCGAGGGCAGCGCGATAGCGTAGCTTCTCGTGCTGGATGCGATTAAAATATACCACACCTGGCCAGTTGGAAGTCGCCTCATACAGACACTTATGCTCGGCTTCCATATCGCGTATCAGTTGTCCCTGTCTCCCTAGAAGTCTTGGTAGCATCTTGCCTGACACCCAAAAGGCGGCAATTATGATCGCACTGAAGGTCATCGCCATGTACATACCGAACATCCAATAGAGTACTGCAAAGGCTACCAAGACATCGACGAGGGATGGAACGATGTGAAAAACAAAGGAACGGACAAGATATCGAGCACCTATGACTTGACTGACCGACTCCCAAAGATTTGCTGCATTTGTTTTGTCATGAAAATCTCCCGGCAATGACATGATCTTGTCGAAAGCAGCCGTCCCAATCTTGAAGCAAAAGTGCTCCTCACAAGGAGACCACATGCATTTGCGTAACTGAGGGATACCCCCAGAAGACTCAAGGATCCAGAGACTTGCGAATGTGACTACCTCTCTGTATGGAATTTTGCCTATATAAAGCCATTGCGATAAGCATTAAATGGTTCGGATTTTCAGGTTTCCTTAGAGCAAATCATTCTCAGCAGCTTAAGAAAAGACCTACCAGAATTCACGGAAAAGGAATCAATGGCATGTCCTAGCTTCAACGGCACAAGGAAGATCAGAGCCCTGTCTATGAGCAGAAGGATGACAACTCCGCCGCACAGCAGCTGTAAAAAAGGCTTGTTTTGCGGCCAGAAGAAAGGCACAAGAAACTATGTCGATGTCAATAATTGTTGATAACACCACGAACCGAGAAGTATTTGGCTTACAGCGGTTTCCCTCAGATATGAGTTGGTTCCACTCTCCATATGACCCTCATGCGAAGAACGAAAGGGTTGATTCCAGGTAATCGAACCATATTGGGTGTCCTCATGTCCATTGGAGCTACTGTTCCTGCGTGGGGGGCCGTCGCTAAGCAAGGGTGACGTTTCCCCGTGAATGCGCCTGGAGGGCAATAATGACCCGGCTGAGATAACAACGAGGAGGAAGATGATTGTCAAGCGGGCTCCACGGACAATCGTGGCGATGGTAGCGAATGGACCGCCTAACGACTGCCAAGGTGGAGCCACCGACACAAAAAGGAGGACTTCCCCGACGCCGTATAAGATGGAACATCCGACAAGGGAAACGTATGAGGAAACCCGAGGGCCTGAGAGCTCAAGAAACAGCGAGAACCAGATGAAGGCCGAGTTAACGTCATATGCCTGTTAATTGGGTCCTTGTCAGTGAACATTATTGAATCCAACTCAGGAGAGCCTCACGATGCTATCGCGAGGTATGCTTGCTTCGCTTGAAAGTGATAGATGAAGAAGAAAAGCAGCGTTTAAGACCTAATACCGATTAATGTTCGCATGGCAGCCATAATGGGTCATTGGAAGCATGAAAAAGGATTACATATGCGATGCAAATGATGCACACGAAACAGAGAGTAATTCTGCGCAAGAGTCTGTCGGCATCACGCTGGCGATGACCCAGAGCCAACGTAATACAAGCCGAAATAACATAGTAAAGAGCAGCAGTTGGTGGCAAAAACCAATGGACTGCCACGATGGCGTTTGGTCCCAAAATATCGGAGTTGAGCGTACTGGAGATGGCCATGCTGATGGGCATCAATTCCATCAACTTATTTCGAATTGTAACGGTGGCGTATCTCCAACGTAGTACCTTCAAAGCACTTCGATATTCAAGGAAATGGATTGGTTAATTAGGAAATTCTAGATGAATGATTGATGGGGGAGTGACATGGAGGATGTTGAGCTTTGAGATTGTTGAGGAAGAAAGGAAGGGGAAGGAAGGAAAGGAGAGGAAGGCGCGCCCAACCTCCGCCTCGTTATAACAAACGAACAACTTTTGTAGTCTAAAACCCAAATGTAAAACCGTATAATCTAACTTTTATGCATCGGACCCAAGCAAAACAACACCGGTCGAGTCTATAAGGTGTGAGAAAAGAAAAGAAAATATATAGCCATCGTCCTTGATCTAACCAACCATGAACAGTATAGATCGACTAGGACTTCCTCCCAAGATCAAGATTGGCAACCAGTTTCATCTGGTCAGTGCCCTCCACGGCCGGCTCGTCCGCTCCAAAGAACGGCTTGACGGCAACGTCCACAGTCTCTTCAAAGAGACGGCCGACAACGGCCTCTTTCAGGTCTTCTCCTGTCTGACCGAAGTCGGGGTAGGCGTTCATTTCGAGGAGCCACGCGGTTCCCTGCTTGTCGACCAGGAAGTCCACACCGTACAGTTCGAACGCATTGGGAAGTGTCTGGAAATGAACCATCATTCCCCGAGCAGCAGCCTCGAACACTTCACCCGTCACGGCACAGATCTGGTCAAAGACCTTATCCTTCCAATCATCTCCGAGCCCAGGAACATAGGGATCCAGCTGCCAGAACCGACGAACGCTCTCTTTGTTGGCGCTGCCGCCCTCCTGGAAACATGTATTTGTAAGATGTCGTGCAAGGTCGGTTACCTCGTCCTCATCCTCCCATGGGGGACAATACGACTTTGCCGCAAACAGCGCTAGCATTTCCTTGAAAACATAGACCTTCAAGGAGCCAACAGCAAGAACATATGTACGAATGTGGAACTTTCGCTGGGACGACGAGGGGAGGAGCAAAGGCGGATCGATGTACGGCTGGGCAATAAAATGGCGCAACTGGGATGTGACCACTCCGTTACCATCATCGTCATCATTTTGCTCCTCTTCTGCTCGCTCTGACCCGCTCTCTTCGTCCGATTCATCGACCTCCCACTCTTCAAATATCTCCCGCAGCTGGTCCTCGCTGTTGAAGAGACGGATCCCTTGTCCACGATCACTCATGCCAGGTTTCAGGATCCACCATTCCTTCTCGGAAGCAGGCTTTTCTTCGTTCTTCTCCAAGCTGTCCCGCAGTTCGTACGCCTCCAGCAATGCATCGTCGAGGAATTCAGCGTAATCCAGCTCAAAATCGAATCCGAACTTGAAGTGCTTTGCTAGAACACTGTCCGGATGCTTCGTGACCCAGTTGGTCACCGTATTAGACAAGTAGTGCTTGCGAATCAATGCTTTGCGGATGATGTAAGCATTGGCCAAGGAGGACGATGGATTGAACATAATGTGCTCAAAGTCAAGGCGTTCGTATTCACGATACTGGAATACCGGCGTTGAGGTGGACGGGAGTTCGGACAGCGAAGATATAGCTTTATAGCGAGTTTCACCGAGCCGACGCCGTAGTGCTTGTTCCATCAGACTTTGGACATATGGATCATCGCTGTCCACAATAGAATGTAATGCAGGCTCATCATTATCGGGTCTACATGATTTAAGTCTATCAGAATTTCGGCCATCCAAAGATAACAAACCATAGACAAAAGAACTGGTGAGAAAATGCTGCAAAAGAGGGAAGTGAAGCAACGCGCTGAATAAATCGACTATCGTAGGCACTCTAAACAGGAATGGGGGGAAAGGTCATGTCAAAGCGCAATGGGATAGCCATGGGATGTCATAAATCGTCGTGCAGATTCGTTCGCCAAAAGTTCCACTCACAGCTTGATCTCTCCTTGGAATCCGGGCGCGTGCATAAAGTTTACCTTCAAGGGCGTAACACTAGATCGAATTAGTGACAGGCAACAGATTGGAGTCAAGAATGGCATTTCAACAAACCTTGTCATTCCCTCTTTGACTGTCCAACCGTCATTACCGGGCTGGCTTTCTTCGACACTCCTGTAGACATCGGAGAAGTTTGGTGCCCATTGGAAATGCTTATGCTGGATCTTAGACCTCCGTACGGGAGCACCCTCTGCAAGTTGCGCCTCAGACTTCCCTCCTTGGTTTCGCAACTCATGCTCTCGCAGATCAGGGCTTTTGTTGGACTCGGCGGCATCCACCGCCTGGAAACAACTCCCCGATGTCCACCGGTTGTCGAGCATCTCAGTGTATAACACTTTGCTCTCGCTTACCCCAGGCTCCAAGGGCACATTGACCGAGTAAAGGTCCACACCATCGGCCCAGTTCTTAGCGAGATATTCGATCAACCGAACGGAGTGGCGCGACGCTTCGGCAATCACAACCGGATCATGGTCCCGGGAACTGAAGGCGTAAGACAGGGCCACGGCGCGTTTTCCACAGGCAGCTCCCTCCATAGCACCACCGATTGTGCCGCTCGACATGGCGAACAGTGAGGTAGTATTCCGGCCGTAGTTCGGGCCGGAAACCACGAGATCTACCGGCCCCCGATCCTGGAAATAATGATAAAGACCGATCTGGACACAGCTGGCCGGGGTCGAGTCTATCAAGACCCACTCATCTCCATCGTGATCTTTCTCGTCGTCACTGTAGCATCGAGGCAGCGCATGTGTAGTTCCATCGTCTTGATGTAGTGTGCCCGGGCGGAAGTAGGTAGGCTTTACGGAAGCACCGACCAAATGGGCCTTGCCGATCCAGGATCGCTGCTGATGTGGCAGAACCACCGAGACCACATGCCCGGCTGATTGTAGCGTATGGACGAGAGAATGGACGTAGGGAGAGGACTGGTTTGACGGGGGCCCGTCGTCGTTCACCACCTATGGATGCAGTTAGATTCCAATGAAAGAAGGAACCCGCACATGAAAGATGCGTAACGAGACGCAATCGGAACCGCACTTACAAGAACATGCATTGTGAAGGATAGACAGAAAGGCAGTCAAGGAGCGAATGGGGGAGAGGAAGGAGTGTAGGTAGAGTCGGGGAGGAGGGGAACGGCGAGGCGAAGAAAGTCGGAAGTTTCCCCCGCCTTTTTTCCCCTCCGGCGGGTCCACTCGCTGTTATCGATAATCTCTACTCCCTCGACACTCTACACTCTACACTCCACCCTCAACAACTCCCTTCGATCTATGATTGCTTACAATTGCAGCGGTGCTCGGATGCGCTTCCTTGACGTCCCAGTCGGGATGAAAATCGCTGAGTTGGGGGTATCCTAAATCATTACATCGACATGATTTTCACCAGGGGAATGCTGCCATGCTAACTAGTGGGAATCGTCATCCCCGGATGTATGGCGTCTTCGCCGCTGAACCCCCTGCGCCCCAGAACTTTCTAACCCCGTTCCAGCCCCAGAGGTTTGCTTGTCGGGTGATCCTTCACTTTCATCGTCCGCCTGAGACTCGACCTGATACTCCTTCTCTTTCTTGACACGTCGCTCGGGTTGGTCGTTTGAAGTGTCCAGAGAGCTCTCCAACGGCGATGTCGACTCCTCAAGGGGCTCCTGCTTGATCCGAGTTTCGTCGCGATCTTCCTTCTTGACTGTCACCTTGCCATCTGTACCGCTGTTGGCAAAGGTGGCTAAGACGATCCACACAATACTCGCAGAGATCATGGAGGTGCTCCAGAACATAAAGGTGAAAACAAAGAATGAGGTGATTCTCCAATTGTACATCAGCCACCTGGTTTTCAGTTAGTATCTTCAAACAACATCTAGCATTGTCTCGTTGGAGGCAGTGGAGCATTACCGCATTCCCGTAAACCTAGCCCTAAACGCCACTTTTGCCTTGTATATCTGCATTTGCTGTTGACTGTGGATTTCCAACCGCAGTCTGTCCGGGATATTACGCCGCCCCCGGGCGAATTGGATCCGTTCCATCATAGGCACTTGCAGCTTTTCGGATTCCCGTTGCCATCCCAGCACATAGAAGGGCATGAAAGACAGCTTACTCGCAGTGTCGATCAAGGGCGAGGCATACGTCAGGATAGCAGGACGACGCGATCGCAAGAAAGGGTCAGTGGACGCGTTCGCACTGTCCAGGATGGGCGACGAGGGACCGGGGATTAGAGTCAAGTCGACCATGAAGTTTCCAGTGCCAAGATTTGAAGGGGTGCGCGGTAATTCAAGCTCAACGCTGACGTCGTACGGTTGAAGGGAAATCAGCCCCGAGCCGAGAGAAGTTGTGCCCCAAGGATGTCCATCGCTATCAGGCGATGTTGTATTAGCCTTGTGTAATGGGAGAGACGGTGCATACTGGTTATGCCGTCGGAACGAGGGTCTGTGCAGTTATGCGACTCACCCGAATTGCAAATGTACCACGCGCTCCAAACCGACTTGCGGAATGATTTTATAGTAGAAAATTCCATACGCAATAGTTGAAACAACTACCATGCAAATAGCGGAGAGAAAAAGGAGCAGCGTTCCCAGGTATGCCTTTTGCGCTCGTTTCGAAATCAAGGGCTGAATAAAGGCAGCCGACGTGTTCTATGCATGTTTTTTGCGCCCATCAGCATGCTACTTTCAGCCATTGGAACTGCAGGTTTCTCACAATCGCCCTCGACAGAAGGGTGGGCTGCTCATTGATTTCGCCATCAGTTGACCCCGATTCTGTATCCATGGCGAGGCCAGCAGCGGTTGGTTCCCAGTCTGGGGAGGAAGGGGAGGGTTGGCAGAGAGCGGGATTCATGAAATGGCGACGGACAACGCGGGTCACGCCGACGTCACTTGACAGCCTCAGGCCACCACCCCGGGCAGCCTCGGCATTCCGCCTGCCTTAAGGCATCCATCCTCTGTCCTGTTCAGATCGTGGGTGGGAAAGACAATATCAAGAATGATCTCTAATGTCATTACACTGCAAGTAGCACTCATTATACCCCCGTTTTTATAGCTTATCGTTACATGAATTACCACGGTCGCGGCAATAGGAGAAGAAAGGAAAGAAACATGCAACAAGGAAAAACACGAATAGCAAAGAGAAAAAGATATAGGTTCCATGTAGGCTAAAACCATGCTGACACGTCCTAGTATGCATATCCCTCCCAGAAACCCAACCGAGAAATGGCAATAAATAGAAAATGAAGCAGAACCCAGCACTCTGAATGATGAAAAGAAGAAAAAAAAGAAGAAACATCCCTAACATACACCGTAACATAGCACCATGGATGAGGCGCTGCTTGTCATGAGTGGCATCTGAAAACACCGTAAGAGCATTTCATCTCCGCCAAATGCAAAACATCGAGGCATGATCAAGTAAATCATATTAATAAGAAAGAAAGAACAAGAGATGGCGAAAGTAATAGGCGCCTTCGGGGCTTAGGATAGCGGCCGGGGGCTCTGCTGCTGAATGTGCTGCAGGAGGGCATCGAACAGACGACCAATCTGAAGGACCGATATTAGTAACTGTTCAACCTAACACAGAGACGGGGTAAGATAGAACTTACCTCAGGCGCAGCCTGGATAAAGGGGAGGCGGAAGAAGGTGTAGCTTCGGTTCTGAAGCAGCTCCTGAAGCGTGATGATCAGTCCCCAAGGATGGGGGCGATGGACGATCAACCGCTCGAGAAGAACTCGGATAATTTGCTGGCGGATGTCGGATTCATCCTGTTCCGAGTTGTCCGCGCCAAAGAGACGAAGAATAGCAAAGCTGAAGAAGTAGGTGTGGCTGTTGGGATATCGAAGCTGGTTTGCCATCGCGCTGAGGAGGTAATAGCGCGCTTCTGGCCGGAGAATCTTCGCCAGCTTCTCCAGAAGTGCGGAGTGAGCTGAGTTATCGAATGCCGCGCGAGTGTTTCCCTTCGCCGCGTTGGCAGAAACCGCGCTTTGACCGATATAGAGCACCAGTGCGTTCACGAGTACGACATTGACGTTGACTGGAGCATAGAAAAGACCGGTCTCTTTGCTGGTAGGGTCATAAATCGCGTCACAGATCTGTTGAAGAACGGATTCCGAGGTGCTGGCGCTCTGCAAAGCGCTGTCTACAACAGTTTTGATGTTAGCCTGCTGGAGAGGGGCAGCGGTGTCACCAGCGATCCGGGGCGCTTCTCGCATCTCCTCCAAACGCTCAACTTTCAGGCCCTCTCTAAAAGGGTCCGGCAGTTTGTGGAAAGAAGATGGGTACGCGCTCAGAACAAGGTTCCGGAGTTGAGCACAGTGGGCGGGAATGACGTTGCAGAACTCGAAATGATTCTCCGCAACAAACTCGGGAAAGTCGTGATGCAAGATGAGCAAGACACGGAGCACCCCCTTGTACAGATCCTTGGCGACATATGAAATGCTGGCCGGCTTGAGTTGCTCGCCGATGTAGGACAGAAGAGCTTGCATAATCTCACAGTACGGGCCCCAGCCCGCTCGGTCCGGCATATTCAGCATACCGGACATGAAGAATCGGTGAGAAACCAAGGAAAGCCACCCATAGACAAACGCCGGGCAGTATTTAGGCTCGAGAGACAGGAATTTGTTGGCCAAAGCAAACATCATCTCCTGGTGCTGGTCACTCTGTTGAAGACCGTTTATGGAGTATTCGCATAAGATGCTAGAGAAGAGTCTGAAGAACACACGTTGGTTGAAAGCCTCTCCCCGCATGACATGGTGATGGTTCAGGACGAGCACAAGCAATGACAGGATCGAGTTGAAGTATACGGCTTTGTTAGTCCGGGGAGAACCTTCGTTGTCGCTCTGGAACTTGACGAGCAAGATGACCAATTTGGCTAGAGCATCAATGTAAAGGAAGGCCTCGTCGAGACTGCCATTGGGGTTCTGGGATTCATGCTCGAACATGGCGACGGAAATGTCGATGCTGAGACGGAAGAACAGGGCTGAGTCCTCTTGGTTGTCCATGACCTGTCTCTGGTGGATATCCTTGAGGAACGAGTAGTACGTGCGGTCGACAGCACCCGGCGCTTTGTAGATCCCAATCCATTCGGTGAAGATGTATTCCATTTGGTCACGCTTAGCCATTGCCTTGTCAGTGAGGAAAGGGTTGGCAACTTCGGGAATGCCGGATTCACGCAACTTGCGAATGATTTCATTGGCGGTGGAAAGGCTGGAGTCCTCCGCAAGCCATTGACTCATCGCTTCAAGACTGCCTGAGAAATCAGATCTCAGGGCAGATGGCTCTTCGCTAAAGAGTACCCGGTCCATGAGACTAGCAAGAAGCTCAAGAGAGCCTGCGGATCGTTGAAGGATGAGTCTAGTAAGAATCATATCGACTCGTCGAATGTCCAACAGACCAGCATCGATGAGAGCAACGGAGACCGGAACGTTGAACATGTGATCATCCTCCACTTCAGACAGCACAGTCCATGTATAACGGGCAACCAGTGTAGACATATCGCATAATTTAGCAAGAAGATGCACGAGGACTTCAACTTCTAGCGTCGCCTGACTTTGCGCATACAGGGCCGTGCAAATCTTAAGAGACGTCAATCTCGCCAACTCCTCGCCGTTTGGAGAGGCAACAATGGAACGCAATGCCTGGTTGTACTCTTGCAGGACGGCACTGTCTCTGCCGAGATCCCGAATGCGCTCCTCGGTTGCAACCCGCGCTGCCTGTTGCAGTTCTGCCACGATATTTTCAACCTTTTCGCGTGGATTCTGTGAATCAAGGAACCCGTTGAGCTGGGACTGAGCGCCGACAATGCCGGACTGCTGTAGTCGAGCATCTTGTTGTGCCTGGGGTGTGCGGTGCGGTACAGCAGGTTGCTCCGCTGGGGTCGAAAGATTGGGGATCGGTGGGGGGTAAGGTTCTGGAAGAACATCCTGAAGTTGACGGCTAGAATCAGTGGACACATTTTGCGCATGCGCCGTCCCTGTCCCACGGGACTGGCGTGCGAAATCCTCATATATAGCCAGCTGTTCCTTGTTAAGGCCGCCAGGTGCCTGACGATAGGGCTCGGGAATGAACAGGGCCCAACGATTCATGGATGGGTCGATGAACGGCTCATTTGGACGAGCTGCGCGGTGGCGTCGACGAGCTTCTAGTTGCGACTCAATCACCTTCTCGATCTCGGGGAATGATTTCTCTTCTGCTGCTTTCTCGACGATACCGCAGGCAGCATCAAGGTTGTCATTTACACACATCAAGATCAACCCTTCAGGCATGGGCTGATCCGAATACTCTTGCTGAATCATTCGGATGTAGTTGGTCATGCTTACTTTGAGAGGCTCTTTGCAGGTCACAAGAGCCAAGCTGCCAGCAAGCTGCCGAACCATGATGCCAGCTGCATGCCGAACTTTCTCCTCGTCAGGCTCCATGGCAAAGTCCTTCGAAACGAGTTGAACGGTGGAGATCGAAGCGATGGTCACTGACCGCTCCACCACAGGTGTAATGATCTCGGCGATGGCACGCTCCACAGCGTTGTGAACGATTTGCCGGAGAATGTTCGCATCTACCATGCTGCTTGCCGATGACGGCAAAACAAGAATCTTATCGAGGCTCGGGAGCGTTGACAAAATAGCAGCGGGCGACAGCCTCTCATGCCGGATGCCTTGGTTGATGCCGGTCAGAGGCATGTCTTCAAAGGTTTCAAGGCCTTCCGGAATATTTGCAGTCGACAGGGCGTCTTCAATATGCGCCGAGCGGTCCCGAATGATCACTGATGGCTCGATCACCTTGTGGTCAAGGTCAAGGTCTTTGCACAAAACCTCAATCTCAAATTTAAGGTTCAGTTTCAATTCCGCAAAGTGGTAGAGTTCCATCAATAGTGCCAAAACATCCATCAACCACGGGTTTGGAGGATTGAACACGGTAGATTTCGTAGCCTGTACCAGCACCTTACAGGTAAACGGAATGACAATAGTCAGACGTTGGCTGTCAAATCCTTCCAGCAGGAGTCCTTTGAAGTAGACATTCTTATGCTTGACAGGTTTGTCCTTGGCAATGGTTAAGGATCCAAGCCAAGATCCGAGATTTTTGAGGTGGCCACGCTCGGTCGAGGAGTTCAGCGTCGCCTCCGAATTGAGCAACTTGGAAACGCTAGCGTAGGTTTCGCGAAGAACCTCCGCCCAGAGTATCCTATCGTTGATGCGGTCGAGGAGGTCCAGGTATAGCTGTTGGAAGTTTGGTTGCAATTTTGCACGTTCTTCCACTAGGTAGGAAGCAAACCATTGGTGGTGCTGGTCACGAAGAACATCCGTGAGATCTCGCAGCTTCTCCTCCATGTTCTGCTCCGATACGTTGTTGAGTACAAACAAAATCTTGTCCTGGATATCCTCGTCTGGATTTTGATAGACCTCCGGTCGTAGAGGCGCATCAACGTGCACAGAAACAAATTTGCGCCCGGGACCTTCTGGACCTGCTGCCTCATCGATGTTCCCATTGACCAATGACGAGGCAGAGGCATTGTCTAGTCGCCCGGCTTCGGAATCTCTCACTTGGCTTCCTTGCTCCTGCAACACTTCTTCGGCCTTCTGGAAGATCGGCGTGCCCTGCAGACTCGGAATCTGAAGCAAGAGGTGGCAGAAGCCGGCCCATTCGGACAGGCGGCTGATCAATTGCTCGATAGCTTCAACGCCGAACTTGTACATGGGGTCGTGTACCTCATGCTCTCGGACAGCTTCCAGGATCATCCCGAGACCCACTTTCAGCGTGATACCATCAACAAGACGGAAATTGATGATACCACCAAACATGACGGCTGTCTTGGTCAAAGCCTCCAATGGGTATTCGTGGTAGCAATGGTACTCATCAATAAGCCCATGAACCATGCATGCGAACAGATCTTGTTCACCAGGTTCCCGCGAGGACTTGTAACGTCTCATCAACTCGAGAATTTCCCTCAACGACAATTCTTCATGATACATCTTGCCAAAGAGTTCTTGCATTTGCTTGTCAATAGCTTCGGGCAGAGAATTGCCATTCTCGCCATTTGAATCGATGATATCATCGTACCCTTCTCCATAGTTGATCAAACGCGGGTAGGTTTGGATGCAAATTCGTTGCACGGGAGTCAGGTTTTCACGATCCCCAACGTATTCTTCAAGGACCGATAATAAAGTATATACTGTCTTCACCGACAGACTGACCATCTGTGGAGCTGCCTGTTCTTTTCTCTGGACATGAAGCTCGTCTTCTGCTTTGATCCTCAGGAATTTTGACAGTAGACTGCCCATGTCCATAGGTCCCTTCTGCGCAGCATTGCGGACCCATTGCTCCAAATCAAATGGCCCCTTACGGTGAGCATAACAGGCGAGATCCATAGCAAGACCGTTGGTGTATCTCAGCAGATAATCCAGCCAGTTGTACTCAACTGCTTGTTCGTAAATAGCGGCGGTTGATGTCGGATCCTGTGTGAAGGTGGTGAAAAGTTGCTCAGATACCCATTGCTTATCTTGATGCCACGCCCCATGGAGAGCGAGTTGATAGCCCTCCTCTTGTTTGAGGATGAAAACAATCAGCGTTCGCAGCACAAAGCTTTGCTGAACGCTTGTCCAAGGCTGAGGGAGGGCCAGTGCCGAGCACAGGAAAACCGGGAGATCATACTGTACGACCGCCTTGATGAGCAATTGGCTTTCGGCAGCAGCCCACGAGGCCTGGGAAAACAGCGCCAGATCAAATATGGCCCTCATGGCGTCTAAAGACCGCAAAGGCGACTTTGCGGCGCGCTCTCCTTGCAGGCGTACGAGCTCGGGACCGTCCGCGAAAAAGTCATGGGGGAAAGTGGCCCGGAGACTAGGAATCTGCGACACATCCGTTCGTGAGATAATGAGAGCCGTGAGGAATGACAGCTGGGTATCACGGTGTTCCCAATCACCACCCCAGAGCTTCTGAATGTCTAAGGTAGAATCATCCGATGCAGCTGCCAAAATGACCGAATATAGCTTGGTAAATTGCCGAGCATCGAGCCTCAGGCCTTCACGATCGAAGTTTCTGAAGATGAGGGGCCAGCTGATTTGCTTGTCACCGTAATGCGCCTTGACAGCAGCAAGGAATACCTCCAGAGAAAAGTCCTTCCAATACTGAGAGAGGACAAGGAAAAGCAGAGCACTGGCAACATGTTCTTCATTCCAGCACTCGGGGCCAGCTAAGTTGATCACTTCGGTCACCGCGTCGGGGTTGGAGGTTGCCTTTGGTCCTTTCGCATGCAGCTGGCGCACTAACGTATATCGTGGATTGGTGAAATTGAACATTTGCAAAGCCGATGCGACCTCGAAGGGCACATCGAGATTCAGCTTTTGGTATCGCAGGTTCGCTGCATACACGAGTTTCGCCTTCACGTCGTCGGTGAAATTGCGCGGGGGGTATAGAATGAAGCGCTCGATCGTCATGCCGATGAAGGAGTCTTTGTATTCCTTCGTAATATCCGAGGGCGACGCAAGGCTCTGCAGGAAGGGAATGACATTGTTCGAGAGGATCGCATCGGCTAGAAAGGAGGCAACCGTCAGCCCAGGACATCACCGCATGTAAGACGTCGAGAAATACATACCCTTAGCACGAAGATCCGACTTGTTGGCAGTCTTAAAGGCCAAAGCAAGTGATACCTTCACAACAGAGTCGAGTTTGAAGTGATCCAAGAAAGTTGATAGGTCGAAGTCGCGGAAGATGTCGCCCTCCGAGGCATCAACCGTCTCCGCAATTTTGTAGGCCTGTTCTTTATCTTGCGACACTTTCTGCATCTCCTGGACAAGAAGGGGGTAGTTCCCTGCATTTTCCACGGACTTATTCACGCCTGGGAATATTTGCGGGGCATTGCCTGTGAGAAGGCGCCGGAAGTATTTTGAGAAGACCTCCATGCCGTTGGATTCGACGAGCTACCGAGCAGTTAGTTGGGCCATATAAACAATGCGATCAAGCGTGCACGAGCTTACTTTGTGAATCTGAGCAGCTTTCGTCTCCCACTTCTCTCGACCTTCTTTCTCTGTGATGGAATCCAGAAGAAGGAAAACCTGGGCGATGGATATCTTCGTCAACGACGACTGGCTTGCGTGAGCCGCTGCTCCTGAGGCAGCCGAGCCCGGTTTATCGGAAAAGCCCGTAGGTGAATTCACGGTTGTTCCCGATAACAACGGAGAGAAGGTGGCGCCTCTGGAAGATCCCGTCCCGCCTCCGCCTCCCCCGGAGCCTCCTCCACCCGCGATAGAACCCGCTGCGGAAGCCAGATGTGACCCTGACGATGGGGTGTGCGATCGGAATTTAGGAGAGGAGAGTGACTGCCCGGGTTGCTGGTGTTGTTGCGATCCAGATTGTAGGGAGGTGAAAGGCGACGGTGTGGAGGCAGGCGAGGGAACGTTGCGGCCGACTTGGTGGCCTCGTGCGGAACTCAACACCGCAGAGAAGGAGGAAGTGAGAGGGGACGACGTTGAACCACCTGGACCAGGACTACTGGACTGGGGTGGCCCGCGGGAAGAGGCAGATGATATCGAGGTCGAAGCGAGGTTGTTGGTCGCAAGCGGAGTCAGTCCCCGGCGAACGTTGGACTGGGACGCGGACGAACCCCAGGCAGATTGCTGTGACCTTCCCGGCCTGGTCGAAGAAGAAGACTTATCGGTGCCAGAAGCAATCGACGATTGGGAGGAAGGGGGAGGGGGAGGGAAGGTCATCTAGGAGACGCGATCATTTGATCTGAGGACGACCGACAGATTTTTTTTATTTCTTGCGAATGATGGGCAAATATATAGGGCTGGATGTGATTGGGCTGATAATAAGCTTGCGAAGATGGGAATTCTTGCCGTGGCAGCGAAACGAGGAAGGGGAGTGAAAATGGATGTTGCTTCGTGGCACAGGATGGAAGTTCCGATGGGAAGTGAGTGACGGGCAGAGAAGGCGAGGTTCAGTGGACGGGCAGGTGGAGAGGGATGCCTGAGGTCAGCCACACTAAGCTTAACTCGGTAGGCAGTCTGGGTATTGATATTCGACCACCATGCGATGTCAATGGGAGATGAGGATGTGTACGACGGAGGGTCCTGCCAAATGGACTCCCTGGTCCAATAGGTTCAGCTCAAAAAGGGGTGCACCTGCATCATGGCACGAGCGAAGGCGTTTGCTCTTTCATGGCGTCTTCCTCGAGTCGACAGCACGTGATAAGAGCCGCCGAGCAGGGTTTGCTTATGTCATGGCTGAGTCACGGGAGCTGGGCTTTAACCCTACAAGGCAGCAGGCGGCCTGATTCTGGGCAGACAATTCGGTGTAGGATTGCTAGTCTTGCAACGGAAGATGCTCCGTAGAACTAATGTTGTTAATGACCTTGAATAACGTGGGACTTATGAAGAGAAAAAATAAATTAAATTAGAAATTGACAGCTAATTAAACCAGGCTGTACTGTACTATACATGGAAATATACTCAAGTGTCGCCCCAACCATAGTACTGCGTTGTAGGTGGTGTTCACCAGATTAGTGTCAGTAAAATACTTCATGTTGTCATACCTACCCCTACCTATGCATGGATTACACATGGGCTGGGTCGATTCATGCAGGTCGTTGACAGGACACGAGCTGAACCTGGGCGTTGTCGTGGAGCGGCGTGACTTGCCCCGTGATGTAGTCCCCCGTTGCCCCGAGAAACGTGGAGCCGTAAACATCAACCGCCATTCCTTCCAGACCCAAGGATAGATATGCTCAACTCCACCAAGTCCAGCTCTATTGTGCTGTTCTGCCCAATCTTTCCGCAATTTGCGGTTTTCTTTTTGATATCCTGGGGATACTTTGGGCACTGGGTCCTGCCTACTTTCCGTTGAAATACCCTTGCCTTTTTTTTTTGGCCGCAGTTCGTTCTTTTCATTATCACCTACTGCTCGCTTCCTCGCATTTTCGACTACCCCTTCTTCGCTGTAATCAGATGAGCAAAGGCTGGCCGAGGCTCGATCAAATCAGCACAATTTAATCTGCGCAAATGCCGGGAACAGTTGCGGATGGGCCAACCGTGGCCATGTCCTGTATGGTCTCTTCCTACAATATTTCACGACAGCAATGATTGCTAACAAGCGGTTATTCAACTAGTTGCCAATAATTTCTGGGGAAAGGACGATGCCGGTGTTGGGCCTATGCTGGATCGAATGCACGGTTCCAAAGTCTCCTGCGACGAGCTGAAAACATTCTACAACAGTGCGTGATCTTGGTTCATAAAATCCCACATCGAGACGAAGCTCCTCTAACCGGGTCGACAGTTCGGGCTGCCATCGAAGAAGAATATGCACGGAAGCTTCTGGCGCTTTGCCGCAAGTCGCTTGGGTCTTGTGAGACTGGTTCGCTGCGCTCGTCCTTCGACGTGGTCCGCGGCGAAACGGAAGCCATTGCGAAGTCACATGCAGCCATCGCCGTGCAGATGAAGCGAGAGCTCGAGGAGCCTTTGATAGCGTTTGCGGGTGGCTCAAAGGAGAGGCGAAAAATCATTCAGACCGGAATTGAGCGGTTGCTCAAAACCAAAGTCAATCAAACGCAAACAGTGAACAAGGCAAGTTGGTTGAAATTGTGGCGTGTGATGGCAAACATAGACTAACAAGCCCATAGACCCGAGATCGATACGAGCAGGACTGCCTCAGGATCAAGGGATACCTTGCACAAGGACACATGGTTATGGGGCAAGAGGAACGCAAGAACAAAGCAAAGCTCGAGAAAACACAGATACAACTTGCATCTAGCAGCAGCGAGTACGAGACTGCCATCAAGATCCTCGAAGAGACCACCGGGCGTTGGAACAAGGAGTGGAAGTCTGCCTGTGATGTAAGCTCCATCAAACCAACCAACCGGGGAAATATGGCTAACTCATCGTCAGAAATTCCAAGATCTCGAGGAGGAAAGACTTGACTTTACGAAGAGCAGCTTGTGGACATATGCGAACATTGCGTCAACGGTGTGCGTCAGCGACGATGCTGTGAGTTAGGAGACTACCTTATTGTTTGGTTACGGATGAATATACTAACTTCTTTCCAAGTCCTGCGAAAAGGTTCGGCTTTCGTTGGAGAATTGTGAGGTCGAAAAGGACATCGTCTACTTCATCAAAGAGAGGGGGACAGGCCAGGATATCCCTGACCCTCCACGATTTATCAACTTCTGCCGCGGAGATATCAATGACTCAAGCTCGGAAGTCTCTGAAGAGGATGGGTATTCTGTGGCCCAATTCCAGCGCACAATCAACCCGGCCTTCCGCAGCTCCTCGCCCCAGCCGTCGACGTACGAATCTCACCACGACCCACAATCCGACCTAGTTTCTAAGATGGGCCATAACGACCCGCCGACTCCTACGAGTAGAGAGACCACTGTCACTCCGCAGAGACCAATGCAGCCACCACCAACGCAGCAACCACCCCCATTGGACCTCCGTCGCGGCGGCCATCCCCCTCCCAACTATGACCCCAATCAGCATGGTGAAATCGGAAAGGTACCCCATAACGCCTATCCGACGGATGGTATGACCATGTTTTGCAGGACTGGGCCTCCTTCAGAGCGTAGTTCAGGAACGAACAGTGGATACCGCCCATCGAGCCGCGATTCCCAGAGCGAAGTCTCGAACCCGACCTCGATGTCTAGTCAAGAGCCGCCAAGTGCCAGACAGTCCCCAACAAAGCCTGTCAATGGCGTGGCGCTTCCGGGCATTGGGAGTGAGAAGCAAGTTCAGAAGAAGAGAAGTGCATTCTTCAGCAACAGCCCATTCCGCCGCAAGAGCCGCCATGATAAGGACCGGAACTCTGGCTCAGCGCAGCCGCCTTCACGCGGGACATGGGATTCTTCTAAGCAGTCGAGCCCCGTGAAGGCTCCGCCGCAACCGCAACCGCAACCGCAAGTACAACAACCCCAACAGCAACCACCACCGCAGCCACAGCAACCGATAATTGTGCCTGAAAATATTCGGTCGTCTGGAAGTGAGGAGCCGGTGGACCCTCGGGCCAACTTCCAGCTGAATGTTGGAAATAACGTGTTCGATGTGGAATCCCCAGACAAGGGCGGGCCTAAGAAGGGCTCACAGACCGCCTCTAAGAGCAAAGAAGACGATCTCGATCCCATTGCGCGCGCTCTAGCAGATCTCAAGACAACCGGCAAGCCTGCGAGCACTCGTGTGTCTGCTGATAGATATCATGGAATTGCCACGCCAGTGCCATCCGCGCCTGCGGCCAATTACACCAGTGCCTCGGTGGCTACACCACCCCCGGCGTATAATGATCCCACGGTGAAACGCCTTGACGCCCCGCAGCCAGCTTTCACCTCGGCACAGATGCAAAAGACAACAAAACGATACACCGGGCAAGCGCAGGGCATGTTCCGATCTGCCAACAATGCGGGTGCCTCAAATCCTCCAAGCAGACAGTCCCAGGAGGCTCCGCGGGCCAAGTCACCGGCCCCGAGACGGAGCGCCAGTCCTCAGCCGAGCATTCGGGTCGACACGCGCATGAGCCAGTATAGCAGAGGCCCAAGCCCGGCACCCAGCTCACACCATTCGAGCAGTATGAAGAACCGCTACAGCCAGTCACCTACGGTCTCAACCCCGCCCCAGCGCCCTGCCGATGTGCCCTACTCCCCCCATGAGTACAGCAAGCCACGAGCCTCGCCCAGTACCATGTCACGAGCCGCATCCCCCCAGCCTCAGTTCAGACAACAAACTCGGCCATCTAGCGCCGGCGGAATGGAACTGCAGCTATCCTCGAGTCCCGTTGACATGTACGGCGGCAGCCACGACGGATACGCCTCCCCCCGACGGGAACCCAGCAGACCGATGTCCTACTATGGCGATGGGGGAAGCCAGAGGAGCCGGTCCCGGAGCAGAGCCATGGCTGTTGCTGATCCTGGGCGGCAGTTCAGCCGTGACGGTCGTCCAATTTTGCATTTCGGTAAGTAGCAACCCCCATTATACCCATCATCTTAAACTAACCGATTGTACCACGCAGCTCGAGCCATGTACAGCTACAGCGCCGCAATCCCGGAAGAACTGGGCTTCACCAAGGGCGATGTCCTATCAGTCATCCGTCTTCAGGATGATGGCTGGTGGGAAGCCGAAATCACTACCAGCCGCGGCCGCACTGGCTTGGTGCCCAGCAACTACCTGCAAATCATTTAAATTATACCCCTCTATCATCTCATGAACCAATGTCCATATCCAGGAGATTCCACGCTAATTTACGTTGTTCATGATGTAGATACCATTTATGTTCATGCTCTTGGAATCTCCCCTTGTTCTTGAATTCTTCTGTTTCCTGCTTATCCGATGAGATTCACCTGCCCACTTTCCTTACGCCTTATGAGCCAAGTTTGTCGATTCTGTCATGTTTTGCACGCTATTTGGTTGTTTAATTTCCACGACCACGTTTGTCCAATCTATACTCTCCTTTACGCTGTCTCCGAGATTGTCGATTTCCCCTGAATTATGACCCCTGGCTGAAATAATCTCATGTCTGGCCAGTTGCTTTATCCAGTCCATCTTTCTGTCCTTAATCTGAGTAATACCAAGTTGTTTTGAGCGTCGCTGTTGCATGAGAACCCACCGTAGACAGAGCTGTCCGAAGGTCAGACCCATTCACAACCAAGCCAAAGTATCTCCTGTCATGCTCCACGGCAGATAAACAATGCGAGTCAGTGCCGTAGTTCCGCCCAGCAAAGTAAACCCCATACCAGATAATCACCTCTCCAACCCAATCCATCGATCAATCCGCCCTCTCACACCCCTCCACCATACACTTAAACCCCACCGGCGACTCCAGCTCCCGGATCCTCGCAAAGATACAGTACGGCTGGCTGCAGGCCTGGAACCCGGTCTTGGCGATAACGAGCTCGACGTCCGTGATGGAGAGCATGACGGTCCGTTGCGGCTGGTCTGAGCATGCTCGGTGGTCTTGATGCTGGCTTGCTTCTTGGCGCCGTTGGCTGCTTAAACAGGACGACGAGGACGATGTGGGTGTGGATGTGGATGTGGGTGTGGATGTGCTTGAGGACTCGGGCTGCGGCAGGGCTCGTCTCGCAAGATGGCAGGTTAGCAGGACGTGGTCGTTCTTGTGGCCGCAGGTGTTGAGCACGCGCTGGACTTGGCACATCTTTGCTTTTATTTCATTGCGATGTTGACCTTGTTTATTTCCGTGCTGTTGCTGATAGTGGGGGTAGGCGAGGGGGGACGGGTATATACTGTAGGTCTCAGGTTGAGGCTTTCACAGGGATATTATTTTGAGTAGGCTAGGAAAAATTGTCTGCCATCGTAATGGCCACAGGTCAGAACAATTAAACAATAGGCTCAGAGGGAGTGAATATTGGCAGATGATAACATTCTTTAGTCGCAGCCTAGATTTCTAGGTATCTTTGAATGGAAGAGTGAATGCGCAGACCGATGGGTTCTCGGCAGGTGTGATTGGTCTTGAATTAGTACAGAGTTCAGGATTTGTAGAATACACTGTGTATATACATCAACCAGATAGCTGAATCGAACACGACGCAGAATATGATCAAAACAAAATTGCTAAGAACAGTGACATCGAAAAGGCAACCCGCATGCTTGGACTGGTTCCAGAGGTGACTTCAACAAGAATTATTATGAGCCGATATGTATTAGCAAAACACAGACCCTTCAAAGATTACCGATTCTGAAAATCTCTCCGCCTGGTAAAGGCCCGCTTTATTAGGCAAAAATGGATATAAGGCCATTCAGACCTTATATCTCAACAACGCACGAAATGCGCCGAAGAAGATGCACGGACAGAGACGCGACTATTCATCATCCACAAAAGAGTTGGCTAGGCGTCCGAAGATGGGGACCTCGTAGTGATCGAGTGTGTCAACTGCGCCTTGATTAGACCGTCTTGACGAACGTTTCTTGTTGAAGCCAGACTTACCATCTCGGTAGGCCCGCAGGCTGAGAAAGCCAATGAGGGCCAAGTCGCAGATGAGCAATGTCCATGACAGAAAGCTCGACCATGAGAATATTAAATGGATGATCTGGGCAACGAGTAAGATATGTTGGTCGGCAGCTAGAGGCGGGCGCGACTTACAAACATCATTGTGAATAGCATACTCGACTGCCAAGCGTGGAAGCTACAGGAAGTCAGTATCAGACCACACATGGGAAGATCATTGGCACAATTGCTACCAAGCACCGATCCACGTACCGTACATAGTCGCTCTTGTGTTCTACCAGGAGAAGAAAGACGCCCCCGGCCGGAGGAAGAAGCAGATATGCCAGCATGGCTTCGAAGTCCATACGGATGGGGAGACTCGTCTCGAAGGCCCCCAAGTTCCAGCGTCCCCCTTCTACATCCCCACCGAAGCCAGTGTTCCCATGCCCGCTGGTTGCGATCTGTCCTCCGGCGAAATGAGTGGGAGAGGGAAGGGCGTTTGGCGTGAAACCGGGGATCGGGGGCGAACCGCGCGGGGACCCGACGGTGGGCGATTTGGCGCGATGAGGGTCGCCTAGCGAGGGGGAGAAGGCTCGCTCAACCTCGGGCGATTCGTCTTGGTACGGAGCGAAATTCATGGTTTGTCAAAGGCAAGTAAGAAAGAAAGAAAGAGGGGGAGGCGGAATGGAGAATGGCGTGCATGTTTGGTCTTATCGGCCTGCAGCGACTTATCGCGCGATGGCGGTGAGCAGAACCCCGGCTTACGACGCCCGCCGGACTCTACGTTCATGGACTCCCCTCTCGACATAACCATAGCTTAGGGTATCTTCATTTGCATTCAGGTTCGTTTCGTAAATGACATCGTACTATACAGAGAGGAATTGCGGTCTTGGACGCGTCCCAAAGTTGTCTAAGTCCGACCGCGACCACGCGCCACTCCCGGCCCTCTTGCAATCCCACTGACTGGCCTCCGTGTAGATGTGCTACTGGATCCCTTGGCCGTGGACGACGTCGTTCTTGTCCCACTACTGGTACCGGAGTAAGAAACACTCGGTGTCCTTCCCAAGCCCCCAGTACGTACCCTTCCTCGAGTTGTACCCCGCGTGCCTCTGGTCGTCGTTGTCGTCTGCGCTCTTCTCCTTTCCTCCTCCGCTCGTCGGGTAGCAGCCTCTCGCTGCTGTTGCAGTTCCCGTTCGCGTCGCTCAGCTGCCTGCTGCCTGAGGGCTTCCTCGTTTTCCATGTCGGCGACATCCTGGACAGCACCTTGCCAATTCGGATTGAGGATCAAACGCTGGTTGTGCTCGGTTTGCGCCAGGATTCGGGTCCAGGTGTTCAGCAACGTGGATGCGGAGTCAACGGTACGAGAAACAGTCTGATTGCATGCATTTGTTAGCCTCTCAATTCCTACCCAAAGGGGAGAGGGGAGAGACAAAAATATTGACATACATCCATGTTCCCCTTGGCACTATCAAGGCTGCCAAGCAAGCCCTCAATTATCTGATTAATATTTCGGACACTTTGCAGCTCATTCCGCAATGCAGCCTCCCGTGCCTCTTCCTGGCCAAAGAGCGTCTCTTCATCGTGAGAAGGCCGCGGCGGGGGAGTAGTAGTGCTGGCTTCGTTGGCTGGTTTCGGGAAGATCTCCCGGCGGGTGCGTTGGGACGGCGAGTTCCAGAGGTCGTCCGACTCACTGTCGGAGAGCTGAAAGCTTTCCATTTCCTCGGCAGTACTGCGAAATGCCATGTTGACATCAACCTGGTGGATTGAGGTTTGTTGATTTTCGGGCACGAAAGACCGACGGAGAAACGCGGCGGGGCACGAGGTCTCCGAAAGGGGTTTAGCGTCATCACATGATAGCTGTCCTGATTCGGAAGTATCAACAACTCCTGCTGGACGGTGGAACTGGTGGAACAAGCGTTTCAGCTCCTGGATACTCATCTCATTCGGCAGCTGGCTCTCATGTCAAGGAGCATTCTGGTTCAGACGCAAGTATGGAAGTACGTCGACAATCTGCTGTGCAGTCTATGATTCTCCCTGAGCTCCTAGCCAACAAGACCATGCAGTCTTGCTGAGAGGCGCCGAGGCATCGGACTTTTTCTCGCAACCACTTCAGGAATCCCTTGAAGAATAGGCCGAGAATGCATTTTTGATGTATTCCTACTCTTACAATGTAATATTCGATTGTTCACTCAGCGGGGAGGAGCTCGTTTCACCCGGGCAGTTCATTATCGATTCGAACTTTCGGGATAGTCGCAATTGGACAGGCAGAAGATACATGAGTCCTGCGGAAGCCATTGAGGATACCAACTATGAATTTACTGGAATATTTGGTGTGATTCAGGTAGTAGTGAAGTCCAGTTGTTTTCTCCATACTGCGTCGATCAGGCGGGTCGACTTAGACTTAGGGCATCGTCAGGCCGGTGGAGCTTACATAATAAATGCCGTGGCTGGTCCAACGAAACGTCAGGCGGCGTTCCCTTCACATTCCCCGTCCATCCCTCTGGCCAGCCGCCCTTCCTTTCTCAACTCCCATCATCTCTTGCCTGGCTTCATCTCACCCGATACTGTGATTCTATCGCTTTGCATTCGCGCCTCTCTTTTCCTCTGCGTCGGCCTTCTTTCCCTCCAGCTCCCCCCTAACGACGGAGACACAAACAACACCGACAGACACCATGGCGACAACGCCGCCCCCTTCGACGTTGCGAATGCCTCCTACGCCCCGACATGGCGCTGGGTATGATCAGTACGAACCATATACCACACGGCACTCTGCCAGATTGGCTAGTCAACGAGCTTCGAGAGAGACCCGTTCCACGCCGCCGCCTCCCAGTTTTCCATCGCACGCCAACTCGAGACCAAGAAAGACGAGGAAGCAAAATGATGAACTCGAGGCATTGTCTCCGCCACGATCCATTTCCGGCTCTCCCCGAAAGTTGGCATCGGATCGAGTTGGTGGATTCACTGCGGCGCATTCACTGCACGAAGTCCCCGCGGGCTCCGGGCTGGATAGATCGGATCCTTTCAATACCGCCGAGTCCTCTTCCACCTCCCACCATTATCGTCAACCATCTCGAGCGATCATGGCCGAAGGGATGCTACCCACTCCCGCCAAAACGCCGCGCAAAAAGACCATTGGCGACGCTGGATCGACCGCACGAACCCTCTTCCCTCAATTCCCTCCGCCGAGCTCTACGCGTGGCAAGAAAGGCAAGAAATCTACCGGCTTTTCTCTCGACAGTTTCAATGAGGACAACGCGCAAGACGGATCCCAAATTCAAATCTACACCGATTCTCGTGACCGCATCCCGGAAGTGGATGAAAGCGAAGAGAACCCATTCCACAAGAAGCCCGTCAAAAGCAATCCCCATGCGCGGACGTCAAGACGCCGGGATGGTCGCATGGAGCGCGATAAGGAAGTCAACGAATCCGTCAAACGCCGTGATGGCATGGTCTACGTCTTGTAAGAACCCCCTTACCCCCCTACTTCCTGTTTTATGCCAATCAAAGCTAATGATCTTCGCAGCCGTGGCAAAAAAATGTTTCGAAAGTTCGATGATACGCTTGATAGCGAGGAAGAAGACGATGATGCCGATGACGATTTGGGCTTACTTTCGGCTCGCCCCGACCTCATTGACGCATCCCATTCCCCTAGCGTTCGGCCTCTCACTCGCTCGTCCATCAAGCCTCGTGTGTTATTCCCCAGTGCCAACGACCGTGCCCCTCGGGAAGAGCCCGTCGAAGACCTGGATGAAGAAGCGGCCACGGATATTGAGGACCAGGCATTCGCCTCCGAGGTGGCAGATGAGCTCGACAATGCCGATGTTGATATGAATCAGCGACCGATGACCCCAGATCTGAACCCCGTTTCGGATACCCCTTCGTCCCCCGGTGCCACTATTCGCTCGCTGCGTTCCCGAACCAAGCGAGAAGATGGCGAGAAAAGCCAAACGCCTACGATCTCCGAGACCAGGAAAAAGCGAGCGAGTCCATTCGATGGTTGGTTGCGCAAAAAGCAAACTCCTGCCGGCGCTGCGGCCAAGCCCAAAAAGCGAGATGCAGAAACCGCAAACAGCCCTGGTGGCCCAGCTACCAAAAAGACAAGGGGTAACAGAGGTACAATCGCATAATGAGTTGGATGTGGCAATTCTGAACCTTCATGCCGCAACGCGTCATGAAGCATGTTACTTTCTTTGGCGGCGTCAATATGGGAGTGTCCTGCGTCCTGAATTTTCTCTCTTTCCAATGTTCTCGAAAACCGGCGCTTTCGGGATTCGATCACAATATGCCCGGGTTTTTTTGATATGACCTTGCTTTTCATATCTTTTGCTCATCACGAGAAAATGGCAAAAGAAACGAGTCTTGTCAGAAAGAACCCATGGAGCAGCGAAGCGCCTGAAAGTGTGTTTAATCGAGGAAACATTTAAGTCCAAATCGTGTCACAAATCTCATTCGGAAATGGCAATGGCGATGGATAACGGTCGGGCTTTCAATTGGATTTTGTTCTGTTAACTAGGTTTGACTGGCACAGCAATGACTGGATGGCAAGGTCGGAGTTTCTTTCTTTCTTTCTCTTGCGCCTTTTTTTTTTTTTTCGTCAGCGCGTTTGTGTTGGGCGTTCGATGCTCTCCTTTTCTTTCTGGGTCTGAACTCAGCCCTTCGTCTCTTCCCCCTTCGGTTCAATAGTTTAGCTCCCCTTAGTTTTAGCTTAGCTTAAGTCTAGATATCCAACTCAATGAACATGAGATCTTAATGATTGTCTTCTGGGTGCCTTTATAGTTCTGATCTTGATTTGTCTTAGTGTGGTATCTTGTGTAGCTTCCCGTCTTTGATCGATATATATTGAAGGTATTTCGGAGGGAAGTATGTGCAACTTAGTAATTTAACTACCTATTTTGCCAACGTGCTTGTTGAATGTCGGAATTTACACTCTTTATCCTTTCTCTCCATCGTACGCTGGCCGACCTCTTTCAGTTATTGCATTCACTCTATACATCAATGACAAGAGAGAATGCACATATCTTCGTGATCTAAAATCTACGCATAGAGTCATAAGACGGATGAACCCATAGAACGACAAGAAAGGCAAAGCACATTATACTTCACAGACCTGCTTGAAGTAAATACATACATGCATATACGCAGAAAAACAGCATCTTTCAAGAGGGTAAGACAGAGAACTGAAGAAAGAATCGGTAAAAGAACGCCAGAAGGTCAATAAAATACAATCAGTAATACATAAAATGAATCACAAGGAACTCCAACAGTTTCAAGGTCATGGAAAAGGTTAAAAGAGAGACACCTAGATAGGTAAGCAGTGAGTGAGCCTCGGTCTTGAACGAGGAAGGGTATTCGTAAAAACATAATTGCGGGTTATCTTTATTCTAAACAAGTTCTTTGTGCTTGTTTGTCCAAAGGGCAATATATCCAGCTTTTCTTTTCTTTTTTTGGTCTTTCTCAAAATCGTGAACCATGCCACATACTTTCAATGCACGTCATATGAAGCCACAAAGTCGGCTGGCCAAAGGGGTGATAGGATAGGAAGAAAAAGAGGGAATACACGGAATTATACTGGAAAAGAAAAAGGAGAGGGCTTTTGAGGATGCAATGGTGGTAGGATGCGAACTCCATGCCAGTGCCATGTTCTAGATAATTTCTAGATCGTCGTCATCGTCATCGTCGTCATAAGTATGTTGGTTCACGGCCTCGGTCTGGCCTCCCAGACTGTCTCTACCGGCTTCTTTGATGCCCTTGGCCGTGATGAACCGGGTCTTTTTCACGCCGCTGCCATGCGGTCGATCGCCATCATGGGTGCGCTTCAACGGTGTTAGTTTAACATTGTCCGCCCTGCGCACTCCCATCAGGCCAAGATTGTAGGCGTGTTGGCTAGCGCCAGCTGGCCTTCCCTTATCCTGCGAGGATTTTTCTGCCTGCTGCGATGGGACATTTTCCGCGTTACGAGCACGCATGTATTCAGAACCTATTCCGGGGCCGCGAGACGCAGAGAGCTTCTTTATGATTTCTCGTTCTCGTCTCTGCTCCATGAGGCGTTTTCGGAATTTCTCTTCTTTGCTTTGAGCGCCACGGCCCATCATGCCGGCCGCTATGAAAGGGTCATCGTCGTCGGCATCAATCAGACTGGCCGCAGATTGTCCGAGATGCCTGTGGGCAAAGGCATGGCTGCTTTCGTTTCCCGATTTGGGAGCCGGTGCAACATAGTATGTTGACTGAGTTTGCATGTCATATTGGGCACCATTGGGTTTCAGACCGTTCCTGTTACCTGCCCCAGACCCTGCCCCAGCCCCAGTTCCTCCTCTTTTCCCTCCACCCCAGAAGCCAGTCCGCGTACCCGAACTACCCCCGGGGCCGAACATGCCGGTTCCACCGTTGACACCCATGCGCTGGGATTGCGTGCGACGAACCTGAAGATCAACATGAAAGTCGCAAAATTCGGTTTTTCGGCCGTCCACCCACGAATGACAGGTCTTGCCGTCCTTTCTAACAGCCTTACAGAACCCGATGTCCTGCGCATAGCCTACCTCTAATACTGTGTCATCCGAAGACGAAAGCGCAAGGCTGAACTTGTTTGTGTCAAGCTTGTTTCTCGGGGGTGGCATGATCGTAGGGTTCAAAATGGCCACGAGGATACCTTCTGAGAGCCTGTAATAACGCGGAAACGCAGTGTCGAAAAGAAAAAGATCGATACTCCATTTGAGGTCGGTGAGTGTGATGACCATGTAGCGATTTGAATTATTCAGTCCGTCGTCGAAGGGGTCAGCCTCCTTCCCAGAAATGTTCTTTGATTCTTTCTTTTCTTTGGGATCTGACTTGGAAGCCACAATGCCAAATACAACGAAGTCGCAATCGACATCTTCTGGTAACTCGAAGGCAGGACCTTTTACCGTCCGAAGGAGGTCTGGAATTTGCAGAACCTTTTTGTCGGCAAGTGTTCGAGAAAGAAAGGAATGAGGTAAAATGCGGTTTGAAAGATGCAAGGAAGAGAAGGCTTCAAATTTCGATGCATCGGGCGCCTTGTCCGAAATTTTTTCTCTCTCGCTCCCAGCCTGAGAGGAGCCATCCGGGAACGCAAAGGCGCCTGATTCGGAATTGTGGTTACGCTTATGAAATTGGGACCTTGACGCCGTGGAACCGGCCTCTGCACCGGTTTTATGTGCACTGGGCGCGGTCAAGCTCCTTTTGAGAGCCGGCGGCTTGCGGTCATGATATGATCGTAGGACATCCTCACGACTAAAGCTTTCGGCCTGCCGGTTCCTCGTTGGCGATCTAACGGGAGATTTCGCTCTGGCCTCGGCTGCTGCTGCCTTAAATCCTTCTACTTCGTTCTTGTCGAATTGAAATGCCGAACTGCGGTTGACCTGAAGTCTTTCTGCTCGTTCCTTTCGGAGTTTGTCAGCCGACCTGCTTTCAGCCATACGCTCGCTAAAGCTCTTGGGCCTGTTTCCGTCTGCGCCTGGAAATGACTGTGTCTGGGATATGGGTCCATCTCGACTGCCTAACCGACTTGTTGGTCGGCTGGTGGACTTCAACGGGGGAGGTCGTTTGAGTGAGACGTCGCTGGCTTTCCGTCCTTTATCTCCGAGAATAATGCGCCGGGGAGACACCGGATCAGCCGCCGGAGCTAGTCGTCTTGTTGGCGACAGCGGGACCTGAACCTCATCTGGCGGTAACCTCGTATTCTGACTTTTTGTATGAAAATCATGGGCCCGCGATGAGAAACTCGAGGCCGGTCGGGGAAAAGGCTCATTCTCCTCGTGTGCATCGGGTCCTGGCGTAGAGGACTTTCCGCGGCTCTTTTGTAGTTGCTTCAGCTTTAAGCGCGCCTGAATGGCCGCCAGTTTCAATTGTAGTGTTTCCTCGTCCTCGTCCTCGTCGAGATCTTCTACTCCATCTTCCAGGAGGCGTTCCGTTTTACTTCGGAGGTTTGGCGTCGTGCTTGAGTGTTTTAACGGCGACCCGAAGACTTCTCCACGGCGTTGCATTTCCTGAAACTTCCTGCGACCGCTCGGGGAGCTGAGAAGAGCCTCCCGAGGGGATTTTGGCGGCCACGAGGTCTCGACCACTGCGATACAAAGAACCAGGGGGGCCAGGGGTCAGCCCAGGGTCGGGAGCAAGGAGACCGGGGGTTTCCATACTCACTGCTGACCATCGCTCTTCTGCGTCAATGCCAATGCCGCTTTTTTCGTTCGCTTCGGATCGGAGTGTTATAGGCCGCGGGCCATGGTAGCAGGGATGCGGAAAGGGGAGGTCAACAACAAACAAGGTGATTGTTGTGACGGTGCGATGAGTTATGAATGGACGATGGATCGGCCCCGACCAGCTGATTCTCTGCACTCTTCAGGCAAGGGCTCCAAGTGTTCTGTGATTGGCCGCGGAGAAGCGCGTGTCGCGTCGGGCGGAACGCGTCAATCCCGCCCAATCGAGTCTCGTGACTGTTGACCCTCGAAACCTCCGGAGTCTTTCCAAGTCCATTGACCCTTGTGGCCTCTCCATATACATACGGCCGCTCTCTTCTACGTTCCTTTGACCATGCGCACTCGCTCGACAGCCCCTGCGGCGCAGCCTGCCCCCGAATCAGAACCAGAACAACTCCCCCCTCCGCCCCCGACAGCCGAGCGACCCAGCAAGACCTTTATTCTCCCCTCGGCAGCCACCGACGATGCGCGACTAGTCCGACTACCAAACCCAAGGACAGGCGAATTGACTCGCTACTTCTTCTGTCCGAAACTTGGAATCCACGAGTTCACGGCCGTTGCCGCTCCGTCGCACGCCCCGCGCAGTATCCTATTCTCCCATAAACCTGAGAACAGCACCGGCGGAAAAGATAATGGAGCGCCAGCAAGCGGTAGCATCTCGAAGGCGGCGCAATTGCTTGTTGCTACCCCGGTCGACGCGATGTTCTTCATGATACCCATTCTATCTCCGCCGGGGACTTCCAAGGGTCTCTTTCAGCCCCTGGATGACATCCTTGACTCGCAGGACGAGCTTCCCAAGCACATGCGCCACGTTCTCTTCAATCAAACATTTGAGTCTACGCTGCAAGCGCGCGCGGAAGCCGTTTGCGATTCCGTGGAAGCGGGCGACCAGAAGATGTTCCGGTTCAATGAGACAAAGCTTCTCGGAGAATTGATCGCCAAGGCTGAGCGCATGGCCGCGCAGGGTCTTCCGAAGAGCCTGGAAGAACGTTTCGTTCGCCAAGCCCTAGCGACTCCCTTGATGGCTGTGAAGCGTGAGAATCCTACGACCAAAGAAGCCTCATCAGAAAATAAAGAAAACGAGGGCGAGGAGGACTCCGAAGCAAAGGAGACCCCATCGACGACAACAAACTCGAATTCGGTCTCGGATGGATCGACCCCAGCCACAGAACCGCTGCCCGAGGAGCCGACGACATCGGCAAATGTAACTCATCTTCTAAGGATATCCACCGCCTTAGCGTTTATGAAAGAATCCTACCTTTCTACTGCCATTTGCGCTAGGATCGATGAATTGCTTGCCAGCCCAGACAGCCCGATTGACTTCAAGCCCTTGAACGATCACCTGAAGCACATCGCCGATCTTCGCGCCGAAGCATTAGCGTCCAGATCCCTGGGCGACTTCAGCCGCAAACGAAATGCAGAGGATGACGATGCTGCTGAGGTACGAGCAGAAAAGAAACGTCGTAAGGAAGAAGAGGAGAAGAAGAAGAAAGCGGGCGAATCTCGGGGAGTCAAGGATCTAAAGAAGGTCAATACTACTGGGATGAAGAAGATGAGCGACTTTTTCACCAAGGCTGCTCCCAAAAAGAAGTCTTAGTGCTTATTTTACGCAATGAAAGGGGGAACCTGACATGTGATAAATGAGCAATGCTGCTCGAGTTGGACGGCATTAGTGAGGCATCGAGTACTCTCGGTACGGTCATGATAAGTCCTGCCGGTACCCTGGGACACTGAAAAGGGCCATCTCTGGTTTGGGCCACCAGTCGGTTGTCGAATACCCGCATCCTCACCAAGCCCTTATTGCATTGGCAACTGGGCCGATCTAAGACACCTAGAAGGACCTCATCGACACAAGACTCAACAAGCCCATCATCTCAATGCCGGGGCCTGACTATGTACTGTGTACAAGACTCTTAATTATAATCGGTGTAAATAAAGTCGGACTATGAATATGTCTCGCAGACGCTCAAAGGCCCAATGCCAAAATCAATTTGGAGGCTATTCAAACTAATGCAAATGTTCATTATGATGTTGGTTTTTTTCATTTTCATTTTCATTTCACCTTTAGATCTTGACCTGATCAATAGCCGCGCCCGTCACCCTGTCAAAATGATTAGCAATTGACCCAAGTTCGCCAGCAAATGGCAAGGAGTAGAGCTTAAGGAAAGAGGGGGAAGTCTATCGCAAGACGTACATGAAGGATCCGTTCGAAGGTTTGCTAATGACCATGGCCTGGGCCAACTTCTCCTCGCTAATGTCGGGGAACTGCTTCAAGTAGTACTCTTCCTTCAGGGCCTTGGTGACCGCCTCGACCTTGGACTGCGGCAGCATGTGGACGGTGCACCCACCCCAGCCGGCACCGGTCAGTCGGCTGCCCCAGGTGCCTGCGCGACGGGCAATGGCGCAGATATCATCCACCGCGGGAGCACTGCACTCGTAGGTAGTGCGGCAGGAATCCTGCGATTCGTTCAGCAGCTGACCCAGATACTGGATCCGTCTCTCGTCGAGGGTCGACGCCTTGGCCAGGCAGGCCTTGAAGTCCAGCACGCGCCGGGCTTCGGTGAAGCAGTGCAGGGCACGCTGGCGCAGGAGGAACCGATCAGCCTGCACGGGGAAGGAGGAGAGATACTTGGCTTCGACCTCAGGCACGGTGGTGCCGAGCAGCTTGGCGATCTCCTCCCGAGTGTAGCCTTGCTCCTGGGTAAGCAGTTCCATGGTAGTCTGGATGACGGAGTCGATCTGGTACTCGAGCGGGTCGCCCAAGCGGCCCTCCTTGCGCATGAACTCCTCGTGGAAGTTTCGCAGACTGTATCCGAGCGAGCTGTTGTCCTTGGGTAGCGTCACACCGTGCTGGGCGGCCAGAACCACGGCGGCCAAGGTGCACTCAGCCACCCGCAAGTTGTAATGACGAGGGGCCGTCTCGGCCTTGTTGGAGGTGACAAAGCTCTGGGCCATGAGGAAGGTAATCTCCTCCTCAGCCTTGGGAATGGGGACGTGTTGCGCGGAGAAGTTGGGAAAGAACTGGGTGTACAACAGGTATCCGCGGCGGGAGAAAATCGAGGCAGCTTGGTCCATTCTGCCGAGGATTAGAGAACGAAACAAAGGGACCCAAATGCGAAGGGGAACTTTTCAACTTACCCTCCGGAGTAGACGCCCACCGCACGTTCCGAGACCACCGCCAAGTCCAACAGATCCTGCTTGGAGACGTTGTGGTTGTTCGCCTTCATGACCGCCAGGGCACTCGCGCAGACGAAGGCCGCGCTGCTGGAGATTCCGCCGCCGGGAGGCACGTTCCCATCCACCAGAACCTCCACACTTGCCGGAACGAACGTGCCGTCCTGGTTCTTGTTGCGCAAGAACTTCAACGCTCCCGACAGCCCCGCCTTGAAGTAGTTGACCCATTCGTGTTTCTTGGGATCGATTTCAATATCGGTATCCCGAGGCACGGCGAATTCGCGGGAGGGGAATTTCTCGGGGTTCACATTGGCAATCTTCACCGTTGGCTCGGCCGAAGCGACGACCTTGACGGCCATGATGACGTCGACGCTCACGGCGGTGGGAAGGACATCGTAGAGGTTGTAGTCAATGTGCTCACCGATGATGTTGACGCGGCCGGGGCTGCGAGCGACAAACTCAGGACGGTGGCCATAGGATTTGGCAAACTGGGAAACCAGCCCATCGAAACGTGTCTGATGCTCGGGGGCCACCGAGGCGGCGGAGGCGTCGTCCGTTGCGTAGACCTCAGCGATGGATTCCGTCTGGGGAACGAGTTCCTGCGGGGTGGCCATGGCGGGGTAAGAAGTAGTAGGATCAAATAGATGTATAGAAAAAGATGATACAGCGGAAGAAAGGAAGAAGAACAGGGTATCAGCAAACAGAGAACGGCGACAACGGTAGAGAGAAAGAAAGAGAAAGAGAAGAGAAAAAAAAAGAAAAGAAAAGAAGAGTGGACAGGGTCTTACGATGGATTATGGAAGGCGTCCCTGGGAGCCCCGCAATCTCTGGCCGGCGGAAGTGGGGGAATCCCGGAAATGACGGACCCCGAGTGCGTGCCTGACTGCCTGGACTCCCCGCGGTTTCTCGGTCGGAGATTCTCCTTCTTCTGCTCGCCTGCGCTCCTGCATGATCCCGATTTCTCGGCTCGGGGGTTCATTGGTCGCGATGCCTGCTCCCAGGCTGCACTGGCAACCGATTGCATCCATCCTGCGTCCTGACAGCCTTCTTCTGCCCTTCTATCCTTCGATCGAACCGAGACGGGGTCGCGTCCGTGGAAACAATTCGCCCGAGCCCCCGATTTGATTCTTGGAAATTAACCGAAGGCAAACCGTCGAATTGGACTCCGCTTCTTTGTTCATATTTAATAATAATAATGATTGTGTGGTTTGTGTGCAGGACGTAAAGGGCAGTGTTGTTTTCTCTCTTCTTTTCAATTTTTCTGATTTTGTTCTATTTACATTTATCCGAGCTCTTTTCTTCCTAACTCGTTGTTCGTAGAACCTTTCTAGGGATTCAGTAATCACCCATGGCCATCCCACGGTGGATTTCAATTCCAGTCCACTCCGTTAGTGTTGCTCAAGGACTCCCATGACTAACGACCACGTTCACTGCACCGTCTCCGGTCCAAGCTTCTGGCCGACACGACTAGCTAGGATTAGCCTACTTGTGGCTGGAGCCAAGACCAAATCTCATCCTGACGAGGAGCTCCCCGGGCTTCCTGTGCAGGCTTTATCCAGTGGAGCTACCATGTTGTACTCCGGACTGTACCAGGGCAAACACATGAACCGGTGTCTAAAAAAAAGCTTAACACGGTGATTTCTTTTGTTCATGATGCCATTGTTCAAGAATGACGATATATAATGGATTAGAATTCGATTATGTGTCGAGGGGTGGGTTTCTTTGTGTTGAAGCGTGGAGATATTCTCCAGATTCTAAGATGACCGAGGCAAAAAAAGTAAACAGAAGAAAAGAATTAAAACGGAGGAGAATATTGGACATGTTAATATGCTGTTAATTAGCAGCCTTCCATTCCATTCACCGTGCACTCGAGACCGTCAGCAGCCATACCAACACAGGAATGCTTTGGACGCCGGGATCGGGGAGTTGCGCTGCAGTATGCAGAAAGCAGAGATGACATGACATGACATGACCACGAATGCTCTCTCAGTCAGCCGGCATAAAGTATGAGCACAGAGTCTTGTTCTTGTTATTCTATATTTTTGTGTTTTGTTATTTTTTTTTATATCTTATATATTTTCCTCTTGGGGATGGTAGAGTCTTAAGGTAGTCGTATGCTCGGACAGTACCTGTCTGCGCTGTATTGTAACCATTACAGTCACGGGAACTGCCCGATGAGTCAACCGGTGGAATGGATATGGAGTACCTACGCGCGCGCATAGTGACCTACCCGAGGACGATGTACTCCGATGATCTTGGCCATGTCCAGGTCTGTAAGCTGCAGATAGTGGTACTAAGGTAGATACCTACCTACCTACCTACTTAGAGCACAGGAGGTAATGCCAATGCAATTTAAATACCGCCGCCGAGGCAATCAGCTGATATGGCCGCGTACGGCCGCCGATGATCGGAGGCGCCAGTGGTCCCGGACCAATCAAAACGCCGAGATTATTCGACGCCCACGGCGCTAGACCGGGGCGGGTTAGTCACCCAGGATGCTCTCCAGAAGTTTGAGTCTTTTCTCGTCCGGCCTTAAGGGACCTCTTACTCACTCTAGATCCGTCGACTCTTTTCCCCTTGTCAACCCCCAAAAGTCTACCTCTCGGGCCTGGCAGTCATCCGCCTCAAAGATGATGCCTCTAAGACCATCGAAAAGCGCCATGCGCGCTCTGCACTCGCAGAGATGCTTTGCCTCCGCCAGAAGACCGTTCCTTGCCATCTCGCCCCACCGCTTTTCTGCTCAGAAACGAGTCCAGAGCACCGCTGCTGCTCCCGCCAGGTGAGTTGAATCCCCAGGAATCGGTTTCCATCCAATTGCTATCGTTTTGACTGACCTGGCTTTGTCTTGGAGCGATGCTAGGCCCGTCCCCAGCCCTGCCTTCAACCAGGAACCCCAGCGAAATGGCGTGTCGCCTCTTCAGAACCGACAGGTCCCCGAGCTGGACGACTCGTATGTTTGCCCCCGTGAAGCTACCAATCGAAACTTTGGAACAATTATGATTAACACCGGTGGATGGTCAGGTTCGTCGGACTGAGTGGTGGAGAGATCTTCCACGAAATGATGCTAAGACTGGGTGTCAAGCACGTCTGTGAGTCATCCCTACATTTTTATCCCTTTCTTTGCTGCGGTCGAGTTCGCTCGTAGAGGACTGGCCAAGGACCGGCATACTAACGTTCCATCCAGTCGGTTACCCCGGAGGCGCTATTCTTCCCGTTTTCGATGCCATCTACAACTCCAAACATTTCGACTTTGTTCTCCCCCGACATGAACAGGGTGCCGGACATATGGCAGAAGGTTACGCCCGGGCCTCAGGTCTGCCCGGCGTTGTTCTCGTTACCTCTGGACCCGGTGCCACCAACGTGATCACTCCTATGCAGGACGCTCTTTCGGACGGCACCCCGATGGTTGTCTTCTGCGGTCAGGTGCCCACCAGCCTGATTGGTACCGATTCGTTCCAGGAGGCCGACGTCATTGGCATTTCCCGGGCTTGCACGAAATGGAACGTCATGGTCAAGTCCGTTGCCGAACTTCCTCGCCGCATCCAGGAGGCTTTTGAGATCGCCACCAGCGGCCGTCCCGGTCCCGTCCTGGTCGACCTTCCCAAGGATATCACCGCGGGTATCCTCCGCAAGTCCATCCCGATGAGCAGCACCATTCCCTCCCTACCGAGTGCCGCAACGATGGCAGCCCGCGAAGTGAGCATGAAGCAGCTTGAAAGCACCATCGGTCGTGTTGCGCGTCTCGTCAACGTCTCCAAGAAGCCCGTTCTGTATGTCGGTGCGGGTCTTCTCGCCCGCCCGGACGGCCCTCAAATCCTGAAGGAATTGTCCGACAAGGCCTGTATCCCCGTGACGACCACTCTGCAGGGTCTGGGAGGCTTCGACGAGCTTGATCCCAAGGCCTTGCACATGCTGGGAATGCACGGATCGGCCTACGCCAACATGGCTATGCAGGAGGCCGATCTTATCATCGCCATCGGTGCGCGTTTCGATGACCGTGTGACTGGTAACATCTCCAAGTTCGCCCCTCAGGCCAAGCTTGCCGCGACCGAGAACCGTGGTGGTATCGTTCACTTCGAAATCATGCCGAAGAACATTAACAAGGTGGTCGAGGCCAACGAGGCCGTCGAGGGTGACTGTGCCGAGAACATTCGTCACCTCCTTCCCCATATCAAGTCGGTGCCTGAGCGCCCCGAATGGTTTGCCCAGATCAATGACTGGAAGGCCCGTTTCCCGTTCTCCCTGTATGAAAAGCAGGCGGAGAAGGGCCCGATCAAGCCCCAGGCTCTGATTGAGAAGCTTAGCGACCTGACTGCGCATATCAAGGATCGCACCGTGATCACCACCGGTGTTGGTCAGCATCAGATGTGGGCTGCTCAGCATTTCCGCTGGCGCCATCCCCGCACCATGATCACCTCCGGTGGTCTGGGTACCATGGGATACGGACTTCCCGCCGCCATCGGCGCCAAGGTTGCCCGCCCCGATGCTCTTGTCATTGACATCGATGGCGATGCCTCGTTCAACATGACCTTGACCGAGCTGTCTACCGCTGCCCAGTTCAACATTGGCGTCAAGGTTCTCTTGCTGAACAACGAGGAGCAGGGCATGGTTACCCAATGGCAAAACCTGTTCTATGAGGATCGGTACTCGCATACCCACCAGAAGAACCCCGACTTTGTTCCCCTTGCCGAGTCCATGGGTGTGGCCGCCCAGCGCTGCAGCAACCCCGCGGAGATTGAGGAGAAGCTGAAGTGGCTGATCGAGAGCGATGGCCCTGCTCTGCTTGAGGTGTTCACCGACCGCAAGGTTCCCGTGCTTCCCATGGTTCCTGCCGGAAGTGCCCTGCACGAGTTCCTCGTGTACGACGAAGGTATGTCGCCCCGATGATTTATGATGGTGGGAGAGTTTTTTGATGGATGAATGCTGACCTGGTGGTTTTTCCTACAGCCAAGGAGCAAGAAAGAAAGGCTCTGATGAAGAAGCGCAACGTGGTCTTCTAAAGCAACCGCCCCGACGACGAAGTTCTATGCCGATGATTTGTAGTTTCTAAAAGTGCCTCTTTGGTCTTTTCTCTGTTGATATCCACGGCGTTTCTGGCAGGTTCTGAAAACGCTGCATCACCACGTTGGACCGCCTTGCTCGGCACGAGGACTCGGCCCAATATGATGCAGGGCATTTGACGCAGCGTTTCCCGTCAGTGTGATTGCAATCTGTCTTTCCAATTGGTCTTTCTGGGTCCGAGTTTCAGTGTAAAGGCTTCCGCTGTTTTTCTCTTTTCTTGTTATTATAATATCTATATCGGCCATTCCCTTTTCTGACAGCAGTTGGTCGTTGGTCGAGAAACACTGGCTGCCAATTCAGAAAACCAAGGGAGAAAAGAAAAAGAAAAAAGGCAAGAAAGGAAAGACAGCCCAAGCCCAGCCGACGTGTTCTGTCTGCTCTCGAGATCTTCTATTATTATGTATATAATCTCAATGATTTCTTTTTATCTAGCACATGGCAACGCCATATGGCTGGCAGTTATTCCCGTACGGCGTAATCTATTCCCGGGCACGTGAGGCGATCCTCAGCCCTAAGCTCGCTGAGTCAGCCATCCTTTCCGGCTCCGCAGCCCCGCCGACCGCCCCACGTGACCCGACCGGCCAAAGCCGCGGTTTGCATCCGAAGCAGCTTCCCTTCGCCGCTGCTGGCGGGTCCTTTTTCTCTTCCCATGACCCTTCATCGACCGTCAACCTTGTCCTTTCAAGGATGTCACCTTCTGTCTTTTCTCATTAGAAGGATTTGACTTTTTTTTTTTCTTTTTCCTTTTTATTTTCTTAATTTTTGCTCGGACTAATTCCCACGTCTAATAACTATGGCCTCTCTCCCGGGCTATTCGGCCACCTCCGGTCGAACACGATCATCCGATAGTCCTACGTCCACGTCCACCGCCCGGGACGAGCTGGAGAGATCGGAAACGAACAGTCACTCGTCGACGGAATCGACCGGCGACACGGAAACCGTCTACCTCAATCAGCCCGACGAAAGTGCATCCATCAGCGAGCCCCCGATCTCCACCCTCAGCGCCGTTGACTCATCCAATGACGAACCTCGAAAATGCTGGATCTGCTATACCGACGAGACGGAGGACTCGCCCCTAAACGCCGAATGGCGCTCGCCGTGTCCCTGTGCCCTGACAGCCCACGAAGCTTGCCTGCTAGACTGGCTGGCCGACCTGGAAAACCCCCGGGCCCGCAAACGCAACGGCCGCAACGCGAAGATGGTGTGCCCCCAGTGCAAGTCGGAGATCGTGGTCTCGCGCCCGCGCAGCTATATTGTGGATATTGTCCGGTTATTTGAGCGGTTTGCCGGTCGGCTGGTTCTGCCCGGGATGGTGTTCACGCTAGCAGGGACAGTCTGGGCGGGGTGCTGTGCGCATGGTGTATATTCCATGTACTTTGTTTTTGGAACCGAGGAGGCGCGGCAGATTTTGGAAGAGAGTGCAGACGCATCGTGGAATTCGGGCCTCAACCTGGGGTTACCGCTCATCCCATTGGTGTTGATCTTCTCGCGCACCCGTTACGCCGAAGGCTTACTCCCTGCCATTCCCGTTCTCTTTTTCGCGACGCACAATCCTGGTCACGAGCCCGAGCTTGACTTTTGGCCACCCAGCCCGGCCATGACCTTTGCAGCTCTTCCCTACATCAAGAGCTTCTACAGCGCAATCTACGAACGATTCTTTGGCAAATTAGAGAGGAAATGGATTGTGGAGGTGCAACCACGGCAGTCCGATGTCAACGAGTTTGATGACAATGCGCCGCCCGAGCAACAGGAGCCGGCAGACCCGGTAAGAAACGATAACGGTCGGGTATTGATGGAAATTGATTTTGAGCTGCAGGTTGGAATGGGTGCCGACGACGATGGAGTCCAGGGCGATTTTGGTTTCCAGGCCGGAGGAGAAGGAGCGCAAGGAGACGAGCAAGGCGCGGGTGCTATGGGAAATGGCCAGGCCTTGGGACTGGGGCGGCGCGATGATCTCATCCACGAGACCAGCAGCCTCGCCGATATCGTCCTCGGAGCGCTTGCCTTTCCCGCCATATCCGCCTCTGTCGGGGGACTTTTGAAATACGTGCTGCCGAAGACCTGGACCGCGCCCTCGACTCTGGAGCGTGGTCGACCGGGCCTGCTGCAGAGCCGATGGGGCCGCAGCGTGATCGGGGGCTGTGTTTTTGTGCTGCTGAAAGATGCATTGGTTCTCTACTGTCGATGGAAACTCGCCCAAACCCATCGACGGCGGAAGGTGCTTAATTATGACCGGGCCAAGAAGCAGGTGGCCCGACAACGATCGACTTCTTAAGTCTGGTGCGTTTGCGTTTCTTTTACGACACTATCTAAGTATGACGATGCATCTCCACGGCGTTTCTTTCTGGAGTTTGGGACACAGGATGTTGGTGCGCTTCTTCTTCTTCTTCTTCTTTTTTTTTTTTTTTTCCCTCTCACGCCTCCACTTGGGGGCTCAGTCACCATCAGCAGGATGCTTCTGATGCTTCTGTAGCGAACACTTCTACCGTCTCAAACGTGCGGATTTAATGCAATGAATTCGAACCCCGAGGATTCTACTGTAATGAGTGGAGTTGAATCACCGTAGACCCTCATGGACTTGGATCCCTGGTTCTTCGAAGGACCGGCCAGGCACAAGATCAACGAGGAACCGGAGAAGCGTGTGGCGACGCAGACCTATGGATATGATCATTCTGTCCTATGTTTTAAATCGATATATCACCGGAACCAACCTCGTTGCGGTGGGCGGTCGCGGCGAATTAGCAGAGTTTGGCATTATTGATCGCAGGTGACGTCGATCAAGGGAAGGCCGATTTGCGTCATTCTAAACTCTCCACGTCCTACAAATCCCCCCATCACCATCATTGCACAAGGCACAAGACACACTTTGTCAACTGACCCCACTATTACCAAAATGGCCTTTAATCCCTCTACTGATATTCCGGCCCTCGCCAACAAAGTCATTCTCGTCACCGGCGGCAGCGAGGGCCTCGGCAAGCAGACCATCCAACAACTTGCGACGCACTCGCCTGCAAAAATCTACCTGGCCGCACGCAACCCGGCGAAAGGCGAATCGGCCCTGCAAGAGATCCGATCCAACGCAGGGCCCGACTGCGCTCCGATCTCCCTCCTCACTCTAGACCTCTCCTCGCTGGACTCGGTCAAAGCCGCCGCAGCGGAGATCCACGCCCGAGAAACCCGACTCGACATCCTGATCACGAACGCCGGCGTCATGGGTGCCAAGGGCGTCACGCAGGAGGGCTACGAGATGCAGTTCGGCGTCAACCACGTCGGCCACGCGCTGCTCATCCAGCTGCTACTGCCGCTGCTCCTGGCCACCGCGGCGCGAGAGGACGTCACGCCCGGCGCCACGCGCTGCGTGGTGCTGGCGTCCGATGCGGAGAAGTTCGCCCCGAGGACGGACCCCTACCCGTTCGAGAAGCTGCGCACCCCCTGCGACGACCTCTCGGCCTTCACGCGCTACGGCATCAGCAAGCTGGCGAACGTGCACTACGCGGCCCAGCTGGCGCGCCGTCACCCCGAGGCCGAGACGGGCGTGCGCTTCGTCTCGCTGCACCCCGGCGCCGTCATCACGAACCTGGGCGATCTGATGCGCGGCTGGCCGCGCACGGAGAAGATCATCCGCAAGGTGGTCGCCGTAGTGATCGGTATGGTGCCCGTCGAGCAGGGGGTCTGGGGCCAGCTGTGGGCGGCGACGTGGCCGGTTGGGAAGCAGACGGAGGAGCTCGGGGAGCCCCAGTCGGGGACGTTCTATCACCCTGTGGGGGTAGAGGGCAAGGGAAGCAAATTGGCGTACGACGAGTCGAAAGCGAAGGAGTTATGGGAGTGGACGGAGAAGGAGTTGCAGCCGCACCTTTCGACGTGAGAATGGGGCATGCTGGTGTGCTCGAGGTTCCACGGTGTAATATATTAACCTTGTACGGAGTAATTTGTTTAGTTTATAGACTATTTTTCTTTCTACGAGCATAAACCTACTAGGTACTAAGTGTAGTAGTAGTGGTAGTAGTAGTGGTAGTAGTAGTGGTAGTAGTAGTGGTAGTAGTAGTGGTAGTAGTAGTGGTAGTAGTAGTGGTAGTAGTAGACCTCCTACCTATAGGTCCCTGGTCCTCCGCGCTGATTGGCCCCACTAGCGCGCGGCAGGACGCCCAAACTTTCCTTTCCGCAAAAGACTTGGGATTCGGCATCGGAAGAGCTCACTTCAGTCCTCCTCCCACCCAACCATCACAATCACACTCACCATGCGTCCCCTCTCGCCGGTCCTCGCCTCCCTGGCGAACGTCTTCCGCATTCCCATCTCCCAGACCCCGGCACGCCCCGCCATCGCTCGCATCGGCCATGACTCCCTCGTCAACAAACCCATTACGTCGGCCGTGCAGCCCATGGCCGCCCGGTCGTTCTCGACGACGAACGCCCTGCTGAAGCGTGGGAAGGGTCCTGGCGGTGGCGACAAGCGAGTCAGTACGTATACCATTTTCCAATCTTTTTTCTTTCCCTTCCGGTGGTGGTCAATTGGGCCGGTCCCAGACGGGACAGACACCAGTTCCCCATCCTAAACTCCAAATCTAACAACCACCCCTTCTTCTAGCCCTCATCCGCTACTTCCTCTGGCACCCGCTCACGCCCCGCCCCCTCCGCTTCTCCCGAACCCGGTACCTGCGACACTGGACGATCCACCGCGCCTGGCAACTGTACCAGGGGCAGCAGCGCCGGGCGCACCAGCTGGAGCTGCAGCGCCAGTACCAGGCGATGGGGGCGGCGTGCGAGGAGCTGCGCACGGGCGCCGGCGACGGCGGCCGCCTCTTCCGCAAGAGCATGATCAAGACCGGCGTCTTTCGCGACATGTTCCCCATCGAGTATGGCCGGTTGCAGACGGAGGCGCCGTCCAAGGAGGGGTGGAATCATGAGTGGAAGAGGATGGAGAAGAGGTAATCAGAACAGGTTTGGAGAGAGGGAGGGATGTTAAGCGGGATTGGAAATATGGGATTATACAAATACGTCCTATCGTGGGGATTTGGTTTGAGGTTGGGATTTAATGTCCTGTGGTTAGGTTGTTGGGACATCTGTGTCCTTTATTTTTAAGATTTGTTTACATATGCCATGTACTGTACATTATCAAAAGATCTGGTCTGATTTTCGAGTAATTGCATTCTATACTAGGTCCTGGGTAGGTTCTAAATAGTTCAAGATTACTGGTGGATATAAGACAGAATATATTGTAGTCACAACTGGCAGGCAAAATCACAGGAACAAGACAGATCAGTCGCTAGACAGCAAATAGGGAAGGAGCTAGAAATAGGAGATCAAGCGATATCAAAAAGGAGAGACGGTATTCATAAAGGAAGGCGAAAGCGAATAAAACAACCACTCGCTCCAAAGAACAGAAAGAAAAGAGGCAAGATAAATCACCCATGCCAAAGGAGAGGATTTGCAGGTAGCGTCAGAGGGAGGGTGTCAATAATAATGCAGCGGGCTTGCGGCGAACAGTCCCCTGTCTACCAACAGACTGAAGTTTGCACAGGGAAGATGCCCAAGCCGGAAGGGGAAAGAGAAAAGAGACGTAATTTCAATCGAAAATCCACCCAAACGCCGGTAATGCAAGAATATACTGGTTCAATATTTCGTCGACGGTCCTCCACTTTCCCCAATTTTTTTTTTTGGTACCAATCTAACAGACTCGCGTGACGAGCGAGCCAAAAGAACACACACGGAAGGACGAGGGCATTTCCGTCGGCGACAATTGTCGACTCGGTCGTTCGTGTCGCCGTTATAGCACAATACAGCAGGAGCTTTTCCGCTTGTCGAAAGTGAGCAGCGCGGCTCGGGTGGCCGCTTCAAACACGTCGTCGACGCCCTCTCCCGTCAAGGACGAGCATTCGAGGTACTTTCGGGCGCCGATCTGGGTGGCGGTCTCACTCCCTTCCTTGGGCGTCACGAACCGCAGCGACTTCTTTCGCATTTCCTCCACCGCGTGCGTGTCCTCGCGGAGATCTTTCTTCAACCCGACCATGATTATGGGTACACCGGGGCATCGTTCGTTGGCCTCTTCGATCCACTGCAGGACAACCGGTTAAACCACCGTTTCTGAATCGACGACAACATGACGAACCTTGTGTTTCACGTTCTCCAATGAGTCGGGGGTATCCACGGCGAATCCGATCAAGATGACATGGGCCTTGGAGTAAGCCAGTGGACGTAATCGCTCGTAATCTTCTTGACCGGCAGTATCCCACAAAGCTAATTGCACTGATCGGCCATCGACTCGGCAATCCGTCACGTAGTTCTCAAAAACCGTCGGTACCTAAATTCCATACATGGAGCAAGTCAGACGATCTGTCCTGCAACCGGTGCTATCGGATTTCACGGAAGGGTGGAAGGCAGGCACGCACGTAATGCTGTCAAAGAATCCATCGTTAGCCATGTGTTATTGTGTTTATTTCCGACTCAGCCTTGTACTTTGCAGGCAGACTTACTGTTGGGAAATAACCCAGGGTGAAGACACTCAACAAACTCGTCTTCCCGCAAGCACCGTCCCCGATGATTACCAGCTTTCTACATTACACCGAAGATCAGTACGCCGGACACGATAGAATCGAGGCGAAGACAACGTTGGAGGCCGGACTCGTGCCCCTCATGAACCAATGAAGAAATGGCCATGGCAGGGGAGGGTGGCAGAGAAAATGGAATGACAGGTGCATGTCAAACGATCGGGCTTACTTTGCCCGGCTAGGCACACGTACCTTCGCATCACATTGTCATTCTGTTGTTGCTGTTGTTGAGCCATTTTGGAAGCACGGGGTGGGGATGGGACCACCAGTTCAGAGGGCGAAAGGTATTAGAAATGCCCTGGATTCCACGAACGGAAAAGGAATGCGGTGCAGGTGAGGATGGCGAGGGCGTTGGCCCTTGTCGGCGATCGGGGCAAGTTGGGATTAGGCGCCAGGCAAGGCCTAGGTCCGGTCGAAAAGGAGCAAGCGGCGAGGGCAGGACCGAAGAGAGCAAGGAAGGGGAGCCGGCGATAGAAGAAGTCCCCTCCCCCTAACAGCAGGACGACGAGAGGACAAAAAGCAACGAGGAATTGGGGGGGGGGGGGGGGAATAAACCAACGAACTCGTGGTTCTGGGAAGGCGGTCGCGGTGAGGCTGAGGCTTAAAGTGCCGTGATCGACGTATTGGGATACGGTATGGTAAGACCGTAGTAGAATACTGTCTAGGTAGACTGAATAGTACGGAGTACTAGGGGTGTACGGGGAATTGTGGCGGTGGCTGGGACAAAGGCAGTCTGGGGGAGGCAAAGGCAAGCGAGGGATCCCATCAATAAATAACAATCGCCGGGGCTCTAATCAAAACCAAGGATGGGATCGCCCGGTAGATGGCACAGCTGAAGAGGCCATCCACTCGTTACTAAGTTAGAGAGATGTCTCAGCCGTCGCCGACTAGTTGCTGTTATTATTACGGGAGTGGAGTGCAGGTGCGACAGGAGGGGAGGTATTAATAGCTGCCCGCCGGAGGGACCGATCGGGAGTCTTCAGGATTCTTCCTTGGATTCTCTTGGAGTCTTCCTTGGGTATTCGACTTGGGTATTTAGTCTTACCCTACTGTAGAGACTGTAGGACTGTAGGACTGTAGACTGTAGACTGTAGACTGTAGGGACTGCAGGACTAAAGGGACGGACTGTAGAAGGTCATGCCGAGTTCCCCGTGTCGGAGTCAGCCTTAGTCAGCGCTGACGTAAGAACATCTGCCTGAATGCTCGGGTGTCCATCTCGCTTGCGGCGCCTAATCCCATTGCGGCCGGCGGCACGGCAACCATCCAGCGCCCAACCGGCGTCAAGATCCCATCATCGAAACCCATCAGTTCATCGCCAGCCCCTTCACGTCTGGATGCGTTGCCTCGCCAGTCTCCTGCAATCGTCTGCCTCCTCGTCCGTCTCGCCTCGACGCTCTCCTGCCGTTCGCTGGCCCGTTTGGCCCGGTCGCCCTTGACGCCCGTCGTTGCGGCCCGGGTCCTTTCCACCCCTCTCCGCCCTCATTCCCTATTTGTCGCCTAGGATCTGACGACCTTTGTTTCCTCTCCTCTCCACCCTGCCACTCGTGGGGTCCAACACCGAAGCTCATTTCCTTCGTTTTTGCTCTCTGCTTCTCCCCCTCCCCCCATTCCGTGTCCTGACGGCAATTCTTCTCCCCCCGCGAGCTTCTCTGGTGAGCTATACTTTTTTTTTTTTCCTGGTCGCTTTTCCTCTAGCCTCGATTGGACTGAACGCGGCTCGACACGGCGCTTCCCCTCTGACTGTTCGATCCGGCACCTGATCCTAGCATGGTGGCTAGCCCCGGGACATTCTAGGAGATCTGCGATACTCGATCTCCCCCTCACCCCCCCTTCGATAGCATCATACGACCCCTCCATGCCATCTCCACGGTCCTCCGGTTCCAACCCGAGTTCCTCCACCATGTCCGCCCATGTGTCGACGCCTTCGACCCGCCCCGCCAACGGCGATTCTTACTCGAAGTCCCAGCCCATGTCGACAGATCCCCAACCGCCCGCCGTGAACCGGAAAAAGCAGAAACGCAGGCAAAAGCAAGCCGCCCGCATGGCCGCCGAGCGTCAGTTCGAAAATGGACATGTCCACCACCCGGATGTCGCAGAAGAGAACTGCCTCAGCCCCACCGGTCCCGAAAGCCACCCTTCCGACGACCACGACTTCGATGAATCCGTCGACGGCGACGTCTACTACGACGAAGAACCTCGAATACTCGGGGCGCATCCTGCCATGTCCGCCCCCGCCGCCGGGGATGCGCGCGACGACCACTCGCAAGTGCCCGGTCGAAAGTCGAAGAAGAAGAAGGGCAAGAAAGGTCGCAGTGGCTCTCAAACCCTCGGAGACGAAAGTTCCACGCCCCTGTCTACCCCTTCCGTCTCGATGTCCCACCCTCTCGTCCCTCCTCTCCCGCCGCATTTCGGCGCGCGCACGATCCTGAAGTCCGCCAAAGACCGCAGTATATGGAACACGTCGACCCAGGAGGAGCGCGAGAATATCAAGGCGTTTTGGCTCGAGCTGGGCGAGGAGGAAAGGCGACAGCTGGTCAAGGTGGAGAAAGACGCGGTCCTAAAGAAGATGAAGGAACAGCAAAAGCACTCGTGCAGTTGTACGGTCTGCGGGAGGAAGCGAACCGCCATCGAAGAGGAACTCGAAGTGCTTTATGACGCCTACTACGAGGAGCTTGAGCAGTATGCGAATAACAACCAAGGTTCATTCGAGAAGGGCCCGCCCATCATGCCGCCTCCCCGTCTATATCATCCGCCTTTACGATCTCCCGGTCAGCACACGCGCACGCAAGGGCAATTCCATCCCTCACGAGGTCGAATCCACGAATTGCCCGAGGACGACGAGGATTTGGAGGAAGACTACGATGAAGATGAGGAGGACGACGAGCCCTACAGCGACGAAGAATACGAAGACGATGATACGCGCGCCGCCCGCGCGGATTTCTTCGCCTTTGGGAATAGCCTGACCGTTAAAGGTAAGAGCGAAACTCCGGGTTTACCAATTTACCCCTCCCTTATTGTGTTTGAAACTCGGGCTGATTTTTTGACCCCCCTTCGCGCTCTCTTCGCTCCTTTCAGATGGTATTCTTACAGTTGCAGACGATCTTCTCAAGAATGATGGGAAACATTTCATCGATATGATGGAGCAACTGGCCGAACGCCGGATGCAGCGGGAGGAAGACACCCAATTCGGCATCGCCGCCGCTCACCAGTCCCTTCATGCCGGTCATAACCATGGTCCTTATGACGACGAGGATTACGACGAGGAAGAGGAGGATGAATATGACAGCCAGGAGGATGAAGAATACGAAGAGGATGAAATGGTGAGTGGCGGAATCGCTACTTCGGAATCTGGAGCTGCGGTGCATGCTGACCGACTTCATTTCCAGGATGCCATGACCGAGGAGCAACGCATGGAGGAAGGCCGACGAATGTTTCAGATATTCGCCGCCCGCATGTTTGAACAGCGCGTCTTAACGGCGTACCGAGAAAAGGTGGCCGAACAACGTCAGAAAAAGTTGATCGAAGAGCTCTTGGAGGAAGAATCGCGGACCGAGCAGCGGAATGCCAAAAAGGCTCGCGAGGCCCAGAAACGGAAGGACAAGAAGAAGCTTCAGAAGCAGGCGAAGGAGGAAGAGAAGGCCCGCCGAGACGCCGAAAAGGCAGCCGAGGAAGCCGCTCTGAAGGCCGAGCAAGCGAAGAAGCTGGAAGAACAGAAAAGGAAACGAGAGGAGCAACGGAAGAAGCGCGAGGCCGAGCGGAAAGCTCAGGAAGAGGAGAAGGCTCGTCGAGAGGCCGACAAACAGCGAAGGCTGCGCGAGGAGCGAGAGCGACAAGCCGAGCTAGAGCGCAAACACCGTGAGCAGAAAGAGCAAGAAAAGCGACGACGGGAGGAAGCGCGACGAAGAGAACAGGAGGAACGAGAAGACCGGGAGTCGAAGGAAAACAAGTCCCGGGAAGAACGAGAGCGCAGGGCAACGGGAAGAGTCGAGCACGAGGCCTCCAATCCAGGCAAACGTACGTCGCAGCCAGGACCGATGCCGATCCCGGCCGGCTTGCACCACCATGTCCAAGGACCTTCGGGACACCTGCAGTCGCCACACTTGCCCGGTGCCACGCCTGTTGTCCCCAAAGCTCCGACACCTGCCCGGGCTCGTCAACCGTCTCATCAGGGTTCACACACCTCGTCTCCACGGTCCCAGGCGGCCAGCGCCGAACCTTCGCAGACGTCCATCTCCCCTCGGTCCATGGGCCCGTCCCAATCGTCTGGAGCCTCGAGCGTGACCTCGAAACAGAGCCAAGGATATCCCATGTTGCATCACCCTCAACCGTCTACTCCCCTGTCCCCTCTCGGTGCGATGGGCAGATCCCACCCACCTGGGTTCCCGAGTCCCAACGGGTTGCCAACGAACCCTCCCGGGTTAGCTGGAATGGTTCCTCGACCGCCGATGGGCCATGATCTACCCACATATCCGCCGCATACTGGTCCTCTCATGGGCCAACTGCGAGGATTCCCTGCGCCAAACGGGATCTCCATGCCGCCCGGTATTAACGGCGCCCGCCAAATGCCACCCGGACGTGGTTTTCCGCTCGACCCAGGACACGGCCTTCCATTCCATGCGCAAGCACCACTCTCGAGCGCGTTCTCTGCACAGCAGAGCGGACTGTCCCAGGGTCATTCTCGACAGCCCTCCAGCTCGTTCGACCGATCACCTCTTGACACGCATGCCCAACCGTTTCCCATCTCTCGTCCGAGCCCGATCAAGCGCCCGTCCAGCACCCAGCAAGATCAGCAGGGCGATGGAAACCGCGCTACGCAGCGTGACGTGGACAATCTCAGTGCTCGGTTTGGAAGCAGTGCCCTTCTTGACGACAGCGATGCTCCGTTTGCTTCGAACCTTTCTCAGTCACTTCCTGGTGCCACAGCTCCGGGCTCTCTCCCGGGTCCGACGCGAGCCAGCTTCGCCGCACCATCGTTGTTCCCAGACCCTCTCGGTGGTATGTACTCTTCATTTACCTGCAAAATAACCAAGTGGCTTGGTGAGCTATCAAGATTTAGTGCTAACGCTAGTCCTCGTATAGCATCGAAACACTCTGCTTTTCCGATCAGTACTGGGGTAGGAAGTAACCCTTGGGCTGGACACATCCCATTTGGTGCCTCCCCTTTCGCCGGAACTCCAACCTGGGGAACCGCACATGGTCAGTCCACTGTTTTGCTTTGTTTTACTGGGTTACTTTGCTGATAATCACGAATAGGGAGTGGTTGGTCCAACAATGCATTCGGGTCCGGGGGTCACCACCGTGCGCATACATCTCGACCAGTCGCCATTCGGTTACTGGTGATTGAAGCGTGGAAGCAACTCAACACCATGAGCCCTTCCAAGGGAGCCAGCGGTCATCAGGATGCCAAGCAATTGCTCCGCCAGGTTGATCAACTGCGGCCATCCAACGAACCTTCAATCTCGCTGAAGGAGATGCTCGACATCTGCGACACGGAAGGCAACTCGCAAAACGGGGGCGGTTCATTCTCCATCAAGAGCGACTCAATGGGCGAGTTCGTCAAGTTCGAGCCCGACACTAACAGCGCCGCCTCAGGTCACAGAGGCAGCATTGTTCCTGGTGAAATTGGAAGTCCGATTCCAAGTAGCAGCATACCGGCGTTTGGCGGGATTGGTACTACCCCATCGGTGCTTCGGCAGTATTCTTCTCCACCAACGGGTTTCTAAGGCGTTTGGCTTCTTTACTTTACGGCATTTCCTCAGTGGAGATGGGGGAGTCTTCTTATGCACTTTCTGTTTCTTTTCGTTACCCCGGTTTTTCGTTCATGTCTTCTGCACCCCCTTTTTTGGTTGTGAAGTCTTTGTTATTTTGGGATGATTGATTTGTCGAAATTCTTCTTTTGTCCAAGCGTCATGTCATGAGTGTCTTTTTTTTTTCTTTCACGTGGCTTCTTTTCATGCTCTTCTCATCACGCCTCTGTTTCCCTCCTACTACAATCATGGTCTCTTTTTTTCTTTCTCTCTTGCTTGAGTCAGGTCCCGCGTTCATAATCGGATCTTCCGGGGAACCCCCCTTGACCCCCCTTTGTCATGTGTTGTATGTCCCATTTTTACTATGTAGCGATTCCCTCGAGACACCACCTCTTCGGTCTCCGGATTAACACAATTTCATGATCAGATTGGGATGTTTTCTTTCTCCAGTCACGGACGCCTTTTCAAGGTCATGGTCTCTCTTCCTTTGCTTCCTTTGTCGGCGGGCCTTTCGGTTGGATGGTTTTGTGCTCTGTAGTGTCGTGCAAGCTGAGTAGTCGGTCGTAGGGAATAGATAGATAGCCGGCTAGCTCTATTGTTCTACCTGGTTGGTGACTTGAGTTAGTAGCTGTGCGGTCATTCATTGACAAACCTACTACTAGTGTATGTATATCTCGGCGGTCTAGGATGTGTCTAGCATGATGTTGGTTTTTCACCTGATCTGGTCCCGTGACCTATATATTTTAAACCTGTAGATGGGACGTTCTCAACGCAAATGAACTTAAAGAATCCAGATCAAACTAACGTACCTAGTCTATGGATAACCACCCAGCAGGTAGTCTACGGGAATTCCTAGTTATCAAAAAGATGGAAATTCTATTATGACAAAGACAAGAAAAAGGAAAGAATAGAATAGAATGGGTATGATGATAAGTTGACAACAGCAGCAGCATTGAAAACAGCACAAAGATGATGATAACACCTATGTATGGAATCACATAGGCAGAAGAGGGAGAAATAAAAATCAGAGAAGGGAATCAAGAACTAAAACACATCAGATCAAATCAATCTTACAGCTCGGAATTTTCAAGGGCTTGAAAAGGGGAAAGGTGTCAAGGAGAGGATAACGCGAGGCGGGCAGTAAATCAGATAAGATGGATAAAAAATAAATCAATAAATACAATCATCATCTCGTACAAATCATACCTTTGGCTCACTGTCTCGCTTCCGTGACGATGCCCTCGTAATCTCTCGAGCGGATGTACTCTAGTGTGCGCTCGAAATGACGTTTCGGGCCTTCCAGGTTCGGGTTGGGTTCGTCCTGGTTGGTCTGCAGGTTGGAGTGGATGAGCTCGATAAGACCGTTGAGGTATTTGGTCGTGACGGTTTCGTTCTGTTGGTCGAAGTAGTAGACGTAGCGGTTGAGGATCTCGACGAAGAGTTCGACGGAGACGGCGGTGTCCATGCAAGCGTCGGCAACGCGAAGCGCCCGTTGAAGACATTCGAGCACGCGCTTGCCGTCACGGTAGAGCTATGGGTGTTGTTAGAGACGAAGCCATTCCGAAACAGGAACAAAATGCAAGGATTACGTACGTTCTGGGCATCTTCCTCTCTTTGGGGGTTCTCGACAACCCACCAGAGGTGACTAGCAAGGTACACCGCACGACACTGATCAGGCTTCTTGAGCAGCTTGCTTCCGTGAAGCGCTGCCTTAGTGATAAGCGTGTCGTAGTTCTCCTTGGAGAATCCGCGGGAGCCGTGGAGAGCTCCCGCAATGATGCAGACAGCCTGGAACTGGGCCCGTGAATCACTGATAGAGTCCTCGTAGATGGTGAAAGCCTGGGCGAAGAACTCATAACTGAATTCTTCAAATCCGGTCTGGTCGGCGACCTCACCACACATGACGAAGAGCCGCAGGGATAGGTCGGCGCATCCCGGGTTTACTCGCTGGTATAGGTTATTGACGCATTGATGCATGAATCGGTACAGGGCCGATGACTGCGACTGCCAGTTGTCATCGTAATGCTCACGAGATTTGAGCTTGCGCGCCAATCGTATCGAAGCGCTGATGAGCGCGGGCGTGGTGTATCGGATTCGTTCGTTGCCGTCTGCATAGGCCTTACGGGTTGATTGCAGGAGCTGGAACCATGAGTTAGCAAGCGGATACCACGCGAATTGGAGCCGCCGTTACCTTGAGTTGGACATCATTTTCTGGTGCCTGGATTAGATGAACCAATCTTGCGAGCCAACCCTGCTCTTCGATGGTCTCGTCCGTCTCGCCGCGACGTTGGGTCTGAACTCCGGGGTACCCAATAGACTGCTGGGTGCCTTCTTTGATGAGCACTCGGAGAACCTGTAGAACACGATCGAGATTGTCCGTGGTGGTGATGAGCGTGCGGTTCTTGAGAAGACTGCGGGCGATTTCGCCGGCAACGGAACGCCGGGTAGGATACGATTGCGAAGTCAAAAGCGGGAGGTAGTTTGGTAGGGCCAGCGCCGTAAATATCGAAACATAGGAGCGAAGAGGGGCAACCAGGAGATGCAGGAGGTTCTGTTGCGTCGGAGCGGAGTGCAGATCCGCATGATCTGTGTACTCGGCGGTGGATTTGGTGGCGAAGTCGAGGACCTGATCGACGTATTCGAGTTTGTCGGGGTAGGTGTTGAGCGCAAGGTTGACCAGCGAGACGAGCAGGGCCATTGTGTCTTGGATGGGAAGCCCGCGCGACTTGATCAGATGGACCACCTGCTCGTAGAAGATGGCATAGAGCTTGACATTGGCAGGAACGCCGGGTTTTTCGTCACCGTCGCCGTTGGCGTTCTTCTCCGTGGTCTCCTCCTCTGGAGCAGCCGGGGGATTTTCTGGCGTTTCCTTCGAGTCTTGCTCCACGCCATTCTCCTGAGCGGGGGCGGTCTCCGCATTCTCCGCAGGCGCCTGCTTCTTGGTCTCTTCGGCAATCTTGACATTTTCGAGGAGTTTTATCACCGCTTCTGCCTCACTCTGCTGCCTTGTCTCCGGGTCGGTCGACAATTCGGTCTCGCGCGCCGCATATGCTGACAGGCGGTCCATCAGGCCGATAACGATCTTTTTCAGGTCCACGTGAGGGTTGAGTCGAGCAATGGCGGATAGCAAGAGGTCGAGAGTATGAAGATGGAACTCATCGGGGAAAACCTTCGTAATCACTGTCAAACATTGTTAGCTCCGAAGCTATCACCCACAAGCCCATCCGCAGATTGTCTCTGCCTACCTTCAAGCAAATACTCCTGCGCCAGCACATCCCGACATTGGACGACCTGTTCCAGCAGCGCCTGCAGGATCCCCGACTTATAGCCCTCTAGATCTACCAACTGGCTCAACCGAACGACATTGCTACCGACCAGCAGCTCCAGCTCTCGACGCTCTTGCATCCTCTTCTCCCGCTCCCGGGACGGGCCCTGATGTTGCAGTCGCACCCACAGCTTGTTCATCTCGACGAAATTGGTCAACACAAAGCTGATCGAATCCTGCATGTTGCCCTCGGGGCCGTCGCCTGACCCCGTGGGTAGATAATCCCTCGCCTGGCCGGACAGGTAGTAGCGCAGGAACAGGCCGCGGATGGGGTGCTGCACGCCTCGGCTCATCTCCATCATATCCTTCATGATCTCCTTGACCGGGGCATCCTCCACGGACATATACACAGTTCCCACGGTGACCATGAGGTACAATCTCGGGATAATGTTGCCGGCATACTGGACCAATTCGTACAGGTCGGCCAGGTGGTTTACGGGGTGGTTCTCTTTCAGGTAAACGGAGAGGTGTCGCAGGGCGTCGAAAACGGCCATGTACAGTTCATAATATTGCTTCGGACCCAGGCTGGGAGTTCGTAGTTCGGACACAAAGGTGGATCTGGAACCAATTGAGGGGGGGAGGACCCGTATCCGTTAGCCTTGCTATTCCACGGTTGCCTTGGGCGAGGGAGGGAAGCTCACCCGCATTTCAGCGCATCCATTAATTTCCCCGGCGTCTCCAGGCATTTTCGCATCATCTGCGATTGCTGTCGGACCACTCCCAATGCCTCCTCGAGGAGGCGGCTTTGGTCCTCGGGAGCCGTCACGGGGGAGGACATGGTTTCTGGGGGGTGGTGAGGAGATGGGAGCGATGGAGGGGAGGCGGTAAACAGCTGGTCGCAACGGAGTTGTGGGGGGGAGACGGTGTTCAGGGACGGGGGAGGCGGTGGGAGGGGAGACACGGAGGAAGGGACAATTGAGAAAACTCCCGGTCCATAAGACGGGAAAGCAGAGGAAAGCAGAAGCGGAATCAAGAGTTGAGGAAGAAGCGAGAACGAGCGAAGTCGATGACATGCGAAAGTGACGAAGCGTGTCTTATGTAATGCTGTTCCTTACGTATTCGTATCTTTCAACCTTTCGGTAATTTCCAATTCTATCGAGAAACCTCAATTCTATCACGATTCATTCTAAACTCGCCAAAAGAACAAGACAAAACGCCAGATGCAGGTTCATCAGCACGTCCAATCATTACAGCCAGAACCCAGAAAATCAAATATAAGCAAAAAAAACCCCGAAAAATAAAAAGGAAAGGCATCCATCCATCCCTCATAATGTAGTCATTCACATCGCAAACCATTTCTCATAAGACAGTAAATCCGAAAAGAAGAGAACAAAGGAAATAAAACGAGGAAGCAGTCCACTGCTCCTCATCATTATGCTTTTTTTTGTTATTATTCTTGAGCCCGTCAAATCATCCCGCTTAGACAACGGTACTGTTCGATCGGCCAAGAAGCTGGGTAGCATTCACGCCACCACGGCGGAAGAAAGCACGCTCGGTGACATTGGCGCTGCGAGCATGGATATCGGATTCGGTGACATTGGCGCTGCGGGCATGGATATCGGATTCGGTGTCGTTGCCGCGGGAGAAGATAGATCGAGCCTCAATTCCAGTGTCATTGCTGCGAGCGTGCAACTCAGGAAGAGTGGTGTTCTCGCTGCGGGTGTCAAGAGCTCTGGCCAAGGTGCTGTTGCCGCGAGCGTGCAAGTCCGAAGTGGTAGTGTTCTCGCTGCGAGCGTGGAGGGCTCTCGTCAGAGTGCTGTTACTACGAGCCTGCAGCTCCGAAGTAGTAGTGTTTTCGCTGCGAGCGTGGAGATCTCTCGTCAGAGTGCTGTTGCTGCGAGCCTGCAACTCCGAAGTAGTGTTGTCACCCCGCGCGTGGAGCGCTCTCGTCAAGGTGCTGTTGCTGCGCGCATCCAGGCTTCGAGCCTCGGTGGTGTTGGCCACGGCAGACCTTCTGAAGTTGCGCAAGGATCTCTCGGTTTGGTTGAATCCCCGAGCAGCGATCTGGGAGTCCTCGGATCCAGGTTCTTCGGTCGGCCCGGGAGGGATGCTCCAGGCCGGGGGCACAAAGTGGTTGGATTCCGTGGCAGATGGGGACGGAGCGGCCGTCGACGAGGGGGTTTGGGTCACGGTGAGCGTCACCGGAGGCTGAGGAGGGTTGGCGACGGTGACCGTCTCGACCGTGGGGGTCTGGCTAGTGGTGGCTTCGTCGCCGACGTTGACGACGGAGTAGGGCTGCTCACCTCTGCGTGCCAAGGTGTCGTTGGAGCGAGACTGGAAGATAGGCACGGCTTGAGCGCCGATAGAGGAGAGAAGGAGGAGGAGAGCGGAGGTATGCATATTGGCTGGTGAGAAGAGGATAATGATGGAGAAAGAAAGCAGAGACGTTGGTGCTTTAAGTATGAAGTCAACTAAGTAGTAATGAAGTGCTAGGAGAAGCACAGAGAGTATAGACAAGATAAGTGTAGAGACAAGCTCAGACGATGGAATATAGATCGAGAGAGAGCTGGGAAGAGGACGAAGGGTCCCTAATTTATGATCAGCCACTAAAGGCGACGGCTCGATGCTGGACCAATCTGGGCACACCAGCAGCACAAAATTTTATGATTATTTTTTTTTCAATAAAATATGATCGATAGATTCCATCATCGGACGGTACAGCAGACCCATATGACGGCGAAAAGCGCAGGCTGGGTGCATTGCATGGCAGCGCATGGGTCTGGGCCGGCAGCCGTCAAAGGAGGCTGGGAAGGTCGATCGACACCCACATGGGACTGGCTGCCAGCCACGTCCATTTCTCACTCGGTGTCCGTACAGGGAATCACACAGAGCGGCAGAGAGAAGGTTCAGAAATAGATGAGCATCCACGCAATCCGCTTTGTCTATCAGTGGACGTGGTAGGCTGTGTTATTCTCCCAGGCAGACGGCAAAGTCGGTCGATTGTAGGGCTCGCAGACCCTGTGACTGCCAAGAATCCCGTGGCTGGGGGTTCCACTCGCTGTGGCGTCTCAACGGTCGCCCCGATATTTTTGGACGCCCTCCATTCGCACGCGATGACTGGTGCTTTCCTGATAGCCGGATGCTGTTTTGCTGGCTGTCAGTCGCGCAAGGGATGGAGAGATCCACTGTGTGCGGTGGTGGTACGTGTGGTGTCGACGTCAACATCCGCTGTATACCTCCGAACATCCTCCTTCCACGGCCGAGTGCATGGGCGACTTGGTTGCTCAGCATGACTTCATGGTTTATTTTCAAAAGTATAAATACTGCGGCCGACCACATGTGCGACCCGCGCGATTAGCCATGCGTTGATATTGCATGAACAGTTGAACATTTTACGTTGCCCGTTGAACGAGATACGTACATGGCCCTGCTTGAGCATCGTGAGCGTCTTCCGTGGCCACTACAGCAAGACACATTCTGGCAGAGAAGACCTGACCAAAGCATCAAATCGTCTCCGTCAAATTGTCGACAGATACCAGGTGACCCAAACACGCAGTCTCGACTTGACAGTTGACGAATCCCATCCAAACTAGGAAAAACCGCTGCATGCGTCCTGCTCGATCTCTCCTTCGCAGCTGGAGGTGTTCGATTCCTTTACTATCGTTTACTCATTATTGCTCCGGGATAGCATTATCCTGGTGTCGAATAGATTCCTTGACCGCTCTTATCGCACCGAGTTTCCTGGGTCGCTATTTTTAGGAGCGTCCGACTATTGATCATGTCCCACAGTGGCGGTCCCGCCGCGTCTAGATCTATAGACTTGGCAATGCGAGATATCGGCCATCGAAGCGGATCAAATTCAAATCGATCGTCCGCGGTTGATCAACTGTCGAGAAGCATGCGCGATGGCAGTAGATTATCGAACCTACGCAGGGCTCCGGGCAGAGGCATACGTAACGGCTTTGGCGGTCATGAGACAAGAGCCAACCAAAAAAGGCCACTCGTGGAAATGGTGACGAATCCATGGTTTAACCATGGCAAAGAGAAAATCGCCTAGAGTGAATTACATAGCTAAGTCTTCGATGCGAATAAGTCCGCAACCCACGGCGGCACTGGCCCATCCCGCGCACGCCTGGTTGGGATTCCACGCTACCGCCGTAACGTGCGTTTCTTCCTCGTAGAGCGTGATGATCATGGTTCCGTTCACTAGCTTGCGATCTCCAGCCATGTTGCGCAGCAAGCTAGCGGATTCGGCGCGATATCCATCGAAGAAGCGACTGGTTCCGGGGCTGTCCGCCTCTGCACCTCGCACCCATTCGTGCGTGAACCAGGTCTGTTGCCATTGTTTCTCCTTGGGGTGCAGGACTCGCTTCAAAGGGTTGATCGCAACCACGGCCCCGCTGGCGCTCCCGTAGAGAGTGCTCGGGTGCCAGGAGCTGCACGGTGCGAGGGCAGTAATCGTGCTGGGAAGCCTGGCTATGGCGCTTGTCGTGAAGAAGCGACGCACCGCCAGTAGCCGGGCAAAGTCGTTTTCGTCACCGGAGACGAATGCTTGCAGCATGGGGGAGTATGATAGGTGGGCCGATCCGACTCGCATGCGGCTCGATTCGACCGTGTTTTTGTTGTGGTCAATGAGCGACCAGAGACGCGTCCCGCCGTCCATTGATGTAGTGGATAGTAAGTGGGGGTGCGTTGGGTAGCCCGAAGCTATCGTGAGAATATAGGTCGAATGGATGGGTTGATAGAAGTAAGGAAGGGGATTTGATGGGGAGTTCGGAGTAGGCGCTATACTCCAGACAGCCACGAAGCCATTAGCACAGCTAACGGCGATGTCGCTGGGCGAGAGCCATGTTAAAGAGGTGCCCACAGTGGAAGGAGGCCTGGCTTCGAATACGGGGGATTGGACCTTGACTAGATTGCATGTCAGCAAGAACTCAACTCGGTCATTTTCAAAATCAAATCGCGGGGGGAGACCCACGGAACTCCGTCTTGTTTGGATTCCGATTCAGTTTGACATCGATGACTCGAAGGCACCCGTCTCCCCAGATGCCTGCCAAAAGTCCGACGTTCCTCAAGTCGTCTTCCTCGTCCTCATCTCGTGGCTCTCGGGCCATGGGGCACCAGGCCATCTTTTTCAAGTCCCCCCACTCGGTACACAAAGCTAACCGTAATCTCGGCTTGAAGTTCATATCTAATGTTTTCGTGAAGCTCTCCTCTTTCGCAGCCTTAAACATCCAGAGCTGCAACGCACACGGATAAGGAGGCGACGGAGTGAATGCAGGCGCACCGGAATTCGATGGATGACGGTAGGGCTCTTTCTGCTCTTCTCGGATGGGAGCAGCCATGGCCAGATACTGCGTCAGGCCTGGTTGATTAGGAGCCCAAGCCATGTTCTTAACCTTTTGTCCTATATTGACAATCCAACCCTGTCTTTTCTTCTTTTTGGGGCGCGCGGAATCCTTGCCTTCAGCCCACGCCTCGCCAAAATTGAGTGATCCATGCTGTGGCAACTGATACTCGCTCTGCTCACCATCAACCGGCCCAATGAGTACCGTGTGGTCCTGCTCCTTCGAACGAGGCATGTAAAGTCTCCGCGCCTCATCTTCGGAGATCTTTTCAATGCGCTGGCGCTTCCTAAACCTCTCTCCGATATCATCAGCATAATACCAGTCCCACCCCCGAGTGCTTTCGCGCTTCATATCCTCCGGCTCGGCCCCAAACGTCAGCCCATACCTATACCCGGACGCTTTCTGGGCACGATTCAAAGAGGACCGAGTAGGAAAGGTCGAGTCCGCGCCCCCGGACCACTGGTCTCGCGCATGCACCGCGGCTAGAAGATCCCTCTCGTCCGTGCTGAACGTCACTCGAAGATGCTCCACTTTACCCACGTGCTCGGTGGGATTCCAGATCCCCCGCGAATGCGTCTCTGCGGCAGCAGGCAGCATGGAACCCCGGGGGCGCTGTTTGGCGCGTTGCGATCGAGCCGCAAGGGGTTTCTGATTCTTCTTGCCACGGCCATCGCCGTCAATCGACATGGCATCTTCGTCGGAGCCGTTGTCTTCATCTTCATCCTCGTCATCATCTTCTTCATCTGGAATCATCTCCTCGTCGTCATCGTCCTCATCCTCTTTTTCGGAGTTGTCTTCCTGGTCATTGGCATCATTTTCATCGGCCTTGAACTCCTCGTCCGACGATGAATCTGGCGGCGGCGCGGCCGCTACGCCCTTGCCTTTGCCTTTGCCTCGAGACGGCTTGGGTTCCTCAGTATTGGACTCGTCACTGACCCCGGCGATCTCGAAGGGATCATTAGTGTACTTCCTGGGGCCTGATTGGCGATTGGACCTGCGTGTACGAGGCATCGCATGGGATGGAATACAGCGGGCTTCCCAGAATCCGGAGAGTGGAATCTCCTCGGGGAGACACAAGACCAAGGAGAAGAAGCCCGAGGACGTAATCGTTGGAAGCCGTTAAAAGCTGGTGAGGTTTTGCATTTGCATCATTTGCATCCTTTGCATTGCGAACGTCCCGCGCCGGTCTTGGCGTGACCATACCGTAACGGCGGTACGCCACAGTACGGCGCTAGGCCACTTTCGGTGGCTCTCCACATCGGGAAATGTTCTGGCCTGAGGATCAGATGGCGGCCTGAGGGAGACGCATTGACGATTCTCAAGAGATTCGCGATGAGATCCGGATGTCAAGCATGGAATCATCCTGTGTAGCGTCCCATCAGGTTCGACCACGATGACGAGGGGTGTGCCTCGCATGTGCTCCCAGAACCCCACTTTCTCCAGTGGATCGCGGTTATCAGTCCAACAGCGAGCACCATGACTGCTCCCACTCTTTCGTGCTTCTGTCAACCATCACCCTCATCCTCTTCTCCACTATTGAACGACATCGACTCCCCCATAATCCGTCCATCTTCTATCAACATCAGTAAACATGGCTACCCCGTCATACCCGGGCGTCCTACACCAATATGTATGACCCCTCCCTGCACATCCACATCGATACATCCACCCAATAAACGCCTCCACGATGCAATCCAACTGAGACTGACAGAATACGTCAGGCCCCCCGCCTCGTAGCCTTTGAATTCACCTCTCCCACTCAAACGCCCAAACCCAACAGTCTGCTCTTCGTCGGCGGCCTAACCGACGGCCTCGGCACGGTTCCCTACGTGGCCGAGATCGCCAAAGCCCTGGAACCCACCGACTGGTCGCTCTTCTCGCTCGTGCTGTCCTCGTCCTATCTAGGCTGGGGCATCGGCAGCCTGGACCAAGACGTCGAGGAGATCGCGCAGTGCGTCGAGTTCGTGCGCGCCCACAAGGCCCGCACCGCCGGCTCCAGCTCCCCCAAGGTCGTGGTCATGGGCCACTCCACCGGCAGCCAGGACGTGCTGCACTACCTGTACTCGGCGAACCCGCTGCCGCAGCGGTCGCCGGACCAGGAGGCCGGGCTGGACCTGAAGCACCTGACGCGGCCGGCGCTGGACGGGGCCATCATGCAGGCGCCCATGTCGGACCGCGAGGCGGTGCAGCATCTGGGCCAGACGAGCAGCGAGCCGAACGAGTTCCGCGGCGCCTACGACCAGCTGGTCAACTTTGCGCGCCTGCAGGACCCCACTGAGATCCTGCCGCTGAAGTTGACCGGCAAGGTCGGCTTCCCCGGCGACACGCCGATCAATGCGCGCCGCTTCCTGAGCCTGACCAGCCCCGACAGTCCCGCGGACCCGGCCCTGGATGACCTGTTTAGCTCGGATCTGTCGGATCAGCGCCTGGCGGAGACGTTCGGTGTGGTGCCTGAGAGGGGTCTGGTGCGGGCGAAGCTGATGGCGTTGTATTCGGGAAGTGATGAGTATGCGGCGCCGTGGGTGGATAAGGAGGCGCTGATGAAGCGCTGGGAGGCGGCGATCAACGCCGGGGGAGTGGACAAGTGGGATGAGAACAGCGCGGTGGTGGCCGGCGCAAGTCATAATGTGAAGGCCGAGGGGCAGGCGGAGCTGGTCGAGCGCGTGCTTCGCTACTTGGGCACGGTCTAGTTGTATGGTTTACAGAATGCACGCATCATGAATCCAAAGCATTGTGTTCTTTTTGAGCTCTAATATACATAGCATATGGGCAGGACCATCTTGACACCAACCACGCACAATCAACTACCCATCCCCAATCCCTCGAATGGCACGGAATGGTCAACGTGTTTCAAATAAATGATAGATCAATCAAAAGAAAAATGAAGAAGAAAAGAAAAGTAAAAAACGGAGGGTATAGTATTAGAAAGACCAGCGACCATCCCGTCACAAAGAAAGAGAGAACCTCAAACCTTCAACCACAGACTCATCACACCCTTCAAGTACTCGACGATCTCCGAGCCACCCAGCTTACTCTCGCCATACAACCGATCGACAAAGGTAATCGGACACTCGGCGACCTTGAAGCCCATCGCCTTCGCGCGCACCATCATCTCCATCTGGAAGCTATACCCCTTGCTCTGGGTACTCGAGATGACCTTCTCGAGCACGCTCTTCTTGTACAGCCGGAAGCTCCCCGTCAGGTCGCTGACGCCCGGCATCAGCATCACGTCCGCGATCAGGTTCGCCGTGCGCGACGTGAACTTGCGGAACAGGTCCCAGCCGTACACGCCGCCCTTGATGTCGCCGCGGCTGGCGTACCGCGTGCCCGTGACGATGTCCGCGTCCGTCTCCTTCTGGATGGCGATCATCGTCGGAATGAACTTCGGGTGGTGGCTGAAGTCCGCGTCCATGATGATCACGTAGTTGCCCGTCGCGTACTGCAGTCCGTGCACGTATGCCGTTCCCAGTCCCAGCTTGCCTGCCCGCGGCTTCAGGTTGACGTGCTCCGGGCCCCAGAGCTTCTGCAGTTGTTTGGCCACCTCGAGCGTGCCGTCGGGGGAGCCGTCGTCGACGATCACGACTTCCCAGTCCAGGTTGCTGCGGAGGACACATGGTTAGTGATCCGGCGGGAAAAAGGCTGGCAGGGAGTAGATAAAATATAAGATGGGATGGCATTCACTTACTTCTCACGGAATGTCCTCTCGATCAACCAGCAGATAATAGGGAGGTTCTTCCGCTCGTTGTAGGTCGGCAGAATGACCGAGTACTTGTTCTTGACGGGGCCCATCTTGATCGCCTGAGAAGAGCAGAGTCACGATCGGAGGATAGAATGAGATATGGAAGCAACGGTGTCGACAGGGTCAAGGCAATTGGATTGGTCGAAGTCGAAGGCAAGGAGGAGATGAGAGTCGGAACGACGCTGAGGCGGTCGGGAGAGGAACGTGGCCAGACTAGCGCCAGGTACCGGCCATGTATTCGTTACCTCCGTGCATACGGGGAGGTGCGCGGGCTGCGAGGTACTCGGTACTCCTCCTCGACTGTGAGAGTTTTCTGCTTACTAGGATAATAAACCACCAAGTTAGTTACTATTCTTGAAAGAGATACATTGATATTGAGAGATACTCCCTGATCCGACTTCTGCTCCTTGGAAAGACGAATTGTCTAGTGTCCTACAGAACACACCCCTCATGGCGGGATAATTGGACAAAATGCCATGTAGTTGTCATGGACCTTGATTTCTGTGGCACTTTACTTCCCCTGATACTGTCCATCAGATAGCTAGCATCAACACATAGCAAGAAAGACATATATACATTCCAACAAAAGACACCCCTCTGCCCCATATCCCATATCCTTTGTAATATACAAAAAATCAATCATCCCTCTTAGCTACCAGATCCGGAAAGAACCCAGCATAATAATCCTTCTTCCCCAAGGGAATGCCCGCCTTGCGCAGAATGCCATACGCCGTCGTCAAATGGAAGTAAACGTTGGGCAGGACGACGCTATGCGCATACGCCGCCCCACTCATCGGGACGGCCGCCTCGGGCCCCATCGGCGTCATCTTGACCTTCTCGCCTTCCTCGTTCACGCGGTCCTTGTCCGCCTCGCCGAGCGTCTTCAGCACGCCCTCGATCCGCTCGAAGCCCTCCGCAAACGAGCTGGGGTTGCCCGGCAAGGTGACGGGCTCGCGCCCGGTGAGTCGGGCAACGAGGTACTCGGAGAATTGGGTGGCCAGGCGGATCTGGTCGGCGAGGGGGTACATGTCCTCGTGGAGGCGAGCGTCCTGCAGGAGGGCAGTGGTGGCAGAGGGGCGTTGTTGCTCGGCAAGGCGGAGGATGTGCGACAGGGTTTTGAGGATGGAGATGGCGACGGCGATGGTGCCGTCGTAGAGAGTGTGGGAGGACATGCTTGGGTTTGTTGTTTGTTGTGAGGGGTGAGGGGGGAAGAGACAGACCGTTAGGTTTGGAGAGGACTTACGGAGTGCGTCCGTAGTATTTATAGGCGGGTTTACAATTTCTAGCCGTATCTATTGCTGACTCTCGAGTGAAAGAGTGCGGAGTCTTCTCTGTGGAGTGCTGGGATGGGGGCCAATTCTTGCCAATCCTTTTGGATCATGAGTCACGAGCTTCATTGTTCATGGATCAAATACATTATGTTTGAATTGTATCGTTAACTAAACGCCTGTACAGCCAGGAACACCCTGAGTATTTATGGAAACGAGCGCCAGCCATCCCATCTACTCCCCCTTGAAAACCTAAAACCCCTTCTGATACTTCCCTTCATCGCCAATATGATTGTATGGTCGATCATGCCGATTCTCGACCTCCTCGTTGTGTCGCTTCACATCCGGCGGAACATCTTCGCGAGGATTGCCTTCTGAGTCGATGTTAGGCGACTGACGGGCATCGATGATCGTCGGGTTGGCTTTATTGCTCGGCCTCTTGTTCATAACACCCTCGTCGGCTTCCGAGGTACGAGATTCAGACTCGGCGCCGGACGAAGACGGTGCGTCCTTGCTGACGTCGGGAGGGGGTGGTCCTGGTTGCCATCGATTAGCATGCTGCTTGTCATGCCCGTAATCACAAGATGACTGCATACGGGGCATGCTTACCTGGGTGCTCAATGTCTCGCGTCGGACTGTTACGATGGCTTTTTGGGTGCTGCGACTGGCTGTCGCCCTCGCCGCCATACGAGCTCTGTGCGTATGTTCGCCGACAGAACGGAACAATGCTCTGCAGACGAGGGCTGAGGACCCTTGAAGGGCGGACCACGCGTGCGGGAACTCTGCTGCGGAGGATGGAGCTCATGTTGTGTCAAGATGGGCAAAGTAGGATTCGGTGAGGTCGTTGGGAATTTGAGAATCTATTCCGGCGGTCGTGTATTGCAGTTAAACATCATGGCCGGGGGGCGACTCAGCCAGTGAATGCTGCAAGCATCCCATGACGTCGCCGGTGTGTCATGTTCTCCATGATGCCTCGTTGAGGGATTCCGTGTTCAGTGCCAAGACGGGGAGGCGAGGAAGATCGGCGGAGAAACCCAAAAGATTACATTTCGACTGACCGGGCCATGATGTGATGGCCAAACGCCCGGATATTGCTAGAAATCCCTAGAATAAAATCCCAGAAAAAGACATAACGGAAAGGGGGATTGAATAAGAAAAGATCCAAAAATCAAAGCCAAATAGAGACCGGTGGTCCAAGATGTATGGTGGCCGTGTGCACCATATCCGCCCGTAACGCCAATAGACTGCTAGCACAAAGAACACAATGCAGGACAGGATACTGGAGACAATAGTCCAAAAAGCCTAAATCGACTCGAAGCACAAAAAACTCGCAAATATATAGGATGCATGTCATGACCAGCAGAAAATAAAAACCCAGGAGCCCAACAACCCGTCGCACCGTAGAGCCCAAGTAGATCACACAAGAGAAGGATCATCGTTCGTATGCACATTAAGGACCATGGAAAATATATAGTGTCCACCACTTCGAGAACGCCAACGCCTTGGCTGCAGGGGAACAGTCAGAGAATAAAAGACATCGTCCCTTGCGCTTTCCTCTATCGGTTTCGTTTTCTTTCTTTCTTTCGTTTCTGTGTCGAAGTGTTCGACGCCAAGATAGGAACTAGTCAGTCAAGGATACGCAGTAGCAAACGCTAGCATACTGCGCCTTGGCCGTGTAAGTCTGGGTCATACTGCCAGACCCTTTCATTGTCGTCGTCGGTGTCGGTTCCATCTCCTTGATCTGGATCGTCGCGGGTGACACGGTTTGAATCGAGCCGTTGTCCATCACTTGCATCTGCTGGCAATAGGGGGCCTGCGCCTGGGGATAATCTCGCTTCTCCTCCATCTTGATGCGACGGGGGAAGTCGGGCGTAGATTTGCTCTTAGAGCCCGAGGTTTCGGAAGGCTCGGCCTCCAAGAGAGTCGCGCTTGAACTGTCCCGAGATTCCTTCGTGGTTTCATTGGCGTACAAGAAAAATTCCATCACCGTGCTATTCCACCAGCAGAACCACGGCTTGTCGCCCGTCTGAGCCGCCTTTTTGCGATAATAAGAGGTGGAGAGAACTTCGTCCTCATGAACCGACCGTTTGGATGCGGCACTGGATGGGAATGTGTCCTGCGGGACAATGACAAGTTTATCGAAGAGGGAAAAGAAGGTCCATGCCGGGCCCAAGCTGAGATCGCTGGAGTCCATCATCAGGCTCAGGGACTGCGTGGGACTGGCAAAGTATGGTGCCTGGGCACCGTAGGTGAAAGTCGAGGTGAAGGGCTCATTTTCGAACGAAACATTGGGTTGCGTTTGGTTCCCCGAAATCGAAATAGGGATATTTCCCGTGGTCATACAACTCCATGAGGGAGCGTAGTCCGAATCGGTGATACAGAATTTCGACTGGTTCTTCGCATACGCGGGGATCACGAAATTGCCTGTGGGGAGCGTCATGAGGTTGGTCGGATTGGTCGAGATGGGCGTTGCGTCCATCCGGGGAGTGGCCGTCGTGGTGACAATCTGCGGGCCCGGTCCCTTATCCTTCTCCTCGCTTGCCGCCTTTTTGGCTCCCAAAACCCCACCAATAACACCCCCAATACATCCTCCCACGAGCATGACCACACCGACGAGAACCAAAGTCCAGACCGGCAGCCCACAGCAGGCCCTTTTCTTGCCCTTCGTCTTCAACTTTTCCTCGAACGCCATGATCCCGGTCGCCGGCGGCTCCTCTGGGGGCTCAGGATGCTGAACGGGAGGCGGCAGGTTGACCTGGCTACCGCCGACCATTCCCGCGGCAGACATTTCAGCAACGGGGGGCGCTGCCGGCTCATTGCGGGTGGTTTCAGGTGGTGGTGGGGACGTCGGGGCATCAGCGACCGGCTGAAGGGGTTGCTCCTCGACCTTTGGAACGGCATTTTCGGGGTATCGTGAATAGGGCGGGAGCTGCTCGGTGTGGCCGTCAGGCCCGATCAAATCCCCCACATCATCATCGGCGCGATTAGGTGGTCGCTGGTAGGCTTGGGGATGTCCAGGGAAGCCAAGAGGGATCACGGGAGCGTCAATCACCTCCTCCGGCACCACATTCTGCGGGTACATGGCGTAAGGGTGTTGAGGAGCGTTCGCATCTCCCAACGGTCGCTCCATCGGTCGTACGGTCGAGGTGGTGGTTACACTAGGGGAGCGGCTGACACCGACCTGCGGATACATTGCATAAGGATGGCTGGGTCCGGTGGCGCCGGTGTAGGGACTGAGGGCCCGAGGGGGCATGGAGAACCGTGATGACGTGCTCTGACTGCGCTGCGTGATTGAAGGGGCGTTGGTGGACGCTACGGAGTTTCTGTTGAGATCCATCCCCTTTTGGGGGAGGCTCGATCGGTGTTGATCATCGAAGGAGAGGCGAGCCTCATCACCAAAGGGGTTCTCCGTCGTCTCCGGCTCGGTGGGGACGGTGTTGTAGTGTTTCTGCTGGGGCACCGACGAGCGAAGCGTGTGGGACGATGCGATGGACGAGACGGAGGGACTTCGAGGGGTGAGGGTGGATTGTTCCGAATCTATCGGTTCCAGCGAGTATTCATCGGAAAATACATTGGGGTTGTTCGAGGAGCGACCGGACGTCGAACGGCGATGCATTGAATCGGTTTCGGGGTTAGGAGGACAGTTTTGAGATGGCGACTGTGAGGATTGGGAGAGGGAGCGAGAATGGTCGGATGAGAAACGCCCAGGCATGGCGTTGCACAGCCCTGGCGGGCTACCTGGGTTGATCGATCAATCCGTCGAGAGGGAGCAGATCAGTCACCTGAGTCGACTGAATCGTGAGGGACGGAAGGGGACGTGAAAAGAGGGGAAGCGGTGAAAAGAAAGGGGCGAATAAGAGGCGCTGGTGACTAGACACGACTGGACGGATAAGAACGATGGACGTGCAGGGGAATCCGAGGGAGTCGAATAAAGAGAGATACAATCAGAGAAACGAGAGGGTCGGGAAGAGGGGAGACGAGAGGTGTGGAGGTGGAGGACGAACGAAGCGAAGGATTCTGGAAGGGGGAGAGCGAGGAAGGGAAGGGAAGGGAAGAGGAAGAAGAAGAGAGGAAGTGCGAGACGGAAGAAGGGTCAAGAGTGGGCGGCCTGGGAGCCTGAAGGGGGCCCGAGAAGGGACTAGCGGCCCTCGGGACTAATTGGGACTGGGATTTTGGGGTGGAGGAGTTCCCGGGACGATGATTCCATCGTCAATTGCAATGGGAATCCATCGCTTCATCACTGTCCTTCGATCTTATTATTCGCCATTCGACATTCGACATTCGACATTCATTCGATGTTTGGCCGCGCCGACTATTTTTGGCCTCCCCGTCTTCCTTCGTCTCGCCCTCCAGCGACCGTTCTATTCCGGAACATCGTCAGATCGCCCTAAGAGCTTCGCCACTATGGACTCTCTCCTAAAATCCTAATCCTATTATTCTGCCTTCTTCCCCAAAATATTAATAGTAAGTTCTAAAATAATTCCGACTAATTAATCTTCATGTTCCGATCGTCACTCGTTCTTCTCCTGAGTCCTGACGGTCCCTGTCCTGACACGGCGGACGAAAATACGACGGTCGCACCCTCGCTTGAGCGATTGAAACGCATCTGATGCCGGGCCATCCTCGGTCATGATCCAGCAGATGGACTGGGCTAAATTCCACGCGAACTCAGTCGGGGCTGAAACACGACCTAGTCACCACCTATCATCACCGGGGAACGGAGGAGACTCGGAAATGCCCCCGTCGTTGGACGGCCGGTTAATCCGTACCACTCTTGGCAAAAATCCATTAATTCGATTGGTGACGGATGGATTCAATCCAAGGATCCCTGCGACTTTTCAAAATTCATCTAAACTCAACATTTCTGCCCACACGGACTTTGTCCACCTGCGGAGGCCACCCGACGAGAAAGAATGCAATGATGAAAATGATTAAAAAAAAAAAAAAAAAAAAAAAAAAAAAAAAAAACAAAAAGGCAACTAATCACCGACTAGCGGGTTCTAACCATTACCCGTCCAACGCTAAAAGAAGGGATTTGTTCACGGTGGAAGCAGAATCATGGCGGGTGGAGCCCGCAGTGCCTGGACTGGGAAAACTCTATCTGCCCGAATCCGGAAATCTTGATGTGTTCGGGGATCAGCGTCGCTGTGAAGCCCTGGTAATTACGTACGTCCGGAATGTTATGAGAACCCCCGTCAGCCTGTTTTCGCAGAGCGTGACTCGGTTCAGCTTGTTTATTGATACCGTGGGTGGCAATCAGTCGGCCTGTGTGTGCGGCATAGTTATGAGTGTTCGGACTGTTCGGCGGTGTTGCGCATGTTTATGGAGTACTAGGATTGCCAGCGAAGATCAACATCTCTCCGGCAATGCAGAAGAAAGTTGGCTCAGTCGGTACCGAAGGCGGAACCTGCCCGGTTCCTCGGATCGATCGCCGCCCTTCTCACGGTTCTAGACAATGAGAATCGCTGATTAACGGTCACTGTAGTCAGGAACTCTGTCGGTGGAGGTCAGTTCATGGTACGCAACTAGCCTCTGAGGTCCACCGCTGATTTGACTATGCTTGGTTATCCGTTGTTGAGATATTCCTCTTAACCACTATTGATGCAATTTTTGCAATTGTGCAGCCAAACTATAATGGTCCAGACTCCGAACATGCATCGGCTCAGGGAATAGTTTATGGTGTTGACTGAACTGGATTTTTCAACCAGACCTGCGAATTGTTCGAGAATCGGCCTCGATCATATTCCGTGGAAAGTTATCTCTACAAGCCAACTGAACAACCCATCGAACGTTCGGTCAAACCTGTCACCTCTTCAGCCTTAGATTACGAGATCTATCGACCCACATAGCTGCTCTTTCTGAGCCATCAATTGATTCAGGTGTCCTGGACTGCTGAAAAAAAGTTGGCCTCTACGGAGTACCGCCGTCAACTTTACGTTGAAGCTAACCTAATGGGTTAGCTCTGGGGAGCCACAAGTCCCCCTGACACTGCCGAATTCTGATCTGACCCGTTTAGGATCTTTTGATTGCGAATAAATTAACCCCGTTGACGACATTCATGGTTGCCTTCTCAGAGCCAGGATGTCGGACAACCTCACCAGCCCTTTCTCCCCCCAACCCCCGACTCCACCTTGGACTGGAGGTCTGACGTGTAAATACCAAGCCCATGCTCGCCGATCTAGATCGTCCTTGTCGAGGAAAGGGGCCCAGGACCGGCAGACCATGTCAATGCTGCGTAAGAGATGTCCCAAGCATTCCTCTTTCTCGCCTTCTATCTCAGACTTGCTTTTTTGCTCGGACTTGCCCTTTCCCTCAGTGTTTTGATCGCGGGCCACTGTGAACGATCGGTATAGATAAGACCGTGCAGAATTGGGGGTGAAGATAGGGAGAGCGCTCTTAGTTTCGGGGGATTGAGAAGTACTATTTTGCGTACCTCGCAAGGCTTCAAGGTCGATACCCCATAACGGTGGCGTAGCTTCCGACTCATCGGAGGTATATTGTCCGAAGACTTCATCTGGATTACCTGGCAACGTTGCATCTTTGCTTGTGCAATCCTCCTCTGGGGGTTGGCCTTCTCTGGGGTTGTAATCCCATCTTTTCAAGACCTTTATTTCTCTGCCTAGTATTTTGATCACTGGCTGTCCTTCACCCCAGCCTTCTTGCTCAGCAGAATCTCCACTTGTAATACCTATGCTGACGGCCTTTGAGCGACTATTCGCACTGACCACCGCCTGGGCTAGGCTCAACCTGCTAGAAACAGGTTGTTCAGGCATTGTATGTCTCAAAACACTAACGGCAAAGGCAAGTACCAGAGGAGCTCTGTTGGTGAGTATGACAACATTCGACAGCTCATTATCGGCTGCCGACGACATCGGAAGGGACAGCAGGCGCTCCGTTTCAAATGGAACGGTTTCTTCTTTTTTAACTGGACCTTTCGTCTTCTTCTGGGGTGATGATGCGCCCTCAGTTGGAGCTGCGCGCTTTTTGGATACTCGCTTTGCGGAATTGAATGCCTGCTTCGCTAGCTTGTCGTCCTTGAATATGTCTTGGAGTGTCTTGAACTCTGCCTTGGAGATTTGCTCGGCGCTGTGGGTGAGCTAGTTAGTACATGTCTCGGACGAGCCTTGACAATCTGCATCAGTCCATACGTTGTGAGGCCTGACTTCTGTAGCGCCATGACTTTGCTCATAGCGGTTGCCAATGGGATTTTGGCGTCCTGAGACAAGAAGCGTAGTAGAGTTTGCACCTGAGTAGTCGCCATGACCAGCCACTCGGTCGGATTTAATCTGCTATGGTCTTCAGGTAAACGAGATGGATGTGGTGAATCCGTGTGGATGGATCGTGGGGAGAGAGAGGGAGTTCCTCCGTCAGGGTAACTAGAAGTAGACGGCAGCCTCGCTGGCGGCCTGAGGCAGCACCCATCTCCGCCTCCGCCTTCCAACGCAATAAGAAGTCCACCCTCGTTTCCTCCCGCCGCTGTTGTTCGCGGACTTTCTCTCCCCTCAAGCTAACCGCTGCTTCTGCAGCCCTGTCACCATGTCGGACGACCCGAAAGCTAAGGGGTTTCCCGACGTCTCCGCGAAACTCTCCGCCCTCCCCAAAAAATCGCTATTCGAGCGCCAGAAAGCCGAAGCCGAAGCCAAGCGTGCCCGAGAACGAGCTGAAACCGCTGCGGTCTACGAAGACTTCGTCAAGTCGTTCGAGGATGACGCTCCCGCACACGACCGCCCGCCGGCCGACGGACGACTGAATCGCTTTGGGAACAGAGCTCCGGGATTCGCAGGAGGTCCGGCAAAGCGACATTTCGTCAACTCGGGCCCGCGCATGAGCGGCCCCGGCACGTTGGGACCGCCGCCTCCGTCGCTGTCGCGGAAACGTAACCACGAGGGATTTCAGCCGCTGAATCGCAATCGAGATTCTGGGCAGGGAGTGCTTGGATTTGAGAATACGGTCTCGTCGTCGGCCGCGTCGGCCTTCCGCACGTCGGACGACGAACACGAGGGCGCCGGCGATACGAAGGAGGCTGAACGAGCTGCGGCGAAACCTACGTTATACCTGGCATCATTACCTCCTGGAACCTCTCCGTCCGTGATCAAGTCGCTCATACCGTCGGTCTTGGGTGTTGATAACGTGAAGGTGCTCCGACCCTCCGGCCAGCCCTCCGACCGCAAATCCGTGGCTGCAATTGTGACCCTTGCCAATGAAACCGCCGCCTCGGATATAGACAGCACCGTCAGCGCGCTACAAAACAAATATCTTGGTTGGGGTTACTACCTATCGATTTCCAGGCATCTTTCCTCTGCTGCCATCGGCGCGACGTTACCTGTCAACGTCGGTCTATCATCCACAGCCTCCCTTCCATTTGGCGCCAAATCTATCGCTCCGGAAGTCGGCGGACGATTGAATCGAGCTCCGCCTCCGGGTCATCGGGGAGGATTTGCACCTCCGGCCTCGTATGGGCCTACGCAGGGGAGAAGTGGAGCCACACAGGTCGAAGTGAAAGCGCCATCCGATCTAAAGCAACTTCGGCTGATCCATAAGACCCTGGAAAACCTTTTGGACTATGGCCCCGAATTCGAGGCTCTTCTCATGACCAGACCGGACGTTCAAAAGGACATCCGATGGGCTTGGCTTTGGGATGCCAGGAGTGCTGGCGGTGTTTACTACCGGTGGAAGCTATGGGAGGTCCTTACCAACGGACGTCACAAGGGAACTCGGCGAGGCAGGCCCCAGAGTTCGTCTTTAATATTCGAGGGCAACGCGAGTTGGGTGCCTCCGGAAACACATCTCAAATATGAATACGTCACGCGCATTGAGGATTTTGTTTCCGACGAGGACTACGACTCCTCGGAGGATGAGATGTCTGATGTGGAGGATGAAAAACGGCCACCGGCTGACGGGCTGAGTACAAGCAATGAAGGATTGGGCTACATGAACCCTCTTCAGAAGGCCAAGTTAGCCCACCTTCTAGCTCGACTTCCTACGACTCATGCAAAGCTACGAAAAGGTGACGTGGCGCGGGTTACGGCTTTTGCCATCGAACATGCGGGAGCGGGTGCCGACGAAGTGGTGGAAATGATTGTCTCGAACATCATCACCCCCTTTGCTTACAGCGGAGCAAACCCCTACCGCGAAGAGGAGAAGCGCCTTGCTCGGGGCGATGAGCCGACAGGAGATAACCCTTCAGGCAATACAGCCGATGAAGCTCGTGCACCTTCCAAGGGAGCTTTGGACACATCCTCCGCTAAGCTCGTTGGTCTCTTCCTTATCTCCGACATTCTCTCATCATCTGCCACCAGTGGCGTGCGGCATGCATGGCGGTATCGGCAGCTTTTTGAGTCGGCCTTGAAGGCACATGAAGTCTTCGAGCATCTTGGCCGGCTTGAGAAGGATCTAAGCTGGGGTCGATTGAGAGCCGAAAAATGGAAACGGAGCGTCGGCACCCTGCTACATCTCTGGGAGGGATGGTGTGTTTTCCCACAGTCGAGCCAGGAACGATTCTTCCAGGTCTTCGAGAAACCACCGCTTACCACAGAGGAGCTCCGGGAGGAGCAAGAGAAGGCAGAGGCGGAACGGGCTGCCGCTGCATTCTCCAAGAGCAAGAATCGGTGGAAGACTGTGGACGAGGACTCTACGGCTGAGCGATTTGACCCATCTCGACCGTCCGATACTGATCGAAATCAGCCGAAGGTCAATCCTCGCGATGGTCCTGCAGCTATAGATGTTGAATCGATGAGCGATATCGACGGGGAGCCGATGGAGGATAGTGACTTGGAAGACGCAGACGGCGAACCCATGGACGAAGATGAACCCCCGACCGAAGGAGGCGATGCGACCGAGCAACCGCCGGAGAGTCAACCAGAGCCTCCAGCACCAGCAGAGCCGCAGCCTCCGGTTCGCAAGCCGCGGCCCAAAGCCGAGGACATGTTTGCGGACTCTGATTCGGAGTGACGGTGATGCCTGGATACGAATGACATTGGGCCTGTGTATAGGATATGAAAGGATAGGAACGGATAGGATAGTTCATTTTTTGCTTCGGAACGTGTAGAATCCAGCGCAGCCTTCGACAGGATAGTCTTGTCTAGTATGTAAAGAGTACAGGATCTCCGGTTGATGCCTGGCAGACCAGGCAGATTCCGGCCCAACCACGACCGGGCGGGCGGCCCCACAATGTAAGTAATTTATCTCGCGAAATACTTCTTCGCATGTTGATGTCAACTCCTTCCTGTCTCTCCTCTCTGCCTCCTGTTCATCTCCCCATCTCTCTAACTCCCACGTTCTCGTGTCCTCCCACTCCGTCAAAATGGCCGGTAAGTAGTTCATGCGCCTGGATCGTCCTCTTGCTGCCCCCCTCCCTCTCTCTCCCCGGTCCTCCCTGTCCCCTGCCCCTCATCCGGGGTTTCAGCCCCTCCAGCAGCACCGGAACTCGGCGCACCAGTCAACATCCCGACCAAGAGAAGAAAGCTAACATTATATCTCTGTAGACTTCACCGCAATCGCTCGTAAGTGGTCCTTATCATCTTCTGGATCCTCTCCGTGTTATCGAAATCACCATGCGATCGGGTCGGATCGCAACTATGATCTCTCGCAGCCCGACGAACACGAAGCTCTCCCTCAACCAAGCACCAGCCAACGCGAGAATAATCAAATAAGATGACCCTAACGAATCCTTCCATCTACAGAGCAGTTCGTGCAGTTCTACTACCAGACGTTCGACTCGAACCGCCAGACTCTCGCCGGCCTCTACGTATGATTCATCCAGTCCCGACCAGCAACTCAACTCGCCCTAGACAGTTACTGACCGCCATGTTTTTTGGATTATAATAGCGCGACCATTCTATGCTCACCTTCGAGACCTCTTCCACTCAGGGTGTTGCCAACATTCTTGAGAAGTTGACTGTTAGTACTTTGTTCTCCGCGGTGAACGTCTATCCATTCGACGGGATGAGACGAGACGCCAGAACAGGAGCTTGACGCTAACGCGCACACTTCAGTCTCTTCCCTTCCAGAAGGTCCAGCACCAGATCGCCACCTTCGATGCTCAGCCCTCGAACGAGCAGGGCGGTATCCTGGTCATGGTTACCGGTGCTCTCTTGGTACGTTCCCCACCGCTCTCTCATGTCCCAGCTTCTCGCGCCGTGTTCATTCTCTGTGCGCAATCAAACTACAGCATAGCTAATCTGATTCTTCCCACTCCAACAGGTCGACGAGGAGCAGAAGCCCATGAACTACTCCCAGACCTTCCAGCTCCTTCCCGACGGACAGGGCAGCTACTTCGTCCTGAACGACGTCTTCCGTCTCGTCTACTCTTCCTCGTAAATACCGCGAACTGAAGATGTTGAAATTGGACAAGATAGTGCCGGATCGAACAGGATGAGGAGGTGGATTGGATTGAGCACCGAGCCAAGTGGTGGAGCGAGTCATGATGACTCGTTGGCTTGAATAAGACGGAGAACATGCACATGTCTTGCCATGTCGTGGCACGTGCCAGTTAGATCTTTTTAACGAAAATAATGAGAACCAGAGGTCGTGGTGTTTACCTTTTCCCGATGTTTGACCCCGTGAGAGGTTGTCGTATTCGTCTTATTGTTGATTCCTTCGATTTCTTCTCTGCGCTTTATTATACTTCATAGATAATATGATATGCTCTGTTATCAAAGAGGGGAGTGAACCAGCTCTATTGCCTCTAGTATCTTATACTACAGCCTGTTTTCCTCGATCGATAAGTGGGCTGTGCCAGCAGCATCCTAGGATACATATATCATCCAATCCGTACCAGATCCCTGATCAAGGCAAACAAGGACACTTTTTTTTTTTACTCTGAATATGCGCAGATATGGCCCATAAGTCTGCAAATAAATAAGACAGGCAGAAAGAAAGACGGGAAACTCCACGCGCCCCAGAAGGAAATAAATCGTCCAGACGAGACAACCAGACACCTTCACGCACGCTACGTCGCGGTAGTATATAAACGCCGAATGGAAATAATTTACTGAAGGAGCGGCGTCTGCTCAGACGGATCCTGGGACTCGTCATCAATCGACCCCTCGTTTTCTGCATCTTTGTCGTGCTGGTGAGGATGGCCGCGGTCAGGACCGAGGTACTCGAAGAAGACGCCCAAGGCCAAGAGCGTGCCCTGCAGACAGGCAGTGACGACCAACACGCCCCAGGTGCTCCAGCCCTTCAGCCCGTATCGCGCCGCCAGACTACCGGCCCAGACGAGGCTCCCGGGCGTCTGGATGCACATCATAGGGATACTCAGGCTGCCGACGCAGCGGAGCTTCAAGGTGGTGTAGATCTGCGGGAAGTATTGAATAGAGGAGAGGATGGCGGCGAGAATACCGCAGAAGTTGGACCAGTCCTGGAGCGCGGACGGCCGTTTGACGCCGACAACGACGGTGACGATCAACACGGCCACGGCGTGGACGATGCAAGTGGCGCCGACAACCAGAGCGGTTCGATAGGACGGGCTATCTTTGGCTTCGGAGGAGCTGATGCGGGGGAAGTAGGCGACGAAGAGGGAGAGGCTGTGGCGGTGGAAAGAGGGTCGCATAAGTAAGAGCAGGGGAAACGGAGCAAGAGAGCTGAACGTACATTGTAAAGAAGCAGAAACATTGCGTTGCGATCTGTAGAACACCAAGAAGACCGGCGAAGCAAGCGAACCCGCTAATGCTGCTACAGCAGGAGGCATCTTGTAAGCTCTTTTGCTGGGACAAGACGTTGGCCAGCGCTGACGAGCTGGAGGTCGTTCCTAGAAGGACAAAGTACGGGGAGATGCCGTAGGAGGTCTTGAGGGAGATAATGCGGTAGTGTTGGGGGAGATAGGAGAGGAGAATCCCCAGCACGATCAGTCTGCTTCACATTTAGCATGGACGTGGTTTACTAACAGCCAGCTACCTAGCCAGCCAGGAGACGCTTCGTACAGCGATAAGACGAAGTTCTTATATTCAGGAGACTCCAAGTCCTTGCATTGAGCATTCCCGGAATCCATAGTGAAGGCTGCCTGGGGGAAATTCTGGCACGACAGGAGGAGATGAGATGATTCTATCGACGAAGTTGTGATCGCTGGGAGGGAAATGAGGGATGGCGAGAGTTCCTCGGAAGAGACGACCAGTTAAGATGCTTTCTACCGCACGTGTTTGGAACAAATCAGGTAGGAGATGACTTGTTCAACTGACAAGCCGAAGCAAACCCCTCGGTCCAAGGGGAGGACAAATCAGGGACTCGGTTCGGACCCGATCAAACTACTCGGCCTCGACAGTGATATAGCAAGGGCAGGATACGGATAGCATCGAGAACAACAAGGAAGTCAAGGGGAAGACCGCCTTGGAGAACCTGAGGTCTCCGCATTTCCCAATGGGGCAGGCGTTGCGCTAGGCCCGAAGAGGCTAGCGCTCTGTGCCTCCTCTAGTCGTTTTCTCGCGGCGTTTGGAACTCTGATCTTCGACTTTCTTCGGTCTGGCGCATCTCGACCCAGCTGCAGAGATCCATGCATCGCCAAGACGGCTTTGTATTGTGTGGTGGGCAGTGATGACATGGAACCTCGTGGTGGAGGACATGTCGAATGGCATCCCTCCCAACCAAGGTCCGCCCAATCGATGACGCCAGCGACCGCTGTTCGCGATGCCACAACAGCCCAGAACTACGTCACTCGGCGATCATATCTCGCCAGTGACTTTTCCGCCTCTGCTGGCTGCGAAACCTGGCATAATATATATTGTGCCACCCTCAGCTTGACACCTTTTGCACTGTGTATCTACTGTCCATGAAATCAATTACCCCGATGTAAGTTGAGAAGAGCGCGAGCGAGCTACCTGTTACTCGCTGCATCTGTGGTGGAGCTATACTACAATCAGATATCACTGACATGAGCCTCGCAGTCTGCTTAAGAACACAACATAATTAATTCGAATTTGTTTAGCTGCAAGCACTAGCCGGGATGAAATTTCACTTGGCCACCTGTCTGGTCTTCGCCCTGACGACCGTTGAGGCTGTTGGGGCCTCCAGTTGGTTCAGTAAAGCCGGTACGTCATGAGCCTGCGTGGATTATCTATACACGAAATGCTAAATGTGCCAACTGCAGTATACAACAAGTGGCACGAAACTGAATTAGAGCGATGGCTCTCCGATCACGGTAAGTTTTACTCAAGATACTTCCAATGACAGCCCTAACCAATTCGATCTCATAGACATTCCCTATCCGTCGCCTGCCGACCGTAGGGACCTCGAATCTTTGGTCAAGACCAACTGGGAAACCAAGGTGCAAAAGCCCATGGGACATGTGGTCGACCAGACCGCTGATCAGTGGCATAACACTAGAGAATGGATCTTTGATACGTCAGTATATGCATGGCCCTACGTCTGCTATTACTAGATCTAGCTGACTCTGAAAACAGTTGGTCGGACTCTCAAATTAAGGCGTTCCTTGACCGACATGGCATCCCTTGCCCTCAACCCCGCCAGCGCGACGTCCTCCTGCAAACTGCTCGTGAGAACTACGAGACTGTGGCGAACAAACTTGGCGAGGCGGCTCACTACCCTGGTAACTGGCTGTACGAACAATGGACCGAATCCGACCTGAAAAGCTGGCTTGACGAGCGCGGCTGGCCGGCGCCCCAGCCCACCACTCGTGATAGACTTGTTGCATCGGTCCGTCGCAATGCTAGACTAGCCAGCTTGCGTGCACGCAGCATTGCTGCCTCTGCTGCTGCCTCCGCCGAAGCTGCCCAAGCTACCTTGAGTGAAGCTTTGTTCCAGGCTTGGTCGGATTCTGAATTGAAGAAATTCCTCGATGAGAATGACGTTAAGGTGCCTCAGGGCTCCAGGCGCAATGAGCTCATTGCTCTTGCCAGAAAGCACCGTGCCCTGCTTGTCAGCCAGGCATCTGCCGCTTCTGCCACTGTTTCTTCTTCGGCCTCGGACCTCTTTGGAGCCGCAACTACCAAGGCCGGCAATGAATATGCTCAAGCAACTGACGATGCCGAACTCAGGAAGGAGGAGGCATTTGACACCGCAGTGGATGCCTGGTCTAACTCTCGTCTGAAGGGCTTCTTGGATGCGCGAGGCATTCCTGTGCCCCAAAGTAACAAGCGTGACGAGCTCCTTGCAAAGGTCAGACTTCATAAGCACAAGGCGGCTACCGGCTATAATGCCTGGACATTTGATACCTGGACTACCGAGAATTTGAAGTAAGTCCAATTTGACAAAACCTTAAAACTTTAACTAACGGAATGCCAGGAAATATCTGTCCTCCATGAATGACAAAGCCGCCCAACGTGCGGACGTCACTCGTGATGAGCTTGTGAAGCATGCTCAGGACACATACGCCAAAGCCTCAAAGGCCGGCGGCGCTAACTGGGCATCCGCCACATCCTACATGGCACAGGCCACCGATGCTGCCAAGGACACGTCCTTTGACACCTGGACTCACTCCGACTTGAAGGCATATCTTGACTCATATGGCATTCCCGTATACCAGGGCTCCAATATCAATGAATTGCGTGCTGCGGCCCGTCGCCACGCAGAGTACTTCAAGTATGGAACCTCCAGCCCTCAGGGCACCATTTACGCCAAGCTGCAGGAAGCCACCAACTGGGTTCTGGACCAGATCAAGATCGGAGCGTCCAGCGGTCGGGCTCAAGGCCAGGAGGCCGCTGAGAAGGCCAAGGACAAGCTATCCGAAGCCACCGAGGAGATCAACTCCGAACGGTCCGAGCTTTAAGGTACTTGGTCAACGTGATATCTCACCTTGATGAAATTTGGAAGATATAATTTGTCATGACTCTTATGATTCAGACAGTTGCGTTGGTTTTACTTTTTATTTGTTGCGAAGAGGCGTAATATCTTGCCCGGATGGAATATGCTTGAGTTTACATCGATACAAAAGTATCATGATCTGACGACTGGCCGCTTTGTCTTCTTGTTATCTTTTGTATATTTAATATGAACGCAATTTCCTTTTCACTTCCTTGTGTAACAGTAGCATTTTCAATAATAACAGATATCCATGACCAGGAAGTCCAAAAATAGACCTTTGGATTGGACCTATGATCGCCGAGATAATCACCAAACATCGCTTTTATGAACATAATGCATCGCCGCAATTCAACTCAAGATCCATATCGACGTTCCTGACTCATCTTTCAACCAAAATCATATCACTCAAGATTCCAGCGTGGTATCTCAGAGCAATCCGTAATCTCACGAGAGTACCTTACAAACTCATGACTTCGGGGCCTCGGGATGCCCCTCGGCAACCAATTTACCCACCACCAGGTACTTCTCGAGGAACCGCTCTTCCCAAGACTGCAAGTTCTCCAGCTGCTCCTCGTCCAGATCCTTCAGGTCATCCAGAGGACCCATCAGATCCTTAGTGAGCATCTCCTCATCGAAGCTCTGGTGAGCCAGTCCACGGGATGCGTCGCGACCAGCGAAGTTCTCGTACGGTCCGCCCTACGTCACCCAGAACAATGTCATTAGCTGATTTTGTTTCATCTGAACAGGATAGGGTGAAACGGCACGGAAAGAAGTCGCGTGAGGGGGAGGGGGAGGTTGGGCTGAGGTCCTTCGATCAAGCAAGGGTCGAGGTCAGATGAAGAGCTGGTCAGACCAGACCGGTTCCCCCCTCGCGACCAACTTATCCGCTGGATGCTGACTTACCGGGCCGTAGAAGTTCCTGCCGGGCGTCACGTCGAATACGCGACCGCGAACCGCCAGATAAACAGGCTGATCGTTGACACCGTTGAACGGGAGGAGGGCGGTTGGGGTGAAGGTGCGGAAGACGACGGGAGGAGGGCCCTGGGGCAGGGAGACGGGGCTCTTGGGACGGAGCTGCATGTAGACGAGGACCACGAAGAGAGACAGCAAAATCAGGTTGATAGGAGTGGCTATTGTCATCCTGTTTTTTGCGGTGGCTGTTAGACCGGCAGGGCTAAAGCTGGGGGGAGGGGGAGCTGAGAAGCTAGGTAGGTAGATACTGACACCTCGGCGGGCGGAGCGGTTTCAGCGGCGGATTCTAAATGAATGATAGTAGTTAGAGAGAGTGTGTGAGATGGCTGGATTGCGATTCAGGAGACAGTACCTGGAGAACTCATGGCGAAGAAGGTTGGGGTTGAATTGGCAAGCAGCAGCGATGATGACGAAGTTGCTACGAATGGATGGCAGGTGATAAGCGTATCGAGTCGGTATTGTTTCGGTACGGTTACCGCACGTGCCCCGGGATGTGGCAGCCTGAAGGATGAGGCACCCAGGCGGGTGCCTTTTCCTCTTCGGTTTGTTTGTCGCGTTTATTTTTAGTTCTGGATTCTTTCCAAGTGGACGATGCGTCGAGCATGGATCCAATAATCATTCGAGTCTAGTCGGCACTCTAGACCCCCCAAGGACTGGACAGAAGATCCAGGATGGGGCATATGCGAATACCATGTCACTAGTTTCGGGGGAGGACCCAAGTTAGCTCGAAACAGGGTCCTTCATCTTAATTGCATTTGCGAGTAACCGAGAGCGCATGTGCTGTCGCCCTCCGACTCCCGACGAGCTTGATTCCGACTGACACTCGTTATATTAATTTCTAATTCCTGCGAAAAGAGGGGCCGGTGGTGGGTTGGCGCATCGGCACGTTCCCTTTCCTTTCTCGCGCTTCCTCTCTCTTCCTCTCTTTTCTCTTGTTTCCTTCTCTCTCGCTCTCTCTCTTTCCCTCTCACTCTCTCTCGTCGCGTTCTTTGTTTCTTCCCTGCACTCTAGACCTTCACTTCGCATTCTTTCCCTGTCAGTCTGCTCGAAGAACATTCTTCGTCTGGCCTTCCCGACCAATTGTGTCTCGCTGGTGAATGACGTGCAGGCATGTCAACGGTTTTTCTATGTGGATCATCCGTTCATCTCTAATCTTGATTCATCCATTCTTTCAATAATTCCCCTTTTTAATCTACCCCTCGATCTTTTTGCCTTTTCCTTTTTCCTTTTTCTTTTTTTCTTTTTTTATTTTTTTTTTACTTTCGTCCAGGTCGATCCCAGCCAGGTGCGTTTGTCGATTGTCGCCCCGTCTCCTTTCTAGCCGACCCATGGAATCCACATTACTTACTCCTATTGTTTGTCCAGTCTCAAAGGAGCGTTCGATCAGAGGCTCGCCGTAGATTCAAGATGTGGGGGAAAATGTCGTTCCACCGGTCTCGGAAACCCGTGATTGGGAATCCTACGCTGGTCAACAAAACCCTGAACGACGATGTCTACCAGTCAATGTCCTCGGTGTCGGGGATGCCGGGCGGCGATAGATACTATTCATCCAAAACCCTCCCCGCCTTACCACCGTACGTGTTCTCGCAATCAAGAATGGCATGAGGAATGCCCCCTAACCTCTTTCAGCAAAACTGCGGGCTCGTCCTTCCCTGCACGCCGGCCGGAGTCGGGCCATCGAGTTGCTTCCTCCGTGTATTCGCGAGACACCGTCGTGGACCCCGTGCGGCAGCGTTCCATCAGTTTGACGCAGTCAACGCCGCAGGATCAGGGTTCGTTCGCCCAGAGTCAATACAGCTTGCCGTTGACCATCAGTCCGGGCATCTCGCCTCCTGACACGCCAACCTCGACGACCCCGGGGCCCCGCAGTCGCAGCAGCTCCCAGGTTTCAGCCATCGACGAAGAACCCAAGCAGGGGCCTGCTGGTGGTGCGCCCATGGACTACAAGTTTAGCAGCCATTTGCCGGTGTTGAGCAAACGAGGAGGGTCGTCACATACTGAAAATTCTCAACTGCCGCCGGGTTCCCGAAGCTCTTCGAGATCTAATGCCACTATGTGGGATAGCTTCTCTGGTGACCCGACAATGAGCGATCATGGCAGAGCCGGGCAGGCAGCGCCAGGTGGTGTTTCTTTCCAGACGCACATATCCGCCAACCCCAAGTCGTCCGGGTCTCAGTCCACCAGCATCTTCGGCAAAGGCAAGGAGCAGCTTCTGCCGAAAAAAGTCCGTGGTCGACTCTCCAAAGGGGAAAATTCACTACCGCCCGCTGTGCGTGAGCCTTGGAAGGGCCCTAGTGGACGATCACCGATAGTCGCGCCCATTCAAGAAAAGCCGCTAGCCAGGTCGGCCTCCCGCCTGCGCATCTCCCCCAGCAACGATCGCTTACGAGATAATGCGAAGCCTTCGCTTGATTATTCTTCATATGGCATCGTTCCTTCGGTCGTGACGACAATCACGGGAGGTGAGACGGCGGATAGGCGTGCGCCCAGTACGAGTGCCAGCGCCCATAGTTCTCGAACTCGGCTGCCTAGCAGTCGGGAGAACCTTGTTTCTACCAGCACCAGTGCCACCAGCCATGCTCCGCCACGTGTGGATCTTCCAGTGTCCGATCTGGATGCATCACTGGCTGACCTGAAACTCACCACCGATGACGACACTTTTCAGCCTAGCAGCCGCTTCAGCGTGACTACTTATGAGCCCACCGAGGCATCCAGTTCGACAACCAGTCGCCGCACCAGTGTTGATACAGCGTCGCAGTCTACGGAGAATTTCTCTTCGATCATGTCTCGCAAACGACCGGTCCCCAGCGCCGTGGCGCCCTCGAAGAAGCCCTCCCGCAAACCTACTCCATCGCAGGCTTCCAACGAGGACGCCGTGTCCATCGCACCCACCGAACTCTCGCCCGAAGAACAGGCCGAGAGTCGCATCGAATCTCTGGAAGCCAGGAAAGATAGTCTTATCCGGCGCCGAAACAACATCAACACGATCATCCACGAACTGACCCAGGTCATTCAACCAAGCTCTGTCGCCTACGACATGGCTGCCAGGGAAGAAGTCAAGAAGACGGTTTCCAGTCTGAACAACGAACTAGCCGAGATCAAACGGGAAGAGCACGAGATCGGCCTGAAACTCTTCCGAGCCTGGAAGAAGCGAGATGAACGCAACAATTACGGTGGCGGTAGTGGTTTGTGGGTTAAACGGGTGACCAGTTAAAAGGTCGAATCCCTTCGCATCTGCTTGATTTACAGCATGTTTCTCTCAGCTTATTGTCGTTTTATTTGCGTCATGTCCCGTCTTTTTGTTTGTTTGTTTCGTTTCTTTCTACCGTGCTGCTGCCCCCTCCTCTCACTTCAAATTTCCCTTACGCCGAATTGTACTGGCCGGACCATCTCATTTCTCATTTTGTTTTTTTGACATTGCGTATACCCTAATTCAGGATTCGACATGTTTGCATCTGCTTCTCATTTGTCCTGGCGGCATTGGATTTCTTGTTATCTGGCAGCATTCAGGCGGCGTTGACAATCTCTTTCTTGCGCGTTTGGAGATTCATGTTTGTGGAACGGATGCCGGCAATTGATCCCTCATTGATTATCCGAACGGGGAAACGACTTCATCTGCATATGCATATAAGGACCTGTAATAGTGGGTTGCTACACGGGGTGGCGAAGAGGCATTGAATTGTAAAATAGGTATCAAAAAAGAAGAAGGAAAAATAAGCCCAGTCGATGCTTAGAATTTGACATCTCCCATTGTTTGGATTTGTTTGTTTGTCGTTCGTCGCTCATGTTATGTCATAGGAAAAGAAAATAGAAACGGCCTTCGCATTCGGTCTTCCAGTTGATTTATTTCTTTCCCGACTTCTTGATACCCTGCGAGCCAGTGTTCAGAGGACCCTTCTTGCCCTGGGTCTTGTCGAGCAGATCCTTCTTGGCCTTGGCCTCTAATTGTACGCAAGTATGGTTAGAACACTCGTCCGTCCAAGGCAATATATCCACGATCAAGTTCCGAGAACATACCAGCGCGCTGCTTCTCCTTAAAAGCAAGGTCCTCATCGTCAAGATCCTTCTTGTCCTTCTTCGCGGCCTTCAAGGGCTTGACCTTGCCACCTATTCGAGAGGGGTCATTGAGTGAGTCTGTGTCGAAGTGTATGATGATGGGGAGGTCCATACCTTCTCTGCTAGCGCCACCCATGATGTCGGTATTAAGATAATGTGGTAGGGGGTTTGAGGGAGAAGATTGAAGAACTTCGTTCAGGAGGTGGAGGTAGACGGCCACGAAGATCGATCAACCCGAGAGGGGGAAAAGAGAGAGAAAAAAAAAAAAAAAAAAAAAAAAAAAAGACCAAAATGGGCTTATCAGCTGCGGGGTGACGCTAGCGCCCAATGGGGTTAGGCGCAAAATCTCCTCCCGGGCACGGGACTTCGAAACGTTGAGTTGACGTGAACCTCCGTCGCCCGTCGCCCGTCGCCAGTTCCATCTTCATCTCATCTCCCATCGCTATCCTCTCCCTTGTCATTTCATCCTCATCTGGTGGATCCCCGTATTTGTGGCTTGGGTTGTTATTGTTCTCCAATTCCGACAAGCACCTTTCTTTTCTCCCGTGCAAAGCAACCACTCTATACTCGGTTGAAGACGCTCGGTCGAACAATTGATTGGCAAGGGCTGTGGCACATCTCGCCGGTTGGACTTTCTAATACACTTCCCCTTATTGACTTGGTCAACGGGAGCTTTCTTGCTAACGGACCCTTCTCTGTCTTCTTTCTAAAGCTTCTCTCAAAAAGCCCAACTGTATCACTCCCATCATTCGGCTTTTTTTTTGGCTTGAGGGCAAAAAAGAATACAATACCATGGCATCACGCAGGTCGAGGTCTCCGTCGACCCCTTCTGAGGGTGAGATCATCGAATCAGGTTCAGAGACGAAGGCAACTACGTCGCAACTTCCTCTTAATGGCAGCAGCGTTGACCGTCCCACCAGAGCTAGTACATCGTCGGCGCCCAGATCTTCCTCGCCATCTGTGAGCAGCAGATCACCTCGCCGCCGGAGGTCCAGAACGAGGTCGCGCTCCCGATCTCGCTCTCCCTACCGAGACTACAGAGGCAACAAGCGTCGCCGCAATGATGATGACTATGACGATCGGCGATTCCGCCCCGACTCCTCGCGCCGCCCCGCGTATCGATCCGATGACAGGCATCGAAACCAATCGCACCGGCGTCCCAGATCCTATTACGACTACGACCGCGATGATAATTACGGCTCGGGTCTCCGGTACAATGATGACTATGACCGACGCCGGGAGAAGCGCCCCCGCACCCGCAGCCGTTCCCCGTACCGCGAAATTCGGAAACCCAAGCAATACTCGGGTGACGAGTGGAAGTCTCAGGGAGCGGAGAGTGTTGCCTCTCGGGATAACAGGGGAAAGTCATCTACCGAACAGTCAGTGAGCGAACGAGGGAAATCTTCAATCGTCGCTCCAGATTCTAGATCAGATGCTGAAACTCGAAAGGATCAGGTCCAGCCGCCTTCCTCCCTTGCTGCCAGTGATAGGTATGTTTCTCTTCCCCTGCCCTTGCTGCGATCCAATTAGCTTATTCGTATTGGTCCCAGTGCGAATGGAACCGTGCATGAGAAGGAAGAACCGCAACCTGCGGAATTGGTTGATGAGGCAGCCCAAATCGAAGCTCGCCGTAAACGTCGTGAAGCTATCAGGGCTAAATACCGAGGACAGGCAACTCCTTTACGCCTGCAGGCGCTTCATATCGAAAGCGATAGAGAATCATCAGCGCCGACGCCGGGCGCTGAACAAACTACCCCAAACACTGCATCCGGTATGTCGACATGGCCCTATTCCTTGGAAGGCTTCATTGTTAACAGCATACTTACACGTTCTTCAATATGCAGATACGCAAAGCCCTGCTGCCTTGACGCCCAACGACGGAGCCGGAGAGTTCCCCGATTTCAAGGTTGGCACCGACGCCGACTTGGCTAATGCTGGAGCCACTATAGATGGCGCCGAACAAGATGAGCCATCTGCCGCAGACTATGATCCCACGTTTGACATGAAAGCTGAAAGGCAAAAACACACAAGTGAAGATGTTTCCGCAACCACTTACGACGAGACGCAAACCACTAAACAGGACCTCTTACTTCCGGACGCGGCTCCGGTCGAGCCACCCCAGCCCAAGGCGAAGGATCCCTATGACATGTTCGCAGACGACGACGGCGAGGACATGTTTGCGGAAGATACACATGAAACAGCGCATCCCGCGCATGCTTCGGCAACGTCCGCCGTCCCTCAGCCACAGGAACTAGACATCAGCATGATGGACAACTGGGATGACCCGGAAGGGTATTATAACGTGCGACTCGGTGAGTTGATCAACGGACGATACCACGTCCAGCAGAATCTCGGAAAAGGAATGTTTTCTTCGGTCGTGCGCGCAACGGACTCGAAAACCGATCAACTGGTCGCGGTCAAAATCATTCGCCAGAACGACACCATGCGGAAAGCAGGCTTGAAAGAAGTCGGCATCCTGGAACAACTTCACGAGGCCGACCCGGAGGACAAGAAACATGTTATCAAGTTTGTGCGGCACTTTGACCACAAGGGACACTTGTGCATGGTGTTCGAAAACCTCAGCATGAACTTGCGCGAAGTGTTGAAGAAATTCGGGCGAGACGTGGGACTGAACCTGCGCGCGATTCGAGCGTACGCGCAGCAGATCTTCCTCGGGCTCAGCCTACTCCGCAAGTGCAATATTCTCCATGCGGATTTGAAACCCGACAACCTGCTGGTCAACGAGCAGCGCAATATCCTCAAGGTCTGCGATCTAGGGTCTGCGTCGCCCGCGACCGACAACGAGATCACTCCGTACCTGGTCAGTCGGTTCTACCGGGCCCCGGAAATCATCCTGGGGATCCCCTACGATCACGCCATCGACGTGTGGTCGATTGGCTGCACCTTGTTTGAACTCTACACGGGGAAGATCCTGTTCACGGGGCGAAACAACAACCAAATGCTCCGGTCCATCATGGAATGCCGTGGCAAATACCCACCCAAGTTGCTGCGCCGGGGATCGCTGGCACACATGCATTTCGACGACATGCTGAACTTCCACAGCACGGAAGAGGACAAGATTACGGGGCGATTGGCCACCCGGATTCTAGACTTCAAGAAGCCCACGCGCGACTTGAAGACGAGGCTATTGGGCAAGGGCACACGGGGGATGACGGACAGCGAGGCGAAAGAACTGACGTTGTTTGTGGACCTATTGGATCGATGCCTCAGTCTGAATCCCGAGAAACGATGCACGCCTGCGGAGGCGCTGAAGCATCCGTTCATCGCGAGGCCCAAGACCTAAGGTGGCGAGCAAGAACGCCATCAGACTGTTCGTGCTTCTGCCTCACCGGGGCGAACTCGATCCAGGATTTATTATGTATATAATTATGTCATCGCAGACTGAGAACCCACTGGGAAACTGGTGTCATGAGAACATACCTCAATTTTGGGACCTTTTTTTTTTTCTTTGTTCATTGCGCGTCAGACCACAGGAGATGGAGATAGGAGGCGCACGATTAGGCTTCCTTGCCACCGATCTGACGGGCGATCACGTAGCCTCATACGTAGCCTCATACGTAGCACATGAATAAGATGACTTCAAAGCGATCATCATCCAAGGGTACGGAATCCGTCCGACAATGACTCGGGCACCAGGGCAAAAAACCGTTCCACCGGGGATGCGGATGCAGACGGGTTCAAAGAGGTGGTGGCAAATAAAGAATCCCTTGGAAGCTTACGGAGTACAGAGTACGTATAGGCGGCGATATCACCCAAAAAGAAAGTGACATCGAGACAGAGAGAAAGAGAGACAGACAATGATCGACCGGGTGGGCGGACGAAGGTATTATTGACTTAAGACTTAAGATTCGATAGAAGGGCCTCCGGTCCATTGAATTGACAGTCCGGCGGCGTATTCCGGCGATAGGGGACGGACGGACGAACCCTGAACTCCCTGGGTGGATGATCCATGGTCCATGATCCATGGGTCCAACTCCTGTGTAGCTGTCCAGACCTCCCTGACTCGTCGGACGGTTGCGTCATCGTCTGTTATATCCGATTACGACCTGAACCAGGGGGGAAATCCCCGGTTCATTTCCTCGGGCTATACTCCGTATACCAGGGTGATTGATTGATTGATTGATGAGGTTCTACTGGTATTTTCCATGGGTAGGGAAATCATGTGATATGTTCGATTGAAGATGCCCCCTTTTTCTTTGTTCGAGACATGATATCAGATTCAAAGGCCAAGCGAGACGGAAAAGGAGGATGAAGTCATTCTGACGACTATACGACTATATGTGCTGTATGTACGAGGGGACGGATACATATGATATGATATGTATGCCCCTTGGGGGAACCGACATATGTACCTCGACATTGGAATACGTACAGCAGACGTACAGCATCGAGCGTAGGCTAAGGAACCAGGACGACGGTACATGTGAGATCCACGACGCCCCTTGCCGAGGAGGTGGTCGTGAAGTCCAATATCGAGTATGGCTCCCCTCCAGATAGGAGGGCATTGTACGCAGTACGGCGTAACCTGGACAAGATCAGCCAGGTACGGAGGACAGAATGCAATCAGCCGTGACTAGCGGACGGGCGATGCTGATGATCGGTATTTTCCCCGGGGGCAGGGCGAGCGTGGGTTCTAAGTTTGGCGACGGATGCGCACAGAAGTATCCGTCCTCTGTGTCGACTAGAGAGACGACAGAGGATACAGGGACAGCCTGAGGACAGAATCACTTGACCGATGATCTAATAGACTTTGGCAGGTCCCAATCAGGGCGCGAGGCTGCCCACCCGCCTTGCGCAAGGCCCGAGAGGCCTCTCCACTGTTGCCTGAACGCCTCTGGCCCGTGCAGCGCCCTTCAGAGAACCCGAAAGTGGATTCGAACACGGGAGCCTTCACGGCCCACCGCGTGGCCCGCCCAATTAGCGGCCGCGCCCGGGTCTCTTGGACAGCAAACGTGGCAGCAATGCAGCCAATCATGCCCCGCCGTGGCTTGTCATCGGACGGTTCTCGAAGCCCAATGGCGGCCGCTGATTGGCAGCCACCGGGGCAAGGCTAAGGGTTGCCTCACTTTTTGTTCTCGACGGGCGGTGTGTTCTGCATTATTCTGGTGGTGGTGGTGGTTGCTGTGCTGGTGGACTGGCGAGGGTGCTGAGGGTGTTGTTAGCCTAGCACCTCCATTATCATCCCTACATATACTCTCCTGTATGTCACTGGATTCCCACGCCCACGCTACGCAGCAGTAACGGCCCTAAATGCTCCGACCGTGAGATGTCCTGTCCTGCGTGGGTGGAATCCGAATTCTTGTCCTCCGTTCTAGAGCCTTCATCGTCATCGTCATCCATCATCCCCATCGCCATCACCACCACCCAGTGTCCACCTCGTCTACTGCCCATTCAGGATTGCCTCTCGACTCCTCCAGGCGCCCAGGACAAGGCCTCCTGCCTACCCGGTCCATCCTCACGTCTGACCATTGGAGAGGGGACTGGCTTGACCCATCGTTATTTCCCGAGCCCGTCCGGAACGCCCTGCCAGACAACTCGAAGACCCCTCTAGACCCAAGCCTGCCTTGTATGGACGGGCCTGCGGATGGTCTGGGTCCTCTCCCGCTCTCTCCATCTTGACTTCCGTACCCCTTCTTGTTTTTCTGTTGCCGTTTCGGGACGCTTCCTGTTGCCGTTGCTTCTACGAAAAGTAAAGTATAAAAAAAAGTGCATCCACAGCGGCCGTACTGCGTAGTTACTGCGTACTCCCAAACACAACAACGCATGGCAGAAAGTCAAGGACCCAGATGGTAGCGCCTCCCCTCCGGTGGTGGAGCAGGTCCTACAGTCGGTAGTGGTGACTGGTGAGTGAGTTGGCAAACTGGCCGGGTACAAACCACAGAAGTTTGTCTGGGTGGTCGCGACTCTTGACTTGATGGACAGATGTACTCCGGCCCTGTACTGGCTACCTGGTCCGGTACGACCCCGGTTGCTGTGATCTTTGCTGTGTCTGACTCCGGTCGGTCTCTGACGATGAGATGGACGGCAAGGTTGCACCTGGAGGATGCCAAACGACCTGCTCCGGCGTAGTGCAGCGTCCCGCTTACAGTATGATTTGATGATGATCAGCGATTGATCGTCCGATCGAAAAGGAGAGAGACAGATGTGTTACTACGGAGTATGGAGGACTGCGTAGACTGTAGACTGTAGAGGGCCAGAGTGGGTCTCCACCCAGCCTCATTTCCCATCAAAAGGAAACCCTCATAAAGAAAAAAGCAAAGAGAACAAAAAAAAGTAAGAATTCTCCTCGGCGAAGTCAGTCGTCCAGTCCCCTGCCAGAGCAAGGAGGCTGGAGTTCGACCAGACCAGGATCGGGCTTGTTCAACCAGTTCCAAAGTTGCCGCCAGTCATCCCAGCTCAGGCCAGCCCGCCAATCAGGTGCGCTGAAGGCGGATTTATCTTCCCTGGACCTCCGAGCCCAGCCAATGGCCGATCGAGGCAACCATCATGCAGTGTGGGTGGGTCTCCAGTCTCCCCCCCCAATCTGCACCCGACAGACCTGTCACACACACACACACCGCCTCCCTTCGCTCCCCCCACTTGGAGCGAACAGGCAACGAACGGCACCTACGTAAAGAGTTGTCCCCAGGCAGCAAATCACGCCCGGTGCCGCCTTCGTTTCTGTTTTGCCTTCTGTGCCCGTCGGCATCATCCCTCATCCACCGGGCTAAACTCCCTTGGGATCCCTTGGGAGGTCCTGGTCCCTACGACGGAGGAAAAAAAGGGCAATGATTCGTGATGGATGGACTCGGAGGTTTACTGCCATTAACCATTCACCATTTCATCATGGGGAATCCGTAGGGTCGACAAGCATGGGGCCAAGTCGAACAATAATGAAAGGAAAAAGAAAGTTCGAGTCGCAGACCCCCCCGTTCTCGTCTCATTCCTATTATTTCCATTGCCTCCGGTCCAGCCACGGCGGCCAGTGCCGTTGCCATCTGGTCATTGCGCGGCGTTAGTCATCCAGGTATCCAACTCGGAGGGCCTTGTGACCGTCATCTTTTTTTGGTTCATTTTTGTTTTTTCTAATTTTTCCCCTTTAGAGTTCTCTCCACGCACTCGTGCCCGGTTGACTCATCCGGCTTCGAAGGACGGTTTTGCCGTTGCTCCGCCGGTCCCAGAGTTTCCGCTGGTTGCCCGTCCCAAGTCTGGGAATTGTTGAGACCGGAGACTGGAGACGCTGGAGGGTCCCGACCTGGTCGGTGGAGCTGGTCGGTTCCCCTCTTTTCCTATTTGTAGCTGCTCCCTAAACTAGTCTAAGCATCATACATGTTTAGTCGGGTGGGGTCGCCCCTCCTCCCTGCTCCACCGCTCCTCCAATCAGACGGGCGTGGCACGGCGGTGCATGCTTAACATGTAACGGGGGGGGCGGCAAGTGACATGGGAGGGGAGGAGGGGAGGGAAAGGATGCGATGGTCTGTCTGTTTTCTTTTTCGTGGTGTTTGAAATAATAATGACTCTCGTCTGAGGTAATTCCCCTAGTCGTCGACACTAACGGCGAGGGTTGGCCACCACCGAATCTTCTGACCACGAGTGGTTTAGACTGCCCCGGGACTATCCTTCCTAGTGATTGGATTATTCTCTTAGCTGGACTGGTTATTATTAAATTATTTATTTTTATTTTCCTTTGCCTTTGCCTTGCGATTTTCTGGGAAATTAGTCGGGTCCCCCCTTTGCCATCCCATCCTCCCTTATCGTTCTGTCATCGCCATCTCGCGAACTTACTTATTATTCCCTTCCCATAATATTCTCGCTTTCTTCTCTTCTCCTCCCCGTCTCCTAGTTAGTTCGTGCTTGTGTTTCTTCTTTTTTTTTCTATTATTTCCTTTTCACTTCCTTGCCGTCCATCCATCACATTTGATCGTCCTGTTTTATACTGGTGTTTTATTTCCCCTTCTATTTTAATTTTTTTTTTCCTTTTTTTATTTACTATTTCCTCTTCGGTTGTTATAGTTCGTCGTGGTTTTCTTTTTTGGACCTTCTGGACATATATCACTTTGCGCCTCCGCTTTCCCCCCCAATAATACCCAGGACATATCCCCCCTCCCCCCATCTCTGTCCGATCGATCTATCCGCTTTGGACACACTACACACTTCTGCATAACAACACCATACAAAAAGGAAACTCCCCCTTTCTCTGCCAAAAAAAAACAAATCAGAAAAATACTTGCAACCCATCCCGACCGGTCGGATTTTAACCACCCTGGATTCCCGACTGGTTTACAGTTGCTTGTTGCTCGCCTGTCTGTGCAACCGTCTGAATCATCATCGCCAACGAACTTGGACCAGTCCTGAGGATTTGATTGCTTGATTTCTGTCCGCCCACAACAACTCCATTCCTTCAATGGCTCCCTGACTCCAGGCGACTCTTCTCTCCTTTGGTGCTATATATGACCGCCTGCTGGTTAATTTGGATGCTTTGAATACCTATTGATCCCATCCCGGATTTGGACCCATTTATTACTCCCAGGATTTCCAGAGGTCTCCAAGATCTCTGATCGACTACTTGTCCCGGCGCGGACTGCCTTCTGGATTCCCTTGTGCTATCAACATCAAACCAACTATCTCCTCTTCCAAGGAAGGAAAGAAAAGAAGACTTTGAAAAAAAAATCACCATCGCCAACTACTTTCCACAAGCCATCATGCTTCCCCCAACTCCCCCGGTAGGCATATACCCTCATATGCTACCGACTCCTCCCCCTTCTCCCCCCATCACCCGCTGTTATGCCCCGGAAGACCGTTTGGGATTGCTACTGGCCAACCGGCTGGAGCTGACCAGCATTTTGGGAGTCGGCGCCTATGGCGTCGTTTACACGGCCGTCGACATTCATACCAATGTCCTGTATGCTGTCAAGGCCCTCAACAAGACCGGACTGGATCCCCGTCAGCTCAAGTACCAGCAGCGGGAGATCAAACTGCACCATCTGGCCAGCCAACACCCCAATGTGGTTTCCCTGGTCCGCATTATGGATTCCATCGACTGCACCTACGTGGTCATTGAATTTTGCCCCGAGGGCGATCTGTTCTCCAGTATCACCGAGAAGGGCAACTTCATCGGCAACGACCCCTTGGTCAAGCGCGTATTTCTCCAAATCCTGGATGCCGTCCACTTCTGTCATTCCGTGGGGATCTATCATCGGGACCTTAAACCGGAGAATATCTTGGTAACGGACCAGGGATTGACGGTCAAACTTGCTGACTTTGGCCTTGCTACTGCGGACCCTTATACCTCGGATTTCGGTTGTGGATCTACGTTCTACATGTCTCCAGGTATGTCTCCTTTCCCTTTGTGTTCGGCTGTTCGTTCTGGCGTCTATTCATAGATTGAAGAAAGGTCATGCTAACTGGTCTGGCACCCGAAGAATGTCAACAACCAAACCCACGGCCCATGTCCTGGTATGAAAGCGCACCCAATGACGTCTGGAGTCTCGGTGTCATCCTCGTCAATCTCACGTGCGGTCGTAACCCCTGGAAGCGTGCCTCCATTGAGGATTCCACCTTCCGGGCCTATCTCAAGGATCCCCTGTTCCTCAAGACCATTCTTCCTCTGTCGGATGAGATGATCTGTATACTGAGCCGCATCTTCGAGTGTGACCCCAGGAAGAGGATCACCATTCCCGAGCTTCGCAACCTGATCCTGGACTGCCCCCGGTTCACCACGAACCCCGTGACTCCGTGGGCCTCTGTCGACGGATCGCTCCCGGGAGACTGCGTGAACCACCCTCAGGTCCCGGAACAAATCCCCGTGGATGTTTACAACAACCCCTCTTCTGCTTCGTCGTCTGATTCGTCGTCGCAATACTCGGATTCGCTCGAATCGGCCGTCTCGGGTGCCTCTTCGTTCACCGAAGGGTATCCCGATCTGGACAGCGTGTCTTCGATGTCCTCGGTCGGACTGGATCCTGAGGTTGACTGCAAAGACGATTTCCCGCAGGCGGACTCCGTCGCATGCAGTGACCTTCCCGAGCCTCTCGTGGTGCCCCAAACCTTTATTCCCATTCCCGTGTGTTGAGAGGCTTCAAGCCTCGACAACCCAAAAAACAAAAAGGAAAAAAAAAATCTTATACATACCCAACACACTTAACGCAGGTTTACGATTGCACGCCATTGATTCTACCCTGTCCCCAGGACCCGTTGGATCCTTCCGGGACATTTTCGGTTCTTTCCGGACTTCTTCGTCTTGCATTTCCCGGAGCGACTGTATTATTTCCAGAGCGATAAAAGCCTTGGAGACCGGGTTTACCTTCTGCACATACGTCTAATTTTCCTTGCCCTCCGCTTACTTTCTGGACCGTTTCCCCGGATTTGAGAATAATTATTCCCCCTCGCCTCTTTCGATGGATGGACTGCCTTTCTTGGACTTGGTTTCTATTTTCTTACCTCTCTTTGCCGCCGGCGTGCTGCAAACAGAAACCGTGGAATATGTTTTAGTATTTAATAGGTTACCATTGGGCGGAATTCTGTGGATTTCTTCTTTATTTTTTTTACGGATTACGGATATCTTCGTTGTGATTTTGATGAGTTGGTGATTTATTTTGCAGGGTGTTTACTGGCGTCGGATTCGATGGATTGAAAGAAGAAAAGAAATACCCCCAAGAAAGCATTGTTTTGTTTCTGATTTCCTGCATGGAGTTGTTGGCACGGTCACTCGTTCTGATATCAAGCTTTGATACCGAGTTTCTTTCATATCTTTATTCTCTTATACCTTTTCCTTCCACTTTCTATTTTCGCCGTCCATTTGACGTTTTCCTTCTCTTTCTATAATTTGTTGATAAGATACGTGACGTCGGGCTTTTATCTTTTTCGTCTATATGCTCCTTATTGTCAGACGTTCTGGACACTGTACGTTTCAGTTCAGCTCCAGTTTTCCTGCACTTTGATTCAATTTTGGCCCGCAGAAGGAATCGTCGCCCTGCTCTCGGGGGTCCAGGGATTCCAAAAATCAAAAAACAAACACCCAAAACAAAGCCAACACAACTCTTGATTGATTGATTTGTGATACGATGATATAAATAGAGATTGACGACCGCCACGAAGCAAAAAAAATCCATGCCAGTATCAGGTAAACAAGGCGGCGGTTAGCTGCGACCGTTGGTGTTTGACATGACTTATTTGACCTTCTCTTGCTGTCCAGTCCACTTCATCCAGGGCGCTTGGTCGCATGGCATGGCGGGACAGGTCCTGCCCGGTTCTATAATTGGAACAGACCATTGATATGAATGAATATCAATCCCATACAATACACCTATAGACCTACTTTCATTCGTTTGCTCGCGACTTACCCTGTCATCCGTCACTAACTCCACAGTCCCGTCCAGAACAGACGTACAAAAGTACTGAAAGTACAGCCCACACCCTTCTCCACTAACAAACCAGTCCCACCTGAAGAGTCCAGACCAGACCATAAATGGATCTACGTATTCCTCCCCCCTGTCACTCGAATCGTCTCCCCCGTCACATACGCAAACAGCGGACTCGCCACCGCCAGAATCGACCGCGCCGCCTCCTGCGGGCTGCCCGGTCTCCCCAGCGGGATATCCGGATACTGCGGGGCCGCTGCTGTGGCCTGACCCTTGCGACTCTCCAGCTGCTTGCCGGGGATCCCCAGCGCCACCTTGGTGCCGTCGGGCGTGGTGATGAACGCGCCGTCCTCCTTCGCGGCCGTCAGCCGCGTGGTGATGTGTCCGAAGGCGACGGTGTTGGAGCGCACCCCGAACGCCGGGCCCCATTCTTTGGCGATGGTCTTGGTGAGCCCGACGACGCCGGCTTTGGCGAGCGCGTAGTTGGCTTGGCCTCTATACAGTCATCAGCATCATATATCATGGGTAAGCTAATCCGTAGACGCAATAGGAGGGTAGGGTAGGGTAGGGTAGAACATAATATGAAACCATCTCTGAAAGAAGAATTAAGAAAAACATACGCATTCCCATGTAATCCACTCGTACTGCTGATGTTGATAATCGACCGCGGCTCCCCGTCCTTCACACGGAAGTACTTGGCCGCCGCGCGGACCAGTTTGAACGGCGCGGTGTTGTGGATCGCCAGCATGGTGTCCCATTGCTTGTCGGTGATCTAAACACACTCATTAGCATATCTCTCTCCGTCCCTTCTATCCATCAGAACCCAACAACCACGCCCACATCACCCTAATACAATCGATAGACCCAATCCAGAGAAGAAGGATAACGGAAACGGAGTGAATACCTTATGAATAACCCCATCCCACGTAAACCCGGCATTATTCACAATGATATGGATCTTGCCGTTCCCGAACTCCGCCGCCCTCCGGACCAGAGTCTCGAGGTAGGCGTCGTCCAGGATGTCGCCGACGACGGCGAGCGCGCGGTCTCCGCCGGCGGAGCCGTGGGTGGCGTTGATTTTGGAGGCGGTGGCGGTGGCTTTTTCTGTTTGGTTTGTTAGTTTGTTGGGTATTGATTTCTTGTAGGGGAGGATGGGGATGGATGGATGGATGGATGGATGGGATTGGGTTCTATAGGGAGGGAGGATTGGAAGTTGTATAGTCATGTAGAGTGATATATGTGTAGATGGGCAAGCTACAGTCATGGGGATAAAAGCAGTGCCTGGAGAAGGATAAAGGAGGGAGTACCATGATCCACGTCGGCGATGATGACCTTCGCACCCTCGTTCGCGAACAACGTCGCCGTCTCCGCGCCAATGCCTTGTCCGCCGCCGGTGATGATGGCCACCTGGTTGGAGAGCAGACCACCGGGGTAGGTCAGGTGGGAAGCAATTTGGGAGAGACGCGATGCCATTGTGCTTTCTTCTTTTTCCCCCGTCGGTTTCTGAGAAGGTTGGACAATGGACGGGTGGGTTGAGAAGGAGACGGTGAGAGTATATAAGTTAAGACGAAGCGGGAGGGGGCCGCAAATTGCCGAGGCCCGGGGAAGGTGGACCGAGAGCCCCGGGACTTTCTTTGTCTGGACTTCATCTGTACTGGGGAATAAAGATAATTAAATTCAGATCAGAACTACAGTCCGAAGAAAATGGTATATACGTTAATGGCAATGACAATGGCAAATACATGGCATCATCCCTTGCAGAAATGACTCCACCGTCGTCTCATACCCCCGGAGGATCTGCTGCAGCCAGCTGCCCTCTAGCCCCTCGCTGCTCCCGGAGCTCAGCTCAATCACCTCCTTCAGCAGACGGAGTACTTCCTGTGTCTGCTGCAGACGGCCATGGAGCAGGAACCGTCGCACCTGTCGAGTCTCCTCGAAGCCCAGCTCGTACTCGCCGTATCCGACGGGGACAGACGCCGTCCCGGGCACCGTCCCCGGCGGTGGCAGCCGGTCGACGCCCCCCGCCGTATACTCGTAGGACATCCAGTAGTCGAAGAGCTGTAGGGTGAGGTCTAGCACGGATACGGACAGCAGCAGGCTGGTGTTGTCCTTGTGACAGCCGGTACACTGAAGGAACTCCCGGCACACCGCCAATGCCGCCTGCATGGCCTGCAGACTCTGGTCGAATCGCAATTGCAGCGGGTCAGCGACCATGTGCCGAAGATGATTCATGTGGAATCCGAGAGCCTCGCCGCATTCGCACGTCGGCTGGAAAGCACTAGGGATGTGAACGGCGAGCGGGAAGCTCGTCAGGCCCTTGGTGATGAACTCCTTCTGCAGGAAAGTCGGCGACATAGACGCATGCGCTGCTATCGGGTCGCTGCCTGACGGCGGCAAAGAATCGCCGTACGACGACGCATATTCCATACTCGTGGACTCGGTGAACGGCAAGCATGAATGCAAGGTGGTGTGGGCATCCTGGCTTCGAGGACTTTCCGATAGACTCTCGCGACTATCTGGTTCCCGCGTCTATAGTTCATGTTAGGTTATGAGGGGTTGGAAAAGGCGCACAGCAAGCAGGAGAGCGACAGGCCGAGCAAATTCAGGCACTCTACCTTATGATCCATACTTCGGTCCATCCCATACCCCCCATAGCACTGTTCAATAACCTGAAGTCCCTTGTCTGTCGGTCCGCTATCGGATCCCCGTAATGCGGGTTTGCCCTCGGGGAGCTGGCCCAGTTTCCTCAACGTAGCCCGGTTTTTACTGCCCTTCGGCTTGCCCGACCGATTGGCAACTCGGTATCGACACGATAGTCCGTGACGAAGGCACCGAATACACGTATTCTTCGCTCCTAGGTTGCATTTCACCTTGGATTGTCGGCAGTTCTCGCATGCGGCGCGGAGCTTGGGTGCATCTCCCGTACTGCTCGGATTCTGATCGGTTTCAGAAAGCATCGCGTGGTCGACTGAAATGACGGGGATGTCGCAGAGGAGGGAAAGAGGAAGGGGAGAGAGAATACGTGAGAGGAAGAGAGTGCGTGGGAGGCAGAGAAAAAGGGAAAGGGAGAGAGGAAGGGAGTCAGCAAAGGTCCCGGCCTAGGCTAGATCAAGAGAGGTTTGTATATGTTCTTTTTTAGTCTTGCGGTCAAAAGGGACCTTTTCAGGCCATGGAAAGCCGGACTTCTTCGCCCCAAAAACAGCGGTTGAGTGTTCCCAAAATGATAAAAGTAAAGACCAAGGATAAAAGAACAGGAACGATCGGCGCTAAGAAGGATCATCCAAACCCAAGATGCTATATAACCTCCCAATCCCGCTCTGGCTCCTCATAATGCAACGCGAGCATAACCACGATTCGTATCTGGATTTGTGAATTGACGGGAACCGCATATGAAGTCAGCCGTTGTGAAACCCGACAAAATTTCATCTGATCCACCACGCATGGAGACGCCAGCAATCGTGGCCAGTAAAGCGGCCTGCAGCTCCTCACAGGCAAGTCCAACTGACCTCCAAATCTTACTTGTCCAAAAAGGCAAATGCCAGATTGCTTGGCCATTGCCCAAACAGCCCCTGATAGGAGACAATAAGCGGGAGCCACTTGGCTGGAAATTTCCACCACGGGGGAGGAGCCTGGGGAATAAGCTCAGGTGCAACCATCATGACCTAGGCAATCGAGCACATTGAATCAATCAACTTGCACATTCCAGAGTAGCCATTGCTGTCTGACGTAGCATCCAATGACGAGAACCATTTTTTTTCTCCCAAGCGGCATGCAGGCCAGCACACCATGTGAGCTGTAACCGATGCAGGAATGAATCTTCATTCGTCCTGATGAAGATCTCAATCGAGCGGTGAAGACTTTATCCTTTTGAGGAACCCTGTTCTTGCTTCCAGAACCGAAATCTGGCGTGTCTGGATTGCGGTTTTCTTTTTCTTTTTCTTTTTTTTCTTCAGGTCACGCTTTCTTCCCCAAATAGAAACCTCGGCAATCAGATCTCTCGAATGCCTTGCTTTGCTCATCTCCCGATTCCTGACTTCTGACTTTTTGGCTTTCATCCCTTGCACGCATATTGTGATGTCAGCAACAGGGAGAGGAAAAGAGAGGCGGGCAGGCGGAGGGGGGAAAAGGCTGATCTCGTATCGTTGGTGATCCGTCAGCATAACATCGTGCGAAGATATTCCCATCTCACGAGAAGGAAGAAAAAAATAAAAAATAAAAAAAAAAAAAGCTATTTTTGAGCGACAATGGATTGACTGTCACAATGTCGCTCTCACCAAACACCACCCCCCTAATCGTACACCGCCCGTGTGATCTTGGGAGAGAGAAGTCTTTCCCCTTCCCCCTCCTCTCTGTTTTTAGCGAATCACACCGTCGAGGTTCATAGGAGACAAGATTCCGTCAGCCCATTGTGTCTGTAATCGAATGCCCTCAGCAGCCCCGTCAGGTGAGCCACGGCGGCACATACCACCAACACATGAAAGATCTGATGTGAGCTGCCCCAAAGATCGAATTTTCCGGGTTGCAATCGTTCCGGCACTCGAGCCGCATAAATCCCAGCCCCCAGGACATACAAGAAGCCTTGGAGAAGAAGCCATCCTAGGCCTATTTGGCGCATCATCTGGTCCAGCCCGTACAATTGTAACCCATGGATCACGGGGAACACTGCTGACAGGCCCATACCGACAAACATGGCCGCGCGGAAGGGCCGCCACCGAGGAGTCCGGAACCAAGGGAGAATGGAAACAACGGCGCAGCCAAGACCCAGGGTGCAGATCATCGTCCAATACAGGCGTTGCAAGTCCGGTGCACAGTAGAAGCCAAAGTATACACTAGGAACGAAGCTGCCCACGATCAGGCCTACAATCCCGACATAGTCGAAGGCATTGCCCACGCGGGCCACCAACGGCGAGTGATTCGAAATGGTGTGGTATGTAGCGGACATGCCCAGGCAAAACGCCGCCCCGGCAAAAAAACATCCGAATGCCACGAGGTCCGCACGGGTCGCCGTCTCATACCGCGGCGCTAACACGCGATGCAACCAGACGGCGGCCGGAACCGCCAACAGCGAGGGCAGCAGATGCGAGTAGATGTTCACCGTCTCGTTGTGAAGATAGGTCAACGACTGCAGGGAGAGCAAGAAGGAGAACGAGGCGGGCCGATATCCGGTATGGATGTGCTGGTTGTCCTTCTGCCAATGAGGCAGATCGTCCCAGTGAAGAAGCTTTTTGATGACCTGAGGGGGCTGTTTCCCTAGGATCGTAGGCGTAGTCGCTGCGCCATCGGCAGCTGGCTGGCTGACCGGACGAGTCTCTGCGGGGCGACGTTGGCGAGCCTGCATAATATCCACCTGCAGCACGGTACTTCTGTCTTCACTGCAGCAGAACCAGGGGATGTAGGTACTACGGAGTAGTACTCGGCAGTACTGGCAAGTAGACCGAAGAGATAGATCGAACACTTGCGCAGGGGATCGGCAAGGTGGATATATAAAGTATATAAATAACTCAGACCACCGGCTCCGAGGGACCGAGGACCGACAGCAGGCCGGAATAATGAATTGCTCCCAGCTGGCGTTGGAGGTTGATCGAAGGTTGTTGGGGATCAACAGGAACTTCTCGCCGAGTCGCCATTGCCGCGTTGGGGGACGCCGGACAAACGGTGCAAACACGTCGGCGTGATCGGCGGAGTTTCCTTCCCCTCGTTCTCGTTCTCGTTCTCTTTCTCTTTCTCTTTCTCTCTTTCTTATCCACTCTCCCCCCCAACGGTCCATTCACCCCCGTCGTCAAACCATGACGGGTCGCCCGCAACACGCCAAATGGCCCGGCAGCCGTCTGAAACCCGTGCCCGTGTCCGACTCCCTGGAGTCGGTGGGGTTTGTGTCGAAAGGGGATCGCAAGTATGTCCGCTGTCCCCCGCGTGGATGCGGTCTCCCCACGATCCCCTCCTGACCACGTTGGCAGATTGCTAGATCACAAGGCCCAGAAGGATTACTATTCTAAGATTGTAGAACGGTATATGGCGTTCTGTGCGCGCCATGCTAAAGACCTAGATGCTGCTTGGGCTTCTCTTCCTACCAATGCGTCCGGCGACGCGACGAAGAATCCCCCGGCCTCTGTCCCGCCATCCGGCACCAAATCCTCCAGTCCTTCCCCTGCCTCGGAGTTGTCCACGCTGCTGCTTTCCCTTCGCAAGCTCCGAGAGGCCGTTCTGGCCACGGCATCCTCCGTCCCCGTGTCTTTCTCCCAGCAGGTGCATACGTTCTCCATCAAACTGTCGATCCAGGCCAAGCATCCGCCCTCGTACTTCCCTTCGCTCCGCTACCTTCTGGAGCATCTTCACTCCCCGTCACATCCACTACCAGAGTCCGAGCTAAAGGATCTTAATTCCTATTTGATCCTGGACTTCGCTTGTCGGCAGGATGACTTGGTGGCTGCGTTCGAACAGCGCGCCCGAGCTCGTAGTCAATATGATTTTCAATCGCAGACCGTGGACCGTGTTTTAAGTTCCTTGGTTCATGACAATTGGGTGGTGTTTTGGCAGGTCCGGCAAGAAGTGGACTCGTCAATGCGCGCGGTGCTGGACTGGGCCGAGGACCGGATGAGGAGACATGCGCTGAAGGCGGTCGGTCGGGCGTACCTCAGTGTCAGCGCGCAGTGGATTACCGAGGGCTGCACCGGAGATCCCAGCTGGACATGGGAGAAACTGGCGGAGACGGAGAAATTGGGATGGCAGAAAGAAGGAGACAAAATCATCATTAGAAAGCCCAAACAGAAACCCGAAAAGAACCTTGTGCCAATCAAAGAGAATGCATCATAACGGCTCATGGCGAGTACGTGGCATTCCTACTCTGTCATTTATATATCCGCGCCACAGGCTGAGACTGGCATTTGACTTGAAGTAGTGCTATACGGCCGGTGCATTGCATAGACTTCCTCGTGGTGTCTCGGCTTCGAGAAATTCCAAGTAGGCTCACAATTTGAAATCAACATTCGGACGATCCAGGTTGATGTCGCCAGTAACCGGTTGTTGAGCGACGGTGTCCACGAGCGTGGTCTTCAACTTATCAGCCTTGTCCGAACAGAGCTCGTAGACTGTCGACAAGTTAAAAACTAGGCTGTAAAAAGATTGGTTTGTCTGAACCAAAGATTCTAGAACCTCCCGAGCCTGCGTGGCGAGTTAGCAATATCACTGGAGCTTATTGGATGGGATGAAAAACCTCATTCAGTCGCCCGGTGTACAGCAGACATACTGCCATATTTTGTGAGATCATAGCCTCGTCGGGTCTTTTGGTGCCATTATCCAGAATAGCTTTCCATTCTAATACTGCATCGCTGTATCGTCCCTCAGCCATGCTGAGGAGTGGTTGATATATGGCCCCTGTGCCGTCCGATTCATTGGAAAGTTTCTGTGCCGCGTCGAGGTCGCCAATCAAAAGGAAAAGGAGCGCTTTCCGCAGCTTGTTGATTTCGCTTTCCGTCGGAGATGTTTGCAAGCTGTGCAACGATCTTCTGGCTGCGTTGAGATCTCCCATTTCAATCAGTGCGTTGACGCTCCTAATTCCTAGGTCCGACAATCTTTCCTTCCAAATCTGTCGTTCTTCTTGAGATATGTCTTGCCGCATGATCTCCCTCCTAGCTTCTAAGCCGATTTCGAAGAGACCGCCGATTCCTCTGCGTGGGTCGCCAAACCCGATACTTTGAAGGCGAACAGCCAATACCCGTAGGGGCCACGGTACGATGTGGCGTGGATACATCGAATGTTTGTGGTTAGGCTCTGAAGCCTCAGAGTCTGGCTCTAGGTAGTAGAATGTGGAGCTCAGATCTTCCAGGGCCTTAGATTCCTGCGCTGCCATGACAGGATTGCCAGAAAGCTCCAGGCAAGCTAGCCGAGTGTAGAAAAGTGCAAAGATGAGCTTAATATCCGTAGCTGAGACCGAAGATGAGGTCAGAATGGTTCCACTGAGGTAGGCTGCCAGCAGAAAATGACCCTCTGCTAGCAATTTCTCCAGAGTGCCGAGGTTTTGGGCCAGAGACTCATCCGACGCGGGAGCAACAAACTCCGCGCGCAACGCGGGAGGGATCTCAACCTGCGACAAGGAGTGATAAACATCATACCGCAGAAGGTACGAAAGGTCCTTTACCACGTCCTGTGGCAATTCGTCCGGAACTAGTGGATCCAGAGCAGTAAATGACTCCCCAGAGTAGCTGCCATGGTCGGCCACACTTTGTCTCTGTGGCGTGTTAAGGAGACCCAGAGGGCTTCAATTTGTCAGTACGGCATTTCGAGGAGAGGGTCGATCATGGCATCGCTCACTCGTCCGGTCCATCCAGGGGCCCTCTTGTGGAACTACGAGGTCGAGAAGCTATGAACAATCAGCCAAGACCTGACGTCAATTTTGCGATGAAACATACACCTCGAGATGTTGCGACTGTGGCTGTGACTATGACCGGTGGATTCCATGATGGGAGACAATCTAGGAGCCGCTGAAGTCGGGGAGCTGGAACAATTGGCAGCCAACAGGATATAGTCGGAGTCAAGTAAGTTCGCTGTTGATGTCAGTCAATGCGGGTGCCTGGGGATTCTGCCGCGGGCGGTCAGGAGATCGGCCAGATCAGGCAAGCTGGCCCATTCGTGGCAACTGTCAATCGCGTCCACTGCTAACTATCTCTCTATCTACCCCATCAACTACTACAACCCTATCCTGATCGCCCCAACTTCGATCCTCCCTCTAGCACGAACTACTACCCTCGGACTTCCGGCTATAACCCCAACGCAAAGCTTCCTACTTTCCGCCCGGCATCATGACTTTGGCTGAGGAATTCCGCTCTAGAAACTTCAGTATGGTTTTCCAGTGTTTACCCTTTGTTCGTTGAGGCAAAATGCAAGGGAGCTGACCACAACCTATCTAGGCATCTACGGACAATGGTTTGTGACCTATCTTCAACTTATTCCCTTCGCCTTCCCATCATTTCCTTTCGAGGTCGCGTTCCTTCCAACCCGACTGTGACGGAATAAATGGCTGCCTGCGCCTCGTTTGCGGGTTTGCTTGGCGCTATTCGGATCGACATGGCCTGGTGGATTTGCGAACAACGATCGCGCATCCCACCGGACCGAAGCTGCAGGATCACCTTCAATACTTGACTCAAGGCTTATTGTCGCGACTTATGTGTGGCTGACTGGGTTTGCTTAGGACCGGAGTGGTTTGCATTGTGCTGTGCTTCGCTCTCGGGATTGCCAACATCTTCTCCTTCAATGCGGGACGCATTGTTTTCAGTATCATCTGCCTGTATGTGGACAGGACTATGGAATCGCCCTCGATCGTGGGATGCTGACCGTGCGCAGTGTGTCGGCATTTGTCCTCATCTTCATTGAAGTGCCCTGGCTGCTGCGAATCTGCCCGACCTCGGAAAAGTTCGACACTTTCATTCGCCGGTTTACCACCAACTGGATGCGAGCTGCGATGTACGCCATCATGAGCACGGTCCAGTGGCTCAGTCTTCTCACCGGCGCATCGAGCTTGATTGCGGCAGCCGTGTTCCTCATCATCGCAGCTCTCTTCTACGCCCTGGCCGGCTTGAAGAGCCAGGAGTTCGTGGGCAGCAAGACGCTGGGTGGCCAAGGTCTTGCGCAAATGATTGTTTAGGGCTGACTATACGAATGCGACAAGTGAGAGACGAACTCTTGAGGTATATCTATCGGTCGGACAATCTTGGGATTCCGCGCTAATGATTTGTCAAGCGAATTCTCGTCGGTGCGAAGCCCCCGAGGGATCTCCGAAACACCACGGAGAAAACAATTTTTAAAAGGAAAATAGATTTTGTGTTGAGGGCGCTATGATTATGACCAATTGAAACTGATTCCGCTGCTATTGATGCTGCCGAAAGGCGTTTTGTACTTGTATGCGTGCTGGGCGGAGGGGTCTTGAGATATCATTATATCTTAGGAGCAGAGAGTCCGACTTGGTGTGAGTATTTGATTTTCTGTTTTTTGTTCTGTCTCGTGCGTGTCATCTCCCCCCCCTGGGCACGCTCTGCTGTGATGCACTAGACATTTCCTGTACTCTTATTTATTACTCTATAGCTATATCGAGCGAAATACCCTGTTAGCATCATGATAAATGTAGTCTTTTATAGGCATCAAGGATCAGCTGGCTGCAATTCCAAGAGCACGGTGTCAATGAAGGCTGCATGTAGAAGATAGTAAAGTAATAGTAGGGCTTTGTCGGAGCATATCGACCTGCGAAACCCTACTTTCTACCTCACCTCCAGAATACCAAAACTGAGCTTTGGACAAATCTTGTTTAATGATGAATGTTTTACTTACACTCCCTTCTGTCTGTCGCCAATTCTGAAGAGAGCATCCGTCCAGTTTTTATAAAAAGACAAAATAGAAAGAGGTGAAAAAAACAGAATGAAAAAAGAAAGAATGACCGACCCACGAGGGACTCGAACCCTCAACCTTTGCCTAACGCTCCAACCTTAACAAGTGAAGATAGGAGAGCAATGCTCTACCATTGAGCCAGCAGGCCTGACAATATGTTCTCTTGCAACACTTTTGAAATCATGTCTTAAGACCAAATACTCACCGTAAGTGCACTACGAAGTACTGTTCGAGACCATCAATGTTCTATGGAATTTCCCCAATCGCGGTCCGAAGGCAAACGGTTGCTACGGTGTATTTTGCCCCCTTGTTTATTTGGATGCCTGAATTATGGGTTCGTATGTTACTAGTTCGTACGACGCCTTGGAAATCAGGAAGATAATGACGATGGCTGCTCTCGAGAACCTTCGACCCTACGTCATTTCCCCTCATTGACCCCGCGCGCCTGGAGCGTTGAGTTCGGTTTAACCTTCATCTGAACCAAGAGGCTGCGATGTAATTAATATGCCATTTGGAACGGGTGAATGACCAGGGGAGCATGGAGCTGTACCAAACCGCCCTTCTCCAAGTGAGCTGCCAATCGGTGGGATGCATCCGCTGTAGGAGTACTGATAAGGATATCAGGACTCGACTTGGCCCGGTGGAAATAAATCGGTCGGTCTGGCCTGCACGAAAGACAACTCCACCTACCCCTGTTAGATACTAAGTGCTCTTAGCGGGCTTTTAATTGGACATACGAATATCCAGGCGCCTATCGACAGGATTGCGAAGACCTACTCGTTCAACCCTGCAGCCATGATGACACACCTACTGTCAGCAGAAAACCCTCAAGGCAAGGAAGATTCCTGCAGGCGTCTCTATGGGTTCAACCGAAGGGAGATATTGATCATGAGGATGCCGATGCAACTGTAAGACCACCATGTCAGAAGCGTAGGGGATTTAATGATCGATGTCTCGACAGGGGTCATGTACTGGGTCCATGGACATTGCCGAGCTAGATGTTAGGAAGACATGCTAGTTCTAGAAATACCTGGGCAACAGAAACCCCCATGATTGCAATTGGATTGGTCCTTTCAAAATCCCACGGTATACAAGTGTCAGAAACCGGACTGGAATGTGCGGCCAGGTCCCTTGGCGCGGCGTCCAATTGATGATGACATGCAGGATGGGTATTGGCCAGTCAACCGCCTTCCAATTGATATCAACCGTCGCTGGCAGGCCGAACCAAGTGGGGCAGTCCCTCGCCCTTTGGAATTGCCTATGGAGTATGTATAGGTGGTGTACGGAGTAGGTGTACTGCGTATGGAAGTACCCCGTCGCCGTCGCGAGTAGAGTAACACCCATATATCTTATTGACGGGCAACCATGTGCGATCCAAAGTAATCACACAGCCACACGAGGGGATGAAATCACAACGGGGAAGGGAATCCCCTCCTGCTTGCGATTTGGGTATCAGATTCGTGGCGTCGTGGCTATCGAGACATCAGGACCACGGTTATGCCCGGGCCTGATTTGAGTCTTTTTTTTATTCCTCTTTTTTGTTGTCCACTTAGCAAGGGCGAAATTACTGGGATCGATACAAGGAACTAAGACATTTTCTGGCCGAGGGAATTTTATTTTATGCGACATCTGTCACCGGGACGAAGAAAGGGGGAGCGAATTAATCGTCTCCTATTGATAACGCCGGGTTCATATTCCTGGTACCGTCTTCGATGGATCGTCCAACCATCAAGTTTGGACTCCATTCTGGACTCTGAGTTTAGGAGGTAGCCTTGCGCCATTATTGTTTCCAGGGGTTCCTGATTCACCAGATATTGTGCTCCGTCAGAGAGTCCATCAGGTGCCTGCATACCGGTGGGAAAAATCCCTCAAGTAACCCCAGAGGAAAGAGAAAAGAGAAAAACAAGTCACGGCGGGCAGCTGCAACATGCATATACTATGCTGATAGACATTTAATTGGCAGGTGATAGAAGGGGCATGGGTCTGAGAGCAGAGACATCTCCATTCTCTGAGGGACAAGTCGATGTCGAAAGATGAATAAAATCCCTATTAATATTATTTACTGCGTAATGCAAAAGGCCAAAAATACGGCGTGACCAGAAACGACCGAAACCAAAAAGACCGAAAATGACGCCCCCCGAGCTAAGCCCGTCTGGGAATCCCTGGAAGTCTGTTAATGCGACGGACGAATCTCGTTGGTTCACAGCCCGCCGCCGGTGACTGTCCGCCCTCGTCGTCTGGAGTGTCACGCGACGGAGGCGGTGGGCCGTGGCAGGAAGAAAGCGGTTAGACTGGGCTTACGGCCACCGTGCGGGAGGTGCGTCTAGTCATACATCATTGCTGCTGCTTCGTATCTCCTCTTTCTTCCCTTCCTCCCTCTCTCCATATATCCTCTCGATCTCGCTCGATCCCCCTAATTATCTCCTTTGTTTTCTTTCCCACCCTTCCTCATCGGGAGATCTCTCGTTGCTGTATCCAATTGCTCTGACCCCTCCCCTTCTTGATTCTATCTATTCATACTGCGAAAAGGTCCTCGCACCTGTCTGCACTGTACTTGACCCGGACTGCCACTGGCTGGTTATTGTATTGTTACCCTGGTAAGTCCCTCAATCAGCATTCCTTGGGGGATTTCCCACCTCGGCAATCTTCTCTACCTGGTCATCATGGTATTGGCCTACTGGAAGAAATGTGAAAAGCTGTCTTGAAGAGCTCGAGGCGGTGAAAGCCAAGAGTGTTATCGCGGCTTCATATGCACCCTGGCCTATCTTATCGACACACCTGCTTTTCTGCGCCTTTTCTGCATTCTCCGTTTGCCTGGTAGTGCTCTCGGATTTTCTCTCAGGAAGAGGGCACCAAAGTTGAACTGCTATTTTTATTTCCCTGCTTTCGGTCCCCTGCCAATTGGGCCTGAAGCTTGCTTCCAGCATAGAGTTGCCACGTACATGCATACATGCCCTACTCTCGGCCTGAGCCCTTCAGCTAGGATTGCGTGTGGTGTCATTGATTGATTCTTGCATTTATCAAGCCTACTCGGACTAATTTGTTTCTTCTGAAGTGTCACATTAATTGTCGTCATTATCGTCCCGAAGGCCTTTCCCATTCGCCATGTCCACACAAACCGGCCCCGTCATCCCTCCTCGGCCGTCAAGGTCGCCTCATCAGCAGGGCCTTGCACCCGGTTCGGCAGAGATACCCAAGATCCCGCCTCGCCCTGCTCGTCGCTTTGAGCGCTCGATTTCTCCCCTGCGTGATAGCTACGCCCCGTCTCCACTGAACGAACCGCCCAATGGCGCAAGTCTGAGCCGCACGGTTTCCCACGACCTGCCGCAACGTCCCCCGAGCGTAACGATACCGTCCCTTGGAGAAGAGGGTATTGAATACGAGGACTTGGATGTCGGCAATGCCTCGGAAGGGCACAATGCGACCCCGGCGGAAACTCGCAACGTGGACAGCGATCTCAAGCTGCATGCGCCAAGACCTTCGCTGCCGAATGCCAGCGCCAAGGCCAGGGTGCAGGCCGTGACACGCACGGATTCGCGCCAGGCTGTGGCAGCAGGAATTGGTGGGAGAGTGGCTTCTCCCGTTCCCGACGAGCAGGACCGTTCTGCTCGCTCGCTGCACTCCCGAACCGGTTCGCGCGCCGAGTCCTCCGCGTCTGCCGATCGCCGAGAATCGTTCAATGGCGACGAGCATGGCATTCCGGAGATCGGACAGCGGGTCCCAATGTACCGCAATGCGGGTGATGTTCAGGCACCTTCTCCGAGTCCTTATCAAATCGACCATGCCGGTTCACGCTCTGGTCGCACTCATAACCGAACCCGTAGCGGCCGCGAAGCCTCTCTCCCACCCGGTAGCTACGGGCTTCACGGACACGGGGTGCAGCCCAACGACAAATTCGAGAAAGCCTGGTACGAGAAGCACCCTGAAGAGTACGTCAAGGAAGAGCATGGTCAATATGGGCCCGGGGTGGGCACGCCCCGGCCCGATTGGGCTTTGAGCAGCGATGATCTAAATAAGATCGTTCGTGGCTCCGCAGTGACTGGTGCAGGACTTGGTAGGTTGGATTTGCATTCGCTAGACCAGCAAGGCGGGCCAAAGGCCTCTTGAGCTAATTTCGATGCGCAGGCACTTCCCCTGCCGTGACTGGAACCCCGGAAGAAGAGGTTGGATATATCGCCAGCGACCAGTACACTAACCACTTCTCGCCCCCGCCCCCAGAGTCTCGTCGTGACTCGCGCCCTGCCGTTGATTCCCCTCTGCGCACGGAAAGCACGGCCGCTTTGGACTCCGAAGCCCAACAGGAAGCCAAGTCTGCGCAAGAGACTTCTCAGAAACCGGAGAAACCGGGCATCATCCACGTTGATGAACCATACCATCATCTGCACCACCCGGATGGGTTTGCCCAGACGCCGGAGCCAGAGACTCTGACCCACGGGACTGGAGAGGACGGAGCGGATGACGAAGAACCCATTCTGGCTGCCGATGAGGTGCGGCCGGAATCCGCCTTCCAGCACCCTGCAGTGTCGCCCACGTTCGGGCGAAGGGAAAGCTTTGACCATGAAGGTAGGAGTCGTACTCCAAGCGCAAACCACAGCCGCTCCAATAGCAGACCTACGAGTCTCCATGGCATGCCTACCTTGGCCAGGTTCAATTCACGTGATGAGCGTGAGGATACGCACACCCCTCTCGAGGATGTGGAGGAATACGAACCTTTGTTCCCTGAGGATGACAAGAAAGACCAAAAGGTCGTTTCGACCGCAGAGCGCTTTAAAAAGCGACCTGACATGTCACAGCATCGTTTTCCTAGTCAGGATATCTGGGAGGATTCGCCCAACAGCTTGCAGCTTCATGCCACCGTCTCTACACCGGACATTCCCAAACAGGATGTCTTCGAGACGCCGGAGCAAGAGTCATTTCGCCGAAGCCAGACGAGTCATCTCGATCCTCACGAAGTTGCTTCGCACATTCTGGAGTCCGAGGAACAAAAGGAGAAGCCACCAACACGCCCTGATATATCAAAGCAGCGATTCCCGAGTCGCGATATCTGGGAAGATGCGCCTGAAAGTCACAAGCTAGTAACCACGATAGAACCATCGGAAGAAGAGGTCAGGAGTCCCGAAGTGAAAAGCCCCGAGATTCCAGCACGACCCGCCATTCCATCCCGACCTGCAAGACGCCCGCAACAGGCTCCGTCAGTGGACGCGTCCACGAAGCCGGTCACATCGCCGATTGAGAAGCGACCGCCACCCCAGATTCCTGACCGTCCCAAGCCTCAAGTTCCCAGTCGACCGGCCAAGCCTGCGTTCCGTGGCAATGATACAGAAGCCAAAGATCCAGCGGCCAAGCCCAAACCTGCAGTGCCGGCTCGCCCCGGTGGGAGTAAGATCGCTGCTTTGAAGGCTGGGTTTTTGACGGATCTCAACTCCCGCCTACAGCTTGGCCCCCAGGGGCCGAAGCCCCAAGAGAAGAAGGAAGAGGAACCCCCTGCCGAGAAGGTCCCATTGAGTGATGCTCGCAAGGGAAGAGCTCGGGGGCCGGCGCGGAGAAAGCCTGCAGTCGAGAAACCGAGCCCCAAGCTGCCTACAATCCCCGAGGTCAAGATTACTACGACTTGGAATGTTTGGCAAGTGGGTGAAGATGGCAACTTGACAGTGGGTGATAGTGAGAAGACGGAACGTCACGACGTGACTCCGCCTGATACCTCCCGCTCGGATGATGCTACGATGGCGCCCCCGCTGGCGAAGAATCTTGCCGGCGAGTCGGCGGATCCTAGTCTCTCTCCAGACAAGCAGGAGAGTCAGGAAACGAGCCCGGAAACTCCTGCCTCTCCGGACGCCACGACCCCGGCCGACACTCAGTCACCTCTTGCTGACACGGAACCGCCGACAATAAATGAACCGATTACTGTACCGTCTTTTACCGAACCCCTGACCAAACAGGAGGAAGCAGCCGACGCATCTCCCAAGACCGAGATTGATGCCTCCGACCTCAACCCTAAGTCTACCGCCTCTTCTCCCGATGAGCAAATAGACGCCGCTGCCGAACAGCTGGCTGCCTCTGCCGATGGAAAGAGACTTTCGGATGGAGGTTCCTAAAGGGAGGAGATTTCTCTCCTCTTGTGTGTTTGTAACTCCCTTGTTTCGTTTCTCCTTCGTTCTTGTTGCTCTTCTGTTTGTGCCAAAGCTTCCCTCCCGTTCGATTCACCGTAAAAAGAACGCACCCAACCCGTACACTGATCCCTTTACTTTATGTGGAGCTGTTCAGCCATAGAACTATCCCAAAAGTATTACTGATTGATCTTTCCTAAAACTCAACCCCTTCATCCAAGCAAGCATGTCTGTCTGGTCTGGTATTCCAACCCCGCCCCGAACTTAGCTTCGCTCGGTTGTGTTGCGTTGTGTTATGTTGGATCCCTCCTGTCTACTACTCCTTTACTCGCTGGTCCTATACGTGTACATTCACTCCTTTGGCATGGCGATGCCACCGCCCAATCTAATTTGATAACCTACCTAGGTAGCTGGTTCGACACTAGTTGGGATTCGGCTCTTAATTTGTATAGTTTTGAACGTGCAATTTACCATCTGATGTGATGTGACTAGAATCAAGCAAAGTAGACGAGGTAACTGAACTGAAGAATCGATTGACTCGCAGACACTTTAGGCAGGGAAATCATGCAGTCTTGGAATTCAACGGAACCGAGAAAGTATAGAAAGAGAAAGAAGACGATACGTGTATATGGATCAATTTGGTAGGACTGGGCTGGAAAAAGCACGGCGAAGATGGAAAATTCTAGCGCCTTTTCATATAATCCATTCTTTGGTTGGTTTTTGATCTTTTTTTGGGCTTCATTTTTTGGCCTTTTTTGTCTTTGTTTTGGATGATTGGGTATCATGAATTGGAAAGGACAAGGAAAAAAGAAAGAATCTAGACTACTTGTCAAGAAAGGAAAGTGCGCAATGCCATTTTTCCAAAAACACAAAACAGAAAAAAAGAATAATGATAGGGAAAAAGGAAAAAAGAAAGGAATCAGAATTATAAATAAGAAAAGCAAGCAATCTTGAGGTGGTTTAAGCAGACCATCGACAGCCGAATGAGATAACGCATGGCGAAGATTGTAGAAAAAGTATAGTCAAATTTTAGTTAGCGGGCAGATTCTTGAAATCGCCCTTTCCATTTTTGATCCATTCCGGGTCAATCAAACGCTCTCGTTCGATGTAGAGTTGTTTATAGGCGCCGCGAATGGTTCCGTCGCTGACATGGGCCACTGCGGCAATCTCCTTGGCGGTCTTGCCTTCGCCCATCAAGTGAGCAGCCATGTAGATACAGGCGGCGACGATCGACAGAGGGGAACGGCCGGCCAGATCTCCCATCGTCGTGACCCGATCGGATAAAGCGGAAGAGGTACTGACCACCGGGTAGGGCAGACCGAGGAGGTTGCAGAAACGGTTGCACAGGTCGCTGGGTTTGGTGGACGTAGTCGCGGTGTAGGTGTCGTTGGGATCGGGGACGCCGCCGTTGGACACAACAGAGTTGTGCCTCTCCAAGTTTTGGGCCGTGAAGAACTTTTCCAATGCCTTGTAGATTCTTCCGATCTCCTTCCTCGAGACCTTCGTGACGGCGAAGATTTCCGTGAAGGTTCTCGGGACCTTACATTGACGACAGGCGATAAAGATACAGCCTGCGATGATCACATCCTGGGACTTGCCTTTGAAGGCCTTGGCATCGTCGACGATTTTGAACAGATACTTCGCCGTATCAGCCACGTTCTTCTGGATGCTGAACCCGTCGCACAGAGCACCAATTTCCTTGTAGGCGGCGAGGAGCGACTTGTTGGCCTTTTCGCTGGACTGCTTGTTCTGCGCACGGTACAAATCCCGAACCCGGCCTGAGCCTCCGCTGGCAATCTGGGTTTCCAGTTGATCTCCGTTCAGTAGAGGATTCGACACGTCTCCAACACGAGAAGGGTCGTCATTGTTCTGATCATCGTTGGAGAAGGTACGCCATTCGGAGTGCATATCAATCTCTCGATCGGCAAGCACTAATCCACAAGAGCCGCACACAGTCTCATGGGATCCCGGAAACTCCAGATTCGGGGGGACTTCCTTGCATTCTGGGCAGATAACGTGGGCCGAAAGGTTTTTCTTCCACTGGTTGGGATCTTGTTTGGCTGAAGGCGGCGTGACGGCAACCATTTTCTTCGACTGTTTCCGAGAACCGAGGTTTGATTGACGGCGTTTAGTGATTTTCCCTGCGGGCACAGGGAGTTGATGTCTGCGAGCACAAAAACGAAGGAAGAACGGCGAATACAGATTGGTGGTTGTGGTTCACCAACACGATCCGGGGAGTGAGAGAGAATGCTCTCGGCAGCGACAGAAAGGTGAGGACAGCAGCGGCGTAATTCGCTCAGGCTCGTCACGTCTCTGCGTCACTGCCTTTTCATAGCCTTGTTAGCCCGAACGCACCCAAGCGAAATGAAGACATGACCATGCTAGGAGATTTGGAGGATCTCGGTAGAACAGGTTCTGACGGTGGATCATGGTGGGAAGCCCAGCCATTTGCCATCAACATCTCTTCTACATCTCACGCGACTGGGGGAAAGCAGGTTCTGAGTTGGTGAGATTTGATGCTTTTACCTTTCAGGGGAAGATGGTGAATGGGACTTGTCGGGCCACGAACGGTGCCCCGGGGGGGAAAGGGATTTCGCAAGACGAAGGCGGAGGAAATTCCAGATTCCCAGGTCGCAGTTCACTTTGGAAATCTCTTTGCAGCCACGCTTGTCCGACCGCGATGAACCAGTCAAGGTCTCCGTGAGTGGCAAGGGATCACGGAAGTAGGGCCGTCGAATCTGACAGAGAAGGCGTTGCAGTCGAATCGAGCTGAGGAGAGCCGATAGAGCAGAACAACGTCGAGTGATCAGGTTCGGGACAAGAGGGCCGAGTCGAGCGACAGAGGCAGAGAAGGGCGAGGGCGAGGCGATGGAGGGGAACAAAGACGAGGCCGCGAGACAAGACAAAGACCGAAAGCGTAGAGCCGCGCTGAGTCAGCCGCCAAGCCGACGCCTCCCGAACAAACGTCGAACTTCCATTCCTCCTCGTCCATCGCAGACTCCCTCTCCCAGTGTCCCCTCATCCACCACCTCCGCCGTCATGATGTCCCAGTCGCTCAGAGCCTCCGTAAGTGCTTCCTCCCCGGCACTCTGGAGCCCCCGTCGCTCCCTGCGTTTCCGCCCCGTGCTGACCCGGCTGTAGCGCTCGCTCCTCTCCCGCGTCTCTCGGCAACAGGTTTCTTCTGTGTCTCGCCGCACTTTCCTGACCTCCGCCGTCCGTCAGGGTATGTGATCCCTCCCTGGTCTTGCCATCGGCGATTCTGGAGACCCAATACAAGGTCTCGGACTCCCGGTGGTCGTTGTCCCGTCCGCGGATGGCCTTCCCCTTGCCAGTACTCTGACCGTTCTCCAGCCGACCCCGTTCAGGAGCTGTACCTCCGCGAGCTCCGCGCCTACAAGCCCACCCCCGTCAAGCCCGGTGACGCTGAGGCTCACGTCCAGAAGTTCTCCGCCCCCGCTGCTCCCAAGTCGCCCGAGGAGGCCAACCTCGCCAATGAGCTGAAGTCCTACGAGAGCCAGGAGGTCGAGGTTGAGGGCCAGGCCGCCGCCGGCGAGGCCGCCCCCGCCGAGGAGAGCTGGTTCGAGGAGGAGGAGGAAGAGGCTCCTGCTGCTCACTAGGTTTATTTTCCTGTCCTACTGGCAAGGTCTGGGGAAAACGTCGGGACTTTTAGGAACATGGGTTTGAGACCAGACGACGTCTCCCATCGGCCTTTTCAAAAGTCCCGAGGAACTTTGTAAATTAAACCTACTTTGGAGGATATGAAATTTTCTTTTCTCGTATACCTATGATGATTCTGTTTTATGTCTTCTGTTTGAATTTATGTGCAGTTCACCGTAGAGCCGGAGTCCAGCAGACGAGACGGACGCAAGGATTGGCGAGGCGGGAGAGCGGGATTGATATATCCGACCGAGTCGCATCAACTTCCCATCCAGAAATCCCTCCCCAATCCCATCCACGCCAACAAAAAAAAAAAAAGAAAGAAAGAAAGAAAGGAAGGAAGAGAAAAACAACGGGAGGAGGAGAAAACCATCGACGGGCAGAAACGAAAGGATGCTCTGCAATGATGACATCGCCGTGTGACCGGTGGACTTCCCCAGGCCATTTTTAGCCACCGCACATGGATTCCTTCCAGCGTTGGCTCCGGTCCCGGCCTTGAAGCCCATGTCGATTGTCCATCCTGGTTCACTGCTCCTGTCGAACCATCGAAATCTTTCTCGGTTGAACTCCACAGGATAAGACTGCCTGCTGCACCCCCCGAGTGGAAATTGGAGGCGCTTCGAACCTGGAGGTGGAATATGACAGCTCCAAAAGCATCGCCAGACCGCCAACCTCAGGCGTGGGAATTTCCGTGCAATTCGGTCAGATTCCTCGAGAATCTTAAGCTTCGGTATTTTATCGACGCTGCAGAGGTGATCCGTGGAGGACATTGCTCCCAGGACTGACTCGGGCGAGCCGAAGGCGGCTGAGACCAGAATCCCCCCCCGATCGTCATTGTTTATGCCGTCAGCGTGGAATGCGGCGGTTGTTTCCCGGTGCACGAAGGATACACAAGAAGTATGCTATTATTTGATCGTACGACATTCCCAGGAATCGGACTCGCGGGATTTGCCACTGGCGACCCGGTCCGTCGACAAGATTCCACCCGTTCGTTCCTGTCTCCGAAGGGGGGAACTATACTACGTATGCCGGGCACCAAACTGCTGGATGACGGGTCTCTGGCGTGACGAGCTCGCTCACGGAGGTCCATGTCACTGGCTACCTGGTGGTATCGGCGGAGATACGTGCATGGGCTGCAGACAATTGGCAGGATGACGGATCAGAATGGATCAGGTCGCGTTGCATGAAACCATCAACCGATAGTCCGCGAGATAGGAGGGCCGTGAGGGAAGGAGAAAAAAAAAAAAAGAAAAAGAAAAAGAAAAAAGATCCCAACCCAGGTACACAGTACATTGGAAGGACCTCCAACGTCGACAGGTTGGTGTAGGAATCCTGCTCGTATAGAGTTAATTACCAAGTATTGGCGGTCCTTGCATCTTCAGGCTGGTCAGCCACCGGCAGGGGATCCGAGCCAAGCGAGAGAAAAGTCTCAATCAAGCGATTTGATTCCGGTCGAAAGCCAGGATCGGATCGCCAGGATTCCGAGGTGGTGTTGCATGCAGGATGATGGCGACCGAGCAGAAGGCATTGCGACGACGATGATTTGTACTCGACGGCTGGGAGACGCGGTGCAGCGCGATGACGGTTGAGCTGGTGGAACGAGCATTGAGTTCATAGACTTCAGGTCTATCTACTCTGTCCTAGACTGGCTATACTCCTATACTCCTATACTGTGTATCTGTATACTGCTACTGTGTATACTAAGAAAGAACTACTAGGAGGTAAGATAGCGAACCGTACGGTAATTACCCGCCGGTTTTTCTCCCTTTTCCTCTTTCCTTTTCTCTTCCTCTTCCTCTCTTTCTCTTTCTCTCTCTCTCTCTCTCTCTCTCTCTCCTGGTCACCTTCGCCCTGCATTTCCATCGTCTCATCCTCAATTCCCAGGAGAGAGAGGGAGACCAAGAGAGTGAGCGAGCGAGAGAGCGAGGGCAAAGAATCTCTTCCTCCTTCCTTCCCAGCTTCCCAGCCCTTTCGTTACGTCGGAATTTCCTCCGTCCGTCGATCAAACATACGCCTTCCTTTCATTCGCTGCTAACGATCATCCCTCGTCTGGGGTATATCTTAAGGGTCCCGACTAAGATCGCTTCGATTATTGGGTTGTCAGCTTCAGCTCCTCCGTTAGCCAGCATTGACGTGGTCGCTTGCCATTCCTCCCCCTTATAGAAACATCCCTTTCCACGCCCGTCCCCCCCGGCGGATTCTTTTTCCCTCGCTCCTCCAGCGGCCTCTCCATCGACCCTCGCACATGCTTTAATTGTTCCCCTCCGGTCGTCCTCGAATATCATCTTACATGGAGGAGCTGGTCTCTCCATCGCCCATTTCACCTGCTATCCACTCCCGGCTGGGGGAGATGTCCATCTCGCCAGGGCGCCCCCTTCTCGTGGATCTATAGTCCCGCATTGACAACTGTCGACCATGTCTTCGATTTACCCCGAAGCCGTCAACTGCCAGCAAGATGAGCAAGCCTTTCTATCCCGTGCCGCCAGCTACAACCATCTTCCCGACCTGGCCGCCGCCGAGTCCTGCCCTCCCAGCCTTCGAAGGACCTTTTCCGATCTGACATATCCAAACCATTCCGATTCGCCGTCCAAGGAGGATGTGGCGGCCGGGAAAGACATCTTGCGACGCACCTCCCTTCGTTCGAAAGAGAAGACCACCATTGCCGTCTCTCGGTTTACCGTGTCGAGCGAGGACTTGACCAACCCCGTGGACGGAGAACCCCTGGACCCTCCCGCCAAATCCCCGGAATCCTCGTTCCCAGAGACGCCGCCTGTTGCGGAGGCGCAGACCGCCGAGACACAGCCTCCAGAGGTGCAACAGGTCTCGGAGACGCCAGCAGCTCCGGAACCCGTCACCCGCCCCTCCAAGGCGCGCTCGATGTCCGGCAGGCTCGCCAATTTGGCCCGGAAACCTTGGACGTCCAGCTCGGGGTATCGCTCGCCCGCGCCGTCCGCAAAAAACGCTCGAGTTAAGGCCTTGCGCACCGAGGATCCGTCGTCACCAAGCTCGCAACCGTCATCTCCAAAGACAAGCACTCAGCTCGATTCCGCCCCGGCACCCGATCCCGGCACCCCTTCTCGCAAGCGAACCATTCTGAACAAGCGCCCTCGGCGTCCGACGGTAGCGGTCGTGACGCAGAGCCGGGGGGACAGCCCCAGCACCCCTAGCAGTCCGTCGCCTCATCCGCTGGCGACGAAGACATCGCTTGAACGGCTCACCGCCTCCTTGAATGTGTCCACTCCGGTGCTTCCCCCCATGCCCAAGTTGCCGCCCTCGGTCGCCCACGCCCACGCGGGCATTGATGTTCCGCGGAAAAAGGACGAGCTCTGGGCGGTCTTCCGTGGCCTCGAGGCGGATTTCCAAAAGTAAGTGCCGACAAAGTGCGGGCGGGCCGAAAGAATGACGGACGCCATTGCAAGCACACCATTCGCTAACCAGGTGCAGATTTCAAGCCAAGTCCAGTGCTTTGAAAGCCAATGTCATTCGCTCATCACTTCTTCCCTTTCTTAATCGTAATCATTCAAATCCATCCTATAAATCTCTACGGCCCGAAGACCTGGATCGTCGGGTGAACATACTCAACAAGTGGTGGACGGGACTACTGGAGATGCTCAATGGCAAACACAATCAATCCATCTCAGGAACGGACCGGCCGGTCTATCTCGAGGCTGTGGTTGGGATTATGACCCGACCAGAATGGAGGATTCCATTTCCCGTCCCCCCGTCCGACGGACGGTCGCCCAAACCGCTGCAACACGCCTCGACGTCCATATCCGAGAGCTCGGAAGGCTCGTCGGGCTCCGACTTCCTCGTCGAATCAATCCATCACAACATCCGGAACATATTCACGCAAAACCTACTCTCTCAGATGTCTTTCGTGGTGGAGCGGATGTCCATGAGACACGCCCCCGCCAGCCTGGTGGCTTTTTGCGGCAAAGCCTGCGCCTATGCCTTCTTCTTCTGCCCCGGCGTCGCGGATGTCCTGGTGCGATTGTGGAACACGCCGCCCAGCGTCTTTCGGCGGATTTTTGCCCAGTCAAATGTCGACCGAAGCAGCGCGACGCGCGCGTTCACCCAGGACCTTGCATTGAACTTCCCCCTGGCTCTGCGACCGTTGGCTTTCCATGCACACACACATTTGGTCCGATATCTGCGACAGAAGCCCGACGTGCCTCTGAGCACGGCTCAGTTGCCATGGCAGAGCCCCTGGGTCTCTCGGTGGTGTGGTCGTGACTCGGATCTATTCTTCGTTTTCATCAAGTATATACACATCTTGTATGCCGATGCCTTGCCTTCCGATATCGATAAAGGGCAGCGGCTTTTGGCGCCGGGATTGCTTCCGGTTCACTCCCAACTTCTTGTCGTGCTCGAAGACACTTTGTACAAACAGTCCATCCCGCAAGCGCCGGAGAACACGCACACTGCCGCTGCTATTACGTTCGACGATTTTATCGAAGGGGCCGATGCGGCCGTCTCGGCTCTTCCTCTGGGAGGGGCGAACAGCCACCGTTCAATGGCCGAGAATCGCTTGGTCATTCTCCTTCGAGACTTCCTCTCCGAGTCTTCTGTCGAACCGAAGCAGGCCCGGCTTTTGTATGCGGAATCGTTCTCCACCATCATGAAAACGGCGGCTCAGATGACGTCGCTCTTTGACCATAATGCATGCTTCTTGCTGTGTGACTTTGTTGAAGAAATCGTCCCCATCATGACTCGTTACTCGCGCACCTCGACTGAACCCGATATTTTTGACTGGAATTTCTGGTTGCAGGTTTGCAAGCAGATGGTTCAAAGCCACAATTCACTGACCGAGGTGCGGGTATTCTCGTTCCTCTTCGCCATCTGGGGCCCGTGGACTGCTTCTGAAGAGCGAAAGAGTGATCTCTGCCTTGGCTTTCTCTTGCATGAGCCTTTGTTTTTCCATTATTTCAATCACTGGAGTCCGATGGTTCGTGCCTATTTCCATCGTCTGGTGTGTTGGAGGCTGGGGCGATTTAATGGAGACCCGAGTCCTCTTGATTCGTAAGTATACCCATCTGTCCATGGAAGGGTGAGCTGCTAATCACAATCCTTGACAGGAAAATTTACGAGACGCTCTCGGGTCGACTGCATCGGATTTGGCGATATTTTCTTGCATTCCAAGCCGAAGCCGAAGAATCGATGGCCGCGCCGCTGTCTTCTGCTCCCTGTACACCAGCACCGGGGCGTAGGATCATTATCATCCGATGTGACAATCCTTTGTCTCCAGCAAATCTATTTGTATCTTTCGACCGTGTGGTCCCTCCTGTCCCTGCCGAGCAGAACATATCCATCAACAACAGCTTACCAAAGACCGCCGAACCCACGCCAGCTCCTGAAATCCCTCCGCCCCCAAAGAAACGATGGAATCTCCTAAAAGCCATGTTTGGTGCATCATCGAGCACTAAATCTAGCGGAGATACTTCGCCGACGAGCAGTTCCGATGAGTCTGACACCAGTGGATCTGACACCACCGTGACGGCCGACAAGTGCTTGGATGGCCACTGGCGCCCCCAAAATAGCTCAGGGGAGCTCGCTCGGCCCAAAACCGCCCACCAGCCTTACTCCTTCAAATTTTCTCTCGAGTGGATGGATCGACCCCAATGGCCCAGTCGGAACAAGCGTCTGTACAGTCCCTGTATCCCAGTTGCAGCTCAGCTACACCTACAACTCCGGAACTCAACGGCCAAATCCGACGACTCTGAATCGACCTCCGATTCCGCATCCGCCAGACAAGCCGAGGACGAATCAAAGACGGTGGACGACAACGTCAGGGCCGAATCGGACTCGGCTTCGGCATCTGAAAAAGCAACCGGCGAGCCAGACCTGAAGCTTGCGCTCAAGGATACTCTCGTGGCAAGCAAGTACGCGGGCCGTGCTCTTGCCGAGTGGGCACAAATTGTGTCCGAATGCGACAGTTTCTTTTCTCGCAGGCGTGATGAAGGTGTTCCTTGCGATCGAATGGTCGAAACCCCAACGCTGGGCGTGGAGAGTTTCAGGAAGTGAGTCTTGGCTGACGGTTGATGCTGTTTCTGCGTCGCAATACACCTTTTGTCCTTTCCGGGGATATAACGACATTTCTGGATTTTGCTTAGACCACATAGATCGTTTGTTTCCATTGGGTATGGGGGCCTCCATGGCGTTTATTGTCTTCTTACTTTCCGCTATCTCTTTTCCCGTTCCCTTTTCTCTTGTTCCCTTTTATCTTAATTCTCTCATCTCGTTGGTCTTTTTACAAATACTCGGGACGGGGTGGCGTTTTCTTTTCTTCTCATTTTTCCCTTCAATCATTCTCGGAAAGGACAAAGGGGGTATTTGCATTATTCTAATTTCTCTTTCTCCTGATTTTTTCGTCTCCTTCCACTGGCTCTTTCTCTTTTCTCTTTCCTTGAGCCCGTCTCTCTGACCGGATGTTCTTGTATATATACACCTTCGCGTCTGATACCTACATATAGCGGCGCATGGACAAGGGTCCTACTTTCTCCATCAATTGATCTCTTCATATCTAGGGGTTTTGGAGCTATGGCTGGTCTTTCTTCTTTTTCATCTCCCATTCTTTCGCGAAACAACTATTACTGAATGGCCGTTTCATTTCTCCATCTGAGGCCTGGTATCAATGTTTCTGCACAGGCATACTCTGCATGTACTGTAGATTATTCTACTGTTTTGTTGGATTAAAATAGGATCGAACTAAATTACGTCATTTCTGTTCTAAAGTCATCTGGTTTGAGCAAAGCGATTACATATAGGTAGGCCGTCTCTTAATCGGAAACCAAAAAAAAAAAAAAAAAAAAAAAAAAAAAATATGATTTCTATCTATTCCATAGATTTCAAAGCACTGACTGGCTCTATTCTAAGTAAACAATGCAATATCTTTCTAATCCAATCGACAAATATCTAACGAATCGTAGGTAGACAGAAAGGTCCAGGTTAAACGGACAGAGATTCTGATCGGTAGCATTCAAAGGATGTACTTGTGCCGAGTACATTGCCTTGCATTCTCTTCTTCATCCTTAGAGATCAATATCAATACATCAGGAAAGGCCGAATGGGATCATCATTAGGAACGGAACTGATAAGAGAAATCATCGACGCCAACGTCAAAGTCAAACAAAGAATAGATCCGAGTCGGACGAGAGGACAGGGGAAAGACGTAGAAACACCCAGGAATAGAAGTACGGAAGTGAAGAACGGTTGACAAAGAAATAGATAGATAGACACAGATGCATATGGATATAACACACGAAAAGAGATCAAGGGACATTGGAAGGTCTCGATATCGAACCGATCACCCCTTTTTGGTAAGGCATACACAAACGAAATGGGATCATCGCTGTAGAACATAAACACAGGTAAAAGAAAAAAAAAAAAAAAAAAAAAAAAACCGGGGATTGGGTGCTTGGAATGGGTCAATACGCATAACGTAGGGTCTAAGAACGACGGGGTGGTCTAAAAGGATTTTTGTGGGTGCTGGGAAATCAAGTAGATGTTTGTACGGCGGAAGGATTGTTTTTTCAGCCATTAAAAAAAGAAGAAGAAAAGATTGATATGTCCAGTCAGAAGAGTATATCAAAAAGAAAAGAAAAAGGGCCGTTAAGGTCAGTTGTGGAATAGTTGGTCGCTCGCGTTATGTAGGATGTCCGCAACTCGGTCCACCCATTCCTGGGTTTGGGTCCAGTTGCCTGAATCGATGCTGTCCCGAATAGCCGGAAAGAAGGTAGGATCGTAGCCAGACCACAGTTGAGGCCCAAAAATAACGTGCTTGAATTGTGTCCGGTTGGGTACCTGAAACGCAAAAAGATTAGAAACCTGCAACAATTCCATTTTATAGGGGGTCCAGAGGTTACTTACTCCGCCATCCTCCCGATCATCCAAAAGATGGGTTTCAAAGGCAGCCATGCGGGCATTATAAGACATCCGTTGGATAGCCATCACGTTGTTTTCAAACCCCCCGGATCCCCAGACTGCGTCGTGCCACACCTGAGCCCATTTTTGGAACCTGGCAGCGTCGTCCTGGAATTTCGCGGCAGCGTCGTACAGAGCCTTGAAAGTGACCGAGACATCCCGGCCGGCTTTATCGTTGTGAGCAATTGGAACCTTCTTGGATTTCGCGTAGGTTTCCAAGTCCGTAACATAGACGGCGATGCGCTCCGCGTAAATCTCCAAATCGAAGGGCAGGATCGGGTTGTCCGCGAACTGGAGGAGCAACAAACCCCAAAACTGGCCCAAGCTCTTGTGATACCGGAATCCTGGGTCTCCAAACTTCGTCATCCAGTCCCAGTTCTCGTAGCAGCTGTGGTAAGGGAATGGTTGGCCGGTGAATCCGAAATCCACACTGGATGTTCCAGCTATGTCCTGGAAAGCAACGTAGTCACTACCAGAGCCCAGCGGGGCCAAACGTTTCTGCTTCTTCTCCCAGATGTCTTTCAGCGTCTCGTTGGTTACTGGGTCCGAAATGCGGCCGAGGATCTGCATAACAACACGCTCGAAAACCGGACATCCTGCGGCCTCGAAGTCCTGACCCCCGACACCGACATCGACGTTGATGTAGGCATATGCATTATCACGCAAGATCTCCAATTCCTTTTCGACGTGCTCCGTGGAGCCGATGATGTTGTACTCCTCTGCATCCCAGCTGACGAACTCAATTGTACGTAACGGGCGCCACCCCAGTTCGAGGAGCTCGCCGAACACGCGAACAAGCTCGAGGAAGACGGCTGTGCCACTTCCCGGGTCGGCGCTTCCTACGCACCATGAATCCCGGTGATTGCCGACGATGATTTTCTTTTCCGGTTGCTCGAGACCAACAATCCTTCCGAACACATTGTAGATTGGTTGTCTTTCTACCTCGTCCTGCAAATTCACGAGGTTGACGGTGGGTGAATCATCATTTCCGGTCCACCATTGATCAACCTTTGGCACACCACCGACCCATTTCTTAGGCACTTTTGAACCATGGCCTTTGAGGGCCTGTAAGAGTTTCTGGGCATCGCGCCAGGCCAGCGGCAAGCTCGGAATGCCCGTTAAACCCGCGCTTTCCTCCGGCTTAAGTCTCTTGGACTCATCGGGCGTGGATGCAAAGCCTGGAGACAAGACGTCTCCGACAACCCACGACATTAAACTTACACCGCCTCTTTGCACGCCGTCTGCCGGCATATATCGTCCCTCCGGAAATGCGGGGCCGCGCACGAAGCCGTCCTCTGACGGATCCGAGTAGATAATGCAGCCGACGGCGCCGGCTAGTTCAGCGGCCTTGATTTTCAGAGCGCGATCGGTTTCCGACCCGTAATATCGAACCAGTGCTATGGAGCCATTCACAGAAACCCCCTTGTCTGCAAGATATTGGAAGTCTTCTTTGGAACCGTAGTTCGCATACACGAGAGGCCCAGTGACATTCCCCGATTTCGAGTGGCCATGGAAGACCAGGGTTTTTTGGTTCTTATCTTTGATGTCTTCTTCAAGGGCGGCTTCCCAAGCCAGGTCTGGGGGGTCGACAATGGCAACCCTTCTTCCGTCCGAGGTGGGATAGTTGAGGTACACTTGAAACTCCTCCATTTCGATCTCATCCAGCCCGGCGTTCCGGAACTCTTGTTCGATCCATTCCGCCAGCACGTAGCTTCCTTCGGTACCAGCCATGTGAGGAAACTTCGTGACCCTTCTCAAGTTCTCGGCAATGTTTGTTTCATTGATATGGCCCTGGATGAAATTCTCCACGGACGCCGCACTGTAGGACTGTCCCATGATGAATCGGGTGTTCATGTTAAAGATGTCGGACACAAAGAACACATAAACGACGGTTACGACTAGCAGCAGACCGAAGACGCGTAGCATGATCATGCACCCGTGGTTTTGCATCGTCGAGCGAGCGGTGTCGAGATTGATCGTAAAGCGGAAGCTGGGTAGGTATCGACGCAGCGGGAGGTGTATCGAGGATAGGGTACGAGTCAGACTGTTGAACCGTTTCGAGAATTGGGAGCGCAATCTGGAGTGTCGAGTTGGCCGTTGATTTGGGTCCTCCACGTCCATCTGAGCGAGTTCCCGCTGCAGGTCTTCAAGAGAGCCTCTTTCCGACCCCGGGGCCGACGATTCGAGGTCGTCAACACTATTCCGAGCGGATTCGACGGTTGGGGGATGGTAGCCATGGAACCGGGATCGGTTCCCCTCATGTGTCGTGGTAGCATCGGCATCGTGGAGCAAGCCTTGTCTTTCGGCGTAGCTGCTAGGTTCATCGGGGTCTTGTTCGGATCGCGACGACCCTGGGCGAGAGGCAGTAGCCTCGTCGTAGGTGGGGATTGGGAGAGCTTCGTATTGGATTTTATTATCGTTGCCCATGGTGGCAGGTTCGGGGCTCCGGGGAGCCGTGCGAGTTGGACACAGTCACAGATACCGGACTAAGCGGGATCATGGTCTGGAAAGGAAAGGAGTGACAGTCGCAGACATGCTCCCCGATTGGAGGGAAGATCAAATCGACCGAAAAGGGCGGCAGAAAGAAGGGGAGTTCAGGGGAGGGGGTGGATGGCGAGAGGGGGCCGAACAGGGCGAGTCCGGGCAAAAAGGAGTGAGGTTATCGAAGCGTCGCAGGCGGCGTTGCTTTTCCCCAGACCGTCAGGGCACACGCGTGGCGCAGGCCGGACAAGAAAACGACCCACGCTCGGCACTCTGATAGTAAGGAATAGTAAGCAGGCAGAAGGGTTTTGGTGCGTCCATGGCTGCCAGTCTCTCATCCACCGTCGAGATGCAGGTCCGAGTCTCCCGGCATGATGGAGATGAGAATCCCGGATGACAGATGGGATTGCATTGACAGAATGGAGAAAAGTCCCCGCGAACTCGAATGCTTGGAGGATGAAAAAAGAAAAGAAGGAAAGAAAGACTGGAAAATGGAGAAACGAAGAAAAGGCGGACCGTGACGGGTTTCGGTATTCATACGGCGATTACCGTTACATACCTCGGGTGCCCCTGGTGGTACCGCCACAGATACTCGGTCGCCCACGACAGATTGCCCGTGGATGCAGGTACTCCTGGCTCTCTGACATTACTAGGCTGCTGTCAGGTACTGTCATAACGCCCTGTCAGCGGGAGCTCAACGCACATCAGCCACAGACGATCGGTTGATCGTCTGCCACTTTCTTCGAACAACTTGATGAAGATAATGTCAGATGTTGGTTTTCTTCCTTCGTCGCTCATGAATATGGACTACGTGCATTGGATCAAATTCTTCCGGCGAGGAAATTGCACCGTACCTGCGATGGCCGTGATATATATCGGGTCTCTACCTCGCCCAATACTCCAGGAACTATAGGTTATATATTTTATATATTCTGTGCGACACCCATTTCTCTCGAATATCCGACATCAAGTGGGCGAGTGTCTCTTTCTCCCATGAAACCATGAAACCATGAAACCCCAAAATCATCCGATGACTCCCGGGACAACGCCTTTGCCGGATCAGCTGTTTGACGGCGACGACAGCCGAACGGAAGCGAGACACACAATCCTCTACTCGGACCGTTAACACCCAGAGACAGTGGAGTTTCTGACGACTCTGCATACTTCGTAGTCCACCCTCGACTAATCCAAGTCCAAGTGTGGGATGGGCAAGACGAATAGGAATTCACCTCGCATTCCACCCTCGGGATCGGATACCACAAAAGGCTTTGGCAGAGATCGGTTCTTTCCGTCACGGAGAGACACGCGAGGAGGGGCTATCGTCATCCATAATCAGTTAATTCCAGGCCGTCCTCGGGGCTTCCTCGTAGGGAGAGGCATCCACTGAGATCCCTGTTCCAGACGAAGTTCTCGGCAAACTGGAGCCCTTTGGTCCTGGTTTCGTCCGTAGAGATCCACATGATAAGATTGATTAATCCTGGAATGGATTTTTTTTTACTGTTACGACAGTCTCGCCGGGTTGCATTGCAGTTTTACAGAGTGGATAATATTATCTAAAAATGACCTTGGAGGAGGGGCTCGTTGATATGAAGAGATGAGGGAGTTGGGAACGCACCACCCGATATCGCAGTTCGGAGGATAACCCTGTCGTGATGTAGTGGTAGCCAAGTATTGTGGATGATCTTTTTTCATTCTCATTTTCATTTCTATTTTATTTATTTTATTTTATTTTATTTTATTTATTATTATTATTATTATTTTTTTTTTTTTGCCTCCTTGTTCTGACTTGCATTCTCTGCTGAATGTCAGCTTCGGCCGACAGTCAGTCTGTTTTAGTAGTTCGACACGAGGACCAGAAAGCCATGTTAGCATCATTCATGGTGACGACGAGGATCCATGGAAGTAACTATGCGTATGTCATGCAAGAGGAATCGAATACGAAGGATGAAATCATTGACGCCGGATTTCTAATGCGGTATCTTTTGATCACGTTTGCATGGAAATCCATGCAGTATGTAGATGTATGCCGGCATGTTTGGGTGGAAGCACAGAAGTCCTGTCCTACGCGGTCAATCCACCGTGATTGGGGGTTGACGAGGCCCCAACGGTCATTCCGAATGAGCATTCCAAGCCCATGATTTGGTGTATCTCGTTGTTTTTGGCCTTCCTCCAAGTCGAAACCGAAGTATCGCATCCCGGCAGGTCGCGACAGGACGATGGCACCATCACGAGCAAGTCGAGTTGCACGAAGAGTCGGTGAGGTCAGACCGGAGGACGCAGGCAGGCGTAAAGGAAAAAAGGGGCCGAGAGAATGCAGTCAGGGGCATCCAGACAGCGCAACGCGACGAAATTGTCTCATAGAAGGGCACTCTAGTATGTAGAGTACGGTGTACATTATATCCTGGAGAAGCAGTGGGGAATTTTCATCTGTTGATCCGCTCGAGTCACGATGGCCGGATGGAGCTATTCCCTGTTTGGTCGTGGCGCTAACCTGCCCCGGCCTAGCGTCCACACCTCAGGCTGCCGCCGCCTGAAAGTTGCCTGAGTTTGAACTTTGAACAATAAAAAAATTAAAAAAAGGGACCCGCAGAGGGAGACTAGCCGATAACGAACCAGCTTCCTTCACGTTGGTTGATTATATCTACACCTCGCTCTCGCCGCTCCGGTCCTCCCCTCTCGCTCTCTTTTTTCTCTCTCTCTTCCTCTCTCCCTCTCTCTTCCATTCTTCCCTCTTCTCATCCTCTTTCTCCCGTCCTAAGTCCCGTCGGATTCCCACAATTCCCTTTCTTCTTCCTGATACCCCTCGGTCATTCTTCCGCCCCTCTATTCTACCACGTCTCCCCCCCCCTGATCACACCGCCACTATGTCTGCTCGTCCCCAGAACATTGGTATCAAGGCCATCGAGGTCTACTTCCCCAGTCAGGTATGCTCTCCGTGGACGTGGACTCGCTCAATGCCTCCTCGAGAACAATAACAAAGAAACCCAAGTGGGGTTCGGGGCTAACGATTGTTCGCAGTGTGTTGACCAGTCCGACCTGGAGAAGTTCGATGGCGTGAGCGAGGGCAAATACACAATTGGTCTGGGTCAGACCAAGATGAGCTTCTGTGATGACCGTGAGGGTACGTTGGCTGTCAAAGTGTCTTACTGGCATTTGGATCACTTGTTTTCTTTCTTCCCTTCTTTTTTGTTTTAGTTTTGATTTTTAGTTTCTCGTCCTTCGGAGCCCACCATACTAACTGTCGCCTCCAACAGACATCTACTCCATGGCCCTGACCACCCTCTCCTCCCTCATCAGCAAATACAACATTGACAAGAACAACGTTGGCCGCCTGGAAGTGGGTACCGAGACCCTGCTGGACAAGTCCAAGTCCGTCAAGTCGGTCCTGATGCAGCTCTTTGCTCCCGACAACACCAACATCGAGGGCATTGACACCGTCAACGCTTGCTACGGTGGCACCAACGCTGTTTTCAACAGCATCAACTGGGTCGAGTCCTCCGCCTGGGACGGCAGAGATGCCATCGTGGTTTGCGGTGATATTGCCCTGTACGCCAAGGGTGCTGCTCGCCCCACTGGTGGTGCCGGCTGCGTTGCCATGCTGATCGGCCCTGACGCCCCTATTGTCTTCGAGCCCGGTCTCCGTGGCAGCTACATCACCCACGCCTACGACTTCTTCAAGCCGGACCTGACCAGCGAGTACCCCGTCGTTGACGGCCAGTTCTCGCTCAAGTGCTACACCGAGGCCGTCGATGCCTGCTACAAGGCCTACGACGCCCGCGAGAAGACTCTCCAGGAGAAGGCCCAGAACGGCAGCAACGGCACGGCCCAGGACGACAGCAAGACCCCCCTGGACCGATTTGACTACATTCTTTACCACGCTCCCACCTGCAAGCTGGTCCAGAAGTCGTTCGGCCGCATGCTGTACAACGACTACCTCGCCAACCCCTCCCACCCTGCCTTCGCCGAGGTCGCCGCCGAGCTGCGTGACCTGACCTACGACCAGTCCCTGACCGACAAGAACGTCGAGAAGACCTTCATGGGTCTGACCAAGAAGCGTTACGCCGAGCGTGTGCGCCCCGGTCTGGACGTGGCCACCCTGTGCGGTAACATGTACACCGCTACCGTCTACGCCGGTCTGGCCAGCTTGATCTCCAACGTTTCGTTTGATCCCGCCGAGGCCAAGCGTGTTGGAATCTTCTCCTACGGCAGCGGTCTTGCCGCCTCCATGTACAGCGCCAAGATTGTCGGCGACGTGTCCTACATGGTCGAGAAGCTCGACCTTCACAACCGCCTCAACGGCAGAACCGTTCTGCCTCCTCAGGCTTATGATGATGTAAGAAAACCCGTTGCCCCCGCCATGATTGGTGCCCTTTGACTAACGTACGATTAGATGTGTGTCCTTCGTGAGCATGCTCACCTGAAGAAGAACTTCAAGCCCTCTGGCAAGACGGAGACGCTTTACCCCAACACCTACTACCTCTCCGAGGTGGATGACATGTTCCGACGCCAGTACGAAGTCAAGGCCTAAATTGCGCCTGGCGCCTAACGGACCTTGCTCTTTTTTTCTTTGCTTTTTGTCTTGGACCCAACCGGGTCTCTTTTTAGACGGTTCATTAGACTTCCTCGGCACCCAGAGCTTAAGATTCCCGTACAGAATTCAAGTCTGGTGTGATGATGGTTTCTGCTTGCCTTTGCATTGTCTGGGCTTTCGGGGATTGGTATCTCCTATACAGGGAGGAATGATGACGATGATGATGCTCTTTAGATTTAAGGTGGCGCTGGAATGCTTCCGGATTCCCAAGAAGAACTTTCGATTTCTTTTTCTTTTTCTTTTATTGATATTAATCTAATTAATCAAATACATGATTTCACTGTCCATATGATAGCATCTGCTTGTTCCATACATCGTACATACATCGTAACGTGCAGTCCGGGCTGCTGACTTAAGCCATGGCGCCGGAACCCTCTTTCTAACTTGTTCTTCAACGTCAGTAAACCTCACCACTCCGGTGGAACCGCCGCATGATACAAAGATAGATCCTGCAGAAAGTCAAGTCTGCTGCATAACTTAAAACAAACTATCCCGTTACTTTTATTTCAAAAATAGCACTGTCGCAGGTCGATTTGGATCATGTTCGTCCACTCCTTACCCGCCGAACCCTCTCTCTATCGTGCCATCACCCTGTTTAATTCTTCTTTTTTCTCCCCCTCTCGTCCAATCTGAAAAAGGTAGCGGATGGCGATCGAGCAATTTCCATCAGGCCCGATGCTGATTTGTCCGCTTCATCGAAGCCAAGCCTGCTGCAGGTTCTCAAAAATGAAGAACCACTCAGCGAGCCTGGCGCCCACCTGGGTCGTGCGAGCCGGCGCGTACTGCAGCCAACTTCATTTGCTCCGAGCTATCGGCATCATTCATTCAGAGAGGGTATTCTTAGGACGACTCGGGTTCTGAAACTACTGTGCCTGCTATTGTGGCCCTGGCGCTTGGTCAAACTCGCTTTCATTGGCCTGCACCCGCGCTTTCCTCATGCCTCTATTGCCGTTCCTTTTCGATCGTTGGCGCCGCGAAATGCAATCACTTTTCTTTCCCCAGGGACCACATGCTGTGAAAGTATGCCAGTCATTGATGTTCCTCTTGCCGCCCATTGATAGACCTCCCAGGCGTGTCGCTTATGGGCGGAGCTCGAGATTAATTTAGCAACATTTGACCGAGAATAGCATGAAACGCGAGTGCTGCCGATTAAAGATCTTATTTTAGATCACAACGAACCATTTCCTAGACGGGGAAGGCCGTTGATCTCGATGAGATCTGAAGACTTGCAGAAGATGCAAATTTAGCAACATTTTGACGCGCGACTGTCAGATGAAACACTCATGCTGGCCCTCAATGGCTCTGAGAATCGTTTGTTTCGCGCATCATCCGAAGTGTCGGCAGCCCATATGTCGATTCCCTCTCGATTGCTCTGCTAGACACCCCGGGAGCTCGGCGGTTTGGCGTCAAGATGGAGCATAGCTCATGTTTCACGTTGTTGTCCCCTACTCCTGTCTATCGGCTATCTTTTTTTACTTCGGGGTCGTGTGGCTCCAGGCCTCAAGAACATTTAATATCCAAACAACCTCCGGTCTGGATATGCAAGAATTCCTCGTGGCAATCCATACAAGCAATGAACCGCCTGTGATTCCCTGTTCAAGTGCTGTGCAGTTGTTCTTTTCTTTACTCTTCTGTCTTCGTTCAATCCATCTATTGGCAAAGACCGTCTCTTTTCGCATACCACTGGAAGCTGGTTCTTCCAAGAAGGCATCGACCTGCAGCCCACTTCGACAGCCATTCCTCTTTGATCCCTTTTCTTCTATCACACAATTTTGTTTCATCACTATGTCTCCTCATTATTCCCACTACAGGCCAACCACCCCACCAGGTCTGCCAACGGGGGAGTATATCCGGACCGGTAGTCATAGCCGCAATGCCTCTGACTCGTCCATATACTCTAACGACTCGTCCCCATGGTCTGCGGTCACCTCGGCTACTAGCGCGAGTGATGACTCGCCTCCCCGGCATCACCATGGACCTACTCTACTCCCCAGGATCAGATCACAGGACGTGATCATCGAGCCGGCCCCCAGTGGTGGCCAGCAACGCCAACGTCGTGTCTTATCGAACACACGAAACCCGCCAGGCTTTCTTCCATATCCTCCCAGCCGTGCTTCGGGGCAGCGCAATGCTGGAGAGTCCGCAGCTCTGCTATCTCCGGTCTCGCCGATGTACAGCTCCTCTCACCACGGTTCGACATTGTCATCCCCCGTCAGTATCACGCCGTCGCACAAGCGTAAAACCTCCGGCGGGCACTCTCGCTCAGGTTCTTGCTCCAGTATCGACGAGGCCACTTTGAACCGATACGGCTATCCCACCTATCGGCAGCTTCCTAGATACTCGATACAACCGCAAGCGTCTCCTACAACGCCGGTCACGCCGATCACGCCCAATATCGTTGTGTACCCGCCATACTCGCAATGTTCCCCCAATGATACCGCGCAAGTCAGGGTTCGAACTTGTACCCAGGTGCCGCTGGTATTGCCCGCTTCTCCCTACGGCTACTCTCGAGTTCCGAGTGCCCAGAGTTCTCCCGTCGGATTTGTCCACCCGGACGAAGGACTGCACCCTCAATCCACCAATCTACTTTGCTATTTGACCGCACCAACGCAAGCTATTAACCTAGTGCGGAATGTGAGCGTGGTCCCTACCCGGGGGATGCATGATTACTTCTGGTGGGACATCCGGAATCTGCGCAGCTGGACCTCTTTTTCGCTGCACACCTTCAATTCTATCAGTGGCCTCACCAAACTTCTGAAAACCGCAATCTCTTCGCATCTGACGCCGCCGACAGCGGTCTCAAGCTCTCGTCTTGCGCCCGACTCCGAGGCCGCTTTGGTGAGCCTGATTCATGATTTGTACGCGCCTCGCGTGAACGCTGCTCTGGCTGTCTCCCAAGGGTCTGACCACTTGACACTCTACCCGGCCCCTGTCCCGCGCACCACTGCCAACAAAAACTACGGAGGGCCACATTTCCTCGCCAACTATGCCTCGGATAGGGAATGCACCAGCTCTGGCTTGCCTCGCGGACGGCTAGTTGGCATCGTCAAAACCTTCGACCGTTGGAATACCGGGATGCGCAACGAAGCGCCCCATCGGCGAGTCGAGTACCTCAATGGCTTGGCACATCTCCAACGGTGCATGCGCGAACACTCCTGCCGATATGGTTTCATCATTACCGAGATTGAGCTTGTTTGCGTACGAGCGGGGTGTGACGAAGGCGACGACGTGCCTTATTTTGGCTTCTTGGAGGTTTCTCCTCCGATTCCTACGAAGATTGCCGCAGGACGCGGTGCTAGAAACTCGAGAGCATCAGAACCCTACGCTCATTCTCCGACACCGTCCAGCGACAGCTCTTTGGCCAGCCAGTCTCCGCTGCTCGATGGAACCCCCGAGCCGACTCCGAGCGCTCTTGACATACCAATGACCGCCACTCTGGCGCTGTATTTCTTGTTGATGCTGTCCAAATCGGTTCCTTTGCCGTCCCAACCGTCAGCACACCTCAACGTTGGCGGACCGGGTGCACTGACGCGACAGCGTATTCTGCCGGAGGGAAAGGATAGCTGGATTCCACAACCGCAGATTGGCGAGCGCCGTGATGCAAAACGAGTGCGCGGCTGGGTATGGCCGCAAGATGCCTGGCATCGACGCGAGGGGGGAGGCGTTCCGCGCTCGCGAGCAGGGGAATCCAAACCAAAGAAGTGGCACAAATAATGTACGGAAAGGGAAATGAGAATGAAATCTTTTTTTTTTTTTTCATCTTACGTATTTCATGCTCTGTGGATAATTTTATTTGAAATAATAATTATAATGTTAAAAAGGTCCCCCGGAATAGACCTCTCGTACTACCCGTTTCCCCATAACGTTGAGAAGTATTTGGTATTAATGGTTTCAACCATCATACTCGCAAGGTAGGACATTAGGAATCGTTGCAGCCACTCCTGTATCAGATCTCCCCCAAGGTCCTCATGATGCAAATCGCCCGTGCACATGCATGGTTTCCATCTCGAACCACACCCAAGGACCTTGGGATCCGAGTACCCTGTGAGATAGGTATGATCATCGACTGGCATCATTGATCACCGTGCAAGCTATAAAAGATGCCGTGGATGATGACGCTTGGACATAAGTTGAATATTTATGCAACTCTCTACTATTACCAACATCTTCTAGTCTATCTGCACACTGTCCATTGTCCATTGTGACCCCATACACCGAAACATGGTCGGCCCTACAGTCCCAGCTTCATTCCCCGACCTCCTCGATGTGATTATCGTCGGCGCCGGGCCCTGCGGTCTCGCCGTTGCGGCTCGTTTGAACGAAGAGACGCCCTCCGCCATGTTCACCGATGAAGAGCATCAACGATACCACTGGATCAACAAACACAGCGGGCGGATGGCCCTGGTGCAGGCGCAACATCGGAAGAGGAAAGGGGTCAAGGCGGAGAAATGGCACGGCTTCGATGCCCGGCGCTCGAGCCAAAGCCATCATCGCTTCTCTGATAGTTCGGACGTGTCTTCCTCCTCGCCGCCGTTGTCGTCCTCGCCCCCGTCGTTGGCGTCGTCTGTCTCCTCGTCACCTGATATAGACCTTGATGATCCGCACACGGAGGGGGGACTGACTATGACGGTGCTGGATAGCACGGGTGATCGATGGATGGAGAAGTGGAACCGGGCGTTCAAGACGCTGGAGATCGAGCAGCTTCGCAGTCCCATGTTTTTTCACGTGGATCCAAGTGACCGGGACGGCATGCTGGCGTATACACAGGAGACGGGCCGGGACAAAGATCTCTGGGAGATCACCGGGTGCGTGGGGAAGGAGTTGAGCAAGCATAAGAAAAAGAAGAAGTTACAGTCGAAGTCACAGTGAGATGATTCCCTTTCGATCAAGACCCTGTCGGGTTAGCTTTGAGATCGCCGATGGCTAATGCAAAATGTGTAGGGTTATCGGGGAAGCGGAGATCGATGAACGAGATCGCAAGGACTACTTCTCTCCGTCGACTGGTCTCTTTTCGGATTACTGTGATAGCATCATATCGCGTTACGGACTCGGGAGTCCCGGGATGATTTCGCAGTGCGAAGTGGAGGATATCCGATACGATGTCCATCCGGAGCTGTCGCCCTCAGATAAGATATTCACTGTGACTACAGCCGACGGGAAGCAGCTCTATAGTCGGGCAGTCGTATTGGCTATTGGACCCGGTAGAACGAAAGTTTTTCCGTTCCAACTGACGAGGGAAGAGGAGCAAGGTGCCTGCCACAGCACCGAAATTCGATCCTTCCCAAGCCCCAGTGTCAGGCAGAAGATCCAGCAAAGGCAGCAAACCAACCTGGTAGTCGTTGGCGGAGGATTGTCCTCCGCCCAGATAGTGGATATGGCCATTCGCAAGGGGGTCAGCAAAGTGTGGTTCCTCATGAGATCGGACTTCAAAGGTAAGAGGACAAAACACGAAAGCTTCGCCTCATAGCCTGATGACAGCTAACCGGGTTTCACTTCCTCATCAGTCAAGCATTTCGACATCGGCTTATCCTGGATGGGCAAGTTCCGCAACTACGAGAAGGCAGCCTTCTGGTCGGCCGACACGGACGAGGAGCGCCTGGAGATGATCAAGACAGCGCGCAACGGAGGCAGCATCACGCCGCGGTACACGAAGATCCTGAAGCAGCATGCAGCGCGCCACCGGGTGTCCATCCATCCACGGACGGTGATCTGCGGCCGAGAGTTCTGCACCGCCTCGCAAACCTGGCGTCTCACGACCTATCCACCAATTCCGGACCTCCCTCGCATCGATTACATCTACTTCGCGACGGGCATGCAGGCGGACGTCAACGAGCTTCCGCTGCTGCAACGAATGAACCGCGAGTACCCGATCGAGAGCAAGCAGGGACTTCCGTGCATCACGGAGGACCTGATGTGGAAGCCCGACGTGCCACTGTTCTTGACGGGGCGCCTTGCTGCGCTCCGCTTGGGACCAGGAGCCCCCAACCTGGAGGGAGCGAGGCTGGGAGCCGAGCGAGTGGCATGGGGGATGGAGGAGGTGCTGGGCCGGAAGAAGACCGACGAGGACGAGACGAAGCGGTCGAAGGAATGCTTCTGTGGCTTGGGGAATCGGTATGCCGAGTTGGAAGAGGTGAGCTGGTAGTTGGGAGTTGGGAGTTGGTAGTTGGGAGGTTGGATAGCCCTAAGTTGGGACTGAATGGATATACGCAGTACTGCGGTAGAGAGGTGGATGCAGTACGAGTACGGGTATGCCTCTGTTCCGTACATGACATTACATACAGTACACATATACTAACAGCGCAATTCCGGTAATGATACCTGTTATACGCAGACCACACTGTAAATGACGATACCAGAACGATGCTGCCTGCGTCCGTCTCGTTCGTCGCCTTTTCTTTCCTTTCGCCTTCTTCTCTCTTCTTCTCTCCCCGTCAACTCCTTCTCTCTCCACTCCTCTTCATCTTATCTGACTTGCCCCATCTCATTGTCGCTTTAAACTTTCCAAGCCCCAATTCGCCTCCCCACCACCGATGTCAGTCGGCATCAGCTGGCCCGGTGGAGTTTGTTTCCTTCTGAGTATTCAATATTCATCAACTCAACCACCATGAGATAATTATGATGGATGAGACATCCATCTCCAGCCACAACGGCGGCGCCACTCCGCTGGCACGCGATGCAACCCAGTGGACCGCTGATCCAGCATGATCCAGGTCCCCATGGATTGGAAATCCAGGAATGATGGATGATTCCAGTATGATGGAAGAGCACCGCCACATTTTCAGCCGCAGAGGTGAGCCCTCGTGGTGGTGCGCCACAATCAGGGGCGACGTCAGTTTGAGGGCGATGAAGGCACTACGCAAAATAGCTTCGGCGCTTCACCCTTCAAAAGGGACCCAGAAAAAAGCATAATTGATTGCGTTTCCTCATTGGTGTATATGACGCAAATTAATCCCCATTGTGCACGACACGTTCTGGACTGCTTTCGGACTGGACGAATGAGGCGCAGCCGACCGCCAATTCGCCATCCATTCAACTTGGCGGCAAAAATCTCGACCAGCTCGCGACGTTGATCGGCTCTCCACCGCGCGATTGGCGGCGTCCAGCTGTGGGTTTGCTGCTTGCTGGCGCTGGAGCTCCCTGGCCGTCGCTTCGTTACCCGCCCTCGTTTCGCTATACGACAAACAGCCCGTCTCTAGTCGGCGCCTAAACGAGAGGTTGATGCTTCCACTCAGAGCTCGAGATGGCAAGAATAGTTGAGGGGGAGAAAAGCCCCACCCTGTTTTTTTCTTGGGTGAAGGAGGGTGAGAAAAAAAAAGATGTTCTCGACTCTCACCCCCTTTTGACTTTTCGGGGAGATTGTCTCCTCCGTAAGGAGGCTGTGCAGAGGGGGAAACGTCCCGGACATGTTACCCAAGTCTTTGGACCACTCAGGTTGGCGCTTAAGTCACTCACCTTCTCGCTTCCCCCCTCTTTCACTAGAGACAATGCAAGAGAGAGCCTGCAGAGTGACTCCGGTTTCTGGCGTGTCCGTATTCCCTCACTGGAACACTTGGCAGCTATCCGGTTTCGCCTGAACTGCGCCGACGAAAGGCGCAATCGAAAAAGGAACTTGGACCCGCAAATATTTATTATTCTTGTTTGAAATCGTCATGTTTTGGAAATAAAAAAAATAAAATAAAATACGATGAGAGGAAAAGGAATAACCTTTTTTCAACATACTAATCTCTTATGCGAGACTATCAGATTAGGCTGCCTAGGCATTTACACAGCCTCAAGAGCAACCGCCTAAAAGAACACGCACATGCCCTTAATTTTGAGGGATTTCTGATGCATACCTCCTATTAATGCTAATACTACCCTGGTCTCTCTCTCTTCCTATCAAATCACATTGTTGGTCGGTCGCATGATGCCGACCCCAGACGATTCTCGTCAGGAAGGCTTTTTGAATCCTTTTGCAGGGATTCCTGCCACAGAGGTATGTAAACCTGTGTCAGACCTGGTTCTGTCCGGCGGGAAATCCTGATATCGATGATACTCATACTCTGCCCAGCAGTCTTCCTCCCCCGATCTATGGCACACCGACATCTCTCCGATACAGCCGTCGCCGGCAGCAGATATGACTACCCTTGATACTAACCGGTTGACCGTCCAGCACGGTCCGCCGCGCACGTCGCACTCCTTAGATGGCGAGACGCTGCGCTCGCGGGCAGACTCGACTATCTCCAGCGCTGATACCGCTGTCCGATCAAGAGCGAACTCGGCAGCCACCACGGCCGTACCCAGCAACACGGCATACGACGATGTCTCGGTGGCCGACGCTCTGAACCCTGACCCCCGGAACGAGAAGGACTTCCAAGTGGGAAATAACAAGTTTGCCTTCTCGCCCGGCCAGCTCAACAAGATGCAGAATCCCAAGTCTCTCGCCGCCTTCCAAGCCCTGGGTGGCCTACGGGGTCTCGAACGAGGCCTGCGGACCGACCTCACCTCCGGTCTATCGATAGACGAGTCCCATCTGGAGGGGTTGGTCAGCTTTGATGAGGCAACCTCCCTTGAAAAGACCCCGGCCAAGCAACAACCTAGCCAGACCCTCGAGACGCCAACGGCGGATGCCGAATCTCAGTTTTACGACCGTTTGCGCGTCTTCAGTCAGAACAGACTGCCGGCTCGAAAGTCCACCGGCTTCCTGAAACTGCTATGGATGGCCTACAATGACAAGATCATCATCCTGCTTACTATTGCCGCCATCGTCTCGCTGTCACTAGGCATCTACGAGACAACCAGCTCCGGTTCTGGTGTCGACTGGATCGAAGGCGTTGCTATTTGCGTTGCCATCTTGATCGTGACCGTTGTTACCGCCGCCAATGACTGGCAAAAGGAACGACAGTTTGCCAAGCTCAACAAGCGAGTAAGTATCTCATCTTACTCTAGAGTCGTACATATCTAACCTTTGATAGAACAATGATCGTGAAGTCAAGGCTGTCCGTTCCGGCAAGGTGGCCATGATATCCATCTTCGACATCACCGTCGGCGATGTTCTTCACCTGGAACCTGGTGACTCCATCCCCGCGGACGGACTGCTCGTCTCGGGTCACGGTGTGAAATGTGACGAGTCCTCCGCTACGGGGGAGTCCGACCAGATGAAGAAGACCGATGGCCACGAGGTCTGGCGGCAGATCAACAACGGCACGGCCACGAAGAAGCTCGACCCCTTCATGATCTCGGGCAGCAAAGTGCTCGAAGGCGTGGGGACTTATGTCGTCACCAGTGTTGGACCCTACTCGACTTACGGGCGCATTTTGTTGTCGCTGCAAGAATCCAATGATCCTACCCCGTTGCAGGTTAAGCTGGGTAGGCTGGCTAATTGGATTGGATGGTTGGGATCTAGGTAAGAGATCTTCTTTCCAACTACCTTCTTTCCCCTTGCTAATAGCATCCGTTAGTGCCGCAATCATACTTTTCTTCGCCTTGTTAATTAGATTCCTTGTCAACCTCTCGCATGATCCCGCCAGTCCCGCCATCAAAGGAAAGGAGTTTGTCGATATCCTGATTGTCGCTGTCACTGTGATTGTGGTTGCAATCCCTGGTAAGTGATATTTTGTCAATTTACGAGTTTTACAACATACTGACCACGATCCAGAGGGTCTTCCGCTGGCCGTGACTCTTGCCCTCGCCTTTGCCACCACACGAATGGTCAAGGAAAACAATCTTGTTCGCGTCCTTCGGGCCTGTGAAACCATGGGCAACGCAACCGTCATCTGCTCGGACAAGACCGGCACTCTGACACAGAACAAAATGACAGTCGTTGCTGGAACCTTGGGGCCTCGCAGCTTCAGTTCTGGTACTGGGGAGGGCAACGCTAGTGCCGGCACGGTGGCCGAGACGCTCAAGCAGTGCTCGCCCAAGGCCCGCGATCTGATAGTCAAGAGCATCGCCCTCAACTCCACCGCTTTCGAGGAGGACAAAAGTGGCACTCGAGAGTTCATCGGCAGCAAGACCGAGGTGGCCCTGCTGCAACTGGCTAGAGATTATCTCGGCATGGACGTCACCGCCGAGCGGGCCTCGGCGGAGATTGTCCAGCTGATCCCCTTTGACTCAGCCCGCAAGTGTATGGGGGTTGTGTACAGGGAGCCGACTGTGGGCTATCGTCTTCTTGTGAAGGGAGCCGCGGAGATCATGGTCGGCTCTTGCTCGACCAAAGTGTCCGAGGTGGACGCAAAGGATGGCATCGCCGTCGATGGGTTCTCCACGGAGGACAGCCGAAGGATGCTTGATACCATCGAGTCCTATGCTGGCCAGTCTCTGCGGACCATTGGTCTTGTGTACCGCGACTTCCCAACCCTTTCCAGCTGGCCCCCCAAGGGTTTCCACATGGAGGATGATCCGGACTCGGCGCAGTTCGAAGAAATCTTTCGGGACATGACTTGGCTTGGGGTGGTCGGCATTCAGGACCCTCTCCGACCCGAGGTGCCCGCAGCCATCAACAAGTGCAATTCGGCCGGTGTGCAGGTGAAGATGGTGACTGGTGACAACATGGCCACGGCCACAGCCATCGCCTCGTCCTGCGGTATCAAAACCGAGGATGGCATTGCCATGGAGGGTCCCAAATTCCGGCAGCTGTCGGACGAGGAGATGGACGAGATCATTCCCCGACTCCAGGTCCTCGCTCGCTCTTCGCCCGAGGATAAACGCATCCTGGTGGCGCGACTCAAGAAATTGGGCGAAACGGTGGCGGTCACCGGTGACGGGACCAACGACGGTCCTGCGCTGCGGACCGCCGACGTGGGCTTCTCCATGGGGATTGCCGGCACGGAGGTGGCCAAGGAGGCCAGCTCGATCATTCTGCTCGACGACAACTTCAAGTCGATCGTCACGGCGATCGCCTGGGGGCGGGCCGTCAACGATGCCGTGTCCAAGTTCCTCCAGTTCCAGATCACCGTCAACATCACGGCGGTCGTCCTGACCTTCGTCTCCTCTCTCTACAACAGCGACAACCAAAGCGTTCTGAACGCGGTGCAGCTGCTGTGGGTGAACCTGATCATGGACACGTTTGCCGCGCTGGCGCTGGCAACAGACGCGCCGACCGAGAAGATCCTCAACCGCAAGCCGGTGCCCAAGAGCGCCTCGCTGTTCACGGTCATCATGTGGAAGATGATCCTGGGCCAGGCCATCTACCAGCTCGCCATCACCTTCATGCTCTATTTTGCCGGCGACCGCCTCCTCGGGGCACACCTCAGCGAGAGCAACGGGCAGACGGAGCTCAACACGATCGTGTTCAACACCTTCGTGTGGATGCAGATCTTCAACGAGTTCAACAACCGCCGCCTCGACAACAAGCTGAACATCTTCGAGGGCATGTTCCGCAACTACTGGTTCCTCGGCATCAACTGCATTATGGTCGGCGGGCAGGTCATGATCGTCTACGTGGGTGGTGCTGCCTTCGGCGTCACCCAGCTCTCCGGCATCCAGTGGGCTGTATGTATCATCTGCGCTCTGGGGTGTCTTCCCTGGGCCGTGGTGCTGCGCCTGATCCCCGACCGACCCATCGAGCTTGCCCTCAACGCCATCGTCCGCGCCGGCAAGTTCGTCCTGCACCCGGTCGTCGTGGCTCTGCGTGGAGTGGGTGCCGTGGGCAAGTCCGTCACTCGGCCAGTGAAGCGTGTTTTCAAGAAATCGTCCCGAGACGAAACCCCCGTCCCTGCGGATGAGGAAGCCGTCAACTTGACGGATATGAAACAGCGCCGACCCACCCCCGAGGCACCCATGACGCCCGTCTCGGTGCCCCCTATTACTATTACGACTTCATAGATGATGACATTGATTGATACGATATGGGGTGAGCTCCACTCCGAGAAATCTGTACATTAATTACAACGGGCCTGGCGTTTTGATATTTTTTTTTTGTTTATTTGGACTGGATTGGGCTGGGTTTGGACTTTGGAAGCATTTGCGAGCGAGTTGGTTGGGTAGCAGTTGGTTCATCTGTATAGTACATTGAGCGATTCGAGATTTGCATTATTTTGGATTCATTGCATATGATTGGGTTTGGTAAAAGTATGAATACACAGAGACTTACATAAATGTACCCAGACATACAGATACATTGGCATGGACATACTCTGTACACTCCGTAGTGGTGAGAAGTAGAAGGGCCAGGGGTTCGGCCTTAGGCAGCGTCTCCGCACCGCCTCCTCCACCGCCACCAGTCAGTCGTCGTCCGTCCCCGTCATCGTCTCCGCCCTCAATCCTCAATCCTCCCTCCTTTTGTTAGCTCTTGTCTTTTTCCCTGGCTTCCCCCTCTGGAACTCCTCGGTCTCAGTTTCTGCTTCAGCTCTAGGTACAGTCCACTGCCCCCAATGCCTGCTGCCTCCCACCCGTCGACCATCCCCGATCAATCCCACCAACTCACTCACAAAACAATCTACTAGATCTACCTGAATCCCACCACCTCCCCCTCGAACAAATACCAGAAACACCGACCAAAATGTCTCAAATCAACTACCGCACCATCAACGTCGATGTCCTGGACCCAGAGTCCTCCATCAACTTCCCCATGGACACCCTGCTGCCTCCCACCCTCCCCGCGCCCACGACATCCAGCGACGCCGCCGGCGTCGCCTCCCAGGTGCGCCAGCTGCTGCGCTCCGGCGACCCCGAGGGCGCCCTGCACCAGGTGCTCGAGACCGCGCCGCTGGGCGGCGACGACCGCGCCAAGGAGGTCCATCTCGCCGCCGTCATCGACGTCTTGCAGGGCATTCGTCAGGGCGAGATGATGCGCGTCCTGGAGGGTGTGTGCACGGGCGACGGCGGCGTCGAGAGGGCCGATTGCTTGATGAAGTATTTGTAGGCTCTCCCCCTTCCTTACATTCTCCGCCGCTGGGTTTACTTGATGTGCGAGGGAGGATCTGTGCTAATCTGGCGTCTACGTAGGTACAAGGGTATGTCAGCTTCGGGACCGAGCAGCGGCGCCCAGTCGCCGCGCAAGTCGGTCTCGCCGCAGAGCACGGGCTTCTCGCAGATCCAGGGCCGGAACTTGGGCGAGGGAGGTGGCAGTCAGCAGATGAGCGTGTTGCTGAGCTGGCATGAGAAGTTGGTCGAGCTGACGGGGACCGGATCGATTGTGCGGGTGATGACGGATCGGAGGACGGTGTAGGGGTTTTGTTTCGTGTTGTTTTACTTCTGTCTGTGCATAGATACTTTCTCTGTTCTTTATTTTCTTGAAAATGGGATGCTTTTATAATCCTTGTCATTAAATTGTACAGTTACTATATAGATATATATCAGTGTATATATATATTTCTTGTGAGATGTAGAACTTTTTGTTTAGGACTCTAGGTCTGGTCTTTATGGCTTCTCGAACGCTCCGCCACCCAACAAATCCTTCAGATTCAACTCTCCGCTGCCTCGCTGCAACGGCTGTGCCTGTCCCTCGCCCTCCTTCCACCCGATCATGTAGATCAAGCGGAAAGTGGCGGGGATGCCGCGTGCGCCCTCCTCGCGATGCAGCTGGCGATAGATGGCCTCGTTGGCCAGCAGCACGTCCCGCGAGAGGGGACCCAGCTCGCGATGCAGGATGGCATTGCTCTCGCCCATGGCCTGCAGGTCCTGCATCAGGGCGAACGTATCCGGATACTCCACGACGATGTCCTCCACGTCCACGGTCAGCATCTTGAACCCGGCCTTGTTCAGCAGGCCGCCGACGTCGCGCACGTCGGCCAGCGGCGACACATGCGGGCTGACGCCGCCGCGGCGCTCCAGGTCCGCCAGCTGCAGCGACGTGCGCAGCTCGAACAGCGTGTCGCCGCCGAACATGGCGGCGATGAACGGGGCGTCCGGCTTCAGGATCGAGTTCACCTGGGCCAGCAGCGACGGGAGGTCGTTGACCCAGTGGATGGAGAGCGAGGAGAGCACGGCGTCGAAGCTGTTGGGTTCGTAGGGGAGGGATTCCAGGTCCGGGATGACGTTGCGGGTGAGAGAGAGGTCGGCGTTGAAGGGGAGGTCGGCGTCGCGGTGGAGCAGCGCGTGCGAGGTGTCGACGCACGTCAGCTCCGAGATGCGAGTCGACAGCGGCGGCGCGCTGGGATCGTCGGGGTCCGGGTTGGGCTCCGTGAGCGCGCGGGCGATGTTGCAGCTGTTGGCGCCGAGGTCGAGCACTTGCGGGAAGTGGCGCTTGATGTCCTGCAGGCGATCTATGTTTAGATGCGACCAGTGAAGAAGAGCATAAGAGGGAGAGATCGTACTAGTAAGCGCTCACATAGCCGCAGGGCCACCTCGTCCTTGATGTAGTCCGTTTGGCGGCTCTGCTCGACGTTGCGAGCGGCGCGGTCTTTCTGGAGATGCTTCGTTTGCCGATTGAAGACCTCCCATACGGGACTGCCAGGAGCCTGGCTGGCGAAAGACCTCCGGAGAGGGAGTGATACGGCACGAGGTAAACGACGCATGGTGGAATTGGATGTGTGGTGGAGAGGGAGAGAAAAGGTGGGAGCAGAAGAGGAAAAGGAAAGGAAGGGAAACCGGCGAAAGGCGGCGTGACGTCGGACTTTTTCTTCCTCAGGCTCTCATCTCCGTCTTTCCCTCCTCTCCCTCTCCTTCTCCCACTTCCTCTCTTTCATTCTCCCCCCAACGATGGCGCGTCCTTTCCCTTACGCCTTCATTGCCTGTCCCTGCGCCGATTCGCCCATTCCCGACTCCCTGGACGACGACCAGACGCTGGACCCGCGATCGCCGCGCTCCAACTTCTCGTTGTATCCGCCCGAACAGCTACTCTACTGTGAAGACTGCCACCAGATAAAGTGCCCGCGATGCATTACCGAGGAGATTGTGTGCTGGTATTGTCCCAGCTGTCTGTTTGAGACCCCGAGCAGCATGGTGCGCAGTGAAGGCAATCGGTATAGCTCTGCTGCTCCACAACCGTCTCTCCGTATACTAGCCAGCTCACTCACCTTTGCTTTCTCGATAGATGCGCGCGCAATTGCTTCAACTGCCCCGTCTGCACCGCTCCCCTAGCTGTTACGACCCTCGAGAATGCCACCGGCAGCCAACAAGGCCCCTGGGTGCTGGCCTGTTCGTACTGCATGTGGACCACGCTGGACGTGGGCCTGCAGTTCGACAAGCCCACCAACCTGCGCGCGCAACTGTCCAAGATGACCGATGTGTCGCGTGGTCGCCAACCGTCCAAGACCTTCAGCGATCTCAAATCCCCGCTGGCCACCTCCGCCTCCATCGATGACCAGTTCGACAACGCCTCCTCCCCCAATCCGCCTTCCACTCCGGCTCCCGAGGGTCCTCTCGCCCCGGATGCCCGCTTCGCCGCCCTCAAGTCCTTCTACAAGAATCAATTGGCTGCCGTATCCTCCTCGTCGACCGACCCTGACCTCGGGTCCCCCGGTGCCCTGCACCGTATCATGTCGCTCTACGCCTCGTCCAGTCGGTTTAGTCTATACCCCGGCGCCGGCAAGAAGCCCAAATCGCGGCCGCCGGTCATGCGCGAGGCCATCTCCGCCAGCGAGGGCCTAAAGGTCCCCGGCCCGGACGCTGACGACGCCGTCATCCAGCGCTTGGTGGCAGAGGACGGCGGCTGGGACTCCGTCGCCTCGCTTGAGCAGCGCCGCTTCCAGTCGCCGGATGCCCGCTTCGTCGACGATCTCCTGCCGCTGCCGGTGCTCCTGCGCACGAAACGGTCCAAACGGTGCAAATCATGCAAGCACATCCTGGTCAAACCTGAGTTCAAGCCGTCGTCGACCCGCTTCCGTATCCGCCTCATCGCCCTGAGCTATATCCCCTTACCCACTCTGCGACCATTGATCCCGACCCCAGGGTTGATCCCTCCTCCGTCCGCGGTGGCCGCCTCGGTGGCGCCCAACCTCGACGCTCTGCCGCCGCTCAAGCCCGTGCAGCTGCTCCTCACGCTGAAGAACCACATGTTCGACCCCGTGCGCGTCACGCTGGCCACCCCCTCCGTGACCCCCGGCCGCGTCGCCTCCCGAGTCACCATCCTCTGTCCGCAATTCGATCTGGGCGCCAACAGCGACGTCTGGGACGAAGCCCTGCAGGGCGCCACTCCGGCTGGCGGCGGCGCGTCCTCGACTGGCACGGCGAACGACCCGCGCTCCTCGCGATCCGGCACCATTGGCGGCTCCGAGAAAGTCGCCGAGGCGGGCAAAGTGTGGGATAAAGGTCGCAACTGGACCACCGTGGTGCTCGAGGTCGTGCCCGGTCCGTTACCGGGTGGTGCCACGAAATCCACCCCCACGGGGGCAGGTGGTGCAGGGGGTGACAATGATGACGAGGGGAATAAGAACAAGGACAGTGACGACGAAGATGATGACGATGACGATGACGACGATGACAGTCTACCGGACATGAAGAATCTCGACTGGAGCGGGCAGAACACCGACCCGGGGCAGCAGTTACAAGCCGACGAAGATATCCTAGAGATCCCCGTGTTTGTGCGCATGGAATGGGACTCGGATAACCAGATTGACGAGCACGGCGGCGGTCACCAGAGTTCGGATACGGTGAAGAGGGAATTGGCGTATTGGATGGTGTTGGGGGTAGGGAGGATTTCCAAGGAAGTGACTGCCTAGTTGTAGATATGCATTGTGTCGATTTTAGAGGTCCTTGGATTTTGTTAAATACCCATATTTGTTTGAACAGTTATTATCAAGAACCGAAGACAAGATATACCTACAAGTATCACTACATCTACGACATAGAGGTCTTACTCTGCAGAGGATACCTATACCATGAAACCACATTAAAAGAAGAAACAACAAAAGAAGATCATGATTGTTTGTTTGATATTATCACATCGCATCACATTCCTTTTCATTTCCAAGGGACAAGGGAACCCTCAAAACAAAAACCCCCGGAGGACCAGCACAGCCATGAAAGGAAAAAGAAGAAGAAAAAAAAGGTGAAAAGAAAATAGTTTCTCTTGCGTTGAAGATTCCCTTCCCTGTTTTGAAAGTAAAAAATTGAAATTTCTTCTTTTTTTCTTCTGAGCTTTGTTTTCTTCTCTTCTTCCTACCTAAGAAACCCTCTTTATTTTTTTCGCCGTTTTGTTCTTTTAGATCCGCAACCACAGAATTGAAACCCCGTTGTGAATTTCTCCTCTCTCTCCTTGAGTTTCCACCCCCTTGCTATTTTCTTTGCACTTTCCCCGCGTGGATTCCTAGATCACCTAAGGATGATGATTTCCATGTTCACGAAGGATGAAGTGGGAATGGAAAAAGAAAAAGAAAATTCAAAAGGTTGAAGTCAAAAAAAAAGAGAAGAAATCAAGGTTCAATTGATCTAAAAGTCAGAGGGACCGCTCTGGGGGAACTCGAAAGTGACAGCACGGCCAGTTAGGCGGCGGTAGACCTCGCCGTAGGCGTCAAGGCGGTGGTCAACACCACCACGCTCCTTCTCGTCCAGGATAACCTTCAGGGTCTTGCTGCCATCCTCCTTGGTACGGATGCGCTTGCCGACGATCTCGACGGGGTAGACCAGGTCGCCGAGGATGGAGTCGTGCACGGCAGTCAGAGTGCGGGAGCGGGGACGCTTCTGAGTCTGGTTGGAGCGCGAGTTGGCGGAGCGCTTGGGGCGGGGCAAGATGCGGCGCTGAGCAACGAAGAGGACGTGGCGGTCGGAGAACTTCTTCTCGAGCTCACGGGTCAGGCTGTATAAGGGTCACATGTCAGCTCCTTGTCTCGCGGGAAAGATGACCACCGAGTAGTTTCCCGCTGGCTGGTCGTTGGGTGAAATGTTGGGGTATCCCATACCGCTGCTGGATCTTGTGGAAGCCCTGGAGGAGAGGGACGGGGACGAAGACGATGACAGCCTTCTTGCCGTGACCAACCTCGACCTAGAGAAAGTTCGTTAATCACAGATCATGGGAAGGTTTCCAGTGTGTTACTCGGCAAGCAGGAGTAAATCGATGGTCTCCGCGCAAGCAAAACAAAATTTGTGCGGAGCGGACTGGTTTCCACCTCTTGATAGCGTCCAGACGCACAGCACACAGTATGGACAACAGGAGGCCAATCGGCGCCATCGTCAAGTTTCCCCATATCCCGAGAGAAGAGTGATTCTCCAGGACGTGGCTTCCCTCCGGATCCCCCTCGAATATCATGACATCTTGCCCTTGTTCACACCCCACAATCCGCACACAAATTCTGATATTGCTTCGCATCGATTCCGATTCATTATTTTCTTCTTGGTCTTGCTTGCACTCGCACACACACGGAGGAAATCAGACTGCGTGAAATCTTACCTCACGGGCAGAGACGAACTGCAGAGGCCGAAGGGTAGCCTTCAGGTCCTGTGTGTTGCTCTCCAAGTCGAAGAGAGCGCCGGCGATCGCGGTCTCCAGCTCGGAGGGGTTCTGCCTCGACGGCGAGTTAAGGGCGATCTTGTTGATAGCAGCCATGATTGCAGACGAGCGACGGATAGCTGGCTGTGCTGCGGGTGCTGCCTTCCTTGTCGCGGGTTGGTGGTCGTGGGAAATAAATTCGAGGGATTGAAAGAGGTCCGGCTCACACTTCGCGGCCGCTGTGGGATCGGGATCTCGGCGCCTCGCTTAGCGGTCGCTTGGCCCGTTGCGGTCTAGCGCCAACTGCCTGCTTAGGGGATCGCGTATCCCGTGACCCGTCTGCCCTTGGCGGCCTGCCGTTTCAGGCACCCATCTTTCAGACCGTACTTCGGACATTGTCGGTGGAATCCCTACACTACACTACTACACTACACTACACTACACTACTCCGTCCACGGCACCCGAGAGACCGCGTCAAGGCGATTCGTCCGTTCCAACTGTCCCTTGATTCCTAAAGTACTGTCGGGTCTCGCGCGAGATCCTATTACCGAACTAAATAATATGGCATAGTGAACAGAGAAAAACAAAACTAATAAACAACAGACGCCGTGGATATGACAACTGCACACGCCTTTGCAGAAGAGAGAATACTAGGTTCAAACGAAAGAATCAAAGAAACACGGTTCCGTCGCCCGAGACTGTTACTCGGTAATCCAGCCTGGCCAAAGATAACACGACGGATATCTTGCACCTCAACACACGAATCCCAGGGCAACCGGAATACCTTCTAGCAGGCACACCCTTCCTTGGCCGTAGCAGATCCCCGATCACCCAGATTCACCCGCGAATCTTCGGCCGGTCGACCACCTCCCAACGTAGTCTGTCCGGTTCCGGCGCCAGCTCCTCGCCCGCTCTTCAAGCTGCTCTCGGGGATGGCATTGGCAATCGCCGTGAAGACGTCGACCACGTTGACACCCGTCTTCGCACTGGTCTCAAAGAACAATAGGCTCTCTTCTTCCGCGTAAGCGCTAGCCTCCCGTGTCGGTACCTTCCGCGCGTCTCCGGTAGTGGCATCCGCCTCTTCGGGGTTCTCGCCGGCGGCCTCATCTTCGTCAACGGCGGGCGACTCGCGGTCCCCGTCAGCTTGCGACTCGCCGGCGGCCTCGTTCCCGTCATTCGTCAAGTCCAGCTTATTGCCGACGAGGGCGATCACGATTCCGGGGCTGGCTTGCCGCTGAAGTTCAGCGACCCAGTGCTTCGCCTTGGTGAGCGACGAGGGTTTGGTGACATCGTAGACCACCAGCGCCGCCTGGGCGTTACGGTAGTACATGGGGGCAAGCGAGGCGAAGCGCTCCTGACCGGCCGTATCCCAGATTTCGAACTTGATCGTGCGAGTAGGCAGCGAGCATTTTTGGGTGAGGAAAGCGGCTGAACGGGGAGGTATGACATCAGCTTCGGCACAGCCATCGAGGTAGAGGGGGAAACGAAACCGCGAATGGAAGGGCCAGGGGGTAAGAAACATCCAGAAAATGGGGTTTAAAAACAATGATAATACACAGGGGGTATTTTCACGGTCATTGCCGCTGAGCAATGGGTTCACATCTGGGGATCCTTACCTCCAATGGTCGGTTCCTTGTTCTCTTGGAAGTCGTTGTTCACAAATCGCAAGACAAGCGAAGACTGTTTTCCAGGCAGCAATTCAGTCAGGGTCAGTCTTCCAGGTTACTCGTGTACAACGGAGGGGCAGGCAAAAGGAAACAGCCGGGGCCGTACCTTTCCAACGGCCGCCTCTCCCAAAAGTACCAGCTTGACGCTACTACTCGGCTTCGGAGTATTTGTGCTGGTTGACTCAGACATGACGATGGAAGCCCAACGAGGTGGCTATGAGGGTTAAGGATATGGGGTTGGCAGGCCGTGCCAGCAAAAGTGGTGATTATCAATCCGGAGGGGGGATTTCAGCTCGCGAAGGGCGGCTAAGAGTTGACCGCAACGGACAGGTCAATAATAGGAAATTTTTTTTCTTTAGTAAAAAAAAATAATAAAGCGAAAGACTCCAGGTAGCCTGAGAACGAAACGTCAGCCGGAACACGAGTTGATCGATCGGGTCAGCTTGTTGAGCAGGGGGGGTTGGCCGGCTGTCACTGGAGGAATGGGGGTGAAGATGACGATGATGACGAAAAGACGGAGCGAATGGCAGAGAGAGCGAGAGTACAACGTACCAGTACCAAGAGAAATGGCGGTGGACAGCTAAGGTACGACTGTCGCAACGTGCTTTAAGGATAGATACCCAGCGAGGCGGAGAGAGACGTTTCGCCGGGAGGAAATGGGCGACCGAATCCCGTTAGCGCCCGGCAGTCACGGGACGGCTCCCGCTTCCGACTCCAGCGTCACGTCAGGTAGAGATCTTAACTTCCAAAAAAATTTCTTCATTTCATCCTCCCGCGAAGGCACGGCCATCGCAAATGCGATAGATCAACTCTCGTCAGCCTCCTTCCCGCCGGCCTGATTGGCGCGAAGTCGATCGAACGGACCGTCGACGGTCGAAACGATGTATCTCGGCCTGGGCCTGCTCCGGACTGGCGGACGCCAACGAGGACAACAAATGCTATGACGTGCCAGCGGCCCCGTCCCCCCCAAGGACAACGGTTGGGAACCCTTTCCACTGGTACCCAGTCGTGTCATACTGGCCAACGTTGCACCGCATGATTTGTGTAGATCCCGTAGCTGCCCAAGTAAAGACGCACATGCAAGATGTCCGAACACCGTGATTGTCGACCGGGGTCCACCGAGATAATGCTTGCTCAAATTAAAGTCGGCAAATCACAGCCGAGACGCCCTGTCTGCTCCCGTCATCCAACCCCAGGGACAATCATTCAACGGCGGATGTGATGGCCCATGGACCCGGTTGAGAACCAGACCGATCGAAGGCTTGTGCGGACAGTCGGAGAAGGAATTCGACAGAAAGAACAAGGGAAGAAGACAAGGGTCTACTGGCGGTGGTCCCGTCATGTTTCAACAATGCACACCTGCTTTCATTCTCAATGTGCTCTGGTAAGAAATAGTATACATGCGCAAAAAAAGTCCCACATGGCCAATCAACCCGAAGAAAGAGTCAGATCTGAAGAGACAGTAGCAAAATAATATCAAGAAATGTGTGACCGCGAGGTCGAAGGTTCTAGTCTTGGTATCTCAACCCATTTATCCCAAACAAAAACGAAATAAAAAATAAAAGAAATAAACCCCGTCCTGTCTATACCCAACGCCAAACAAGCAAATCCCAAAGAAAAATCGAAAGCTGTCAAGGAAAAAACGAAGAAACTTTTGGTGAACAGATTGCACACCTGTTCGCGGGCTCATGTCGGTAAGATTAAAATGGCGTAAAGGAAACAATTGGATAGTCGGTCGAAGAAAAAGGGACGGTTGGAATGATCGAGCGCTGGTAATAATCGAGATAGCCGCAGGCGTATTAAAAAGTTATAGATCCGAAACCAGAGGCGGCCCAACCACAAAACGTAGCAAAAATGGTAGTGTTACAAAAGCTATGAGGCTAATGTTAGCAATGTGAATGCGAGAGGAAAAAAGAAAGAGAAAAAAAAGCATCAAGACCAAGGGAATAAAACTTACAAGAAAATAACGCGACTTGATCAATGACGCGTGAACTCCAGAGGCCCCTGACTCCAGTCCAGGAAAAACCACAAACAACGTTTCGCTTGAACGAACAGAAGAATATCATCGTGTGGTTGGCAAATGTGCCGGAGGAATTCACCGTGTGGTAGGTGGTGGCGGAGGAGCGCCGGGCTTCTTGACTCCCGTGGTATCGTAGGCACCGCGTCCCATGTTGAAGGCAGACAGATCCCGAAGTATCATTATAGATTCTGCAGAGACAGCCATTGGTTAGACGTTGAAGGTCAAGCTTGAATTGAAAAGTAGATGGGTAGAGAGTCGAAGGAAAGGAAGATGCTCGAAGATGGGTTTGGAGCGTGGAAGGAAAAAACTCACAGGAGAATTAAATATACAAGGAGTAGAGCCCTTTATTAAGCCAAGGGTTCAAAAAAAAAATCAACAGTCGTAATTATTGTGCGGTCCAACGACAGAGCAAATGCAGCAGCGACTAGCGAGATACCCAAGATTCCAGACGAGGACAGGCGGTATTAATGCAGATGATGCAGCTGCAGTTGAGATCGGAAAGACGATCCTTATTAAGGATGCCCACAGCACAGACGCTGGGAGAAAAAGTAGGCAGAATTATGCAACACTGTCGCCGACAACAGTAGATCTGTAGGGCAGGAATGTGACGCTGAATAAACCAGGAAGTTGGACCGTAAGAATGAGGCAGTGTGGATCTTAGGAAACAATTGATAGGTCGTTTTTTGGGAAATGTTTTGTCTTTTCTTTTTCGGCTTAGGCGCTTCGATATTGTTTGTTCTGAATTGTCCCGGCCTTTGCGTTCTTCCAAATCGTACAGGGGGCGTGCGAGATAATATTCGAATCGAGCGCGATCTGATCAGGGCCCGGCGACCGAGGCACAGAGGCTAATGCAGTCGGCAAGGAGGTTTGATCAAGGAGACGTGCCGCGGAAGTCAACTCTGTCTAGTCCGGCCCAAAAAAAAGAAAACAAGCTCGGCCACAGGGTGCAAGGGAGGATAGGAGGTCGGCTTTTGGACAACGTCACCGCGGTACTGGAGAGCGGCAAGAGGGAAAGTTAGGTCGGAAGGAATGAGCTAACGAGGACACAAGGGAGGATGGCGAGAGAGAAGAGGGAGAAAGAGGAAGGAGTTGAAGGAGAAAAGGAAATTGGCTCAAGGAATGAATGAAATGATGAAGAATTCCGGCCAGATCTTGAAGGGGGTTCGTTGATATAAGTAGTAATGTACTATGCTGGGCCTGTGTATTTTTTTTAACGTTTGGGTCAGATCAGCAAGACTTTTTTTTTTTCTTAAATTATGACGGATATTATTTTTGAAGGTTTGATTTTTTTGGTTTTTAATTTTTTTTTTTTATTTTTGACGAGAGGAAATAAAGGACAGAGAGAGAGACCAGGGCAGGGGGGGAAATAGAGAGAGCGAGAGAGAGAAAGAGAGCTGACAGAACAGAAAATGGGAAAAAAAAAAATCAAACCCCCGAATAAAATAAAACACAATAAAACAGATTAAAAATTAAACCCATAGTAATAATAATAAAAACAATAATTACCAGAATAATAAATCCGATTTTTATTTTTCCAAAAGTAATCGAGCAGCTGTATTTAGCATAGCGGCTCTCCCGTCCCGGGGGGAAGGTACGCGAAAGCTGGGTGGATGCGATCCATCCATCCATTTTCCATCCCCCTTTCTTTTTCGTTTCTAGGTTGACGGGGAAGTTCCATTTCCAACGTTTGACGGCTGCCGTACCAATTTACCTCCCCTACCGTAAATTACCACCCACGGCGGTTACCCAGGCCCCGACCCTGTACGGCCCTGGTACCGTATCGTCCGCCTGTCGCCATCGTTCCTCCTTTTGGCCCCTGTCCTCATTTCGCCTCAGCTGATATGATTCTGTGCTTTGGCGCTTACTCCGTACTCTGTCACATATCACTTTTGCCCATCCCGGTATATTGAAGCCCCGAAATTAGCATCCTGACGGCCGGCCTGACTCGGGGGGATTTGGTCGGCAGTTGGCATATCATCGGTTCTTCGTGCCCTGGGAAGGGCGCCGTACGCAGTAAGACGCAGAACTTGCCGTCACGGAGATACCGACTCCGCCGGCCAGTGAATAAAATGTAAATCAATGGCGTCAGAAATTTAGTCATGGCCACTCAGAAATGGGAAATCAGGATGAGCTCTCCCCACAACAGTTAGAAGCTACTAAAGAACCGACTTCTCGAACCGCGGCGACTGGCTTGTTGCAGGGTATGGGGTGGGGAATTCGCAACCGCTCCAGGAACCGCGGATGGATCCGAACCAACACCGCTGGGGGCTTGTTTCGATTGCTCTCGCGTGGTGTATTCTTTACTAGTCCTTAGTAGGGGACCTGGATGGAAGAGACCAAGAGAGTCAGGGGCCCGGGTTGGGTTAGTGATCCCCAGAAGCCCTACTCGTAAACCCTTGGTTCTCTTTGCTCTGCTAACCTGATGCAGCATGATCTCATCGAAATCGAGGACCCAGTCTTTTCCGTTTTTTTTACCTTTTTTTTTTGTGCCCAGGATGCCCATAGGTACGTACCCTGGGGGTGTCGACTAAGAAGGATCAAAAGTACCATTTTGCTCATGTACCCGTCAATATTGCGGCAGCCTTGCCACAACTTCCGTAAATCATTGCTTGTTGATGGACGGATAGATGGAGAATTGATTCTGTTGTATGACCCGGCGGATCGATAGTCCCCGGACACAAAAGAAAAAAGAAAGAAAGAAAAGCAACCGCAAAAGCAAAACAGAAAGATCATTCTGTGGCGCGATGTTTGATATGTCAGGTCCCAGAACCACCTAACATATTCTGTACGGGACTTTCGTACGGCCGGGAAGATTACATACGTACATACGTCTAGCGCTCCGGTGGAAGCGATCCAGAAGCTTCCCGTCTGGTACCTGCGGTAGTGCGGAAGTAGCTTCGGGAGACTATCACCAAGATCACTGTTTATTGATTCGATTTTCCTCCCTAGCTGGGCTCCACCATGTCTCCTGATTGATTCATGCCATCGCCTGGAATTGCGTCGCGCCGTGTCTCGTCTCATACTTTTGCCTCCCTCGTTTTTTTGTTTGTTTGTTTGCTTGTTGTCGGATTCTGGAACGACAGGTAGGAAACACAAATGAGACCTGGGACCGTCGTAGCCTGCTTGATGCTTTGTCTGGTCGATGATGCTCCCATTTCCGGTCACCAGGGAAATCAACTTCTGGCTTGAAAGGGGGGAGTGGAGCCCCCCTACCCAAAATGATCAATGATCCGGCCCACCCACACCCTCTCGAAAGACTAAATGCGTCGGAATGGAGGTTAAGGATTTATATTTATTTCCTTTGACTTTACCTTACCTTACGACGGACGTATTAATAATAGTGGTAAGCTGCCTCTACACCATCCATCCTTCTCGCAAGCTTCTAGTCCTTCTAGCGCCTCTCGTCCGGCGGCGTTTCTCCCCGCGACCATCGGGGAAGTCGCTAGACCACGACAAATGGATCTTTGTCCGATTGACATTCTCCATTTTGGTTTGGGAGCAGGACGATTTAATTGATCTGCTCAGTCGTAACCATCACCGTCGTATCGAAGGATTGATCATCTTCTAGACCCCTTCTAGGCCAATAGATGACGGGAGTT